GTTAATCAAATTTAACACCTCCTTTATTTAAATCAACTATTATTTTTCCATGTTCACCTAATTGTTGATATTGTGTGTAAAGTTCATTAATGCTCATTGGTAAATTCACTTGATAAAGCATAACGTTCAACTGTTGACGACTAAAACCACTGAAAATGAAAAGTGTTGATAGATTTGATTTAATGTTTGTGCTTAATGCTTTGAAGTATTGAACAGCCATGAAGAATGAACACTGAATGTGTCGACATTGAGTTAATAACTGATTAAAATATGATTTCTCATTTGTTATTAGTTTTGATTTCACCGCATCATCTAGAAAAATGAGTGAATGCAAAAATTCTCTATCAAAATTTGAAATAGAAAGTGTTTCAAATAATTCATCCCGTTGTTTATCAATAATTTTATCCTCTAATCCTTGCTTCTTGATTGTATTATATAATTCTTTATACATTAAAAAGTTTTTTAAATAATCTTCTGCTTCTTCTTGTGATAAATAAATAATTGGAATTTTGATTAAATGCTTTAAAGATTCAAATGTATCATCTGAAGGTGAACCTGAACGGTTGATATAAATTAACACATGTGAATGGGGGAAGTGTTAGCAATAATGATAATTTGTTTTAATATCGTTAATGTTTTACCTTTATTTTGTTTACCAATTGCTGCAGTGATTGAATTTAAGTAACATTCAGAATATGGAATTTTCATTAATTTTTCCTTAGATAGAGCATTTCTATTATCACTCAATGCTTCATTAATCATATCATCTACGTATGTATTATATACTCCCGCTAATTCTTCAGAATTTAAATCCATTTAATCAAAAATAAATTTATAATTTTAAACATTTCTATTCATCAATATTTCATCATATGAACTTCTATACTGTGGTGGTGTACCTGTTGGATGATATTTCAAACCTTCATCCGGTGTCCATGTCCAATACGTAGTCCTAGTAAACCAAACCTGAGGAGGATTTGTCACCTTTGAACAGTAAGTGTCATTTACACCCTGAATGATTGGATAAGCTTTCACTTGTACTGTAACTTGTGAGTTGAAAGTTTCTAATCCATCAAAGAATATACCCGCTCCATCACGTTGAACTGGAATAGTGCATAAGAATGAAGTTTGGTCTTTCCATGTTCTAGCTAATGGTGTGCCATCATCATCATTCAGTGGTCTAGTTAATGAGTCCTCGTATTCTTCGTGCATTCATTCACTCCATCTAAATCAGAAGCTTGAAGCATACGTGTAAAGAATATGTCACCCACTGTGGTCATCGCTTGATCGGGGAAGTTTCTGGAATCTATAGTGACCTGAAGACCTCGAAGCATTGGATTTTCTAAAACTGTTCTTTGCATTGCATTCTTCGGAAATGCTAACACAACATCTGTAACATTATGAAGAGCGTATGAGAAATCTGAGCTAATACCTTCAGGAGTGATGCAACCTCCATTTAGTGAACGAACGTCAATATGTTGAGCTGGAATCATGAATGGATCTTCCTTACTGAATAAACGTGGTATTGCTTTAACTGATTCTTCAATTAAACCGTATCCTGGTGTAATGCATTTATCCTCTAAAACTTCCATCTTTGTGCATGAAATAATAACGTCATCAACTGTTGCGTCAGCAGATGTAGCGGCTAAGCTTGTAATTAATTTGGCAGGAAGTCCGATTTGTTGGAATTTGCGATCATATTTATAAACATGATTCATAATCTTTTCATAATTTTCATCAGTTATCTTTTCATAAACGTAATTTTGTAAATCAGCAACTCTTAACGGGTCAACCTGACAAAATACTAAAGTATCCCTGAAAACATAATATTTAAGAATGATTTCACCAAATGATTTAGGATAATCATCGAACGCCTGAAATGCTAACAAATCATTTACCGGAATAATCATATCAAAAGTGATATCAACTTCTTCATTTGCTTTCTTGAAAACTTCTGAAGGGTCAATATATTTACCACATACTGAGTTATCATATTTTTGAACATTATTATATAACGAATGAACAAACTTTTTAACTTTCCTTTCTGATTTTGGTTTATATGTTGCAAATGCGAAAGATTCACGGGCGCAATCCATCTGAAGATAACCGGCATCACCTCTTTCGGTTTCTACTTCTAATTGTTTAAAGCTTTGATTTGATGATTTGTAACCAACGAATAAACGCATGCATTTAAAAGCGGCATCACATGTGAAAGCTTTATTTGAAACTAGAGTTGCTTTAACTTTGCGTTTAATATATGTGTCACCTAATTGGTTCACATCATGAGCCGGATTTGTAATTCTTAAATGAGTTTGTTTATCATCAAAATATGGAGCATCAGAGTCATAGCATGAACTTTCAAGTTCTCTATAATATCTTCTTCCGTCATTCTTTGCGAATATTTCATTTATCTTTTCGAATGAATGAAACACATTTCCATTAATGGTTTAGTGTTTGGCACCAAATAGTTAGTCGTCATTTATTATTAAATAAAAAATCAAAATTAAAAGATGAAAATGAATTTTTAATTTTAATGAAATAATCAACTATGGCTGCAGGATTCTTTAAGAAACTGTGGGATAAAGTAAAAAGAGGAGCGCATAAAGTTTGGGAAACAATGAAGAAAGGAGCAAATTGGATATTTAAGAATAAAGAAGCAATTAGTGACGTTGCTGAATCAATAACACCAAAAGCTGCCCCAATAAGAGAAATTTTAAATAAAGGAGAAAAAGTTTATCAAAGACTACAACCAATACTAAGATAAAAATAATATTTATTTATTTTTCCACTATTTACCCCTATTTTATTAAGTATTCCTTCAGCAATTCCACCAATTGCGTTACCTGCTTGTGCTCCCATCGCCGGATTACCTGCTTTAGTACCTAATACTCCACCTATGATAGTTCCTGCCGTTTTCGCTACTGGTGCCAAAAAGTTTGCAACAGGTTTAATAACCTTTTTATAAACCCAACCTGCAGCTTTCTTAATTCCATCCCATAATTTTTTAAAGAATCCTGCCGCCATTTCTGATTTAATATTAATTAAAAAATATATTTCATCACTTATATTCTAATTTTTATTTAATGATAAATGAAACCGATTTTAAAAATAAATGAAACAGAGGAGGAAGAAATAAATGAAAGTGAAAATGTTCAACAAAAAATAAACGTTGTTAAACCAATTACTGAAATAAAAATTTTTTCATCTGTTGAAGAATTTAATGACTATTATGCTAATAATAAAAAATTATTTGAAGAATTGACAACATGTAAATTGAATAAAATGTTTAAAGTTGATGGATTCAAAATTTCAAAAATAAAAGGAGTGGTTAGTTTGAAATCTATTCCCCAATCAAGAATCACCTCATTAATGAAAATAGATGATTTAACAAAAAGAATAGAAATTATTGAAGAAAGAATGAATCAAATAATTGATTTCATAAATTCAAATAATCATTAGTTTCTAATTTCTTTTTTTTCTCGTTTATGAGGTCTTTGATTATGACTCCATTGATTCCATGAAATTAAATATTCACAATCTTCATTTTTAAATTGAAGTTTAACCCATTCAGGATTTAAACAATGTTTAATTAATCGCGGAATATCTGACATCATCTATATATAGCTTCTTTTATAAAAGATAAAAAAATAAATTATTTTAAAATTAATGTTAATTTTTTTAATGTGTTTATAAATTATATTTATTACTAATTTATTTAATAATGTCGCGCTTTCTTACGAATTCATGACTTAAAAAAACGTAAGAAAAAATTTTATATCATCTATATATAGAAGATGTGAAAATATACCTTCATCTATATATAGACGTAACAAAAAAAGTCACACAACCCTTCCACATATACTACTTCAGTATTGAGAAGAAGTAACAGCTGACACTTGGTAGACAACTTCTTTAAGTCTAGAAAATTCTATCTTGCCTTTTATTTTTTTCTCGCTGTGAAACGTATTCGGTCATTTTTTTAAAAATTAATTTTTTGTTAGAGATAAGAGCTAAAACTCGGTAAACAACTTCTTTATGTCTAGAAAATTCTACCTTGCCTTTTATTTTTTTCTCGCTGTGAAACGTATTCGGTCATTTTTTTAAAAATTAATTTTTTGTTAGAGATAAGAGCTAAAACTTTGCAGACAGCTCCCCCATGTCTAGCAAATTTAACATTCGTCTCCCATTTTTATATATTTGGTTTAGAATGTTCGAAAATGCGTAATATGGTCATTAATATTAATTGAAAAGAACCTTGAATTAATTCAATCTGATCTCACAAAATATTTTAAATTACAAACTTTGTAGTTTGAATAGATAATTAGTATTAAACTCAAATAACTAGTTTATTTTTGAATAAAAATTATTTGAATTTATTCAATTTTGTGAATTTTCCTTCAAAAATCAAGTTTAAATATCTTATTTGCCATATAATTATAAATACAATGAAACATATTCGAAATTGAAAAGAATGACTTTTTCTGTTCTTTCAATCATTCAATTTGAATTTTGCAATATTGGATTTCTCATTAAATAGCTATTAAAAACAACAAGCAATTTAACTTACATTCAAATTTATTTGTGTTATATTCAATCTTCTCAAAACTTATAATTTTCGGCTATAGCATGATTATATGCTATATAATATAATAAACCTATAATAGTATCATTCTTTCAATTATTTGAAGAGAAAACTGAAAAAATCTATTTTCGGTCTATAACAAAAATTTGATCAATTGCAAGTGGCACGCGAACATAGTTCTTATTGATAGGATGCTCACTAGAAAGCCCTTAATCTATTTTTATGCAAAACAATCTGATCCAGGTTTACATCTGGATGAGGTGATGTATTCCAATATATTTTGAGAGAGTTTGATAATTGTATTCAATTTTTCACAGGGGCGGAATCAAAATTGTTCATATATCATTATAAAGCATGTTTTAATGCCATTGCGTAATATTGAATCGCTATTCAATTTTTTTTATTTCATTTTTTATCGATGACTGAGATATATAAAGATCCTTCACAGCCAATCGAAGCTCGTGTAGATGATCTTCTTTCACGTATGACAGTGGAAGAAAAGGTCGGCCAGCTCGTTCAGATTGATGGAAGAGAAAATTTACTTGAAGTCATGGAAAAACAACACGTAGGCTCAGTTCTCCATCTTTTAGGTGAAAATACAAAGCCTGCTATTGAATTTTCACGCAAAACACGCCTTCAAATCCCAGTAATCATGGGTATTGATGCCATTCACGGACATTCTTTCTGGCCAGGTGCTACAATCTTCCCAACACAGCTTGGTATATCAGGAAGCTGGGACGAAGACCTCATCAAGAAGATGGCAGAGATTACTGCTTACGAAATGAGATACACTGGCATGTCCTGGAGCTTTTCTCCAGTCGTCTGCATTGCTCGTGATACTCGCTGGGGCCGTGTTGGCGAAACATTTGGTGAAGATCCTTATCTTATCGGCAGATTTGCTTCTGCTATGGTTAAAGGTCTCCAAGGTGACAAATTGAGCAATGATCCAGACCACGTCATGGCCACTGCCAAGCATTTCGCCGGATACAGTGAAACACACGGCGGCCGCGACGCAAGTGAGTCTGATTCCTCCCACAGGAAGCTTCTTTCTTACTTCTTACCACAGTTCAAGAAGTGTGTCGAGGCAGGTGCTGGCGCATTCATGACTGGCTACCAATCAATGGAAGGAATCCCATCTACAGCAAATTCTTGGTTGCTTAGGGATATCCTCAAAAACGAATGGGGCCACCAAGGCTTCTTAGTTACAGATTGGAATAACGTCGGCTGGCTCGTCGAAGATCAAAAGATTTGTGCAACATACGAAGAAGCCGCTGCTTTAGCAGTTCATTGCGGCAACGACTTGATGATGACAACACCAAACTTCTACCAAGGCTGCCTTGACGCTCTTAAGAACGGAAAGTTAGATATCTCAGAAGTTGACAAAGCAGTTAAGAGAATTTTACGTTGCAAGTTTACACTCGGCTTATTCGAGGATGACAGATATCCAGATGTCGAAAAAGCTAAAACTCGTTGTAATACTCCAGAACATCGTAATGCAGCTTTACAAGCAGCTCTCGAAGGTCTTATCCTCCTCAAGAATGACGGAATACTTCCATTACAAAACGACAAAGTCAAAGTCGCTTTACTTGGTCCAAATGCAGACCATGCTTGGGCACAGCTCGGAGATTGGTCTCTCGGAACAGGCCAAGCCAACCAACCACTTGTACAACCGCGCGAATTAATTGTTACAGTCAAAGATGCCCTTGAAAAGAAACTAGGACAGAATTTGACTTTCGAAGTTGGCGCTGCTATCGAAGAAGGTGATCCAGCATACAACTTATTCCAAGCCAAGAAGAATATCGAGAACTGTGATGTTATTGTCGTTGTTGTTGGCGACAGATTATCATTATGGGGCGAAACGAAGTCAACCGCCACTCTCAAGTTGCAAGGCACACAGAGAGAATTAATTAACTTCGTTGCCGACTCCGGAAAACCATTCATTGTTGATGTAATTTCATCAAAACCAATGGTTCTTCCAAAGAAGGCCTTCAGAGCCAATGCAATCATCCAGCAGTTCTCTCCAGGTATGCTTGGTGGTGAAGCCTTCAAACAAATCATCTTCGGAGAGTTCGAACCACGTGGCAGATTAACAATTTCAGTTCCTGTCCACGTCGGACAGCTTCCAATCTACTACAACCAGGTCAGAGGCCAGCATGGAAACTGTTACGCTGATATGACACAAAGACCAAGGTTCGAATTCGGCTACGGACTCACTTACACTACATTTGAATATGTTACAGCGAAATTGGACAAGAAAGTTTACAAGAAGACAGACAAAATCACAGCAACAGTCACTGTCAAGAACACAGGAAAGAGGAAAGGCACAGAAATTATCCAGCTCTACATCAATGATGTTGTTACATCAGCAACATGGGCTGTTCAAGAACTCAAAGGATACGCGATTGTTGAGTTGGCTCCAGGAAAGAAGAAAGACGTCCAAATCGTTATCTCAGCACAAGACTGCAGCATAGTCAACACAAAGTGCGAAAGAGTTGTAGAACCAGGCGATTTCAAGGCTATGATTGGCATGTCTTCACTTGACATCAAACACACAATTGATTTCAAGATTGAGTAAGTTATAAATTAAGACACTGTATATGTATTAAAGATTAAGACTTTTTGGATTATTTATCTACAATAAATTAAATTCTTATTTATATATATTTTTTATGACTTAAGGGTGTACTTGCGACTTTCTGACATGTTATGAAAAAATCAATAGAAGTATAACAGCCATATTAGGCACTTTATAGTGCCTAAAAAATTGAGAGAATGCCAGAAAGTGAGAAGAGCACCCTTATGGGAAGACTTACGTCCCTATGATATAGCTTTCAATTCAATTGTTTAAGGTTAAATTAAAGTCAGATGAGCTTTAAACAATTATCACTTTTTGACAAATTCTCACACAATCAACAAATCCTTGTATTAATTGTAAAATACTATAATAACCACATTCGTTCCTACATGGAAATTTTTAATAACTTTTTACAATCAGAAAATCAGCTTTTCACATAATCAATTGAGACGTAAAGTTAGAGATGTCAAAAAATTGAGAGAATGTCAGAAAGTGGTAAGTGCACCATTAAACTTTACTTCCTATTTTTTCCATGAGCACTGTAGAAAATTTAAAACACGATCGATATATTTATTATATCGTCAAAACACTATTTTTAAAATATTTATTCAAAAATATTCACTAGAAAATGATGCAGACAGGTTTGGAAATTTGTAGAAAAGATAAAACAATGATAAATATGAAAAGAAAGATAATGTAATAAAAGAATGATAAAAATGAAAAGAAAATGAATTTTATAAAACAATGATAAATATGAAAAGAAAGAAAATAAGTTTCATGGTAACATTGGCACCATTATTAACTAGGAATTGGACAATTTCTATTGAATTCGCTTCGATTGCAATACTAAGTGGGCAATCATTAATATCGAAAGAATTTCATAAAAGAATGATAAACATGAAAAGAAAGATAATGTTATAAAAGAATGATAAACATGAAAAGAAAATGAATTTTATAAAACAATGATAAATATGAAAAGAAAGAAAATGCCATAAAACAATGATAAATATAAAAAGAAAGAGAATTTCATAAAATAACGATGAATATAAAAAGAAAGAGAATAAGTTTCATGTTAACATCAGCACCATGCTCAACTAAGAATTGGACGATTTCTATTGAATTAGCTTTGATGGCAATACTAAGCGGGCATTCATTACTATCGAGAGAATTTCATCAAGTAATGTTATATATGATAAGAAAGAGAACATTATAAAACAATGATTAATCTGAAAAGTAAGATAATGCCATAAAACAATGATTAACATGAAAAGAATGAGAATTTCATAAAAATAATGATTAATATGAAAAGGAAGAGAATCCAATAAAACAATAATAAATATTAAGAGAAAGAGATAGGGATAAAACAATGATATATATGAAAAGAAAAAGAATTTTATGATCCAATGATAAATATGAAGAGAATGAAAATTCCATAGATAAATAATAAATATTAATACTAAGAGAATAAGTTTCATATTAACATCAGCACCATGCTCAACTAAGAAGTGGACAATTTTGATTGAATTCTGATTGATGGCAATACTTAGAGGGCTTACATTAATATCAAGAGAACCCAATAAAACAATGTTAAATGTGAAGATAAAAAGAATCCAATAAGACAATAATCAATATTCAAAGTTAAAGAATTCTATAGAACAATGATAAATATTAACAGAAATAGAATTGTATAAAACAATGTTAAATATTAAAAGAAAGATAATGCGATAAAACAATGATAAATATGAAGAGAAAATGAATTTCATGTAACGATAAATATGAAGAGAATGAGAATGTGATAAAACAATGAAAAATATGAAGAGAATGAGAATCCAATAAAATAATGATAAATATGAAAAGAAAAAGAAATTCATAAAATAATGATGAAAATGAAGAGATTGGGACAAAGTTGCAATTCGGCACATTTTGTAAAAAAAGGGGTCATACTCATAATGAATAGAGACTTATAGCCAAGTCTTGATATCATGCAGGGAGAATATACATAGATAAGCAATTATATTTTATAGTAGTAGTATTCAGAAATTCTTACAATTTACAATACAATTTTCAAAAATGGATAAAGACTAATAGCCAAGTCTTGATATCATGCAGGGAGAATATACATTGATAAGCAATTATATTTTATAGTAGTAGTATTCAGAAATTCTTACAATTTACAATACAATTTTCAAAAATGGATAAAGACTAATAGCCAAGTCTTGATATCATGCAGGGAGAATATACATTGATAAGCAATTATATTTTATAGTAGTAGTATTCAGAAATTCTTACAATTTACAATACAATTTTCAAAAAATGGATAAAGACTAATAGCCAAGTCTTGATATCATGCAGGGAGACTCTTACAAATATACAAAAATTGATTATCATAAGAAATACAAATTTATCAATTTTCATGTGAAAATTACATAAATTTGTTCTCCAATAAATAGCAATAATACTTTGAATGTTATATTAAGTAATATAGTTTCAGGTAAATAAGCTTACACTTCAAAAATATACTGTTTATTCATTAATTTTAAAAAAAGTCCAAATTATCTAATCTTGCTTACTCTTCCTTTAAACTTCTTTGTGCCAAATTTAATATTGCCTTCAAAGATGGAATAAGGACATTAGGTTCAAAAATATTTTATTATACTCATTCGAAATTAAAAATAATAAAATTTATATATATTAATTTCATTAAATCAAGGTTAAAAATCTCACCGGAAAAATAACCTCAGTGTGATAAATTTATCACCGGAAAAATTTACAATAAGGTTAATACCGAAAATATCGAAAAATCAACATTTAAGGTTAATTTAAGAGTATGCACTTTTGTCACCTACTCTGAAAATGAAAACTAAGAGAATAAGTTTAATGTTAATATCAGCACCATGCTCAACTAGGAATTGGGTAATTTCTAATGATCCCGCTTCAATGGCAATACTAAGTGGACATTCATTAATATCAAGAAAATTTCATTAAACAATGATAAACATGAAGAGAATGAGAATCCAATAAGACAATGATAAATATAAAAAGAAATCGAATTTCATAACATAAATATAAATATAAAGAGAATGAGAATTTGTTTAAGTAATGATTAATTTGAAAACAAGCAGGATTTTATAAAAAAATGATAAATGTTAAGTGATAGAGAATGCTATCAAGTAATGATTTACATGATGAGAAAGAGAATTGCATAAGATAATGATAAATATGAAAAGAAAGAGAATCCAATAAATCAACGATTAATATGAATAGAAAGAGAATATAATTAAAAAACGATAAATATGAAGAGAAAGAGAATCCAATAAAACAAAGATTAATATGAAGCGAAATAGAATTCTATAAAACAATGTGGAATATGGAAAGAAATCAAATTTCATAAAACAATGAAAAATATGAAGAGAATGAGAATCCAATAAAATAATGATAAATATGAAAAGAAAAAGAAATTCATAAAATAATGATGAAAATGAAAACTAAGAGAATAAGTTTAATGTTAATATCAGCACCATGCTCAACTAGGAATTGGGTAATTTCTAATGATCCCGCTTCAATGGCAATACTAAGTGGACATTCATTAATATCAAGAAAATTTCATTAAACAATGATAAACATGAAGAGAATGAGAATCCAATAAGACAATGATAAATATAAAAAGAAATCGAATTTCATAAAACAAATATAAACATAAAAAGAAAGGTAATGTAATAAAAGAATGATAAATATGAAAAGAAAGAGAATTTTATAAAACAACGATAAATATGAATAGAAAGAAAATATCATCAAACAACGATAAATGTGAAAAGAAAGAAAATATCATCAAACAACGATAAATATGAAAAGAAAGAAAATATCATCAAACAACGATAAATATGAAAAGAAAGAAAATATCATCAAACAACGATAAATATGAAAAGAAAGAAAATATCATCAAACAACGATAAATATGAAAAGAAAGAAAATATCATCAAACAACGATAAATATGAAAAGAAAGAGAATGCCATAAAACAACAATAAATATGAAGAGAAAGATAATGTTATAAAACAACGATAAATATGAATAGAAAGAGTATTTCATAAAACAACGATAAATGTGAAAAGAAAGAAAATATCATCAAACAACGATAAATATGAAAAGAAAGAAAATATCATCAAACAACGATAAATATGAAAAGAAAGAAAATATCATCAAACAACGATAAATATGAAAAGAAAGAGAATGCCATAAAACAACAATAAATATGAAGAGAAAGATAATGTTATAAAACAATGATTAATATGCAGAAAAAGAGAATTCTATCAAATAATGATAAATATGAAGAAAAAGAAAATTCTATAAAACAATGATAAATATGAAGAGAAAGAAAATATCATCAAACAACGATAAATATAAAAAGAAAGATAATAAGTTCTATGTTAACATCAGCACCAATCTCAACTAAGAATTTAACAAATTCTATTGAATTCACTTTAATTACAATACTAAGCGGGCATTCATTACTATGGAGAGAATTTCATCAAATAATATTAAACATGATAGGAAAGAGAATTATATAAAACAATGATTAATATGAAGAGAATGAGAATTTCATAAAATAATGATAAATATGAAGAGAAATATAATGTCATAAAAAATGTTAAATATGGAGAAAAAGAGATTATACATTTTGTTGATATCTTCTCCATTAGAAAGTAAATAAGATGCAATATCATAATTTCCGTAATGCATACTCTCTGCAATTGAATCAGGAGTTTGTCCGAAATTTGATTTAAGGTACTCAGCAATTTCATAGTTTCGATAATCCAATGCTGTATTAATCATGTTATCAAATGATTTACCATCTTCTATCATATGCATAAAAATCTCTTTATTTCCACCTTGAACAGCATACTTTTCGGAGTATTTAGTGTATTGAGCTCCTAAATTTTTCAAGTAATTGAAACATAATTCTGATCCATATTTAATTGCACAATCAAGTAGTTTGATATCATTAATCTTCTGATTAATATCAAGATTTGGGAATTTACTCTTAAGATCATCAACTTTGTCCCATGCAATATAGTATAAAGGAGATTTAGTTGAATATAAATTCAGAATTTCTTCTTCTTCCATATCAGGTTTGAAGTTTTTAAATTTGAGGCCTTTATAATATAATAATGCTGCCAGTTTCAAATTTTTCGGCTGGATGATGCATGAGAATTCGTTTGATATCTTTTGATAAATTTCTGAAAGTAATTTAATTTCTTTAACACAAATTTGTGAAATAATATCAATCAAATATAGCGCCATTTGGATAGATATTTTGTTATTTGCAATTAATCCGATAATTTGTGAAGATGTTTGTAAAATATTATTGGAATCGACGCCCCATATAATTTTTGATGCTTGATCTGGGTATTCGAATACTTTAATTGGTTTGATGTCATTAAAATCACATCCAGTTTCTTTTCGTGACTCCTCAGAACTTGACATACTTTGTGAAAATTTTTAATGTGTCACTTTTAATGCTAAAAATTGAATGGGTCAAAATTTTGAAAATTACATATTTTACTGATTATTAGTGGCATCAATTCAAAAAAAAACTTATTTTGATTCATTCAAAACATCGTGATTCTAACCATTAAGAGTGGACGCATGTGAATTGACTATTCATGTTCCATAATTAGCATTATTCCAATCCCTGATCATGTCTATATTTTAATAATAATTCCGTGTAATGATAGAAATATATTCAATTTTTGTTATATTACGGAAATATTTTTAAATTTTAATATGCGAGTCCCATTGGGACTTTTTAAAAGACAGAGCCACTATAACATATTTGTAATCAAGGATTTTTAATTAAGAATGATAATAAAGCATGTGTCGCCAAATAACGGCGTTGTGAATTTCAATTCAACCCTAAATAAATACGATTTTTTTTACCCATGTGAAAACTATTCTGTTTGCTCTCCATATAATATAACACTTGGACCCGGATATTACTATCTTGAAGCTTATGGAGCTTCAGGAGGAAATCATCATCGAGAAGGGCGAACTGCTCGAGGTGGGTATGGCGGTTATGCCGCAGGGGTTTATCGAGTATCGAATTTAAAGACGATATACTTACATATTGGTGGGCATGCTGATTTAGATACGGATCAGGATATAATTTATCGAAATATTTACAATGGTGGCTCATATGGAGTAAATAATTTTGATGCTCCAGGGGGCGGTGCCACTGATTTTAGAGAAAAATCAGGAAATTGGAGTGATAATAATTCATTATATTCAAGAATAGTAATGGCAGGTGCAGGGGGTGGTGGTAGAGTGGAAGATAATATTTGCAACGGTGGCAATGGGGGCGGCATAAATGGCCAACCTGGTCAAGGTATAAATTGCTCATCTCAATTTGGAACCCAGGATGGAAGCTCTGCTACCACATGCATTTCTAGTGTTTACTATCGTGCTGGAACGTTTGGCTGTGGTGGCTTGCCCGGATGGACTGGTGCTGGCGGCGGCTGGTACGGCGGTGGCGTTGTTCAGTTAGGCGGTGGTGGTAGTGGCCATACGCAAAATGTAATAAGTTATGGTGGTTTTGAAATTAAAAATGATTTTTCTGATAATTTCGGATATGGTCGAGCCTCAATAACAGTAATCGAGCTGTTTGATATATCACAAAATATAGGGCTATGCTTCAATATTCAGATCCTTCATGTTTTAATGACTTTTTCATATCTTGATCTTTTTTTCTTGCTTTTAAACTGTTACTGTTACGATTATTATATTTCTACTTCTAACTCATGCTTTCTATGTATCAAATTAAGAAAGGAGTAAATAACGTACATCAAATGTTATCTTACTATTGATCTTGATTATTTTCTATGATCCTTGAATTTAGTACATAAAATTCATGAAATTTACTCTATATATAAGAAATGCCACAATTTTGAATTTTTCATTTTTACTTTATCAAAATAAAGTCAATTTGGATAGGCAAAATGGATTGACATTCGAAATGCATTTTAAATATTATAGTTTTATTAAAATAAGAACTAAAATCTTTCCAAAAAACGGTTTTTTTGCACGTTTCTCAAAATTCGATGTCGGATATTTCTCCGACACTCGACGAGATCCTTGCTAAAAACAAGGATGCATTAACACTCTCTGTTCAGATGGATACATCAAAAATGGAGAATTTGTTGATGGATATGTACAAAGAAATTTTTAATTTACGTAATGAAGTGAATTTTCTACGTACTGAAATCGGAAGAAAGGCCAATAAGTCAGATTTAGACTCATACAAATACGAAACTGATAAAAAATTAGTACAATTAGGTGAACTTTCCAATCAAAATACAAAACATATCGATGAAATTGCAGGAAGTGTTAATATGAGTTTATCACAGCCAAAAGTTACAGCCGAAGATATTCTCAAGCAACTCAAAGAAACAGCACATCCACCACCACCTCCTCAAGTTACGTATATCAATCAAGTTGTTGCTCAACCACAACAAACACAACAACCAGCCCAACAAAGATACATTCCTACAAGCACATTTGAATCTGTTCGTGTAGAACCAACACCACTAGTAAATCCACCAGTAAATGAAGTTCCACAGCCACAACAAGCACCAGTACAGCAACAACCACAACAAACAGCACCACAAGAAAGCACACAAATTGTTGAACAACGCGAATTTACACCAAATAATCAGAATGAAGAACCAATGAGACCAAACCAAGCACCGAGATTACCATATCAATTACCAGACCGCCCAAGTCTCCGTGTTTCAACTCCAGAAGATTATCAAAGAATGACTCCAGAAGAGGCCAGCGACTTCCTTGTTAAGGCTTCTGAGACGTTGACACCAGCAGAAACAGGAAGATTAGCGGTAGAACTCAGCGAGCATGTCAAAGATCCGAACGTCGAAAATATCTTTGTAAATTTGGCGCAAAGGCTTACTCCACGTACCAACAAGCGTATTGTTGAAGAAGTCTGCACATACGTCGATACACAGCTCTCGTCTCGAATTTTGTCCGCATTATCTGGTCAAATGGGAGAACAACAGTTAACAGAGCTCATTACTGACATTTCGAAGCGAATTGCTGAAGAAGAGACATCAAGGATTGTTAAGAACCTCAGCGACAAGTTCGATCAAGAGGACACAGTTTCGATGGTGATCAGATTATGTTCGAAGATGAATCCACAGCAAATGTCAGCAGTCGTAGCGATGCTCGCACTGAACATGACTCCAGAAGAGTCAGCGCGAATCGCAGAAACAATCGCTACGAAGGTACAACCAGAAAAACAAGTAGAATTCGCTGTAGAACTCAAAAACAGAGAAAACGAAAAACAAAAAGATTTAAGTGAAGGAAAAGTGACAGAAAGACAGATCGAATCCGTTGTCAGCGCCAGACAAGCAGCAGAAAGAATCTCCAGACAGTCAACGCCAAACAGTGGAACAAGAGCTTCAACGGCATCATCAGCTGCAAGGCCACAAACTTCGGAATCAACATCAAATCAACAAGAAAACGTGACAGAACCGAAAGTCACTTTTGGATCATTAAACTTCGAGCAAACACCAAACAAAGATCTTGCACAGCGTATTGACTATCTCGAGCATGTTGTACAAGACTTGAACGGCATTGTTTTGGACATGCACACAGAATTGAACAGAAAACCAAGCAATGAAAGAAAAGAACATCTCGTTGAGTTGTTTGATGACTTGGCACGTGTTTCCGCAAAGAACTCACGCCAAGAAAGCCGTCTAACACAGCCAGCACCATCAGAAGAACAACCACCACAAGAAGAAAACCAGCCAGATGAAATCAAAGAAATTCTTAAACCAGAAACTCCAAAACCACTTCCAAGGCCAGAAATAACTATTCCTTCAGGATCAAACATAAACACAGATGAATTACTTGAGCAGTTCTTGGATGTTGCACACAATGAAATAGAAAACGCAAAGCACTCAATGACAGAAGAAACAAATAAGAACTTGAAATCGACTGAATCGATTTTGAGACAATTAATTACTAAAGTTTCTACAGCACAAGAAGTTACTTCGAAGAAACTGAATACACAGTTATCCGAGACAGCAACATCACTTTCAAACGAGCTCCAGAAAGGAAGTGCTGAATCAAAGGCTTTGTATGATAAACTCAATGTCGTAATCGCTCAATTTAATGAGAGATTGGAAGGAATTGATAAGCGTTTGACTGATGTTTCCGCTGCAGCGAAGATGCCTCCTCCTATACAGAAACTGAAGGTTTCTCAAGATGGTTTGGTTGACATGCAGCCTGTCATTGACCAGATCAATGCACAGAATGCTTTGCTTGCAGATTTGAACTCGAGATTAGTTCAAATGGAGAAGAAAGAAGTTGTTCATCCACAGGCATTCGACCAATTAACAGAGAAAGTTCAACAGGAAGAAGAGAAGATAGAAGCAGTCACACAAGTAGCTGATAGTGCAGAGAAGATGGCTTCTAACACTAATACTCAATTGACTGATTACATCACGTATCAATCGAGTGAAGAAGGACAAAGACCATTCGCTGAAATCAATGAAAGATTCACATCTCTTGAAGCAGAAATCAAGAGATTGCAAGATTTGAACACGAAGATGAACAAAGACTTGACAGGATCAAGAGCTGCTATTAATACATTGAGAAGCCATTCAGAAGAAACAACAGCAGCAATGGAAGAAATCAAAAAATTGGCTGATAACATCAGAGAAGAAAATTCAAATGTTGAGAAACATATGAAGAAAGTTGTTGAATATACACAGAATGAGATTGGAGCAATCAATGAAAAGATCAAGGATATCACAAGATCTATTGAAAGAACAGATGACAGAGTTGATGATTTAACAACTAAAATCGCAGACATCAATCAAAACATGCAAGAATTAAGTCATCAAACTCCAATCACTGCTCAACCTTCTGATTTCTTGATAACTCAACAGAAGGCTGTAACAACAGTTGATGAACCAACAAGTCCAATAACTAAAGAAAGGAATCCAATACAATCAACAAAGAGTTTCGCAAGTTTGGATTCAAAGAGTTCTGCGGAAAATTCTTCAGTTTTCCCAACGAAATCAGAAAAAGCTTTGGAAAGCACTTTGACGGCCCAGAACTTAGCCGAATTGCAGAGCTACAACGAACAGATGCAGCAGACACAGTTACAATTGCAACAACAAGCAGCTTTGCTACAAAAGACACAACAACAATTGCAAGCTGTTCAAAGAGAAAAAATTGGAGGAGTTGTTGCAAAAGAAACTGTCATTTCATCAGTTGACCAGAAGAAATTCAACGAAATACAGAAAGCTCTTAACCAATTGCAGTCGAATATCAACATAATGAGAAAGGACTGCGATAAAATAGAGAAGAAATGCCAGACATTGCAAGAAGAAAAAGCTGATAAAGCTGAGTTCAAGAACATGTTTGAACAATTTAGAATTGCAATGGCTGAGCTCAATAACAGAGTCAAATCTACAAAGAAAGCTGTCTCTGGAAAAGTTGGACGCGAAGAATTCGACGAACAACTTAAATCGGCTTTGGCTAAAACAGAACAAGACATACAAACAAACATCATGCAAAGTACAGAGATAGGAAAAACATCTGCGGATGTAAGATGTCTGATGTGCGGCCAAATAAAGAAAGTTGAACCAGGACAAACAGCTGAACAACTCCAGAAACTGAATGTGAAACCATCTGGAGACAGATGCCTAGTGTATGGTGATGATGGAGAACAATATTTCGGAAGGAATTCTAATGGAAAAGCAATGGTGACAAAACACCAAGTTTTGGCTCCAATTGCAAAACCAAAATAATCTGATTTTATTGTATTTTTAATTGTTTAACTTTTATCTATTATTTATAAATTGTCTTTATCTTTATTTGACGATGTTTTTGTTGAAAATTTCGATAATTATGTTCCTGAACCTCTTTAGAATGAGCCTAAACTAATAAAATAACTGCATATATACAAGAGTTTCATGAAATATACAATTATAAACTTTTCTTGTAGTATTTTTCAAATCAGATTTCATATTATTCATGAATTTTTTAGAGTTCATAGCAAAATTCATATCCAGTTGGAAAGTCATATTGTTTGATTAAGGGTTTCGTTTTGCGAAAAAAACGTACAATACGCAATTTCGCTAAAAAAACATTTAGCTAGCAATTTCGACCTTTGACTCCACTCAAGACGTCACTTTTTTAATTTTGCGGTATCATATTTTTGGAAAATCTTTATGAATATTATATAAAAAGTCTCTTTAATATCTATATTTCATATTTTTATCGATTTTTAAAGTTTTCGCTCAATATGCAGCATTTTTTTTCGAAATCTATAGTCAATGTCCTAAATACTGATTGCTTTGCATTCATATCTCTTACATTTTCTATACCCACATCACTATTCATCGCTATTCCTATCTTTTTCATTTTTGTTTGTTTCTCATAATTTCTCAAAAAACACGATAACTTGATATTTGTAAATATCATACTTTATAACGTAAATAAGAACTTGACCTATTAAGAAAAGCAGTAATGAAAAGAAAATCTGAAATTCATAAAAATTACAAGTTTCTGATGACAATTAGCTTAATTAAACCAGGTACAAGATTATATAATTGTATTTTCTATCCAATTATCCATATAATATCTTATCCAGAAAAAATAACTTGATCAATACCAAATGATTTTTTAACTAGTAAATAAAGTATTTTCTTTACACACACATTGTATATCATAGTTTTTTTTTTGGTTTCGCAAAACATCCAAAAACAAATATGCTATAAAAGTGACAATTTTAGCAAAACGAAACCCTTAGTTTGATTAATAAATTAATGAACAATGAAGATCTGTAATTCAAATTTTCGCTCGTTTATTTATATCTAAGGGTTTCGTTTTGCGAAAAAAACGTACAATACGCAATTTCGCTAAAAAAACATTTAGCTAGCAATTTCGACCTTTGACTCCACTCAAGACGTCACTTTTTTAATTTTGCGGTATCATATTTTTGGAAAATCTTTATGAATATTATATAAAAAGTCTCTTTAATATCTATATTTCATATTTTTATCGATTTTTAAAGTTTTTGCGAAAAGTATTCAATTATTTTTGCTATTTGGTCGGATAAATGTCAGATTTGCGACATTTTCTGATATGATATTCAGATTCTACGTTGATAATAATGCTTATAGAACCCTCTTGCTATTGTGTCAAAATTGCGAAACCGATAGCAAAAATATCTCGCAATATCAAAATTGAGATATTGAGTGAATTATGCATTATAGAGATTAAAAATCTGATTTGTGAAAACATCTCATCAGTTTCTAGCTAATTCAAAAATCTTTACTATCTTATTCGATTAAAATGAAAAGGGAATAGTTTCATTATGCTTTAAATGACAGCCTTATAATATAATCATAGTTTTCGCTCAATATGCAGCATTTTTTTTTCGAAATCTATAGTCAATGTCCTAAATACTGATTGCTTTGCATTCATATCTCTTACATTTTCTATACCCACATCACTATTCATCGCTATTCCTATCTTTTTCATTTTTGTTTGTTTCTCATAATTTCTCAAAAAACACGATAACTTGATATTTGTAAATATCATACTTTATAACGTAAATAAGAACTTGACCTATTAAGAAAAGCAGTAATGAAAAGAAAATCTGAAATTCATAAAAATTACAAGTTTCTGATGACAATTAGCTTAATTAAACCAGGTACAAGATTATATAATTGTATTTTCTATCCAATTATCCATATAATATCTTATCCAGAAAAAATAACTTGATCAATACCAAATGATTTTTTAACTAGTAAATAAAGTATTTTCTTTACACACACATTGTATATCATAGTTTTTTTTTTTGGTTTCGCAAAACATCCAAAAACAAATATGCTATAAAAGTGACAATTTTAGCAAAACGAAACCCTTATTATATCAAAATACTTCAAAACAACAGTTGAAATACCATTTCAAGTTCATACATTTATTTAACTTTTTACAACTCTAATTCAATTTCTGAAAAGTGAATAATGATTATATTTACCAATTACATTATAAACATTAATATGAGTGATATTAGGAAATTCAAATTGATTGCCAGAATTATCTCCTTTCAAAATTAAGATAAACCGTTTTAATTTTTGATAAAAGATCGTTTCATTGTCAAAATTACCTTCACAAATTAATTTTACTAAAACCTTCCAGTGCAATGATTAAAACATATATTTGCACTTAATATTATTTTCCTTAATTTTTGAATAGATAACTTTTCCAAACATATGCAGTAATCAGCACTTGTAGATTCATATTTTCCAATTTTTAGCATCGATTCTTATTGTTTGATATCACCTCACCGAGATTAGAAATCTGACAAAATTTTGTAAACATCTCAATTCTTTCAAATATGTTTTCGGCGTCTGAATACCTTGAACGTCGCGCAAAGCTTCTCGATCTTATTCCTGATAAATATGCAACTGTCATCGTGTACGGAAGAGAAATTATGAAGCGAATCCCGACGATCCCTTATAAATTCAGCCAAAGTTCAGATCTCCTCTACTTAACTGGCTATGACAGACCAAGTGGCATTCTCGCTTTGACAAAGAGAGCAGGCCAATATGATTCCTATCTCTTTTTGCCTCCGAAAGATAAAGAAGCCGAGAGATGGGAAGGCTTTAGAACAGCATTCGATGTTGCAAAGTCGATGTCTGGAGTTCAGCATGTTCTTTCTGCCGACCAATTCCAGGATTGGGTTTCCAAGAACCTAATTAAATATAAAACTTGCTATACAAGCTCTCCAGATGGCCGTCAGGTAACGAAAGACGACAGACTCCTCAGAAGCTACATCGATAACCTAAGAATCATTAAAGACGAGAAAGAGAAGAAATGCATGATGAAAGCATGTGAGATAACCCATAATGCAATCATCAATACTCTCCCAATCATCAAACCAGGAATCAGAGAAGGCCTCATTGATAGCACATGGAGGAACGAATGCATGAAAGAAGGCGCTACAGGTTTCGCATTCGAACCAATTACAGCAGTTGGAAAGAATGCTCTTGGTGTTCATTACCAGGGTAAGGACACCGTTGTTTCTGATGGAACATTCGTTGTTCTTGACGGTGGCGCAGAATTTCATCATTATTGTGCTGATTTCGCGCGAACAAAACGTGTCGGAAAGGTTCCAAAAGAACATACTGATCTCTTACTGATGATAAACGACATCAAAGACGATATTGTCCAGAAGGCCAAAGCAGGAGATTTCCTAAATCTCGACCACATCCATGTCGAGAACCATAAGATGATCGCAAGAGTTCTCAGGAAGTTCGGAATTAAGACAGGACTTTCCGAAATGAGAGAACTTTGTCCAGATCCAACTTGCCATTGGATTGGCCTTGACGTATTTGATACACCAACAGTTCCAACAGATAAATCTCTCGAGGCAGGAAACGCTTTTACAATCAGCCAGGCAATTTACTTTGATCCTGCAAATAGAAACGTTCCTGATGTATTCAAGGGTATTGGTGTTAGATTTGAGAACACAGTTATGTATGAATAAGAGCCATAAACGTGTTCTTAGAAAATGATTTTATTTATTATTCATTTTTTTAATTATACTTTGAAAACCATTATAAATTCTTTAGTATTTTATAAATGAATGATATTTTAAAAGATTTAACATTTAAATAATGAAAGTATTTTTAAAATGTCTTCATTTTGTGAATTATTTCTAATCACCTTCTAAATTGTTATATCAGAATTAATAAATGTGCTTGAGCTCGTTCAAAAGTATTATTTTTTTATGATGACCATCCAGATTGATGTGCTACAGATCAAGATCCAAAGGTAAAACTCGAACGGGAATACCAGGTTTGTTAGTTCCTGCTTTAGATGATAAAATATTCATTATATAACCCATATAAAGCTGGTATCAGAACCAAAACACAGCTTCCTGTTTCTGTTGAAGACGATAAATATACTTTTGATTATCCTTGCGACGATCCGTCCTCATGTACCGACTATTCCATTGAACTTCCTCCAGGTTTTTACAAGTTCGAATTATATGGCGCCTCCGGTGACAGTTTCACTGGCGAAGTGTCCACACACCATTATGAGTCAGGCGAATGCATTCCCGACAGTTTGGTCAAACTCTTCCACGGAAAAACCAAATGTCTCAAATCATATAATTCCGGCGGTGCCGGAGGTTATGTTCGTGGATTGATTCGTATCAAGCGACTAACACATATATATGCCACAATTGGTGGAATGGGACAATATCTAAATAATACGATTTGCTCACCCATTGAAAACTGCTATCTCAGGGAAAATATGGTTCCTGGAGGATACGGAGGTGGTGGAAGTTCGGCAGGATATTTACGAGGAACGGCAAGTGGCGGTGGCCAAACATCTGTCCAATTTTTAGAAAATTCCTTCTACCATCGTGTGATTGTCAGCGGTGCTGGTGGCGGGTCTGATGACTATAATGGCAATGATGGCCGAGGTGGTTCCGGCGGCAATCTTGTTGCACAAGGTTGGTGGGCCGACCAAGTCTACAACGGCAATTATTTGGCAAATTCTTCGTTTGGATTTACCTTTGGTACCGGTGAAGCAGCTCAATTCGATAAATCAAAGAATCCAGACGGTGTCAAATCTCCAGCAGGAAATTTTGATAGATGCGGTGCTGGAGGTGGCTGGTTTGGTGGATTTTCAAGTCTCCATAACAATGGAGGCTGTGGAGGTGGAAGTTCGTGGGTTTTGACTAAGGATGCATACATACCCACTGGTCTAAATTGTTTTAGAATCAGTCAATGCTTACTAACTTTTAACAACAGTCTTTTAAGGGAATGTATGAATAGTAGATATTGAAATATTAAGGGAAATTTATTTTAATGTATGTACAACTGTAATATTAAAGTACTCAATGGATAAACATTAATCATTGAAACAAATTTAGGTTAGTTAAAAGGGTGAGGGCTGATACACTTCTCATGACAGTCTTGAGAACTTTTTATCCCAAAAGCGCCATGCGCATCTTTTTTCCAGGCCAAAAACCAGCATCAATCCGTAAGATTTTTGAAAATTAATTAATTACGGATCCCAAAATCTACTTTGTTAAATGAAATTAAAAGTATACAGCATAGGAATGATATAAACAGTAATATCATTGTTTATCAGATTCAAAGTTTTTGACTTTTGTAAAGTAACGATCAATTTAAATTTTTTTAATGAGTAAAGGAATTCAACTTAATTTTGAATACATTGGGTCTCACATCGAAGATTACCTTGATGACAATAAGCTGTTTACAACATTCGAAGTCGAGGACATCAATCAGATCATGAGGTTCGCAACTTTGCCAACAAATGACTACATTAATATGCTGAAACAAGCTCATTCTACAGTCAATGCAAACAGACTATATTTTTCCACTCGAAATGCAAATGTTACGACGCAAAACCTTGGAGATGTCATTGAACTTCTTAAATCAGTTGGAGAATTCATGAAAATGAGAATACTTGATGGAGCTATTGACCTTTTAATACAATTAGAAAAAAGATTGCATACTTCAGCTAAGCAAATCCAAAATTCTAATCTGAAATCAATTAAAGAAAACAATGAAATAGAAATTCTATCAAAAATTCACGAACTTAGGCAATCTGATGATATTAAATGCATCTACAATCTCTTTGAAGAGCTATCATCTCAAGGAAATCAAAAAATGATTTCAAAAGCTCGCATAAGAGGACTTTCGGAAAGGGTACCTTTTAAAAAAACAGTGCTTGGAAATGAAAGAAATATACTTCATATAGCATGCAAAAAAGGAAATCTCAACCTTGTTAAATCACTCATAGAAAATGGTTGTCATGTAGATACAGAGGATGATCATAAATGTTGTCCACTAATCTATGCGTCAATAGGAGGCCATCTTGAAGTTGTTCAATATCTTATCTCTAAAGAAGCTGATATAGAAGCAAAGAATAAAGATGGAAATACTCCACTCATTTGTGCATCATATTTTGGTCATCTTGAAGTTGTTCAATATCTTATCTCAGTTGGAGCTGATAAAGATGCAAAGAATAATGATGAAGAAACTTCACTCATTAAAGCATCAATAGGAGGCCATCTTGAAGTTGTTAAATATCTCCTTTCTATTGGTGCTGATATAGAAACAAAGGCTAAAAATGAAGAAACTCCACTCATTTGTGCATCAGAAGGAGGTCATCTTCAAGTTGTTAAATATCTTATTTCTGTTGGAGTTGATAAAGAAGCAAAAGATATATATGGATGCACTTCACTCATTAATGCATCATTTTCTAACCATCTTGAAGTTGTTAAATATCTTATTTCTGTTGGAGCTGATAAAGAAGCAAAGACTAATGATGAAAAAACTCCACTCATTTGTGCATCACAAGAAGGTCATCTCGAAGTTGTTAAATATCTTATCTCTATTGGAGCTGATAAAGAAGCAAAGGATTATGATGGATTGACTCCATTCGCACTTGCATCAGAATTAGTTCTCCTCGAAGTTGTTAAATATCTTATCTCTATTGGAGCTGATAAAGAAGCAAAGGATTATGATGGATTGACTCCATTCGCACTTGCATCAGAATTAGTTCTCCTCGAAGTTGTTAAATATCTTATCTCTGTTGGAGCTGATAAAGAAGCAAAGGATAATTATGGATCTACTCCACTCATGCGTGCGTCAAATAATGGTCAACTTGAAGTCGTTAAATATCTTATCTCTGTTGGAGCTGATAAAGAAGCAAAGAATAATGATGGATTTACTCCACTCATTCAGGCATCATGTAGAGGTAAACTTGAAGTTGTTCAATATCTTATCTCTGTTGGAGCTAATAAACATGCAAAGGATAAAAATGGATTAACTGCACTCTTTTATGCATCACATTATGGTAATCATGAAGTTGCGAAATATCTTACTTCTATTGGAGTTGATGAATAAGAATTGAATGTTTATTAACATTGAACTTTTACTATTTTATTTATTCCCAACTGAAAAATAAGATTAAATGTGAATATTTTTTTTTCAAAAAGACTTCAATGATGCCTCTAATTATTATTTCTGCCGACTTTAAAACTCCATTTATATATGCAAAATAAACACTTATTGGGCCCACAAATAGGGAGTGTTCAAATTATCTGAAAGATTCAAATTGGGTTTTGAGGGAATTTGTAAATGCTATAGTACTCATTTGTGAGAATTGGAGGTTTTTTTACATTAAAATATTTATCAGCTGAAAGGGGTTTAATTGTTTTCGTGTGCATTTGAAAATTTATCATTAGATCGGCATTAGCATTGCAGCAGATGGCGTCACATGGCGCCATGACGCAAACCTCTCAATTTTGAAATGTTTACGTAATTACACCACAGTTATTTAGTAAAAATTCAATGGGTAGGCGTCACGAATAGTGTGTCAGAAGTTATCGTGAATTAATCGTCGAGTAAGTAAAAATTTCAAAGTAACTAGAAATCATAACTATCTGTTGCTTTATCGACTGAATATTGGATTGCTGTTTCATGAATAACTTAGAATAAATTTTATGAATTTGTTAATTTTCATACTTCCTGTGACAGGAAGTATGAATTTTTCTATGAATCTCCTAAGCGAAAAATCATATTATTGTAAGTATCAACTCTTCAGAATGAAAACAATTGATTTCAGATATTTGGAGCTTTTTGTAAAAGGCCGAATATTCGTGTGCAGTTTTTAACTCAGATAGTGCACATTTACTCAAAGATATGATGAATGGGAGAAAATTTGGTTTACAAAGTTTACAAAAAAGTTTTGAAAAATAGCTGATCAAGTAAATGACAACGAAAAAATAGGGGAAATATTAATATTTCTAGTCATGATGCAAAATAGATCAATAGCACACATACCAAGGAGTCTTTATAATATGGTTTTATCTTTCATGGCTTAGACTTTTTCATAGAAAATGATAAAACCTTTCGTTCATCTGACTTTCTGTCATTCTAAAAAGTGACATCCATTTTATCCTCTATCGTCATGTGAAAAAAGAATTTTTTCAAAAATGATTCAAGAGGAGGATACTTCAAAATTCCTTGAGGAAGCAACTCCTTGGGAGAAGCTTTCTCCAAGTGCACAAGCATATTTTGGCACTCCAGCTCAATTTCAGCAAAGAATTCTTCATTATTTCTTTGATCATCAAAAGCCATACGAGCAAGCTTTAACATTCATCCCATTAAACCAATACTATCAGCAGCTTATCGAATTCGGAATTAACAATTATTTAGTTTTTCCGTATCATCTCTTCCCACAATACCAGAGAAACCCCGCAGTCACTCCATTCTACTATTACAGTGAAATGCTTCTCCGCGTTATGCAGAGCGACAAGTCTTACCATTCAATTCCAAACTTTTCTGCCGCTGATGCTCTCCGCGTTACAGGTGTTGGCCGTAACCAGTTCATTGATGGTATGAATAAATCCAGAGCTGGTGGCTGGTCTTCCATGCTCAAATCCAAGGAGAAAGTATTAAGATCTATTCTTCCACAACAACCACAGCAAATTCCATTATCAAATTGGTGGATTCTTACAGCAGTTCCAGCACAAGAAAATAAACTTGCTAAGCTCCCATCATCCGCTCGCCTTGCTTACGAAAGAATTGCTGCATCTCAAGATGGAGTCGAAATTGGCCAGTTTGAAGAAGCTGAGGTTCGCGCTCTTTACAACGAATGCCTTATCTACATTTCTATCCCACTTGCTCCACAAGATACCATCAAGTTACTTACACTTGAAAAATTCGTCATGAATCGTATGGCTGGCGATTATCTTGAAGGTCTCTGCTACAAGTCATTCATCTCTATCGATGACAGAACTACTGTTGAGCAGCTTTCTAAGATGCTCGCCGTTGATGTAAACGAAATTACAAAAGTTTTGTCATTCTTCATTCGCCTTGGCCTTGCCACTAAAGTCACTGTTGACGACCAAGTCGAAGCCACAACAGAAAACTCCACCAAACGCCTTGCTGCTATTTACGATTGCAATCTTCCTTCAGATCTTATGGTCGGAAATCTCGGATCAACAATCAAATCATACGCTGTTACTCTATTCGAGGTCGGCAAGATGACCGATACAAGCTTAACCGAATTCATTCAAGCATTACAAGAAGTTCAATCTCCAGCAGACGATTCGATGGTCAAATCATACGAACGATGCCAAGTCATCGCAAGAATAGGCAACTTCCTTCGCAGCCAGAAGTTTGCTGAAGGCGGAGTCGACTTTTTACGTCTCGAGGCTTTATTAGTCCTCGATGAAGAATCCCGCACAAAATTATTCGAGAGAAATTACAACTCAGCGGTCGCATTAGCTCCGCTTACACTTACTCAGTCTTCATTAGAGATAAATGGCGTCGTCCATTTCGGACCACCATCCCATCTCTTCCACTCTCCATGGGTTATCCTCTACCTCAACGCTATTTCCAAGCGCGGACCTCCTGTTTACGTATGGCCACAAGGTGAAATAGTCACTTCACTTCCTGAGCCATTCTTTGACTACGAAACTGTGAGACTCTACAAGTGGGGCAACGAAGCTGTTGACGTTCCAACGACAACACTTCTCATCTCATTGAATGACGCATTGCCAAGTTCCCCAGTTTTGATCCAATGCTACAAGAAGAAAGGAGATGAAGTGCTCGAAAAAGGATTTCCGAACGAAGAAATCAATGATCCAGAGATTATCGAGAGTTTCTCAGTTGACACCATGTTCGGTTTCATGACATTCGTTGTAAGGGATGGAGAAAACATTCCAATCGACATCGCTTACGGTATTCCAACAACAAAACTGAAACTCTGCGAGTCAGTCATCGAAACAATCGAGAAAAGAGACATGTTCGAAGAAGAAAACATCAAGAAGATGGAGGAATCAACGAAGAAGATAACAAACAAACTCGAGGAGTTCGTCAAAGAATGGAGCTGTGGAATAATGACACCTGTAAGACCTCTTTATTCAATTGGTGACAAAATTAAGTGGGTTTGAATTATTTGATTTTTTTTATTGCTTTCATTTAAAAAAATAGTATTCTTTGATTTCAATAATTTAAATTTTTAAAAATATCTATATACAAAGTTATAAGATATTCTTCTTGAGCCCGATCCGTTCCACCTGTCTCTACATTATCTTTCTTACTTCCAAAATAATTAAGGGTGTAGCTGAACCACATTCTGACATACTCTCAAAATTGACTCTCACAGGCATTACCATTATCAATTGAGCGAACTCTTAAGGGATCACCTAGTTTACATAAATGTACGTTATTTACACTTTGATTCTACTTATAGAGATCTTTTTTAGATATTGAAACAATAAAAATATAGAGTATGATCAATGTATGCTATAATTACGTTTATTAATAAAAATATCAATTCTATCATATGGAAAAAGTAACTTTAAGTGATACAAATTGAATAGTTGTAAACAAAGATCGTAAACCCAAAATTAAAATTAAGACTTCGAGGAACATGTTCTTAAAATAATGACGAGGCAGAAAAGATTAGATTGATAACAAATAATATTTTGCACAGATTTAGGAATGTAGAGTGGAATAGAGATTTTTTCAATAGAAATGTATTGAAGAACTTCAATTGTTGTTTGATCCGAAAGCTTGGTTTTTTTATCAAAGTGAACATAAACTGACTTTTCTCCAAAAAATTGTTTACATGAATCTGATAAAACTGTTCGATGCGTAATATACAAATGACTTTCTTTTGGTAATTCAACATCAATTTCGATATTTGTAATATTAAACTTCCCAGAAATGTAAATATCTAATTTTGGAGTACTGGAAAATACCCATATGTTCAATTCTATATTAATATTATTTTGGAATGTAATACTTTTTAATTTGAAGCATTCGGCGAATGCACTTTGTCCAATATATGATATCCTTCCTGGAATAGATATTTTTGTTAAACTAGAGCATTTCCAAAAAGTCTCCTTTTCAATTCGTGTAACTTTTTCAGGTATTAAAAAGTTTGTTAAAAAACTGCATTCATAAAATGCATCGTTATCAATCCCATTAATGTTGTTGTGAAACTGAATAGATGAAAGTTTTGAATACGAAAAACAATAAGGTGAAATGATTGTTACGTAATCAGGAACAATATATTCATTATCAGAATATGTTTGAAGAACTCTGACTAAAGTTGAATTATTTGGTCCTTTAAATAGAGATTTAGAATCAAATTTGAAATTTTGATTTTCTGGATCAACTATAGTTTCTAAATAATTACAAGAACGAAATATTCCTGGACCAAATGTATTTACAAATTTTGGAATAAAAAATGATGTAAGATTTGTGTTTTGAAAATCACTTCCTATTGATATTAAGTTAGAATTTTTTGAAATTTTAAAGGTTTTTAAAGATGTTATCCCTGAAAATGCACTATTACTAATAGTTTTCACGGAATCTGGTAAATCTATTGATTGAAAAGCAGTGAGAAAAAAGCAACCTTCTCCTATACTTAAAATGTTTGGAGGAAATTTAATTGATTTCAAAAATTTACAATCGAAAAATAGATAATCTGAAAGATGAGTTAGTTTAATACAGTTACTGAAATCTGCAGATTCTATTTTTGAATTATAAAAACCGTATTTTCCAATTTTGGTAATTTGACTGTTTTCTTTAAAAATAAGTGATGAAATTATATCTTTACAGTTCTTAAAGGCATACTCATAACAATAAGAACCATAATCATATATTTCTGTGACAGTTTCAGGAATCTCAACTACACCACTTAAATATGTTGAGCAATTTGTCCATAAAAGGCTCAAAACTCCTAATATGACAAAAGAGCAAGAAAAACAACTTTAAATATTATTTTTATTTGATAAATATTAATAATAATATTAGTTTTCAATAGAAAATGAGAAGGTTCATTCGATTTTGAATATAATAAGTAATTAAATGATTTGAATTTGATGTAATATCCGAAAATTATGAAATATTTTGAGGACAATTGAAGGTTTACATAAGCAATATCAGTTTGTAGCGAAAACGTCCGTATTTTTGATTTAATTTGTGATTTCTTCCAATTATAATTATTTTTTTTTTTATTAAAAGCATCCAACTGTAGGATATATATCTACATCCTATTTCACACTTCCAGATTAAAACATCTATTCTGGTGCAAGCCTGAAACTATTGAAAGGTGATAGATACCCATCAATAAAAAAAAAGGAAACATCAAAACACGAAATAAATGAAACATGCATATAAGTTTCTCGCTGATATCACATAATTTAGGGTTGCCGATTTGGAAGGTGATTTTAAGTTTCGGATTTTAAAAATCTTCTTGAGAAGATTTTGATGTAAACTAAAAGTGACACTATGAATTATTATATAGTATTAGGGAAGTAGAGTCTATTTCTACTAGTCATGGAGACTCTTTTGCACAAGAAAAATTTGAAATTGAATTGATTTTATTTCATAATTTAAAAATTTAGTCTAATAAATGCCCATTTATGAACCCCAATGTGCATATTCTTGGTAGCATTCCAGAGGTAATTTAAGCTATGCCTTTTTTACTGCAGAAATGCCATTTTATATCAGCTCTGTTTTGACATTTACTATTCCAAAAAAAAATCAATTCTGATAGCATATTTTCGGCAATTCGCCATTTGGCGAAACCGTTTTTAAATCCCTAGTATAATATATACATATGATAATTATCCGTTTAATTACATTGCTAAGAATCAAAGATATATCCTATATAGGATAAGTAAACTCTGTGATTAAGAAGTGCATTTGCATAGATGAATATTACTTGATTCCTATTATTTGACAAGAATTTTGATCCTAAATTTTGTTCAATATTTTCTTTATTCCTTGAACTTTATTTCCACTTCAAAGTCATCACGGAAAGGATCATCATTTTTATTCACTGGAAGTTGAGCCCATTGTGGCATTGGCTCTTGGGCACCCTTTGATTCATCATCTCCCTTCTTTGATTTCGTTTCTTTCTTAGAATCTTTATCCTTACGATCTTTTTCCTTATGCTCTTTATCGCTGCGATCGTGATGATGATGCTTGCTTTTCTCTTTTCCACTCATTTTTATTTTATGTAAAAAAAACTCTTCACTTTTAGATAGCTTCACTCTATCTCAATTTATTCATTAATCTTTTCTTCTGTATCTTTGATTTTTCTAATTTTTGGATTTCAAATTCGGATTTTTATAGAGTAACATTTTATGTGTTAAAGAGACAAAACGAGGGTATTTATATATTTTAATTCCAAGTGATCAAAACTTGGTTCAGATTTGGATTTCGAATAAATTCATCAATCCAACTATGTTTACGAGGAAATTTAGAGAGATTACTAATGGGGATAATATATATTTAGAAATGAAGCTTAGAAAAATTCATGATTTCTGATTTCGTATTTACTGCAAAAAAGTGAGATTGAAATGTTGTTTTCCTTTGCTTATTTTACTCTATCATCAGACCGTAACATCGTTTCAAGCAAATATAATCCATATGATAAATCAGGAACACCCAAGACTGCATCAACACAAGAGATTTTCGATGCATTTAAGAAATATAAAGAAGGTCTCAATCCAGGAACCAAGAGCAGTGATAATGAGAAGTACCAAGCATTTGAAGCTTTAACTGATACTCGTCGTCGTAGAGCTTTCGACTATTTCGGCTTAGAAGCATATGCAGAAGTTGATGCAAGCAGAGACTCGGCTAATATATCCGGTGTCGCAGCACTTTATGCTAAAAACGAGCCAATACGTACATATGCTTACTTAACAATTGAAGATTTTTACAAAGGCGTGAAATTAAATTATCAATTCTTCAGAAAAGAAATCTGCAAATGCAAGGATAAAACAGGCTGGCATTGCGATACTTGCCAAGGCCACCCAACAATTACAAGACCATTTAATGTCGAAATCGACGTTGTCGCTGGAACTCTTCCAGATCAAATATACGTATTCAAGGCTGCTTGCGATACTTCTCCAACTGCTACAGGTGGTGATCTTGAAATCCAGCTTAAGGAGCTTCCAGATCCAATTTACCGTCGTAGCCTTTATAACCTCATTTACAAGCTTAATCTCGGCAAAGAAGACGCTCGTGGTAACTGGGAGAAGCAAATTGTCCTCCCAATGCAGACACGTCTTATTGTCACTGGCAAGAAACTGAAACAAGTCACAATTCACGGCAAAGGATTCCCAATTCCAGGATCTACAGAAAGAGGCGATCTTATTATCATGCCAACTGTTAATCCAAGCCAAGAAGATTTATAAGCTTCTGTCTAAAAATGTACATATATATTATAAACACATTCTCGTTTAAGAACATATATTATATTTTGATCTTAGTTTTTTTTAAAAAATAAATATTTCATTTTTTGATTTTTTTTTCAAACAAGGACTCCTAAGCTTTATTTTCACAAAATTTTATTATACAACAATCCATTCATTGTATGGTAGCAAATCATAATTATGAAATAAAAAATTTTGATTTCAATTTCTTAAAACAACAGGTTAATGGGTAGTAAAGATAAATTAGTTGATATATTAAAACATATTATTATCACATTTTATTTTAGAACAAGACGTTTCAATTCTATTTGGATCTTCTCAGGAAGGTCATTAAGATTCAACTCTACTTTATCACCTCTATTGTTATATAAGAGTTCCCAAACAGCCTTCATGTCTGAAGCCGGCGTATTAGCCAATGTATACGCAATTCTCTTAAGTTCAGTTTGTGTAGGCTTTGTAACAACGACCTTTTGCTCGACAACTTTAGCTTGTCTTGGCTGTGGTTTGGCCTCCTTTGGCTTATCAATTTTAGGACGAGGTGGAATTTTGAATAAATTATCGAAAATTGCCTCAACTTTGGTCATATTTTCATCCATCTTCTTAAGCTTCTCTATAACATTAAATTCGGCTGGCATTGGAAGTTTAGCGAAGAATTCTTCTGCATCTTTCTTTAATGTCATAGAACATCTAGTAATTGCATGGCCTGGACCGTGATATGTCTCGGCATTTATCCATATAAGGGAAAGGCAGCGACGAAATTCAGAAATAGTATTTACTGAGCCATTTCGTAATTTTCTTTGTAAAGTGGTCAGATCCATAGGTTCTTTAACAACTTCATAGTAATGTTCCCATCCACTCTTTTTAGGGTCGATTGGATTTCTAAATGAAGCAAAATCTGGGCTCTTTATAAAAAAGGAGAGCAATTTATCACATGCATGCAATGAAATGAATTTCTCCGAACTTTCAACAGGCTCAGATGCAATTGAAGTAGAATAATCTTTGCCATAAATTGAACTTTCTGTTGCAACTTGAACGATTTTATTCTTCAGTTCAGGACTATATGTGAACTGGAACTTTGGGGGGTCAATAAATGACGAGAAGATAACTGAATACTTGATTGGAGGAGTCTCATTCATCATCATTTATTTTTCAGTCTAGAAAATTACAAAAAGTGACAAATTTTTAGTAGAAAAAAATGGGCATCAGAGCGGTCGGTTTCTTGAAGCCGTCAGAGTATGGCGATGATGCTTCTAAATATTTAAATAAATTTAGAGAACATCTATTCCAATTAGGTGCATTTGGCTTCGAAACTTGGACTTGCAAAATTTATTCTCGAAAAGCACAGACAGATTCAATACTTCGTCTTATTTCATTCAACGATACACCAGATCAGAACATATTAATTACAAAGAGCACAACATTAGTAGGCGATGCAAACTTTCAAAGTGTTTTAAAGGATATCGGCTTACCTTTCGATAAGACACTCATTTTTAAGATTGATGGATCTATGGCTCAGCTTGGCGATTTCAAAGTTCGCTATGGAGTGTCAATTGTTAAAGAAAAACAAGTTGGTATATTGTTTGACATAGAATACCTTCCTGTTACGAAACTTTCTGTAAATTCAGATCTCATATTCTCTAGTGTTTGTAAAACAATGGATCTTCAAGCAAAACTTTATACTCCTCAAAATTCCGAATCAAATGAATACAATTTCTCATGTTTAGGCCAAGATTATATAAGAATTTTACTTGATAATGATATAGCACAGTGATATTTTTATATTAATATCAAAATAAATGAATATTATTTTTTAAATTTCTATTTTTTATTTTAAATCACCTTTTATCATATTTTATCACAAATGATATCCTAGTACATCTGATTTAACGTTGTTTGAAGTATTTTTTGAAGAATTTTCCTCGAAATCTTCATTTTTATATTGAATTAGCTATATTTTTATGCAAACATATCCAAATTATATCTTATAGTTAACAAATTCAAGACCAAATTTTAATGTACGAACTTTTTATGTCTGCTTATCAATTTGATATGGAAATATATAATATAATTGCAGTACATCTCATATGAATGTATGGAAACTTTCATGATTACATCATACGCTTATATACACGCTCTGATTACTTGAATTAGAAATTGAATCCTCAGATAAATAGACGTTTATTCAATGAAAAAAATTTATGAAGGAATCTATAAACTAAAACAACATAATAAAAGCCAATTAAAAGGATAACAGAAAGTTCCTTGAACTGTTGGACAAAAATCATGATATAGAGCAAATATAATTGAGTTCACAAGGATAGTCAAATGTATAAGTATTTGTAATAGGGTCATATTTAACATCAGGGAAACCTTTCTCTTCATCAACTAGGCTGTAGCTAAGCACTTAAGAAAGTGCAAAATTTGTTCAAAATTCATTCAGTTTTATGATTTATGTTTCGAAAAGGGGGAAATATATCAAATCATACTGAGAACTCTGTGAATCTTTGGAATCCGACTTGAGAAATAAGGTTAGTATTTCATATTTTCCAAAAAAAATTATGACTCAAGAAACAGACGTAAATTATGAGATATCACTGGGAGGACATGAGGAAGATTCAAGCACAACCGGTCCATTCCTCATTGACAGTATAGAAAAGCCAATTTTATGGTTTATAATTGTTTTCTTAATGGGTTTCATTGCAATTCGTTTAGTTTCATCAACCTGGACAACAGCTGGCAAGCAAAGAAAGAGTGAAATCGTAGAAATAAAGAAACCATTATCAGATAGTACTTTTAACGTTGATTTAGATTTGACTTCTTTATCCGAGTTTCATAAAAAAATTGCCCTTAAATGCAGCCTCATATTGGACTCAAGAGAAGCGAATGTTAAAGAAATTGATTACAGTTTCATTGCGCATTACCTCAGAAACAAAAGTATTGTTGATTCGAAGACTCTCAAGGATGAAAAAGCCGAAGTATCGTTCTTACTAGGATCTAAAGAAAGTAACGAAATTGAGATATTTGTTTTCAACGAGAAAGTAAATTTCGACGAAATTGATCTTCAGTTAGCAATTACAGCAAATTACAACAATGTTGTATCAGTAAGATTCATCTGGGAGCTTGAAAGTAACAATTCCGATAAATTCTTTGTTCTTTCTCGTTTAATTTTGACCGGAATGATCTTATACATGTTAACAATATTTTTATTGCACGCTACCTTCAAGAACAATGCACAGGTTCAATCATTGGGTTCAATACTCGGTGTTTTTGGAGTAATTTCTGGAATTCCATTAAAAACGTTTATTACTCCAGAAAATTATCCAATGATCAACTGCATTTTATCTTCCATACTTATTTATACATATAGATTATTCTGTATTCTTGCAATCAGAGGAACAGAAAACAGAACAGGCGGATTTTCATATATAATCTTCACTTTATACGGACTTTTATACGTAGCACTCACAGTTATTTTTGTTCTTACACTTACAGGTGTTAATACACAATTTTCGGACGGATCAATTTTATTATTTATGTCAATTTTAGAAATTATTGCTATTGGCTATGAATTATTCTCTAAATTCGTCTTCAATTCCATTGTTAGCATGAAGAGATACATTTATTTCTGTGCAATGTCATTTGCAAACATTTTATTCGATTTGACCATACAAAACAAGTTCGCTTTCCCAATCAGCTCATTACGACAATCTGTTTCGAACGGATTGTGGCCATCGCTACATGTTGTTTTGTGCGTTTTCTTACTTTTCTTGATGCAAAATAACTTTGAAGAAGGATATAACCAAATTGATAACGTAGAGACACATGTTCCAGAATTTATTGATATAGAAGGTGGAATTGGTGTAGATGTCCATTCAGAACCATCAGAAAAGGAATAATCTGATTAAATTTTATTTTTTTATTTTTGGGTAACGCAATATCAAGTTATTATAACTGATATCCTAAACATACATTTTAACTGCAACTATTTTTATTCATTACACAATTCTTGAGCAATTTCAAAACAAAATCTCATCAAAAATCAATTGACAGCAGAATGATATACTATACTTAACTTTTTATTGTTGATTTCTTATTTAATATACTCATCAATGCTAAAATTCTCATCATTAAAGCTTCAAATGACTTCAATTGAGATTTTTTTTTCACTACATTTGGAAAGTACTCCTTCCAACAAAGCTATTGTAGAATTGGTTTATAGGGCAAACACTTGCTAATTTGGATTTTGGATATCTTTAACAATAATTGAAGGAATTAAGAATGATTCTTTGAATCTATCTTGATTATCCTATTACATTATAGTTATTGATTTTGTTTTCCTGTAACATACATTATGATTCAGAGTTGGCGGAATATCGTATTTTTGACATGTAAAATGAAAATGTCAAAAATAATTTTGACAATATAATGCAAATAGATATTACTAGAGTAAAAACACTTATTGTTGGTTGTGATTTTCCAAACTTTTATACATATGTTCATATCTTCTCCAAACGTCAAGATATTGATGTTTGCGGCATAATTTATGCATTTGAAGATGAGATCCCAGCCAAATGCTATGTTATGCGAAACATGAATTCAATTCCGATTTTTCCACTGGTAGATCTCGAAAAAATCATTATAGAACAAAGAATTGAAAAGTGCATAGTTAACACAAATGGTATTTTAATGCGTCGTGTACAAGGAATCGTAAATAGAATACTCTCGACTAACTACTGTTCAATAGAATTCGTAGATCCAGATGATATTAAACTTGAAGCTCACAAACCTCTTATCAGTATCTCATCTCTTGCACCAAGTGTAGGCAAAACACAAATATGTCAATATTTCTGTGATTTATTCAAGAAAGGCGGTCAGAAAGTAGCAGTTATACTTCCCCGATATTTATTTGAGCCAGGGGAAGAAAACATCACACTTCAGACAGGTTTCCATTACGAATTTAAGACGAATGATGAAGTTCCTAACGGATTACTTCCAAAAGATCTCGAAAATCAAGTTATTCAATACCAAAAATCTGGAGCTTTTTATATCATTGTTACAACTCATATTCAACGTGCTCTTATATCAGCCGAACAACTCGCCGACGTAATTTTGTTTGATACAAATGGATCTTCTATCCCACAAGTTTACGAAGATTACAAATTCTGTATTTTGACAGAAGATTCGCTTATGTCTCCTAAAAACATATCAATCTGGCCAGGTCTTGTCAACACATTTGATAGTTCACATATCATTACTATCACCGATCTTGAAAATCCTAAAGAATTACAAATTGAACATTTATTACCGAGCAAAATCATCTCTCGATCATTTTTTTATGTTAACAGTGTTACATTACCAGCAGCTCCACCTCCATGCACAGGTCCAGAACGCGCAGTTTCACCGGGTTCAGCCCTTTGTATTGGTAAGACGAAAGAAATCCAAAAACAGTTGTCTAATCTTGCAGATTTCTCAAATGTCATCATCAATTCACAGTTCCTTCACTCACAACGAGATCCATCAATTGAATCACACATTATCAACTCTGCTAGACACATCACAGACATCGACAATGCTATTTTCAAGTGGATCTACAGAACATTCCAGTCATCAAAGAAACCTCCTCTTCAAAAACATTTCGAATCAACAGTTGATATCTTGTTATCAATGGTTACTGCATCAGCCAACGAAATGACCGTCACAAACAACGACAGCCACAACAGAGGTGCATTTGCAAAACTATTCCTTCAATCACATATTCCTCCAGGATTCCATGTTACTAGTGGAGAAATATTTGATTCATTAAACAACACGACAGGCCAATTGAGCATTGTTATTACGAATGATGAATCACCATCACTAACAATTGACTCATCACTTAACGTAATCACACCAATCCTCGCCGATTCAGTTCTTGCAGTTGTCGAAGTTAAATCGAATTTGAATGTTGAAAGTCTTAAAAAAGCACTTTCACAACTTCGTCCAGTCAAAGCATTGATGCCTGCACATGAAACAATCCAGAACATCGATGGCAGTATTATCAGAGATCCACTTGGTGGCAAGATCATCACAGGTGTATTTGCATATTCAATCAGTGGAGATGTTGAAGCAAAACTTGGTGAAATTGTTAATTTGTATCCACACGTTGCTGATTTCATTGTTCTTCCCGATTCATTGGCTTATTTCGATGCTATGACACTTGAAATCTGCGGCATTGGTGCAAACGAGAAAGAGAAAGTTGGTGGATACGTCAAATTCACACAGAAAGGGTTAGGCTTAGCATTAATTTTCGGAGTTTTGAACTCTATTGCCGCCATGCGACAGTTTTCAGCATCAAACTACATCAGGTATCTTGGTGGTTCATGGGGCGGTCTTCAAGAAGCATTCGAGCGAGAGGCAAACGAACTTGCAAACTCATGGAACAAAGGACGCCACTTACTATCTAACGAGATTGATCAGAACAAGCGACAAGAGATCTTAGATGAACAAAGCAGTTTCTTGAACTTCCTCAACAACTTCCAAAATAAATAAATAAAAAATTTTGTGTTTTTAAGGTTATTTAAAATATATTATTTGTTTCATTTTTAAATGAAATCATTGAAAATTAACCGTTAGAACCAGAATTGAAAATAATGTCATATGGATATTATGAACTCTTTAAAATTGTTTTTAAATTGAAGTCAACATTTACAAAATTCAGTCATATTCTCAATTAGGACAATATTGGCTTACAAAGAATCAGAAAAAGATGATATAAGTGCGGAAATTAAAAACCATCATTTGAGTACTTTCTGAGACTCTGTTTGTCAGAAAGTATACATTTTTGGCCTTTCAAAGTTTTTGACATTGTGGGGTTTTGTGTCAGAAGTACTCAATTTCCCTCCCAAACGATGGTTTTTAAAAAAACGCAATAGAATAATTTTCATATAAGAACATGACAGAAAGATAATAAATACTATTATCATTTGATTTCAATTTCATCATAATATCTATAAAATTCCTAGTTCATATTGTGAGATATTATATCATGCTTCAGAAAATTGTTATTTTGACTGGATTAAAGTAACTCAAAGTATTTCTTATTTGATATAATTCAGTTAAACTAATTAAAAATTACATCTTCAATTTCATAATTTTGATTTTGAGTTTTTTCAAAGAAAAAAAAGTGAAATTATGGGAGAACAAAATATATGATTTTCGGTCGTTTATTAAGATATCGAACATTCTTTTGAATTTCTTTGATAAATAATGGATCATCATCTTCACTAACTTCTTTGACATCTTGATTGATGAATTTAACTATAAAATGTTTGCATTCTGTATTCGAAATAATGTTTGTAAATACGACGGAATTTGATGTTGTTTCAGAGATTTCTGTATATGTATTATTAACAACAAATGAATTTCCTTGATTACAAATGACATACTTAACTACATTTTTCACAATGCAGCATCCAAACATATAAAGCTTTGTATTTGACCATATTAATTTTCCAACACCGCTGGAATCGATATTTTCAATATAATTGCATGATAATACTGATATAAGTTTTGACGATGAGTGTAAATTTAGGGCAAAACTATCACTTTTTGTTTGATTATTTGATCTTATTGTAGTGAATTGAACAAAGGAATCTGATATTACATAATCCATGCAGTAGCCTGCAATATCATGATCAACTCTGTTTGATGTGATATTGCATAAATTAATAATTTGCTTGCCACCTTTCATGCGCATCAGATAGTAACATCCATTGTCTAATGAACCGCAATCAAAAATAGTAGATTCGTTAAATTCATTTTTATAATTTTCTAAGCCTGAAATTTGTACAAAAAAAGAAGTATCACTTCCTGTATTTTTTGATTTAATAAATGAATTTTGTTTCTGAGCAAATTGGCCGTTATAGCCATAAAATAGGGATCCTCCACTTTGGGATCCGGAACTACAATTTTCGAATTGTGAAGTTTCAACTAAGCATTTAGTGGAATCTGTGGCTGAAGTAAAGCGAACAGCCCCATTGATGGTAAAATTTTTGAAATTAGATGAAACTACAAAGTAGTTTAATTTGTCACTGACACCAACGTAGTCGTGATGTTCTGAATATAATGTATTATAATGTGAATCGGGAAATATTTCTTGCCATATACTTTCATATTGTGATACTAACTTCTAAAACTTCAAAACTCATCTTGAAACTTTCCATTAAATTGTCACTTTTTCTACTTTCATTTTTTGTCAACTATATCCGTTATTCAATTTCTTTCCCCATTTAAATCGACATTACTTCACATTTATATAAAATGGTTTATGGCGTTCCATATTCAAATTCCCACTAGAATATAATTTAGTATCGACTCAAATAATATTATGGAATTTTTGTATGTTGGCATTGTGGAAATATAAATTATTAATTCATCTGTACAGTGGACATTCAGCAATAATGGCAACAATATAATACATCTGTTTAAATAGGGTGCAGTTATTTGATGAGTTAATAAGTGATGGAGTTCAAAATCTCTAGAATAGTGTGCTTTTTAAGAAAAAGTTTTTCTTATTCAATAAATTTTGATATGATTTTCTTGATTTTGAAATGATTATGAAAATCGGCAACTTGAATTGCTGTCATGCCGTTATTATTAATAATGTCATATTTAGCTCCAAGTTTCAATAATAAGATTACTGTTTGCTTATAATTGTATTCGGATGCATAATGAAGAGCAGTATTTCCATATTTATCTTGATGATTAAGATCCAATCCATGTTCATGAAGAATTTCAATATAATTTGTGAAATTCCCTAATGAAGCAAGAATTATCGAAGATTGTCCATCATCGGTTTGCGCATTAATATTAGATCCTTGATCAATGAGAAAATGAAAAATTTTATTATTATTATGACAAACTGATTCTAAGAATGGTGTCATTTGATTATTATTTTTGATTTCAAGATTTGATCCATATTTGATTAATAATTTACACATCTCATAGTTTTCTTTGATAACACAAAGATGTAAAGGAGTTTGGCTTTGTTTATCTAAACAATTGACATTACATCCTTTTTCTAAAAGTAATTTTGCAGATTCATATTTATCAGATTCAATAGAATAATGAAGAGGAGTTTTGTTTCAATCATCTATTGAATTGATTTCTGATCCATTTTCTAATAAAAATAAAATCATTTCAGTAAGATTAAAACATGCGGCACAATGAATAGGACTTTTACCATGTCGATTTCGCATATTAATATCAATTCCATTATCAAGAAGAGCTTTAACAGATTGAATCTTATTTTCATAAACTGCATGAAATAAAGGTAAATTATTGTATTCATCTGGAATATTTAAATATGCACCATATTCAATAAGTAAATTTGTTGTTTCTTCATCGTTTCGATCAATTGATGAATAAAGAGGAATAGTTTCATTTTCATTTTTTGCGTTCACATCTGCATTGAATTCAATTAGAAATTCACTTAAACTTGGAATTCCACTCGCCAAACAGCTTGAAATGCATTTGGATGTACCTATGTTTCTATCAATTGCAATAATAAAAGCATGCAAGTTATAGTTAGATGACGCAGTGTCGGAATCAACTTTTAATCCATATTTATTCTCTAAAAACAAAACATTTTCGATGATATGGCTTCCAATTGCGTTGGCCATGCAAATTTCGGTAGGTTTCTCATATTTCAAACACTCGTTGATGATATCATTGTTTCCTCCAATAAATGATTTTTCAAGACATCTTCGATTGATTAATGCATTAGTGTTTTGCAATATGAAATAAAAACAGTTAACTGAACCATAAAAACAGCAATCTTCTAATAGATGTGTTTTCATTAATTCTTCATTATCTGATGGAGGAATAAATGATCTCAAACTTTCTAAATCATCATTCAGAATTGATAAATCTATATTACTTTTTGGTAAATTATCATGAAAAATTTGATCATATGATTTATATTCTAAAAATTCGAATTTTGTTCGATATAATTCTTTAAATTCGTCTGAAACTAATTCATAAATATAGTCTGATATATTATCTGTATGAAATTTGTCAATGACTAAATTCAAAATTGTCCAATATAGTTTTAAATACTTTTTCCTTATAAAGAATGCAGTGTCAATTGCATTAATAACATCTTTGACTGTGAACTTGTACTTCTTGAATAATATTTGTTCAACATCTTTGATTAACTTTTCAATTTCTGAGATATTTTCTTCTTTTATAATGAACAACTTGTCGAAAATATCAATAGCATCTTGATATTTCTTCACAAAGCTATCATAAACATGAAGTCTCTGATCAATTTCATCATTCATTTATTGTCACTTTTGATTTATAAAAAGTGTCAATATTTTATTAGAATGAAATATATGGAAAATATGCAATTATTATTAAAATCATTATAAAACATGTAATAATGTGAATAATTTACAAAACAAAATAAGAAAGAACAAAATAAAATTTCTATAAGTTTTCAGAGTAAATCAAGTCAGGAGATTCTTCAGAGCTGCTCTTGTTAGATATTCCCATTGCAATAAAGTAGTCTATTGCAGATATCCACTCATTCTTTTGTATTAAAACAGAAAATAAGTCAGCAGGCAACAAAGGTTGAACGATTGGAATATAAATTGAGGGTTTGACAATTGTTCTTGCGAAAACCATCGGAGGACTAATACTGTCCCACTTTTCTGATAGAATCATTCGACAGTTATCCATTATTTTGTTGAATGAGTCTTCCCAGTCTTCATCGATACTAAGAATCAATACAATTACAAAGTGTGCCAATCCGAAAGCACCAGGAATCTTCTCAATGTCATTATTACTAATCATGACAGAGATTTCTTTAATCAGCTCATGCAGTTGTGCATCATTTTTCTCTGTTGTTGATACCAACAGATATGCAACAGATGAATACATGAATTTAACTTTGTTTTTATCAGAAATACTCTGTGTTTCGTAATTCAAAATGTCCAAAATTATATTTGTCAGAGGAATCAATCCAAATTTCAACATCCATGCTCTCCATGTAATTATTATATAATAAATAGCCTTTTGATCGACAACTTGGTTCATCACCAAATATATGATTTCTTTCGCGATGTTAAATTTGATTTCGGACAAATTATTTTCAGATCCGATGACATTATCCAAATCCAAATATGCAATCGTTTGATGTCTCGTTCCTTTAGTCAATGTATATATCATAACTTTGAAAAGATGATTTGATATTTCATTATCAGGAAACTTTTGTTTCATCAAATTAAAAGCGATTCTTCTTTGTGTCGAAATCGCCCAAATAAACAACAATGGCCACAAATAATACTCACTTTTTGCCATTTCGATTGCTTGATCGAGTTGATCATCAGGCAAACTCAACAACATTTTGAAAAACATGATACATTTTTCACGAATCATAAATTGTTGACTTACTTGAGAAATCGTTATATAGTCAACATAAATCTCTGATGATGTTTTGAGTCCAACCATCATCTCGAGTATGCAAGCGATATCAGATGGTTGATTCTCAGCATATTTCCTCAAAGCTTTTTGAAGAGAAATAGAATTAGAACGCCAAGAAAACAAAAACAAATACAAAAAATTGTCCAAACTAAATTAAAATCAGAAACAGAAACAACATGATTCATCAACATTTGTAGACAATCTAACATATCTTCAAGAAGCCATTGTTTTACAATGAGACATCTGAAATCTTCCAATCTCGGATTTGATGAAACTTTCTTCAAAATTTCCATGCAAGAACTTATTTTTGTTGGATCTTTCGAAATTTCTATAAATCTTGGAACTAGTATCGAAGAAAGAGCAGGATATTGTAGAACTAAATTCGGAAGGTCTTCATCAGAGTAATTACTTGGGAAAGAACATATGTAATTTATCAATTCTTCACTTGTTAAAGGGGAATTACTCTTTTTCAATAATTCTTGCGAAAAAGAACTTAATATCTCAGAAACTGCTTTTCCATTGAATGTATGAGGTTCTATTTCATTTATACACGCATGTTTGTGGCCAATACGTGGTAATGACCTGAAAATGTTGTTCGTAATTAAATAAGCACAAGAAAGGTTTGGAGAGTCAAAGAATACTTGTACAGCTGCTAAATATATCTGTCGTACATTGTATGTTCTGAATAAACTAAGTAATTTGTATTCTGGGACCCAAAAATTTAAAGATGAAATAATTATAGATGTGGCATTAAGCATTTCGTAAATTTGTTTGGTTTTTGTTATTTTTTCTGCAAATAAAGCCATTTTGAGATATGTAGTACCAACAGATTTCTCAATATTCTGGTTTTTCAAAAATATCGTAACAATATTTTTGACTTTTATGAAATCCGGAAATGAATATAATCTCGAGGAAGCAATTAAAACCGAAAATAGTGGATTTAAAACTAAAGAATGAATTGTAGAATGAAGTAGATCAAAATTTTTTGTAGATAAGCAAATTTCAAGCATTTTTAATGCACAAATTGCGGATTCTTTTGTGCCAAGAGTCAGTTGAGAAATGATTTGCTGTGATTTTTGGGAAAATATATAGTAACATCCATCTACTAATGAATTATTTGTTGTTTCAATAGAAGAAAGCACTTTGTCTTGATAAGTTATAATAATTGTTGTTGCACAGTTGATTAGATAGTCGGCCGTGAAATCTGAATTTGAAATAATTTCGGCAATATATTGGAATATTTGGCTTACATCTCCATATTTTCCTGTCTTTATTTCAGTTACGAATGCATCCATATCAATTCGTGAGTTCCAACATTCCCTTATGAAACTCGCGCATTCGCTCATGAAATCTAATGAATAAGTTTAGCATCATCAGCATATTATACGTTTGCTTTTCCTATTCATGTTATTATTGTGCAATACTTCTAATTTTTTGGATTTGAATCATAAAATTTTAGAGAATCCGCTTCATTCTAATATTTGGATATAATATATCTAACCTTTTCACATATGTAATTGGAGAAAATTAAAAAATAATCAAATTTTTAAATGAAAACATAAACATACAAACAATTTTTACTAATTAAGCTTTTCTTCTGGTATTAAGAAGTGGAAGAGTAGGAGCTGATTTGACCAAGTATACTCTACTAACCTTATCAATATCTTTTTGAGCAGCTTGTTTCATTTTTCGCGCCATGCACTTATAATGATTGATTTTGATCTTACATTTTGATTCGTAGTTTTCTTGGATAGTTCTTCTCTGAGCATTAATTTCATTTTCGATTTTCTTTCTTGTTTCACACTTATGTGATTCAATAATTGACATAATTTTCTTTTGTACCGCTTCTGCCTTCTTTTGATTATGTAATGACCTATAATACTGCTCTTTGGATCTTAAATCTGAAATTTCTTGCAAGCTGAATGTCGGCTCACTTGCATAAAGGTTCTCTTTATTGGACTCAACAAGTCTCGGCTGGGCATCATAATTTGCCTTAAGCGTATCAAGCTCAAGGTGTAAATCTGTTTCATTTTTCAATAATTGTGATTTAAGTTTCTGATTTATCTGCTCGATTCTGTCTTTTGCATTCGGATCGTTGTTAACTACCGGTTCTTCAACTGGTTTAACAATATGATACTTTGGATCTTTTGTAAGAGTATATAAAGCCAAATTAATTTGATTCGTATCGACATTTGAGTTTTCTTGAAGGAGCATTTCCTTCAAGTTCTGCTCTAGTATGTTATAAAGTTTAGGTGGTTGGTAATTCTTTTCCTTTCATTAAAGCTTCAATGAATTTTGCTATTGCGCCATTTGAATATATGATTGTCCCTGGATTTAATTGACATATGTCAGGTTTTTGCTGTAATTCAAGTAATTTTTTGATAAAATCTAATGATTTTGAAACGTTATTTATAGCTGCTCTGTTTTTGGAGATCCTAAGCTCATTGAGTGCCTCTGTCAATGGTTGATGAAGGTATGAATAGAGTTTTGGATCAACAGATTCAATACTCATTCCGTTGACGATGGAAATAATCACTTCTTGTATTTCAGGGCGATTATCATATTCGTATAAATAGGATGTACTCTTCCTTCTTGGTGAGCGATCACGATTTGGACTAAAACTTGGTTGACGAATTTCAAACATTGATTTGGAGAATATTATAGTTTTGAGAGAAGACGTTTAATCGGCACAAAATTTTCGATCGAAATCGTATAAATTGATGTTACATGATATAAGGAGAAATATGTCTTGCACAGAAAAATTCTCTTCCCAAAATTTCACATAGAAAATTTTGCGTAAATGTCTCAAAAATTTCAAATTCGATTCACAAAAATTAAATGTTTTATCTCTAAATTTGATGCACTTATGCACGTAAAATAATATTTCTCCAACATGTTGGATTTGAAAGTAACGTGCTAAATTTCGAATTAATTGTTTGAAAAAGCTAAGCATTCAATGTTGAGTAAATATACAGGGAAAATCGCAATTTTCTGATAACTAATTCCTATTCGATCATAATCTTTATTCGTTTATTCTAGAGCTTGGAATCACTTATTCTATAACACATAGTTAAACTAGATATTATCAATCGCTTCTGGCGTGAAATGCCATAATAAGTTATCCAAGCGCTATTATATTCTTGTTATGTGATAAAAATATCTACTGATTACCCAATACAAGCTTAAATACATATGAACCAATTGCTAAATTATATCATATATCATTTGATTATTATCTTTGGATTGACATTAGGATATGAAATATCATTTCATGATATATATTACACATTCTACCTCATAACACATTCAAATCTTTTAGTAAATCATTTCGTTATTAAAAATATATTTCATTTTGAGATTTTTTAAATAATATTGGGAATTCTTTCACTCATTCACCAAAAATTTCATATTCATAGCTGTTATGAACAAAATTTTAGATATTTGTTAAAATATACGTTTGATTGATAGTCAAAGAATTCAAAATAGGGAGAATATATTGCAAATATTTGTTATCAAATCTCATAGCAGACCATAAAGCAGTAGTTAGATTTAAAGATATCGATATTGCATTGATTTATTCAATCACTTGATTATTCTTGCCAAGATTTTTTTTTCTAAACGCATAGAGTTTTTGTAAACTTTTTGTCTGACCCCAAATTTCTATGAAACATTGATAAATTTAAATAGCATCAAATGCGAAGTAAAAATACTATTTTTGAAATTTTTGGGGATTGTCACCAAGTAAAAAAATTCTTCAATACAATTCTTGTACTTTAAATGTCGTTTGTTTCACCAGAAGCACTTGATTCTACGCGACTTCTAAAGTACATGAAAGAGTATGGTATTGCAATTATAGTAATTTTCATTGTTAGTTGTCTAATTCTCGAATTTTTATTGAATTGGCGACCAGCACTGAATGCAAAACACAGAATATCATATTTTCTAAATCGAGATCCATTTTCAGAAGGGCCAATCTCATTTGAACTCTTCTGGTGGATAATATACGGCGCTCCTTTTGTAATAACGATTATTGTTGGTATAATGATATCAGTAAATCTCAAGCCCAAGATAATAGGAGTTGACATATTAATAGAAACACTATTTTTGTTCGTTTTACTCTTCGCAATTATGAATTATAACAGAAGTGGCTATAATATGACAATATTTCTCAAAATTACAATCATCGTATGTTTTCTAGCTCTATTTTCCCTTACGATTGTCCATGCAGTTATAGTTCCTCTTCGAAGTTGGTACACAATTTGTTGTTATATTACGTGGCCAGCGTTGTTTGTATACTATTTCATTATTACTATCATTAGAAAACGGTTTAATCAGAATCTTATCACATCGATACTACAATCAAAAGAAATTAAAGAAAATTTTGTAAATGATATCGTAAATGACCAAGCAGAGAATCTTATTAAGAACAACAACACACACAAATACTTATTTTACCCACTTGCCATCATTTCTGGCATTGCAATTTCAGTAATTTCAAATGTTTTATTTTTAGTTCATTTTCAAAAGAAAGACAAATACGCGACCATTTCTACCAACGTATTATTCATGGTATTTGATGTTTTCATCATTATTATTCAATCAGTTTCGATTACAAAGAAATCTTATGTTCATTTGGCCGTTCTCTTCATTTTAATGAAGTTTATGACAATAGCGTTAGCTCATAGATGCTGGATAGTCAATCAGTGCTTAGTTTTCATCATTATTGGTCTCTATTTCTTATCAAATTTGTTTTACATCATAATTAAGAAAATTTTTTACAATTTCCCTTTGTTAGAAAAAGAAGATTTGATTCCAGAAAAGGTCAAGTTCGAAATAAACAGAATAAGTCAAAATGAGACAGGAATGAGCCTTATTAATATAATTTTCGGAGTAATTTTGACTTTAATTTTAATGATTGCAATTATTGTTGAAATTGTTGTATTCAAAACTGAAGCAACATCTGCATTGTTCACAGATGGAAAATACAGCCTTAATCAAAGATATTTTGCCATAATTGTTTTAATTTTAGTATTTTTGTTCTCATTTACATTTGCAATCACAAAAATAGATCATATATATGGAGATATTGTTCATGTCAGTAGTATTTATCCAATTTTAGTACTTTTTATTTCATTTATTAATTTTATTATTTTTTATTTCGTTCTCAAACAAAAGATATGTGATATTCAGTTCTATATACCAATAGCATATGCTTTGATATCAGCAACAATTCTATTTACAAGGACTTACAAATTTGAATATATTAAGAACATTTTCTTGAAACCTTGTGAAATATTTGGTGATAATTGGATCTATACAATTGCAGCATTGATTTATCTTGCGTTCTTGATATTACTAATCGCTTTACCTTTCAGTGGAACAACAAAAGTTCATTCTTTATTTGTTTGTTCATGTATTGCTTTGTTATTCTGTATATACTGCTTGAATATACAAAGTTACAGTGAAGATTTTAACAAAATGAGAATTATTTTGGGAGTTTTCGCCGTAATTTTCATAATTACATCAGTTATCGGATCATTTGCTATTTGGAAGGACAACAAATATAATGTATGCGCTGTTGATGCTATTGTTATATTCGCACTTGGCTTATCAGTTGTATTTTTCCAAATTATCAGATCTCATTACAGAGTTGACTTTGAATCATTGATTGTAACTATCTTTTCATGCGCAGTACTATATGGTTTTGCATTTTACCTAGAATCTACTGAAGGATATTCACTATTGGACTTTATTTATGCTCCTTGTGGAATTCTTCTTTGTCTTTTTGTAGTTTATAGATATTTCGACGGCGGAGGAATATCTACTATTATTCAATCTGTTATTTCTGTTGTTTTATTCGCTGGAATTACTGTTTTTCACTTTGTTAGGAGTGGAGGTGTTCCATCATTCATTGCAGGTATCATTCTTAGTATATACATATGTTGTATTCTTTATTGCTTGCTTTCTCTTTATTCTTCAAAGAAAGGAAGAAAAATTGCAATTTCAAATTTCTTCTTCCCAGTTTTCCACTACGAAAACAGACATCTACAGTCTATTCCTATGCTTGGAATGTGCTTTGGATACATGTTTTGGGTTCCTTTGATCTTTGGAACAGTTTTAATAACTTATTTCACAGAACCATATTGGGGATTCGTATTAGAATGTTGCGCATTCATTGTTCCTTTCTTCATTGCTTACAGATTTATGATTACAATTGATAATGAAAGTATTGATTCTTTCTCTTATGTCAAATCGAGAAATTCAATAGATTCAACAATTGCTAATGCAATGCAAGCAGCAGAAACAGATTATCATCACAACAGTGACTCAACAAAGTTTTATAATTATGATGATTTCATCACTTTCATTGAAAACGATGAAAACGCAAACCGCCAAAAGTCTCTATTTTATTCTGCATTCAGAACACAGCTAATTATCATTTCTGACATAATAACGATAAAGAATATGAGACAAATTTCATCCTACATTGATTCTTTGGGTTCCAAATGGAAATTCATGGATGATGCAGTTAAAAAGCGTATTCTTCCTCCATTAGAAATGAGAAAACAGATTGCAGCAACAGTAGAAATCATTGAAGATTTGACAGAAACCGATGAAACTCAAATTAGACAACTGATTTCGGATGTTGTTAAAAGAGGTGAAAAGATCAATGGTTACGTATTAAAATACTTAAGGCAATTCACTCCAACGGCTGTCAATTCTTACTATGCAAATGCATATAAGAATTTAACTGCAGAAAACAACAAAATGAGATTTGTTGATTCATATTTCGCTCCTGGAGGAGAACCAGCACAAATCGATACAGACATTTTAGCTAAAGTGAAGTTCTACAGAGCGGAAGATTTGTATACAGGAGAATTCAGTAAAGGAACTAAAGAAGACATCAAATCAGGAAATGGAACAATAAATGATGATGCGATTGCAAGTGTTTTAATTGCAGTACAAAACAAACCAGATTTGGATTTAGATAGATTCTTTTCAACACCTTTGTTGAGAGAAAAAGGTTTGTATATGATAAAATTCAACTACAAAGGAACAAAAGCACAGGTAATTATCGATTCTTCAGTTCCTTACGTTGAAAGAGATTCATTATTATTAGAGCCAACAAAAAGAGCATCTTCTACTTTTTGGTTTTCGCTTATTGAAAAAGCGATTGCAAAAATGTTTGGAAGTTACGCTCAATTAGATAATTGTGGGCTTCCTTCTGATATTATTCCTTTGTTTGAGAAAGGAGTTTTGAGATGCTATTACATGCAAACAGATGAAATTAGAGAAATTGCAGAAACAGGAATTTTATTCAACCAAATTTACAATGCAATTAATAACGGAGGAATTGCTTGTGCAACAAGAGTAACTGCTGAAGGAATATCTAATTATGCTATTACAAATTGTATTTATGAATCAGATTCAACGGAATCTCTTGTTTTAAAGGGAATGAAAAAATACAAAGGAAAAACGGAATTCAAAGTTTCTCTTGATACTTTCCTTTCTGATTTCAGATTTGTTTATACAATTAATGATTATCCAACTTGGTATTTGTATGAACTTAAGTTCTCTTTCAGTGCACAAGAAGAGAAAGAAGTTGATCCTTATGATGAATCGAAAGAATCTTTGTTGGAAGTTCCAAACATCGCAATCAGATGCATTAAAAATGATAATCATCTTTTGATCGGTTGTCAACACCAATTCCCTGGATCCCCTGTCAGTGCTTATCTTGTTTATAACTATGGAAGACCGATTGACAGAATTTATGTCGGAAGAGATTACAGATCGTTTGAATTTAAGGCGGAAGAATACTGTGCAGGCACAACTCCGTTTGCAGAATGGGATATTAAGAAGAAGAAGATGCCATGGACTCTTGCTCTTGTAAGAAAGTCCCTTATGGTAGATAGTCACTGCTTATTCAGAATTTGGTCTCAAAATCAACTTGAGTTTTCCCTTCTTGAGACCGGAACAATTCATAATACAACGGCTGAAATTCACACGCACGAACCACATCAGTAATTTTGTTTTTTTTTTAATTTTTTTATATTAAAACTAAATATTGTTATTTTTACATCTTACTTATAAAACATTTTTTTCAATAAATTTTAATGTGATTGCAGGAAAGCCTCAATCATTTTCAAGTGTCAAGCCAAGGGGGTATTCATTATTTCTGGCAATATCTTATAAAATCAGAATTGAAGGACATATCATATGATTTTTAGTATACCATTATGTTCATAACTTATGAAATGATGTGAAAGAGATGAGCAGATTTTTCAAAAAAAAGGGTTTTCCTACAATTGCAAAAATGCGCAAAAACGATTATTTTACATTCAAACTGCGTAAAGTAGTCAAAAGATATATGCATTTTTTCTTTAATATATTTTGCATATGCAATTGTGGCTATACAAAGTAATGACTATTATTAATGGTTTTGATTATTTATAATAGTCAACTCCAAATTTTTTTCAAATGCGCAAAATATGCGCAGATTCAATTTTAAATAATCGTTTTTGTGCATTTTTTGCACCCCATGTAAAACCCTGGTTTAGAAAAATGTTTTAATTTTGACAATTGTTTAATTAACTATCATATGCTCCATGAGAAATAAGAAGTTCCACTATTCTTCTATTATTATTTCTTTGAGCACATCTTAGAGGTGTGTTACCTTCATTGTCTTTTGAATTTATATCTGCCCCATTTGAGATAAGAAGATCTGCCAATTCTTTAAAATTCTTTAATGATGCAAAATGAAGAGCTGTTTCCCCATTGTTAGTTTTTTCATTGATATTTACTCCATTTGAAATAAAAAATTGTATCAGCTCGATATTATTCATACATGTTGCAACATGAAAAGAAGTAAATCCATGAATATCTTTTGAATTAATATCTGAACCATATGAAACAAGAAGTTTTGCTGTTTCTTTACTATTAAATGCTGTGGCGATAATAAAGGCAGTTCGTCCATTTTTCTCGATTTCCTTAATATCTGCTCCATGTAAAATGAGATACTCTGCTATTATTCTGAAATTATTTTCAGCGGCAGTATGAAGAGGAGTATATCCTATATTGCTTTTTGCATTGATATCTGCACCATTGGATATAAGCACTTCTGCTAATTCTTTGTTATTTTCTTGAATAGCAAGGTGAAGGGCTGTGAGTTCCGAATTCGTTTTTGTATTAATATCAGCACCTTTAGAAATAAGTAACCTAGCCGTAACGTTAGATTTTTGGATTATTGAATACTGAAGAGGGGTTTGTCCATCATAATCCCTTGCATTGATATCAGCACCATATGAAATAAGAATCTCTGCTAATTCTGTCTGGTTTAGAAAAGCTGCATAATGAAGGATAGATTTTTCTTCGTTATCTTTGGCATTGACATCTGCACCATGTGAGATAAGTAGTACTGCAATATTATTGCAATTGTATTGTATTGCATAATGTAGAGCAGATTTTCCATCTTTATCTCTGATATTAACATCTGCACCATTTATAATAATGAACTCTGTCATTTCTAGATTATTTTTGATTACCGAATAATGCAAGGCTGTCTTTCCACAACTTTCTCTTGCATTAATATCTGCGCCATTAAAAAGAAGGATTCGTGAAATTTCTTTTTGATTATTCCGGACTGAAATATGAAAAGCAGATAATTCCCATTCTTCTTCTTTACAATTTGGATCTGCACCATTCGTTATAAGTAATTCTACCATTTCTTGATTATTCTTATGTACTGAAAATATAAGAGGAGTCTTTCCATTTTTCTCTTTTGCATTTATGTCGGCTCCGTTAGAAATAAGGACTGATGCTAATTCGGTTGCATTTTTGCTTGCTGCAAAATGTAGAGGTGTTTGCAAACTTTGATCTCTGGAATCAATCTCAGCGCCATGTAAAATAAGAAACTCTGCAATTGTTTTACAATTTAATTTCACTGCATAGAATAAAGGAGTGTTACCAAATGTATCTTTTGCATTGATGTTTGCACCTAATGCAATTAGAATTTCTGCTATATCTGTATTGTTATTATATAAACTTGCACAAGAATGAAGAATTGTTGCTCCGTCATTATATGTTGTATTTATATCAGCACCATGGGCAATTAATAATTCCATTATATCTTTTCGATTACAAAATGCAGCACGATGGAGTGGAGTTTTCCCTTCCTTGTCTTTTGTGTTAACATCCACTCCATGGGTAATAAGAAATTCAATTAATTCTTTGCGACATTTAAGCGATACATAATCAAAAATAGTAACTCCATATATGTTTCTTTCATTGATATAAAAGCCATAGGAATAAATAAGTTTAAAGACCTCGATATCATTATTTTCTGCAGCACTAAAAAGAATTGATTGACCAAAATTATCTTTTGCTTTTATGTCTGCTCCATTTGAAATAAGTTGTCTTACAACATCAATAGTATTAAATGCGGCGGCTAAATGAAGTGGTGTGCATCCATCCCTATTTTTTAATGTTACATCTGCGCCAAGTGAAATTAAGTGTTGAACCATTTCCTTGCTGTTTTTAATAGCTGCTGTGTGAAGTGCAGTGTAGACATCCTCGTTCTTCGCATTGATATCAGCTCCAAGTCCAAGAAAATATTCACAAAGTGATGTAATATTAAATAACGGAGATAAGACAAAGCATTTGTTAACAAGATTTTTTTGATCACAATAAACAAATAATGCTTGAAGGTTATAAAAATTTGGACATGCATCACATTCTATTTCTAATTCATATTGCTTCACTAAAAAAGAGATAAAATCAATGTTGTGCGATGCAATGGCATACTTCATGCATTCTTTATTTGGTTTTTGTTCTTTCAAACATTCATCCATAATTTCAGGATTTCCCCCTAAAAATGAAAATTCTAGGCATTTTGGGGTGATTTCTGATTTGAATTTTGACATTAATAGCTTGAAACAATCAACAGCTCCATGATAACAACATAATTCAAGTAATGAATATCCTTCTTCTGATTCAGGATAAAAATCACTTTTAAGTTTTTGATTTTTATCAAATCTTTCATTCTCTATAAATACTATAAATAATTCTTTGTTATCATCCATAATTGCCCTGTAAATTGTGTTTTCTAAGTGAACTTCACTAGAATAATTTTCCATTTCGTAAAATTTAAGCTTTGGGTTATTTTGTTCATTAATATCAATGTTAAATTCTTTTCTTAGGAAGTATTGAAATATGGACAATGTCTTACTTGATGGTGTCTGAGGAATCTTTTCATAAAACATTTTAAAGATGTACAAGTATGATTTAAAATATCTAGCATTATATTTTGATGCTGTTTGAATTAATTCAAAAATCCGAAATGCTGGAAACTTCATTGTTTCAAAAAAATTATTTTCGATATCTTTATATATTCGAGAAATGACTTCTTCATCGAAAGAATTTATTCTGTATAATGCTCTTGTAGTGTCAACTATATCCCCATACAAGTCCATAAGGATATTATAATGGGACATTTGTTTTCTGAAAAATAAATAATACTTTACATTGGGGTATTATTATTGTCGTCTGGCGGTTTTAGACGACAATGCGAATTTTCAAATAACAGGATTTTTAGCCAGATAAAGAGCTACTCCATATATCATGCGTGTTTGCATACTATATACATAGATGGAATTGATGTTCTTCCTTTATTTAGGTACCGAAACATGCTTGAAAAATCTATTTTTTAGACGACAATGATAATTTTGTCACTTTTCCAGACGACAATAATAATTTGTCACCTTTTTAGACGACAATAATAATTTTGTCACTTTTTCCAGACGACAATAAAACATCCTCCTTTACATTTTACGCGTTAATTTTTTAAAAGGCTTAGTGATGCCGATTTGGAAGTTAATTTCAATTTCGGAAGTAAGTTGTTTAAGTGTGGGAAGATGTTATGATTTAATTTAGCGAAAATTTCTTCAATTTCGGAGATTTTATGATTTAATTTAGCGAGTATTTCTTCAATCTTTGTCGTTTATAATATAAATTTTGCAAACAATTGAATTTGGATGTTAATTTAATCAATTATTCCTTTATTTTCGAAATGAGAAAATGTATTACTTCTCGAGCAAGAAACAATAAACTCAAAATAAATAATATTTTAATCCAACCATGCATTAATGTTCTCCCTATAGAAGCAAATTAAAAACAAATAGATTATCTATCATTTAGATAAAAAAAATCATCTCTCGTAGTTGAGATTTATAGATAGATTATTAATATATAAACTAAACCGGATATTTATTTGATATAATTATGGTGTCAAACAAACAAATTTAAGTCGAATTCTGCAATTCATAGTAAAGGAATTCTCAGCAGCTGATTTAAGATCGCAGCGTGATTTAAATTCCATAGCAATGCTATTTGACTTACTCACTAAGTCTTTCAGATTAAAAACTAATGTCTCTTGAAGATTTCTTTAGTTTGATGGACTAATAATCGAAACTACTCTAGCTGTTGATGAACACTACAAAGTGTAAATAATGGTCCATATTTTTTAATTCTAATTAGGAAGATGATGTGAAATTCTTGCTTTTTTAAGCTAAAATGTATCAATATTCCAATGATTCTTCTTTGAATATAAATTGATTTTAATTTATTTCTCAACGAATTCAAGGAAGAAACTTATTTTCTTGTATGACTTTTAAGTGGTGGTAACTTGAGCAAATTGTTTTGTCTTGGAGCTCTTCTACTGGTTAAAGGTGCTTGAGGAGGAGCTATTTCACAAATGCTATTTCTCATTCTCTTCTCCCACGATCTAATCTGTTCTTTAGTATTCATGTTTTGGATTTCTATGGCTCTTTTCTTCCTTGAAATTAAATCATTTTGTTTTTCAAAACTATGTAGAATAACTTGACGTTTTGTATCTGCAGATTGTTCAAATGTCTCTATTTCGTTCTTTTGTTTCTGTAAAAGTAATGTTCTGGCTGAATTATAATCTGATTCCCATCTGTTAACGGCATTTTCTGTTTCATTTATCTCTAGCTCATCAGCCATTGATTTAACACGTTGGTATTCATCCATCTTACGTTGCTGGAATAAAATAGATTCTTGTCTTCTTAATTCACGAAGTTTGACTGATGTATGTGCGTATCTTCTCTTACGGCTTTCGCTCTTCCAATCGGCATCGAGTTGCTTTATCTCTTTTTCATGCTTCTTTTCAATGACTTGACGCTGATTATCTAATTTAATATTAAGTTCTTGGAGTTTATTTTTGATAGATTGGGATTCGAGCGAATCATACGTTTGTATTTTATGAAGCTTTTGTGATAGATCTGCACCCGCTTGTTCTTTTTGAATTTGAGCTGTTAATTCAATTTGTTTTTGATGTAATCCATTGAGTGACTTTTTAATTTGCTGCGATTCTTGAATGTATCCATCCTTTTCGAGAATTATGCATCGACTTTCTAAATCTTTAATAACGAGATTTAAAAGATTTGCGTCATCTGTATCAATTTGACCAGAAACAAGTGCCTTAGAGGCAATTTTCCATGAATCAAGCGATCGATTGTTTGAAATAATTGTATTAAGTTGTAAAATTGGTATATTATACTTTTTTTCAATTTTCGAAGAGCGAGTTGATATGGATGAAGTAAAACTTGATGTCCTAGAAGATCGAGAAGCTTTGGAATTAGTAGAATTTCTTGTCTGCTGAGAGCGACGCATAGTTTCGTTAAAAAATCTTGCTGTTAAATTTATGGGCTCGCAGCACTTACAGTTATATGTTTACAAATATTGATCATCACTCTATCTTTGTGTATAGGTCAAATTTTATCCATGAACTTCTTCAATATATATAAAATTTACCATAAAATGATGGAAATAAGAGAATCGAAGTGCCTAGCGTGCCATGTAAATAAGATAGCATTATACGCATGAGTCATTTATCACATTTATGAACTTCATCATTATTCATAATATTTTGTTGGATTTTTTATAATCAAAGTTTAAATTATGCATAATATTGTACATTCTCATAATAAATTATAAAAATATATATGTATTTAAGGGTTTCGTTTTGCGAAAAAAACATACAATACGCAATTTCGCTAAAAAAACATTTAGCTAGCAATTTCGACCTTTGACTCCACTCAAGACGTCACTTTTTTAATTTTGCGGTATCATATTTTTGGAAAATCTTTATGAATATTATATAAAAAGTCTCTTTAATATCTATATTTCATATTTTTATCGATTTTTAAAGTTTTTGCGAAAAGTATTCAATTATTTTTGCTATTTGGTCGGGTAAATGTTAGATTTGCGACATTTTCTGATATGATATTCAGATTCTACGTTGATAATAATGCTTATAGAACCCTCTTGCTATTGTGTCAAAATTGCGAAACCGATAGCAAAAATATCTCGCAATATCAAAATTGAGATATTGAGTGAATTATGCATTATAGAGATTAAAAATCTGATTTGTGAAAACATCTCATCAGTTTCTAGCTAATTCAAAAATCTTTACTATCTTATTCGATTAAAATGAAAAGGGAATAGTTTCATTATGCTTTAAATGACAGCCTTATAATATAATCATAGTTTTCGCTCAATATGCAGCATTTTTTTTCGAAATCTATGGTCAATGTCCTAAATATTGATTGCTTTTCATTCATATCTCTTACATTTTCTATACCCACATCACTATTCATTGCTATTCCTATCTTTTTCATTTTTGTTTGTTTCTCATAATTTCTCAAAAAACACGATAACTTGATATTTGTAAATATCATACTTTATAATGTAAATAAGAACTTGACCTATTAAGAAAAGCAGTAATGAAAAGAAAATCTGAAATTCATAAAAATTACAAGTTTCTGATGACAATTAGCTTAATTAAACCAGGTACAAGATTATATAATTGTATTTTCTATCCAATTATCCATATAATATCTTATCCAGAAAAAATAACTTGATCAATACCAAATGATTTTTAACTAGTAAATAAAGTATTTTCTTTACACACACATTGTATATCATAGTTTTTTTTTTGGTTTCGCAAAACATCCAAAAACAAATATGCTATAAAAGTGACAATTTTAGCAAAACGAAACCCTTAATGTATTTGATAAAATGTAATAAAAATGATTATTAAATTTTTGAATGTCTAATCAAACCATACTTCCAACAAAATACGATGAATTGATAAGTATCTACAAATATCATATCAATATATATAATGCATTGTATCGGCTGAAAACCGGAAATAATGAAGAACTTAACTCAATTTACAAATTAATCAAAATAGAATTAATTGAAACAAGGAAATATCCTCCTCCAAAGATTATAAAGGATATTTTAGATATTATTCCATATAAAAACCGTTATGCTAAATTCTATTTAGAACTTGCAAAAATCATATCTACTGATTATGATGTCACAAAAGTCAACAGTATTTCACTTATTTCAAACTTCCTATTTTACAACGAATATAGAATTAATTTAGACAAAACTCAAGATTTCGTAAATATGAGATTAATTAATCTAGATATTCATAAAGAAGATCCGATTTTCAGGGCGATTATGAATAATGACTTCAATGAATTTATTTCAATCACGGGAAGTGAACATTTTGATGATCTACAAAAACTTGAAAGTGATCTATATCCAGGTGATTTCAAAGAATATTCATTACTTGAATTATGTTGTTACCATGGAGCAGTTGATTGTTTCAAAATATTAAGAACGAAATTTGAATCAAAAATAACCCCATTATGTCTAATTCTTTCATTTTTAGGTGGAAATTCAGAGATCATGAGTGAATGTTTGAAAGATCAAAAACCAGACAAAGAATGTATGAAATATGCAATTATTTCACATAACATTGATTTCGTAACATTTTTAATGAATGAGTATCATGTTGAGATCAATTTGATTGAATGCGGATTGTATAATAATCTTGATTCATTTTTAGTTTATTTCGACCAAACAAATGATATTAACAGCGTTTTTGTTCGTTCAGCAATGTTTGAAATTCCATCTCTTTGCAGATATTTCCTATCACTCGGTTCTGATATCAATACAAAAGATAAAAATGGAGTTCTGGCTCTTAATGTTGCAGCAGGATGTACTTGTAACGAAATGGTGGAACTCTTAATTTCACTTGGCGCAAATATCAATGGAAAAGATAAAAATGGAAGAACTGCTCTTTATATTGCAATATTTGAAAATAACAAAGAAATAGTTGAGACTTTTCTTTCGCATGGGGCCAATATCAATGAAAAAGATGAACAAGGAAAAACTTATCTTCATACTGCAGCAATAAAAGGTAGTAAAAAAGCCGCCGAACTTCTTCTTTCGCATGGTGCAAATATCAATGAAAAAGATAAATATGGAAGTTCAGCTCTCTTTTATGCAATATTAAATAATAAAAAAGAAGTAGCTGAGCTTCTTCTTTCGCATGGTGCAAATATCAATGAAAAAGATAAATATGGAAGTTCAGCTCTCTTTTATGCAATATTAAATAATAAAAAAGAAGTAGCTGAGCTTCTTCTTTCACATGGTGCAAATATCAATGGAAAAAATAAATACGGAATGTCATGTCTTGGTCATGCAATATTTGAAAATAAAAAAGAAATTGTTGAATTCCTTATTTTACATGGTGCAGATATTAACGAAAAATTTTCTATTGGACTAACTGCTCTTAATTTTGCAGCGAATAATAATTGTAAAGATGTAGTTGAACTTTTGCTTTCATATGGCATAGATATCAATGAAAAAGATGATCATGGAAAAACAGCTCTTCATTATGCAGCAGGTCATAAAAATAGTAACGAAACAAACGAACCTCTTCTTTTACATGGTGCAAATATTAATGAAAAAGATGAATTTGGACAAACAGCTCTACATTGTGCTTCAGAAGCTAATAATCTGGCAATAGTTAGGTTTCTTCTTTCACATGGTGCAAATATAAATGAAATGGATGGATTTGGAAATACAGCATTTAAATTAGCAGTATGTCATTGTGGGGAAACAATGACTGATTTTCTTGCTTTACATGGTGCTAAAGGAATTTGAGGGGAAAAAAGCTTTTCCGTTTTTTGGATTGATTTAGCCATCCAGAAAGCCTACTATTGTAATATTAGATTGATCCGGTTGTATTTTCATTTATCGAATATATGAATATTGGATTTATACAAAACCAATATTCTTCTGTCTAAAGTATAACATTCTGGTTCTTTAAGGGTGCACTTACTCCCCTATGACGGGGCATTCAATTCAGATGTTTAAGGTTAAATTTCAATGGTGCTTCACACCCGTTGTCAAAAATTTGAATTAAAGTCAGATGGGCGTAAGTGCAGCCTTAATTTTTTTTTTTTTATCAACAGAAATATGTCAACTAAGGTAGTTCCAGCATATCATGCAGGATCGTGGTATCCAATTGGACAAGAACTTAAAGAAATGCTTGACGAATCATTTTCAAATGCAAATGTTAGCCAAGATAAGAAAGGTATCGTCAAAGCAATTATTGCACCACATGCAGGCTACGTTTATAGTGTTGCAACAGCTTCATATGCTTATAAAGCAATTGATCCTTCTAATTTTGATAGAGTTGTTATTTTAGGGCCCTCACATAGAATTTATGTCAAAAAATGTACAATTGCTGCAGCTGATGGCTGCGAAACTCCATATGGAACAGTTCCAATTGATAGAAAAGCTGCAGACGAGCTTTTACAGAAATATCCTGATTCATTCCAAGTTTTATCTATCGATCAGTCAGCAAAAGAACACTCTCTTGAGATGCAGCTTCCATTGTTGAAATATGTTTTCGGAGATAAACCATTCAGCGTCATTCCAATCATGATTGGAGACCTCAAAGAAGCTCAGCACAAGCAGGTTGTTGAAGCTCTCACACCAATTATTTCCGATCCAAAGACGCTACTTGTTATTTCATCTGACTTCTGTCATTGGGGCAATAATTTTGATTATTTCTACCTTCCAAAGGAAATCGAGAAATCAGAACCTGTTTACAAGAGAATCGAGAGACTTGATAAAATGGCATGGGAATACGTAAAGGATCATGATCCAAAAGGATTTACAAAATACATTTCTGAAACTGAAAATACAATATGTGGCTATGTTCCAATTACAATGGCCATGGAAATTCTCGTTAATTACGATGCTGAATTCCCTCATTATTCTCAATCAAGCCATGCAAAGAGCAAACATGATTCAAGCGTTTCATATTCAGCTGGCATATTAAGAATTTAAATGAATTTTGTTTATACCAAAGTAAAAACTTTAATGAAAATTTTAATAAAATTTTAATATTGTTTCTAATAAAGCCAATTACTAATGATTTCTGTTTAAATCTTTAAGGTTATTAAGCATGTTAAATTAAATAAGAGATTGTCTCAATTATACATTTTGCTTCATGAAAAATGATTCTAGAGCTAAAAATCTGATTAAAAAATATATGCATTAGTAAGTAGATTTAATTATGATTAGTTTAAAGATAAATTGTTTTGGACGTTTGTCACAAAATCAAAATGTCTGAAGAAGAAATTGTTTCTGAAAATAAAATTTCGAATGAAGAAGATTCCAATCAAAACAAACAAAATTTTAGTGTTGAATTAGAGGAAGAGGAAGAAACCAAAGAAAATACAACTGAAATGAAATTATCAGATGATGAAAATCAACAAATAGATGAAGAGGAAGAAGTCAAAGAAAATGGTGATGAAAATACAAATCAGAGTGATGAAATTCATGAAATTGAAAATGATACATTAGACGTTATAGCTGATAATTCAGATAACGATTTAATAAAAACAGTTAAACCTGTTGAAAAATTAAGTTCACAATCTAATTCTGAGAATACTCCAAAAGATGCTAACGAAGAAGAAGAAATCCCAATAACAAAGAAATCAAACGCAAAACCTATACAAGAAAATGAAATAGAGAATGAAATTGAAAATCTAAGCGAATTATCGGACTCTGAAATTCCAAAACAACAACCAGCAAAAACTCAAAAGCGACAGACTAGAAAGAGCGAACTTGAATTTAATAAGACATCAAAACTCAATAAAGAAAAGTTCAAACCTCAGCTAAAAGGACCAAAACAACTTACAATTAATTCACAAAATGAGAAATTAGTTAAGTTTCCTAATGTTAAAGATGATGGCAAATCAATTGTTCGTGTTCTGAATCTAACCCATAACAGGCTCGTCAATTTTGAAAATATGAATCAACTGCCTCATCTAACTTCTTTAATTCTTGATGAAAACTATATTAGATCATTTAAAGGAGCATGCTACTGCAAGAGCTTGCAATGGGTATCAATGCTCAAATGCCTAATTTCCAAAAATGGAAATTTCAAGTTAATGACTTTAATTGCGTTCGATAACATCCAAGAGAAAGTTGACAACAAAGGTGCTAAACATTATGTTGGATCTATTATTTCCATTAATAATTCCCCAGTTACAGAAAAATTAAGACATAACGCTTTTAAACTTGCACCAACTCTTAGACCGCTTTTAATCGAAGGGAAAGTTATATCATCTCTTAATCCATTAAGAGTTGTTAACAATGAGACAGATAATGAAGATGATAAAATTGTTGAACCAAATGAAGAACTTTTAGAGGCTACAACACGTCTTACTACATTAATACCTTCAGTTGCAGAAAAGATATTAACTAGATCAAAGCTCCAATCCCAAATTAGGGAACAACCTCGACCAAGCATTGCCGTTATCTGTAACGAGGTTGTTGCTAGTGAAGATATGTCTGTTTTCGTTCCGGACGCTATAGTCAGGGATGTAGCTGCTCAACTTTCGGAATTGCGTAAACAATACGAAAGAACTGAGCAACCAAATGAAGAAGAGGAGGAAAAACCAGACAATGAACAAAGCAATCAACATGATTCTGTTATTGATAATGATAAAAATAATGCTGATACGGAAAACGAAGAATATGATGAAATTATAAATGAAGAGGAATCCGGCGAACCATCAGAACCAAAGAAATCTGATGTTTAATTGAAATTCTATAGAACTATATCAAAACTATAAAATAAACTTTTGTTTTTGTTTATATCTAATTTTAACAAAATGTTTTCCATAATTAAGGCCAATGGCAGTACAATAGTTCTCAGTAATGAAGTTAATATATTAATGGATTATGACAGTTCTGGAAAAAGAAAAAATATGATCTTTTTCAGATCGTATTTTTCAATATCTTCATATATTAAATTTCCAACTTTCTTTCATACATTGAATTTTTCCATAATTCATACAATTTCTATTAGATTTTTCCACGCAATAAATTTCATCTTAACGTTGTTTTTAGATATTTAAGATAAATATGTGTTTTTTGATTTGTATTAAAATACATGTCATCGATTATGAAAATAATCAAATTGAAAAAATAATAATCCAAATTTTAAAGAATTATAAATGAAATTTACCACGAAATTAACTTATTACTGGTCAAATTCCCACTTAGCAGAGTTTGTTGCAGCAACAACATCCTTGGTTGTAACTGTTTCCCAGAAACCTGGAAGAAGCTTAAGAACCCGTGGATCTGTAACGACAACGTTCATCTTCTTCATTGGGTTGTAAATTGTACGACGTGGAGCATCGCTTGGCATTGTGTTTGGAACTTGAGCGGCTTGTGCCTTAAGTTCGTCAGCAGCGTTGGCTGGTGTCTGAACTGGAAGACCAACTGCAAGAATTGGTGAAATAGCAATAGAAAGGCAGCAAACGAAATCAGCGAAGTTGACTGATGGTTTGATATATCTTCTCTCGATGAATGTACGGGATGAGAACCAGTTCTTCTTGCACTTTGTAAGGCAAATGCAAATATCAGCAAGTGTGAACTTAAGATCGATTCTCATGTATTCGGTTTGGATTGTATTTCCATTGCCAAGAGGGTTGAAAGAATAAACGAAGGTGTTGAATGTACCCTTGTTGTTAGCGTAGAATGAGTCGCAAACTAATTGTGAAGCTTCTCCCCATTGGTATGTTTCGAAATCACGATCAATTGCAAGGGATTCGGCAATCTCTTTTCTGTATGATGAAACTGGAAGGGCCTCATTGATTTCGTCAATAAGGACATCGATAAACATTGACATTTCATTAGCAGCAACTTCTCCAACAGAAAGTGCAGATTCTGCATTAAATGAAGAAAATGTGTTGCTTGTTGCAAGCTTGTAAGCGCCAACTGCCATACTGCGCTTGACAGCAAGTAAAAGAAGGGAGTTAGAGGTACTCGTTGTCATTAAAAAATTTTGTGACATTGCCATGTAAAGTTGTCAAGTTTGACAGTTCGTTGGATACAAGATTTAATATACATAGAATATACATTAATTTTAAAATGTTATCCATAAATTGAAATTGGCAAAACCGATTTTTGCCTTGATCTTCTTTTGTACAGAAAAATTAAATTAATATTATACATTTGAAGATTATCCTAAAATGTGGTTAATGGTTGTTGAATTTTGAATGGATTAAGGTTGTTGCTCTTAATTTTTTTTAAATGAACAAGTCATACATTCAGTTATATTGCCGAAATCCTGAAGTTTTAAAAATTCAATAAATTGAAAGAATAATATTTTTAAAAGAGAAGGTTGATTTGGATTTTCGGAAGAAACTATATGCTTTTAATTAGTAATCTTTGGCTGATTTTCAATTGTTGGTCTGTCTATAGTTTCCTTCAACCAATAAAATTCTTTACTTTTATCATTGACATGAAATGAAGATGTATTTATATTAAATTTGGATCATTAAAGCAAGAACTTAAGTATGGCATCTCATCCTTCTAAGAATATAGACTTGACTGAAAATTTTATAAAACTTTCGTCAGGGATCAGGTATCTATCTATTTTTAGCATCACAATGTTTTCCCTATGAATTAATCCTAACACAGATCAATTTTCTATATTTAAACTCTCATTGATAGAAAAATGAAGAATTTGATCGGTTCCATCTGGTTTGATATATGAAGATAAGTATTTTATGAAGATTCATAATGTCAAAGAAGAAATATTTATCAAACACAAAAATCCCGCCATTGAGCATTTTGAATTGATGATGTTTTCTCATTCAAAATACGTTTGCAATACAAAGAAGCTTAATTATTACATCAAATGAGATCTGAAATGTAATGATTCCAAAAAACGTATTTTTAGTCGATGCGTTCTGAGGTCAAAGTTCACTCAAACGAATCACTAAATTTCCTTCTGGTTGGAAATTGCCCTATAATTACATCCAGAAGGCCTGCTCTTGACAGTACATCAAAGAAAAAGCTTGAGCCTGCTTTCGATTTAACAGGTTTTCCACCTCCAATTACAAATATGAAGAGCATTAGGCCAAAAACAACAATGGCTCTCGCTCGTCATAGAGTAAAGAAAGAACCTCTTTCAACAGCTAAATACGCTGCAATTCATAATGAAGAAACATTTTTGAAAAATATGGAAAACAACCTAAATATTTATGCAGATAATCACCAAAGAAAGATTGCTCAAATACATCATGATTGGGAAGAACGATACATGACCCCATTTAACGATCGTCTCAAGAGTAGACTATCTGGTCAAGTTTACGATAATTACAAGCTTGAGCAAACAAGAAATATGAATACCCCTTCTGATACAAGGTCATTCAGTACTCTTTCTTACGATAAGCCGATAAATGTCCCCACATTACGCGTTTCGGTTAGTGGTCTTAGAGATAGAGTTCATAATTCCACAATGCATGTTGAAAAAGAAAGGCAATTAACCGAAATTGTTAACAGTTTGTCTTCTGAAGGAAAAGTTGCACCAAAGCCGATGAAAGCTATTCGCCCTCCAGAAGAAGTTGTGGCTCAGCTTTCTCATACGAGATTTTACGATGGTGATGGAACATGCAACAAAAACGGAAGAAGAACATTCAAGCAACAATTTTCTTCTTCTCTCAATAGAGATTTTAATTATTTCGATTGATTTATTACTGATGTTTTGTAATGTTTTGTTATAAATGTAATATAACTTCTATTATTTTGAATTTTCAAAAATTATTTCAAACCAATATCATATATACGATATATACTTACAAACAATTTATTCAATAAGAACGCCAACATTTGGCTTTCTTCCAAATTTTTCATTATATTCTTTTTCTTTGACAATTAAAAGTTTCTTATATTCTACAAGATCTCTTGTATTATTTTTGAGCTGGGTTAGTATTATCTTCAATCTACCTGTCAATAATTCAATTCTTTCCAAGTCACTCGCTCTTCCTGGTCGTGTATTGAATTTTTCAATCAAATCATCTCTCTTCTTCTCTAAAACCTCGATTTTTTCATTATAAAATAGTTCTAATGCTTGCCAATTGTCTTTAACATTCTCATTTTCGTCAACTAGCTTTGATTCGAATTTCTGAAGTTCATAGTTATTCGATTCAATTCTATGCCTAATAGTGTCATCACTGTCTTTCTTTGTTTGTTGGATTTTCAGCTGTTGTTTAGAGATTTCATCATTAATTTCTTTAGAATGATATTGGAACGATTGGTTTTCTTGGGATATTGTTGTTTCTATTGCTGCTTTGATTTTACTAGCTTCTTCTTTTTCTTTTTGGGAAATTAACGAAATTGAAATTCTCATATCTTCCAATTTCTTTTTGATTTTGTTTTCCATGAATTTACTGTCATTTTCCAATGTCAGAATTCTAGAATCATTATCGTTCTTCATATTTTCAATTTTCATCTGAAATTCTGCAGTTTCTTTCTTCGATTGACGTTTAGCTTCTGAAATTAGCTCATCACATCTTTTGATTTGATAGTCAAGTTCAATTTGAAGCTTCTTGATCTCTTCTTCATTTGAAATTTGTAATTTCTTGCTTTCAAGTTCAACAATATCATTCATATGCTTGGCCATTATTTGCTTTAGTTTGTCTTGCAATTTTCTACTTTCTTCTTCTGTTTCGGCTGCTATTTCTTGAATTCTATTCATCAAATTTTTCTTAACTTGCTCTTTTGCTCTTCCTGAAGATCCAGATGAACTTGTATCTGTATGACGCTTAATTTCATTCTCAATCATTGTGTTCCATTGATTCTTCATATTGATTTTTTCATCTTCAATTTCTAATTTTGTCTTGGAAATGGTATTAGTAATATCTTTAATGGTTTTATCATAAGTAGCAAATGATTTGTTGGCAGGAGGAGTTATTGAGTCAAGTTGTTTCTTTAATTCTTCGTATTCTTTTTTATATCTCTCTTCAGAACGAGAAATTTCCGTATTTTCTTGATTTTCTTTCTTTATATTTTCTATTTCTTTGTCGTAGTTAGCTGCTAACTCTTCCCTTCGCTTATTTTCTAGCATAGAATTTGATTTTTCAACAAAAGATAATTTTTGAGTTCTTTCATTTGTATAATCCTGGTATTTCTGATTTAGTGTTGATTCTAAGTTAGTTTCAGCATCCAAAAATTTCTGTTTTTGAATTGTATTAATATTATTAGTTTCAAGATCGAAATTATTGGATTTCTGCTTAACAATACTAATCTGTGTATCTTTTTCTTCTTTAAACTTTTGCAGATTTGCTCTTGCATTTGATATTTCCGTGTTATCAGAAATTAATTTTTTCTCAAAGTCAGATCTCATTTGCAACAGTATTGCACGATATCTAGCAACAGTATTTTCTTCCATTGTCTTCATATTTGCTGTTGCATTTTTGAGTAATTGCTGATTTCGAGAAATTAACTGTGAATTATCCCTTTGTAACATTTCTTCTTCCATTTCAAATGATTTCTGTGTTTCTAGAATTAATTTTTCTTTCTCATTCAAAAGTTTTTTAGTTACATTTTCTGTAGATTCAATTTTTTGCTTTAATGCTTCTTCCTCTTCTATATACTGCTTTTGGAGTTGTTGTATTGAAGCATCATATGATCCTAATGATGCATATTGCTCATCAAGCAACTTTTTTTCTTCATCTCGAAAATTTTTAAGCACTTCTTCGGTTTCTCGGCACATTTTCTGCAATTTTAGTTCATTTGAAGCTTTTATTGCTTTGAGCTCTTCAGTTAATTTTTTAATCATTTCATTATGCATTAATTCGAGTTTTTCTGTTCGATCTCTCTTACTTTGAAGCTTTTCTTTATATGTTTCTTTTGAATTAATCAAATTGCTAATTTCAGAGTTGATTTTTGCCTGCAAATCATTGAAATAATGATCTTGTGATACTTCTTGATATTTATCTGAGGAAATCTTTAATATATCTTTATTTATTGATACTCTTGAACGTGTTTCTTTGAGAAATTCATTAAATTTGATCAATTCAGGAGTATCTTCCATATATCTTGAATTTAATGCTTTCATTTCCTTTAAATGATTATCATTCAACTCCTTTAATCTTGCATCTGCTTGCTTTTCGTACTCATTATATTTTTTAGTCGATTCTTCTTCAATATTTTGTAATTCTTTTAAATATTTCTGTTTTAATGAAGGGTCTTCAAGTATTTGTCCGATCCTAACTGCACAATTTGCATAAGCTGACTGATTTCTAAGTAATTTTGAAGATATTTCTGTGATTTCTGCCACAAACTTTGAAATTTCCGATTGAGATTGAATAAATGTTTGATTTACTTGGTCACTTAGATTTTGCTGATTTACCATGAATGAATGATGCAATTCATTAAATTTAGAATTAAATAATTCTGAAATTTCGTTGGAAATTGTTGAGTTACATGTAGAAGCTTCTTGAAGTATTGGAGTGATATCTTTTTCGTATTTACTTGCTAAATCTGCCCATATTTGGTTGTAATAATTTTCCAGATATTCTTTTTGATGCTTCTTTTCCGCAAGTTGTGATGAAAATAGTGAAATAACCTTCATTAGCTGCGAGATTTTTTTGCTTACGTTGAACCGAATTGCTCGGGCAGCTAAACTCATTCAAGTTATTTCAAATTTTCTGAACTATTTGACAAATTTAGGATCAATTACTTGCCAAATTTCGATTGTTGTATAATATACTTGATCAAAATATTTTAAATTTTTAAACGTACATTTTTCAAAAGAAAATGTTTGTAACAAATTTTATTGCTTTTTCCAAATGAAATAGAATATGTTAAACAATAGTATAACTATTTTTAAAGAGGAACTTAATATAATCACAGAACAATACGATATATTTACTTCAAATAAAAATATAACAAATTAGTTTTCTTCTTCAGGTTCTCCGTAAACTTTAACTTGAAGCTGTTTGAGTTCGGCTTCAAGTTGCTTATTTTCTGTCTCAAGTTCATTGATTTGGTCTAAAATTATCATATCATCTCTTTCTGTATCTTCATATTGTCTCTTTATCTCCTGAACTTTGGCAGCAATGTCTGATGTCTGCTGGATAGTTATGTTACTTTGCGTTTTAGTCGCTCCGACAGACTGTCTCAACTTCTCTTTGTCTGATCTGGAAATCTGCAACTGCTTCTCATGGAATCTCTCGAGACGCTTTTGAACGGATGCTGCAGCTTGAGCTTGATAAACGGCTGACTCCATTGAACGTTCAATATGCTTCTTTGCAGCACTATATTGAGAATTAAGAGCATTGAGATATTCATTGTAGCATTTTTCACGTTCACTCATTTCATCTTCCAATTTATGAAGTGAGATTTGATGTTCAAGCTCTCTCATTTCGATTGTTGATAATGTTTCGTTAATCTTTGCTTTAATATCTCTGACTTCGCTACGAGATTGTGCAAGTCTACTTGATATTTGCTCCTGTAAATATTTTATTCGCTTTTTGTGTTCCTTTGATGCTTTCATACTTTGTTCTCGAACTTTATTGAGATTTACTGTTGAAGATGATGCAGATTTTTGATAGTCTTTTCTAGCTTGCTTTAGCTCTTCTTCCAATGCTGAAAGTTCTTCTTCTTTTTCGTGCTTGAGAACTTCAATATGTTCTCTTGCCCATTTTTCGGCTGCTTTTGTTCTTGCCATATATTCTTCCATAAGGGATTTGATTTCTATCTTATTTTGCTCGCGACAAGACTCGATTTCTTTCTTATTTGATTCAATTATTTCTTGTATATCGTTGTTATCATCTTCTTCCTCTTCTTCATGAGCTGCCTTTGCTTCTTGTGCTTTTATTAATTGTCCTAATTCTTGATATTTTAGAGAAACTTTACTTCTCATTGTTGCTAATCTTCTTTCTGCATCATCAATTTTAGCATTTATCTCATCAATAGCTCGTTGCCGTTCAGCAATAAGAGCTTGGCCTTGTGTTTGCAAAGCTTCCATCTGAGACTGTTTCTGGGTTCGGAAAGAAGTAATTTTCAGACTAAACGTATGGACTTTACAGGCGCGACCTTCAATAATTTTAGCAAATGCAGTCATAAAGGAAAAATGGGGAGAAGCTTCCTAAACTTTTTAATTCCATAAATATGGTCATTATCTGGAATAAAGAGTTAAGCGTCATATGTCACTTTTTGTACTAAGGAAACATCGACTTTATGCGTTATGACTTTTCGATGAGGAAACAAGTGTTCACGTATTATAAACTTCCTTATTCCAATAAACCGACCCTAAACATAATTAATTCTAAGCATGATAATGGTCTCTTTTCTATGATAACCAATTCAATTTGGTTATCATAGTAAAGCACCAAAAACTGGAATAGGAATCGGCAATATGGAATCATGAAGCAACTCGGATAAAATAAATATGGAACATTCATACATCCATTCCCTATTTTTAACCATATTATATTTTCAAACAAAATTCTCGTACTATTTTCAATAAAATTTGCATAACCTTGTTATTACTCTTAGGCGAAAGATGATTTTAATGTTAATTTTATAGAAGAACTTTTAATGCATAATAAAATAACCATTTCCTATAAATTTAGACTTAAAACGGTGACAATAAACAAGCTTTAGTCTAGAAATTAATTTTCTACTACTATAAATGCATCTTTATCTTTAATTAGAAAAAAATTTATCAATTTTATTATCCAGATGAAAAAAGAAGTGACATATGATATTTTATCTAATTTAAAATCTTTTATTGATTGTTTTTAAAAACTTTGCATTTTGTATGAGTATTTTATGTTTAAATCAGTATAAATACGCAAAATACTTATGAAATTCCAGCTGTTATTCAGTACTATTCATTTTTCAGCAATCATTAACTGTGGAAGAGTATGGCAAACGTTCGATAATGATCATGTATACTCAGATCATCAAGAATGAATTAAAGTCAATGCAGGGAAATGGATAATCCTATTAAAAACCCCAAAAAGGAAAAAGATATTATATGAACGTCTCACAAATGGTTAGTACTAAGCTCTTTCCTGATGATTGAATATTCTTTCATATTTTTGTATATTGTAAGGGATTTTCTCCCCAAATATATAATACCTTCCTTATAAACGATCTACTTTCTTTGAATACAAGTATAATTTTACATTTTAGGAAAAAAATTTATTTTTTCAAATTTATCTTATAACAATAGAGATTTATATATGTGTGTGTCAATATAGGCTTTAGTGGTATAAAATTGGGTAGATTTTGTTTTATTTTGAGTAAAAAATTCAAAAAATACTACCTCATTTTGCGTGCAAAGGAATAGTCAGAGCTATTTAATAACATTTTACGAATGAACTATGGAATTACTATAACTTTTGAAGAAATTTCAAAGTTAATAGAAGATTGTATTTTAGAAATCAGCTAAAAGAATGATGTGCATACATCAAGCGTTAAAGTATCCTAATCAGAATATAGTAATATACAATGATTAGCAAAGCAGATTTGAATCGGCAAGAAGAGTTGCTTAAAAAATCAGTTGAGTCTTCTCTAGTTTCCACACTGCCTATTCCTGTTTAAGTGCGGTTATTCCTATTCCAGTTTTTGGTGCTTTACTATGATAACCAAATTGAATTGGTTATCATAGAAAAGAGACCATTATCATGCTTAGAATTAATTATGTTTAGGGTCGGTTTATTGGAATAAGGAAGTTTATAATACGTGAACACTTGTTTCCTCATCGAAAAGTCATAACGCATAAAGTCGATGTTTCCTTAGTACAAAAAGTGACATATGACGCTTAACTCTTTATTCCAGATAATGACCATATTTATGGAATTAAAAAGTTTAGGAAGCTTCTCCCCAATGCATTTGATATTATAGAAATTTCACCAACTAATCTTTTAGTGTATAAAAAACTAAAGTAAATAATTTTATTATTTGAAGTATATTTAAGCAATCAATATATATCAATTAACTACAATAATCTTTAGATGCTTTCTAAAAGTTCTCTGATGCGATCAAAACCTTTGCGCCTAGCAATGTCTATTGAATTTTCACCATCATTATTAACCAATAAATGTATATAAAAATATCTAATATTTTGATGATGACAAAAGTACTCAACAATATTATAATAGTTATTAATTACGGCTAGATGAAGAGGAGTATTTCCATCGTTATCTGGCTTATCCAAATCATAGTTATATTGCATAAAGTATTTAATAGCATCAATATTTCCTGTTGCAGCGAAAAAATGAATAAAAGTTCTGCCTGTTATACCATCTGTTGCAAATTTATTTGCCCCAAATTCTATAAAAGTTTTAGTTAATTCAATATGTCCTCTAATTGCCGAAGTGATGTAAACACATAAATTAGCCATTTTCGGCTCCACAACTTGTTTTTTGAATTTATAATAATAATAATATATGGTTGCCAAATCTCCTTCATCTGAAGCTTCTTTAATTATTCTATAAACTTCTTGGAATGCTGGTTTATCTAATTTCATATTATTAATTTTCTTAATTTTTGGTAGATTTTCTCCAATCTTTTTAATAATATCATTTCTATCGGAATTTTCAGATCTCAAACTTATTATTTCTGATGATTTTGTTTTATTCTGCCTTGTTAATTGATCGATCTCATCCTTTCGAGATAAATTTTCTCTTTTTAACCTTGTCACTTCATCATTTAGTTTTATGATATCTTCATTAAGTTTTGAACTGTCTTTCTTCAATTTTTCATTTTCATTTTTCAATTTTAATATTTCATTATATTGCTTCGAGTTATCCTGGCGAAGTGAATCATTTTCTCTTCTTAATTCTTCATTCTTGGAATTTATTGATTTATTCATTTGATTTACTTCTACAATTCTTATGTCTTTTTCATTAGTTTTATCTATCAAAGACTTGAAAATCGATACTATTGATGATTGACCATTTGTTGTGGATATAGCTTTGAAAAATTGGTTTGCATTCCTTATTTCAATATATTCGTCACTGAGATATGACACGAGTTCAATAAATGCAGAGCATTTATTCGCAAGAGAGAAAATGATGTCATTTGGATTTTTATTATTTTTATTGAAATGTATGATTAATTGTTCTGCAAAATCCAATCCGATTTCAACAATTGAATCTATGAGATCATTATGGTTGATTGAATCAATATTTTCGCATATGAAATCTAATATTTTGTTATTGTAACCAATATATTTGCAATATTTAATCATTATGAATATGTTTTCTTTTGTGTATTCATCATTTTTAAATCTTTTAGTGAATAAAGATATTAAATAATCGCTTTGCAATACTTCTCCGAGTTTGAAAAAGTCAATTGCTACATTTTCATTGATATCTTCTGGAATTTGCAGCTTCAATATCTTGTCGAGCACAATGTATGTGTTACCATCTTTTATATCTGCAAAAAATCTGAATTCTTTTGTAGATCGATTGAAATAAATTTGGTTTTTAATTTTACTGCAAATTGCCATCCCAACATAAAGATTTGTATCATAGGCATGATCATTGATATATATCTTAATAAAATGGGGATCGAACGTTTGCAGTGATTCATATACTTTGGCAATAATTTCACTCATTATAATTTTGAAAATGAAGGTGGCTTTTTTTAATCCACTTCACTTCATTTTGTCTCCCAATCATAATTTTATACAAGAATATGATTTTCAGTCAACAAATGCTAAATAATCTTAAAGAGAGACATATTTCGTTTTGATTTTATCAAATTTAAAGTTATTTCATTGATTGTTTTAATTAAGATAAAAGGGGGGAACTCATTTTTTTGACCAAAAAAGTGGCACCTGAGTATATTGTTTCTGCTTTATCTGATCATTGAAACGGAATTGATCCACGTTATTAGTATGAAACAATGATCTATTAGGGACTAAAGAATATTAGTATTACAAAAACCCAATTATTCGATGTTCAACTCATCATATCTTGCATTAAAGTTGATACCTTTATTTTTTCGAAATATTACAACAGTAGCAACCTTACGTATTACCAATGATAGTCAGAGTACTATTTTGGCATAAAAAAATTAAAACGATATTAAAACAACAGATTGACTAGTCATTCTGGTATAGTATCATGCATACTACCAGGTGATAAAATCTCAAATATCTTAGCTTAACTTCCGTTTGATTATGAGATACAGATCTAATGTTGCTTGTTTTGTAGCCATAGTCACTAACTAATAACATTATTATGATAAGAAGACTAAATGTGCGAGTTTAATATACATTTGATTCAGATTTATTATCGAAAATCAAATCACAATATATATCTTGAACTCATCTGTTAATAAAATCATGATATTATTGATTGTTTTCTAGACGTTTACAATATTTTCTAAACATGTGAAGATAATCCTTAATTTGAACCAGAAATAATTGCTAACAATGGATGGTTAGCTATATAGAATAATATATTATTTTTGATAGTAAACTATGACTGATTTATAATTTAGGAATATATTCTTCTTTTCTATATCTTTGAAAAATAGTTATATATGATTTTGCTGTATAAGTGATATATTTTAGTAGAAATATTATAGAATAGCAAAAATAAAAAGGTTTTATCGATTTATAACACAATGAAAATGGTTTATTTCTCTCTAAATTATAAATTTTCAAAAAAAATTAACCTCATTTTTCCAAAAAAATCGAGAATTGAAAAAAACGTTATCATTTTCTAGAAAATTGCATAGGCTTTTTCTAAAATGGAAAAAATTTGGAGAAACTCACCAAGGAGAACTTCATTTTAGGTGTCCAAAGCAATTGCTATCAGTCAAAAAACCCCCGAAAATTTTAAATATTGATATCGATTTTCATCAATCACTTAAAATCGATTGTTTGCAGTCGATGTTATCACATATTATTAAATTCTAATATACTTGAACATACTACAAATTGTTTTTGAAACTTATCAACATTTCGCGCAATTTAACAATACTCCAACTCTCATACACAGTTACCATTACCACAGTCTCATTTTAAGAAGAAATGATTAATAAAATCTAAGATCTAACGATTTAATTACCCAATTCGAATAATATTTTTAATTATAAATACTTATTTGTGCATGTTTTATATACAGATGTAGAAAGAAAAACGAATAAAGTGTTTCTTCAGAAAAATACCTGAAAGCACCCTAATCATTAAACAATTTACTTTTTTAGCATCGAATTTTACTCGTCTTGAGCCATATTTTTCGTTTAATTTTCATAATACGATAATACATATGGGTTATCAAGTAAAGTATGGATATTTTAGAAGATGATAATATATCTCGAAATCAAACAAAAGTCATTCTATGAGTCCATACACACTATTACTATACTTCATATGTCAAGCATAATGGGAACAATTTTGGTCGATACCTTTGTTGTCGACGAAGTTCCCCCCTTTTTAAGATCAAAATTATTGAAGCAAAGCGTTACATATATCATTAATCCTTTTAATTCGAGCAAGTGAATAAAATCTAGATTTTATCGGCACGTTGCACCGATAGAAAACAATGTAAAAAAGTGCACGTTTTTTGATTTTTTGCTTCAATGGATGAGCGATTTGTTAAGCGCAAAAATCAGCTTCTCCAGTTTGAGCAAAATGTAATGAAAGAAAAATCATTAGTTAAGAAATTAGGGCAAAAGCTTCCTGAAGATTCTATTAGAACGCCTAAAATTGGTGAATGGTCGCTATCACATTCAGATTCACTCGAAACAATGAGTGTCAAGAGTGCTGAAGTTCCATTTCCACGTTCTAATAGTAAAACAAGCATAGTTGAGCCTAATGTAACAAAGAAAAAGAATCCAAATCCAAAAACAAGTCGATCTAAAACAAGTTTAGCACCACCATTTATACCTCATCAACCAAGACTTACCGATTCTCTTCAAGGTGAAGTTGCAAACACTGTATTTCCACCAGGAACTGTTACAACCAACTTAAATGATATATTAAAATCGAAATATAAGCAACCCATTAAACCACTACCACCATTACAAGAAGAACTATCGCAAGAAGAACCTCAGTTTTTACCATTAGAAATGTTCGATGATTTAACTTACCAAGAATTCCCAATTGACGTATTAATGAAAGATCCAATTGCCTATTCTAAGTACCAGCAGCTCGATGGCTCATTTTACTGGGCCAAATGTACAGTATTAGATTATGATGATAATTCCGGTTTATTTTTGATCGAATGGGATGGTACAGGTCGTCGTAAGAAAGTTGCCAGATTCAATATCCGTTTCCGCAAAGAGAATCTACAAAAATTCCAAGACAGAATCGCACACGCCAAAGAAATGTGTGTCAGAGCGGAAACACAACTTAGATTTGACTCCAGAGTTGCAAACATGAGTACAGACAACATTCCAACACTATCTCCTGATAATATACAAGCTTTCCATGATAAGCTCGATATCAAAATGGGTCCAAAAGATCAACAACTCCTTTCTCAACTTGACGAAGAAGTTACAAATGAATTTAAATTCATTATCAATAAAATGGAGTTTGTATCAGATTTACAAACGAATACTTCGATACCTAATAGAGATGACTTCTTACTGATACAGCCTAAACCTGCTCCAATACCTAAAAATGGTTTAGTTCCTCATGAAAAATTCGATTTTAATGCAATTTTCGAACAAATCAAAGCCAAACACTTATACGCACAAAAATCTGTTTTAAGAGGCATTCAAACAATCTGGAAGATTTTCCAAGATTCCGTTTCTTTGAATTTTTTGGATGACCACTACGATCAAATTGTTTCTCTTGAAGATTTCATGAAAATGCAGAGAAATACTTTGACAACAACTGCTTCAAGCTTCAAGAAACAAATCCAGAACACTTTGGAAGGTGTTATGGGTAATACAATGCCAAATCAACTTGCAGCAATGAAAAAGGACCGTGAAATATTTAATAACATGGTTTCTTTAACAACACATATGCTTCATACTGTTCTTTTGACAATTGTCAATAAGAATCTTCAAAGATATAATACTTTGTTTTGTAGATACACTGAGAAAACTGTAGAAAGAATTCCTTCACAATTCTCAGCAACATTATTAACAGAAAACAAACATTTGACGTTTAAACCTTCTGTTGCAGAATTTAAAGAAGGATTTCTCAAAATTTTGGATGAATTCGAGGAAACAGTTAATGATTTACCTGTTGTTAAATCTGCATTGGTTGAAGTGAACTCTTCTGCTGTTTCTTTTGAAGATTGTTCATCTCAAATTAAAGAAGAACGAGAAATGCTCACGAAAATGCTTGATACTATCTTGGAGCAAATGGACAGTTTCATAAAAGAAAGAAGTTTCTTAGAAGGAGTTCTTTCTCTTGATCCAATTGAATATACAAAGAATTTCGATCCAAATGGAACAAGAACACTTAATGAATACCGTGCACAATTAACAGAATTCAACAAAGTATTAGGTATAATACAGAATACAATGAAAGAAGATTATCAACTCGGTGCATTTTTTGTATCTTGTGAAGATTTCAAGAAAGAAAAATCAGCTCAAATCAAAGAACTAATATTCCAATTCCTTACACGCATAAAGACGCTTGCTTTGCAAGGAATTTCTGATTTGAAGACTGAATTTGATACAATTGAAGTAACATTGAAGAAAGTTCCTAATACTCCTGAAGAATTAGCGGCTATGAAGAAGTATCTTGAACATGTTTACAATTCCAATAAACAGAGAACGAATATGATGAATATTGCAAACGAAAGATTTGCGTTTCTCGAAGAATTCCATTTCGAAACTACAAACGAAGAAGTTAACTTCCATTACAACATCAGACAAATGCCACAAAAGATCATGGCTGAGATGGAACAAACAGAAAGAACATTATCTGTCGAAAGAATCAGAATGGTTAGAGAACTTAGATCGAATCAACAAACTCTCGAATCAGAAGTTAACGATCTTACTGAATTTTTGGCTGCTTTCGCTGCAAAATATACAGATTTGGATATGACAATCGAAGCTGTCGACCAAATCAACGAAATCGGTGCAAAACTCAAGAAGATCAGAGAACAAAACGATACATACTCAACTCACGAGAAATTGTTCGATTTCGAAGTTGGAATGTGCAAACCATTGCAAAAACTTATTGAAGATTTCACTCCTTTATCAATATTATGGAATCTTGCATCAGAATGGAACCAAACATATACAACATGGATGGATACTCCATTCCCACAAATCAGAGCTGATGCAATGAATCAATTCATGTCTCAATCCACTAAAAAGATCACAAAACTCAGGAAAGATCTTGCTAATCAACATGTCTTGATTACAAAAGTTCTTCAACCATTATCAGAACAAATTGATGCATTCAAAACTCATGTTCCTATTATTACAAGGCTCAGACACCAAGGTATCAAGACAAAGCACTGGGAAATCATCTCAGAAGTTGTTGGTTTCAAAGTCATGCCATCAATGGAGTTAACTCTCCAAAATTTCCTCGATTTGAATCTCGAAAGATGGAACGACAAAATCACAGAGATTGCAAGTGTCGCTGCTCAAGAATATTCATTAGAATTATCATTAGATCAAATGGATGCTGATCTTCAACAGAGGAAATTTGTTACAGGAGAATTCAGAGATACAGAGTGCTTCATTCTCCATGAAATTGATGATGTCACATCTGTCATTGATGATCAATTAATTACGACACAAACATTGTTGACATCTCCTTTCATTGCTCCTGTAAAGAAACGCGCTACAGATAGATTGAATTTCCTCAAGATGTGCAGCGAAACACTCGAAGCATGGATATTATGTCAAAGAAGTTGGCTCTATTTGCAGCCAATTTTCACAGGAACATCTATTCAACAGAAATTATTGACAGAAGCAAGAGATTGGGGAACGGCTGATAAATCATGGCGAGAAATAATGGAAATGACACATGAACACTCAGAATTCAACACTGTTATGCATAGAGAAGTTCTTTTACCAACATTACAGAAATGCAATGAATTATTGGATAATATCACGAAAGGTTTGAATGAATATCTTGAAACAAAGAGATTAGGATTTCCAAGATTCTTCTTCTTGTCAAATGATGAACTTATTTCGATTCTTTCTCATACAAAAGATTTCGACAAAATACAGGATTCAATGCAGAAATTGTTCGAGTACGTGAACTCTATAACTGTTACAGAAAACAACGAAATCACACATATGAACGATTCTACAGGCGAAACTGTTAAATTGTCGAATATCGTTGATGGAAACACTCCTGAAATTGAAGATTGGTTGAATCATTTCGAGGAAGAAATGAAGGCAACATTAAAGGATTATGTCGCTGATTCTATTCCTGCTTATGGTAAGAAGAAGAGAGAATACTGGCTCACTGAATTCCCTGCGCAAGTTGTTTTGATGACAAACCAAATCATGTGGACACAACAAGTCACAAATGTTTTGGCCGGCCAAAAATTGAGAGGCTTGAAAGTTTTGATGCAAAAATTCATCGAACAACTTGAAAGCCTTACAGCATTAGTTAGACAACCAATCTCCAGGCAAACAAGACAAGTTGTTTCTTGTTTGTTGATCTTCGAAGTCCACAACAGAGATATAATTGCTCAATTGATTGAAAACGAAGTTTCTGATGTCGAATCCTTTGAATGGCAGAAACAATTGAGATATTATTGGGATGATGAAACAATCATGGTCAAATCAATCAATAATACTTATGAATATTCATATGAATACGCAGGAAACTCCGCGAGATTGGTTATTACTCCTTTGACAGATAGATGTTATCAAACACTTTTATCTGCTTTCAAACAAAACTTGAGCGGCGCTCCAAGTGGTCCAGCAGGTACAGGAAAAACAGAGACAGTTAGAGATTGTGCAAAAGCTCTTGGTAGACCTTGTGTTGTATATAATTGTTCTGAAGAAGTTACTCCTGAGCAAATGTCTCAATTCTTCGCTGGTTTGTCATCATCAGGTTCATGGTCTTGTTTCGATGAATTCAACCGTATTAACATCGAAGTTCTTTCCGTCATCGCTCAGCAAGTCAGAACAATACAAAACGCAATTTCTGAGAATGCGGATTACTTCCAGTTAGATCAGAGAAGACTCAAACTCAATGTCAATGCAGCTATTTGCATTACAATGAACCCAGGTTACGCAGGACGTACTGAATTACCAGATAACTTGAAAGCTGTGTTCAGACCATGCGCTATGATGGTTCCTGATTTCGTTTTCATTTCAGAAATCCTTCTTTTCTCCGGTGGTTTCAAAGATGCTTCTGTTTTATCTGTCAAACTTGTTGCTTTGTTTGATTTATGCAGAAAACAATTATCTAATGCCCACCACTACGATTGGGGCTTGCGTGCAATGAAAGCTATTCTTTCAACAGCAGGAAAGGCGAAAAGAAATGACTTAAATGCTGATGAAGCAACACTTTTAGTTCAAGTCATCAGAGATTGTACAGCTCCTAAATTAATTTCAGCAGATATTCCTTTATTCGCTGGAATTATTCATGATGTATTTCCAAGTGTTACTTCCAATAAAACGAAGAACGCACAGCTCATTAATAACCTCAAAGATGCTTTTGTCGAACTCAAATTACAGCCTGCACAGATTTATATCGACAAATGCATAGAACTCTATGAAACAACATTGGTCAGACATGGTATAATGTTGGTAGGAGGTTCAATGGGTGGAAAATCATCAAGTTACAAAGCACTTGCAATTGCAATGTCCAAAGAAATGGAAGGTGTTGAAACAAAGCCTGTGAAATACGACAGATTGAATCCTAAAGCAATTTCAATCGCTGAATTATATGGTTCATTCAATCCTGTCACAAGTGAATGGGCTGATGGTGTTCTTTCAAAGGCTATAAGACAAGCAAGTTTCTCTGATCAGTCCGAGCTCAAGTGGATCATTGTTGATGGACCTGTCGATTCATTATGGATTGAAACAATGAACTCTTTGTTGGATGATAACAAAGTTCTTTGTCTTCCAAACAACGAACGTATCCAATTAGGTCCTCATGTTAAAATGGTCTTCGAAGTTGATAATCTCGATGAAGCTTCTCCTGCTACTGTTTCTCGTTGCGGTATGATTTACTACGATCCAAGTGTTCTTCCATGGTCAGCTTTGACTGAAACATGGTGCAACAAATACGAAGAAACTGCTGCAGATTTGATGACAAGTTTGAAGACTTTGTTTGATAATTATTTGCCGAAATTGATACAATTCATTGAAGTTGACTCAAAGAACGCTTTCGAAGTCAATTCTAATTATTGTGTCAATAACATGTTGAAGCTTTTGGACTGTTTCATGCAGTTAAAGAGAGAAGAAGTTCAAACACAAGGTGAAGGAGATGAAATAATTAAATCAGATCCATTGAACCAAGAAGTTTTCTCTTCTGTTTTCACACCACAAGAAAACATCCAGTTCTTTACAAATGATATGTTAAAGGCTGTTATGGAACGTGCTTTCTTGTTCTGCTGCGTTTGGGCATTTGGTGGAATTGTTTCACAAGAATCTCGACCAATTTTCGATAATTTCTTCCGAGATTTATGCACAAACAACCAATCCAACTGTGTCTTCCCACAAAAAGATACAGTTTTCGATTATTACGCTGATTTCGGACGTATGGATTGGGTTCCATGGGTTGATGGAACAACAAATATTAATTTAACACAGAACCTTCCAATAGAAAAGCAATTCTATCCAACAAATCAAAACGCTGCTCCTTTGTTCTTCTCGAGATTGTTGCTGAGTAACCATCACAGTGTTTTACTTCAAGGTCCCGAATCATCAAAGACATTGATAGGAAAAACACTTATTGGAAGTGTTTTGGATCCAGCGAAATTCCCATCATATGTTTTACCTTTAGCGCCAAGTACACAACCATCAAACATTTCCAAGTTTATGTTACAATTCATGCATAAGAAACTGGGAACATTCGGACCTCTTCCTGGCCAGCATTTCTTGTTCTTGATTGATAATTTGGGATCAGTCAAACCAGAAATATATGGTGCACAACCAGCATTAGAACTCCTAAGACAATTCTTTGATCACGGAGGCTGGTTTAATACATCTCCTGTTGAATTCTTGAATATCATTGGTACATCGATATTGGCAACAACAGGAGTTGCAGGAGGTGGTATGTATGGATTACCACATAGATTAACTCGTCATTTCTTCACAATTCATCTTCCTAAATACGAAATGTCGACAATTCAAAAGATTACTGAAGAATTATTGAATTGGAACATGAAAGATGCATCTATTACAATCAAGAACATGATCCCACAAGCAGCTGAAGGAATCATTAAATTGTTTGAACAATGTCAATTGAGATTGTTACCAATTCCATCTAAATTACATTACATTTTCAATCTCAGAAACATTGTTCACATAATAAGAGGAATTTGCTTAGTAAATACACAAAATTTGGCAACAGAAGGTGAATTCCAAAGATTATGGAAACATGAAATCACAAGAGAATTCACAGATAGATTCAATTCAATCAATGACAGGAAATGGTTTGATGGAGAAGTTGCTAAAGTATTAGCTGATGTGTTTAAGACACAATATCAATCACCAGGAGAATTCCTTCTCTTTAATACTTTCGCTGATAATTCTGGAAGATACAAAGAAGTTACGAAATCATCCGATGAATTAGTTAAATCATGTAATTTAACATTGGATGAACACAACAGAGATGCCTCCAAACCAATTGATATTGTCCTCTTCCAAGAAGCTGTTGTTCATCTCAGTGCTTTAACAAGAATATTCGCTTCAATAGGAGGACATGCTTTGTTAGTTGGTGTCAAAGCTAGTGGTAGAAAATGTTTGGCAAGATTGGCAATGTACATGAGTAACATTGAACCATTCGAGATTGCTATAACAAGAACTTATTCTGTTGCTGAATGGCATGAAGACTTAAAGAACCTGTTAAAGAAATGCGGAACAGAAGATGTCCAAACAGGATTCATTATTTCAGATGTCCAAATAATTATGCCTCAACAACTTGAAGACATTTCGAACTTGATGATTAATGGTGAAGTTCCTCAACTCTATGAAAGAGATGAAGTAGAAGCCATCAAAGCAGAACTCGCAGGAAAAGACATGGGGTTATCAAACCACATCACAGATTATTGGGATTTGTTTGTTGAAAGGATAAGAAAGAATTTACACGTAATCATGGCTTTTTCACCATACGGACAAGTCTTCAAGGATTCAATGATTTCTTATCCAGCAATAAGAAACGAGTCAACAATCGATTGGTACATGCCATGGTCCCAGAACGCCTTGGAATCTGTTGCAAGAGCATCATTAACTAAAAGTGGTGTTGTTTCTCCTGATAACATCAAATCAATCATCACTGTTTTAGTTAAAATGCATAAATCAGTTGAAGGAATTGCAGACAGATTCCTTAAAGAAACAAAACGTTTCACCGCTGTTACTCCTTCGAGATACTTCGAATTATTGGCAACTTTCTCAGCAAATTTATCTCAGAAAGGCCAAGAAACAGGAAATCTTATAAATAATTACGAAGGTGGTGTCGAAAAGATCAAAACAACAAGAGAACAAATCCAACAGATGTCTAAAGAACTCGACCAAAACATTCCTGTCCTCAAGAAGACAAGAGCTGAATGCGAGCACATGCTTGAAGAACTCAAAGTCAAATCAGCAGAAGTCGAAGAGACAAGAAAAGAAGTCGAAGGACAAAGAGAAAATGCAGAGAAAGAAGCTGAAGAAGCTACAAAGGCAAACTCTGTTGCTCAAGAACAATTCAAGAAAGCACAACCTTTGTTACAAGAAGCACAAGATGCTGTGTTAAGATTAGATAAAGATTCTCTTTCGAATATCAAGAAATTGCATGCACCTTCAAGTGGTATGATTGATACCTTTGAAGCTGTTTGCATCATGTTCGGACGTAGACCAAGAGTTGTTAATGGTCCAACACCTGGTTCAAAGGAAGAAGATTATTGGCCAGAAGTTATTTCGTTGTTGAATGATATCGGTTTCATTAAAAACGTACAAAACTTCAGAATTGAAGATCTCAAGAAAGAAACAATCAACAAACTGAAGAAATACGTTCCAACGGAACCAGATCAAAGAGCTGAGAAGAAGTCAATTGCTAGTGGTTCATTTGCAGCTGTTGGTGCTTTGTATGATTGGGTTTGTGCTTCATTTGATTATTGGTTCGTTTTCCAGCAAATTTTGCCACTCAGAAACGCAGCTGAAGAAGCAGCAAAGAAACTCGAACAATCGAAACAAATGCTCGCAAAAGCACAAGAACACTTAGACCAAGTCGAAGCAACACTCAAGAACTTGAGTGATTCAGTCAAAGCCCAGAAAGAGAAAGAAAAAGAACTTGCTGAAAGTGTCGCAAATACTCAAGCGAGATTAGAAAGAGCTGAGAAGATAATGAGTGGATTATCAGGAGAAACAGCAAGATGGGAAGAAACAGCACAAAAGTTACATAATACTGCCCAATTCATTCTTGGTGATTCATTGTTGATTTCAGGTGTTTTGACATATATCGGTGTTTTCTCACCGAAATTCAGAATCGACATCATTAATGAATGGAAAGGTTTCTTGGATACCGAGAAAATTGCTTATACAAGTGATTTCTCCATTCAAGCAGCTCTTGGTAATGATGGCGTCATCAGAGATTGGATAGTTAAAGGTTTACCAAATGATACAAACTCAATTGAAAACGCTTTGATTATTACAAAGAATCAATCATTCCCATTGTTAATTGATCCACAATTAAGTGGTACTAAATGGTTGAGAGCTGTTGAAGGAGAAAAAATGAATGTCCTTCAATTCGATCAAAGTGATTTCCTCCAAAGATTGAAGAGTTGTGTCAGTTTTGGTTTGCCTGTTTTGATTGAAAACGTTGGATTGAAACTAGATCCATTGTTAGATCCAATTCTTTCACGTGAAATACACAATGTTGATGGCATCAAGAGAGTTTCTCTTGGTGGTGAATCAATTGCTTATTCAGATTCATTCAGATTGTATATTTCCACGAAATATCCAAATCCTCATTATTCTCCTGAAGTTTGTTCACAAGTTTCATTGATTAACTTCACAACAACACAGTTTGGATTAACAGATTTGTTGTTGAATAACCTGATTGAAGTAGAAAGAAGTGATTTAGATGAAAAGAGAGTTAAAATCATGGAAGCATCAGCTGCAAATACGAAGAAACTGAAAGAAATCGAAAACGAAATTCTCAATATTGTTTCAAATGCTGGTAGTGATATTTTGGATGATGATAATGCTATTAAGACTTTGCAAAAAGCTCAAGCAACATCAAAAGATATTGCTACACAAATGGAAGCTTCTTTGGAAACAGAAAAACTCATCAATGAATTCAAAGAAACTTTCTCCCCTGTTGCAGAAAGAGCTGCTCTTTTGTATTTCTGTATTTCTGATTTCTCTGTTATTGATCCAATGTATCAATTCTCTCTTAAATGGTTTGTTGAACTGTTCAGACAAGCAATTATTGATTCCCCTCATCCAGAAGACAACGAAGAAAAGATCAAAGAGTTCCATCAAACAATTGCAACTCATTTCTACGAAAGTGTTTCTTATTCATTGTTCTCAAGACACAAATTGTTGTTCTCTACTTTGATGTCAATCAGAATCGGTTTCGCAACGAAACAAATAAGTGGAAGTGAATTGGCTTTCATGCTGTCTCCTCCTGTTTCTAATGAACCAAATCCAACGAATTTCTTACCAGATGATGTTTGGTCAATCGCTGTAAATCTCAGCAAAGCAGCACCTGTTTTCGAAGGACTCCTCAAATCATTGGAACAGAAACCTCAAGAATGGGCAAACTACATGGATTCGCCTACTCCTGAGACAGAAAAACTTCCTTTCGATGCAGAATTGTCGCCGTTCGAGAAATTATTAGTTTTGAGAGTTTTCCATTTACAAAGAGTACGTGAAGGATTACATATATTCATTGAGAATTCAATGGGTAAAGAGTTCGTCACTCCTCCAACTCTCAAACTCCAGAATGTCTTCAAGAACAGCAATCCTCTTTCTCCATTGATTTTCATCATCATGCCAGGTATCGATCCACAAGATGAAATCATAAATGTCGCAAGAACAATGGAAGCTGACAAGTACTTCAAGTCATATTCACTTGGTAGAGGTCGTGGACAAGGAGCAGAAGAATTAATTGCAGAAGCTTCTTCAAATGGTTACTGGGTTTTGCTACAAAACTGCCATCTTTCTTTGTCATGGATGCCGAGACTTGAGAACATTATAAACAATTTAGATCCAAAGACTGTCAATCCTCGATTCAGGATCTGTTTAGTTACAATGTCAAGTCCTCAATTCCCAATTGGTATTTTGTATCAAGGCACAAAACTTATTTACGAAATTCCAAAGGGAATGAGAGAAAACGTTATGAGAATTTACAACGGTTTCAATGCGGAAGAATACGATTCCAACGAGAATATCATTGAGAAGAAACTTGGTTTCCATTTGGCATTCTTCCACGCTGTTGTTCTTGAACGTTTGCAGTTCGGATCAATCGGATGGAACATTCCTTACGAATTCAATCCAAGTGACTACAACATTTCCCTCAAACACTTGAAGATCTTCTTGGGAGAAAGCACTGATGGTGAAGTTCCTTTCGAAGCACTTTCTTATGTCATCGGTGAACTCAATTACGGTGGAAGAGTTACAGATCGTTGGGATAGAAGATTGTTGTTGTCACTTTTAGGAAGATATTTCAGTCCTGAAGTAAATCAACCGAATTTCTCATTCGGTGAAAGATACAAAGCACCGCATTACAGAGGCTCATTGAGTGAATTGTTACAAATCATCTCAGAATGGCCTGTTGTTACCGCAGGTGTCGATGTCGGTCTTTCCAAGAATGCAAGTACAATCATTGCAAGAAATGAAGCATTGTCAATTTTCTCATCATTGATTGAAGTCCAGTCAACATTAGTTGCAGCAACTGATTCTATATCTGAAGAACAGTTCGCAATTAATCTTGTTGAGTCATTGATATCAGATGTTCCTAAGCCATTCAACATATTCCAGTTCAAGAAGAAATTCCCAGCAGATGAAATGATGACAACAGTTTTGTTGCATGAAATTGTTTTGTACAACAATCTTATTGAAGTCATTTCTGAGTCGTTACAAGCTATGAGGAATGGACTTAAGGGTTTAATCATGATCGATGAAAGACTTGAAACATTGAACAAGAGATTATTGGCAAACAAAGTTCCAGAAGAATGGCTTGAAAAGTCATTCCCTTCAATCTTAAATCTTAGAGCTTACATGGCAGATTTGAAACAAAGAGTTGCATTCCTTGATAACTGGGTTAGAATGGGTGCTCCTGTTGTTTACAGGTTAGGAGCATTCTTCCATCCTGAAGAGTTCCTCACTGCGATCTTGCAGCTCTATGCAAGAAGTCATTCAGTTCCATTCGATACATTGAAATGGAAGACAACATGTTTGTCAGAAATGTCTCCAGACAAAATTGTTTCTGAACCAGAAGTTGGAATTTACATCGAAGGACTTCCTCTTGAAGGTGCAAGATGGGATGAACAGAAGCAATGTCTTGCGGAATGTGGTCAGAGACAGTTAATTTCATCACTGCCTGTTATGCATTTAGTTCCAACTGATGAAAAGAATTTATATGATCCAAATGTCACTTACGAATGTCCTGTTTTCAGAACACAAAACAGAGGAACAGGAGCTCTCGATCTTCCTAACTACATTGTATCTTTGTTCCTTCCAACACCTCAGATTGTTCCTGATCACTGGATACAAAGATCAGTTGCAGCATTCATTACAACACAACAATAACAAGATTTTATTGATATTAATATTATTTTTTTCTATATTTATATTTATGTATTAAACTATATGTATGTTTTAATAAATGTATCATTTGTTAAATTAATTGTTTTGAACCACAAAATGTATTCAAGTTATTATACATTGTTTAAGATGAATATTTATTCTAATAATCCAAATCATTACATTAATTTAATAATGGATGCCGTTAAATGAGAACATCAATATCTTGACCACACTTACATTTTCGCGAAAACATCATATATGAAATAGAATAAGTGTTTTCCATATAATGGCCAAAATCTTGGCTCTCATTATTAACTTAATGGTCCAAGACGAGAAAGATTCGTAAAAAATCCAAGGCCGATTTTGAGGGCATTATTTAAATTTAATATGTTTAACTTTTAATTAGTTCATATGTTATATTAGAAATGATCTTAAAATTCTTTCTGACTCTCGTTATTGATTTGAAAGTCATTCTCAAATAATGGAAAAGTGCATATTATTTATCTTAAAATCAGTTATTGCAACTTTCTCGAAAGTTTCGGTGGTGCAGTCGGTTAGCACATCTGTCTTATAAGCAGACGGTCGCGGGTTCAAGCCCCGCCCGAAATATTTTTTTTAAATCATATCAAAGCAAAAACATTAAATTTGATTTTCCACACTGAAAGAGTGAAAATTAAGAAGGTTCAGTTTTCAGAACAAAAAATAGTGGAACATGAGCTCTTGATCTTCGGAACTACTGACGACTTCAATATGAAGTGGTGATGATCCTTTAATTCACACACCACTAGATATACAATACATTTGATACTAAATACTGCTTCAATAATTACAAATAAAAGTGATCAAGTAAGACTTTTATCTCTAGATGTATTGATCAGTCTAAAATGATTAGATGTTGCTGACCTAGTTTCAAATATCTGGTTGATCTCTGTCGGCCTGTGAGATTTTACAAAAAACTGCTATCGATCTTGAATTAAATTATTGATATTTTTCTAAATGTATTTTTATGATCAAATCATCATAAGGAAATACCTAGAATGATGAGATGATATCTTTCCAAATGTAAAACTATTTAAAGAACTCCACAATTTTCAAAATGAAATCTTATTTATTATTTAAAAAAGAAGAAGAAGAAAATTGAATATCTTCCAGATAGATATAATATATGTGATACATTCAGTCCATATTAAGTGAGATGATTAATTGAAAATTAAAAATAAGCAAGTTGAATAGATTATGACATTAAATTGGTCTTAACTTAGCTTGTATAATTCAGATCTTTCAGAAAGCAATTAATAAACAGACACAAATTCCGGAGTAAAAAAGGCATCATATGGCTTATGCCCAAAAGATTATGGGTATAGATGTCTTATTTCCATATGAGAAGCCATATAAGTCTCAAGAAGTCGTTATGGAGAAGACAATCAAAGGAATTGCTTCAAATCATAACGCATTAATTGAATCTCCAACTGGAACAGGCAAAACGTTAGCACTTTTGAGTGCTTCTCTAGCATATCAACATGTTGATCCGAAACTTGATTCTATTATCTACACAAGTCGTACACATACTCAATTAAAACAAGTAATTAGCGAATATAAGAGACTTCCTTATAAAGTACAAATGACAGTTCTTGCGTCAAGAAAACGTTTATGCATTAATGATGAAGTCAGAGAGTCTCCAAATACAGATATCAACTGCTATATCTTGACACATCCAAAAACAGTCAACGGTGTTACACAGGAGCAATGTCCGTATTTCGTACATGCACAAGTCGAAAAAGCTCCACGCTCTCTCACTATTGAAGGAGATTTACCAAAATTTGATCTTGAAGAGTTATTTCAATACGGGAAAAGACATGCTGCATGTCCATACTATCTTGCAAAAAACTTAAAATCATCAGCAAAAATCATTTTTAGTCCTTACAATTATTATCTCGATACAATCTTTTCTTCTGAGTTTCTTACAAACTCGATTTTGATATTCGATGAAGCTCATAACATTGAAAATGCAGCTCGTAACATTGCTACCTTTAAAATGCCATTCGAACTCTTAACTCGAATCAATATCAGCGCAAAACAAATTGCTGAGCGAAAATCTGATCGTTTCGGAGTCAAAATATACAATAATATGATCAAATTAACCAACAGTTTCCTCGAATTCATGTTACAACAATGGGAATATTATTTAAAACGAAAACAAGTAGAAGGGAAGACACATATTGCATATCATAACCTTTCTCACATCATCGGACCTGATGTTTCGGCTCTTGGACATGATTTTGTCGATTATTCAAATCCGGAAGTAGCAACACCAACGAATTCGATACTTTACGACCCACCAGAGTTGATAACATTTGCTAGTCAACTAGGCAAATGCTTGAAACTTATTACTCCTCAAAAACAAGAATCATTTGTTTATATCTTTGTTCCTGGAGAGAATATCAATGCATCATCCTTCGAGATCTCATGTTTGGATCCATCAGTCGTATTCGAACAAGCTGGGAAATCAGCCAAATCCATAATTCTCGCATCAGGTACTTTAAGTCCACAACAATCCTTTGAATCTGAACTTGGTTTACCTTTTCCCATAAAAGCTTCGGTTCCTCATGTCATTTCACCTGACCAAGTAAAGCTTTATCAGATCGTTGGAACAAATGGTCGAAGAATGACTTCACTTTTTGATGAAATGGAGAAGAGGGGTAAGCAAATATTATTAGATTTCGGTCGTGGTGTCCTGAGCATCGTTAAAAACACTGATGGCGGTGTTTTAGTCTTCATGCCAAGTTATGCAGTGAGAGAAAAGATGATGAAGGTATGGAGAAAAGCCGGAATTGCAGAACAGATATATAAGGAAAGATGGATCTTCAACGAAGAACAAGGAAAAGACATGAAAAAAGTTATTTCTGATTATAAAAATTGCAAAGGAAGGGCAGTTTTATTCGCTATATGCAAAGGAAGTATTGGTGAAGGTATAGACTTCTCTGACTACCATGCAAGAGCCGTTGTTTGCTTTGGAATTCCTTATCCACCGTCAAAAGAACAAGAAATTATACAAAAAAGGCTTTTTAATAACAAGAACAGGCCAAAGTATAATGGTAAATTGTGGTACAACGGTCAGGGTATGAGAACTTTGTTCCAAGTCCTTGGAAGAGTAATTCGACATTCCCAAGATTACGGAGCTCTCTTTGTTTTTGAGGACAGATTGCATCCACAAAGAGACTTTCCTTCATGGATGACGAGAAACATTGAACAAACTTATAAAACAGCTGATGAAGCAATTAATGATTTCATTCTCTTCCAACAAAAGATGAAATCAATGTTCGATGGTAAGCAAGAAATAGACTACAACCAGTCAACACCGAATTACATCCCATCAGCCCTTGTCAACACCCAAAAACCTCAGAATCAGTCACTCGACCAAAAGGGAACTTCCCTCCTATCATCTGACGATCAAAAACCTCTCAATCAAAATTCAATAGTTACTCAGTATATCAGCGACCAAATTCGATCATGTTCGAATCAAGCACCTTACATGTCAACACCAATTGTAAGAGAACATCCAGTTCCTCCTCCTCCACCTAAATACAATCAACAAAACACTGCTGTTGAAAACAAACAGAGTCCAAAAACAGAAAATAAGAACATTTTTGGAAAATTCTATGATTTATGTAAATCACTTCTTGGAACAACACAAGAAAACAACAATAACAACAATAATAATCAAGAAAATGAAGAATTGGTTGAACAAAATGTTGAAGAAAGTCCAGAACCTGAAAGGGAACAAGAATCACGTATTGTTGATGTGATTGATCTTGTTTCTTCATCAGATGACAGTGATGAACCAATATATATTGGTGATGAAGAAGAGGATGAACCAAAAATTGAACAATCGGTTCCAGAAAAGAAACCAAAACCATATCCTTTGGATCATGTTCCAACAACTCTTGAAACAATTAGAAATTCTTATTTACCGACATTGACAAATATTCCATGGTTTGCGGAACTTTCCACTTCATTTGGTTTCCAAGAATTGCTCGCTCAAGATGATTTCAAATACGCTTTCTTTGACAGTGATTTCATTGATTCACTAGAAAGACCTGAAATAAGAAGAGAAATCATGGAAGGAAAAATGCCTTCTTCAATTCCAAATTTCGTAAAAGATCTAGAACCTCAAAAATTAGAAATTCCTCTCAGATTTGTGAAAAATAATAATTCAACACCTGTAAAAGCTGAACCTCCTGTTAAAAACTCAAATAGAGTGGCAAAACTTGAAATGCCTCCAAAAAGTGATGTCAAATCTGTCAAAACCGAAACAAAACCGATAAAGCCAGTCACGCCCGTAAAAAGTGAAGTCAAACCTGAACCAAAACCTGTCAAAACAGAAACCAAAATAATACATGTTAAAAATGAAACAATAAAACCTACCACGCCTGTAAAAAGTGAAGTCAAAACTGAAACAAAAATTGTCAAAGCAGAAACACCTGTAAAAAGTGAATTTAAGCCCATAAAATCCGAAACAAAAATAGTTAAAGTTGAACCAAAACATGTCAAAGCAGAAACAACTCCTGTTAAAGCTGAAACAAAACCTAAAATAGATCCAAAAATAATTCATTTCAAAAATGAAATTAAAAATGTCAAAAGTGAAGTGAAACAAGAGAATGCGTTAACCATTGTTGCTCCAGTAGAAAGCAAGCCATTATCATCTGTAATTATTCCTATAACTAATCCTGATCCACAAACAAAATTTGAACAAATAAAAAAGGATCACAATATTACTCCATCACAAATTCATCAAATTTCTTCATCAACTGTTGTTGCTCGTCCTCCATCGAATCCTTCTTTGCTTCCTCAACAACCAACAACACGACGAATCACTCCAGAAACTCATCAAAAAACAACAGTTTCTCAGCAAAATGTTCAACAGAGATATACATCAAATTCACAAGCTTTTAATCCACAACAAAATTATGTTTCTCAATCAAACAACACACAGATTTATTTATATAACCAACAGAACTATCCAATGCAACAGAACCAGCCATTCATTCCTCAACAACAACCGCAAGCAATCAATGGTTATTATCCTTATTATAACTATAACCAATTCAATCCTTATTTGCAGCGTCCTCAACCAGTTCCTCCTCCTTATTCTCCTTTCGCTCCTCGTAATCCAGAAGTAATTGCTCCTCCTTTAACTAATAATACTCCTAATACAACAACAAATGATACAAATAAGAAATATGATTTGACAATTTGTTGTATAAATTGTAAATGTCAATTAGCTGATATAAAGAGTATTAAAGAATGCGAATTTAAGACACCAAGAAAAATTGGATACATGGTTTTGGTTGGTGTTTCTAAACCTCCTGTTGTTTTCCAAGTTTCTAGATCGAATATGGCGAATTCAAACTTGGCAATAGGAAAAGATGAATATTCTAATGATGATAAATGCGCTTACAACAAAGTTTATTGTAAGTGTGGAATGTTACTTGGAGCATCAATTAAAGCTGCTTCAAAGAAAGATTTTAATGATGTCGAATCAGTAATGTTTTTGGCATCAAAAATTACAGTAAATATGTGCGGTAAACTCGTTTCTCTTACCGCATTGAATGAAGTTTAGAAATATATATGTATTTGTATATAATAAAATGTTTGTAATTTATTTGTTATACTTTAATTACTTTTTTTGGACTTTTATTGCAAAATTTAAAAAAAATTGATTATGAAATTGAAAAATTTATTTTTCAACAAGACATGAAATATGATGATTTTAACAAAAAATGTTAAATCTCTATCAATCATTTTGCATTTTCATTTTTATCATCAAATTGGTTTTGAATATTGATATTGTTGGAATTGTTAAGTTGTTACATTATCCTATGATTTAGGATTTTCGGATATCTATTTTGTCTTAATCACATATTTGATTTGGGGTTGTTAAAATAAAAAAGGTCATATTTTGACATATAGATAGAACTGTTCGTGTATAGCCCACTAAGGCGTTGCAATAACAAAAATCTTCAAATTCCATGAAATCGAAAATTTATTACCCTTAAATCTTTCATTAGAAGCAAATGAATGACATCAATAGTTTAAACTTCTTAAATGTAGAGTATCTATCTTGCGAGAAGCTAGAATAATAGCAAATGAAATTCCAAAAATTGAAAATATCTCTTCTTTTAGCCTATTTCTAAGTAAATTACAAATACCATTGGTAGTAGATCCTTATAATAACATAAATTTTGAACGACGATTTAAACTCCATAGAAATAATCCTCTCAATTTGAATTTTTATTTTTCGAATAATCATTCCCTAATGTTCTATTTTAATTTCGTAAAATCAGTAATTCAATTACTGTCTGACAAAAATTCGTGCGCTCGAGAAAATCGGCCTGTTACAAATTGATTGAATAAAATAACAACATCAAATCGACTGGACACAAGTCATCTCAAATATTACAAAATTGAAATGGATAAAATTTTGTAAGCAAAGTGAGCATAAAGATAATTCATAATACAATTTAATATTCCAAAAATTTAAAATTCAATTGGTGTAAAATAAAAAAAATTCAAATCTAAGATTCTGAATGAAAGCGGTATTTGATACTCTAGACGCAGAGTTTGAAAAAGGAAAAACAAATGTTAATTCTGCGCTCGAGTATTCCGAGAAGATCACAAAGAAAATATCGTCAATGGTACACTATTACTCTAAAATTGTTAAACAAATATCGAAAGTTGCTGGAAGTCAAACGGATATCGAGAATAATATAAAGAATATAGAGGCTAATGAACGGCTTTTTGTTGCACCTGGCTTCCCAGGAACACAAACGCAATTCTTCCTTACATATTTTGACGTACTAAAGAAGGTTTTACTTCGCCTGGACGATTTCTCATCAGGACTTAAGAAGAATGTTGTTGATCAGCTAGCTGCTGTCAATGAATCGGTAGCAAATAACATTAAATCAGTTTTGAACGATCATCAGCTTGCTATCAGTTACAGGGCCAACAGTCTTATAGCTCTTAAAGATTCGTACGCATATACCTTGCAACAGCAAGAAAAACTCGAAAAACTGTATAAACATTACGAATCTAACCCATCTCAAAAGAATGACACTGAACTTAGAGACGCTTGTGAAGCATTCCGAAAACAGAACTTCCTTTTAAGGCAGGCATACCAGCAGCTCTACAAAGCTCACCAACAATATATGAAGTCAGTTTTTAGTACTCTTGGACGTCTAAAAATTGCAGAAATCAGACGTGGTGCCCAAATCAAGAAGATTTTATGCAATTTTACCCCTACAACTACTAATCTTATTACATTAGACGGAATTCCAAAAGATGAGGAAGTAGAGCATCTCTGGACTCAAGATATTGTTAATTTCTTCATCAAAAATGGTATTGTCCGTACAACATATATTCCTATCAAACTTACGCCTCATAAATTCTCATTCAACGACTCAAGATTAAATATTCCTCCGGCTCTCAAATTCCAATATACAAAGACATTCCCGATATCATACGGGGTATGTACTGCAGATTTCAAGGCTCAGGATAACTCAAAAGGGATTTCTGTAGCTAAAGAAGAAAGAGTTTACATTTTCGATAATTTAACTGCAGAATGGAGCTACATCAAGACCAAGAATGGAGAAGGATTCGTTCCTTCAGACATTGTGATGCCAATTGGCGCAAAATACGCAATTGTCGTAAATACAAATCTTGGTCTTGACGATACGATCAAAGCCCAGGCTGGAGAGCTCTTAATTGTTCATAAGAGAAAAGGAAAATACGTCTATGAGAATATCGAAGGAGAAAAAGGCGTAATTCCTGAAGAAAACGTTGTTCACATCAGATAATTCAGTCATTTCACCAATTCTTTCATTTTGTTTTATTCTTTCATAAACTTTCTATATATTTGTTCATCAATTTGATCAAAATTTTTCAAAATTTGTCTTTTCGTTAGAAAATAATATTAATTATGACTTGTATTATCGAAGTGCAAGATAAAATTATATGAAGGCGAGAACGTTTGGCTTAATATTGTAGGAAATAATAAACTGAATTGTATTGAGAAAAATGGTAATAAAATTAGTAAAGGCTAAACGTTTACATAACAAAAACAACTAATTTGGCTATAAATGAATGTATCATGTAGCAATAAATGATAATCAATTTAATAAGAACTCGAATATCTGAGATTTTGGTTATTCTCAGCTGTGTATTGCAGATTTTGAGCGATAAGCCCACGAATCTGTGTTGATTTAACTGAACTTTCTAATAAGAGATTGAGCTTTTCTAAATTCCCATTTGCGATCTCTATGGCTCTGTGAGAGCTAAAGCGCTGAAGATTCATGAGTAGTTCATTCTTTTCTTCAGAGTTCATTTAGAAAACTGAAAAATTAAACGGAAGTATCAAAAAAAATTCACTTTTGACCGTAGTGAATCTCTCAAACCTGTGTTAGTAAAGCAGATTTCAAATATTTGATATGTGGTATAAATAGCATCACTGAGATATGAAGAGTAAGTTTTATATATCTGTATATATGGTATTTTGGGTATTGATTTGGAATATCTGTATATGAAATCATTTGCTCTCATGCATTGCAATGGGCCTAGAGTTTATAACAGGCATTGTCTATATGTATTTGCATAAATACCCCTTTATGTTTAAAAATAGCGCAGAATCAAAATGATTTTTCTTCTTAGAGGCTATGATTAGCAAATTATTGAAAATGCTCTTATTGGTAGTATCGTGTTAAAGGTAAAACTTCAAAATCTCTTGATTCATATGAAAAGTGACAAACAAATAAACAAAGCGACATGTCTATTTCTCAGGATGAGATGAATTATTTAGTTTACAGATATCTCCAGGAAAATGGCTTTGTTCATTCGGCATTCATTTTCGAGTCCGAATCTCTCGCAGATTCAACAAATATTTCCGGCTCTCAAATTCCACCTAACGCTTTAATTACTTTACTTCAGAAATCACTTCAGTACATGAAATTAGAGAAGGCGATTCGTCTTGCTAAGGAAGATCCAAAATCTCAGGCTCATGAAGGAATCGAGCAAATCGAAAAGGCATACAAATAAATTTGTTTGATGTTTATATGATTAAAATATACAGGCTGTTTTAAATCCCGTTTATATTACTTCCTTTCTTATTTCAATTTTTTTCATACCAAATTTTTCTTTTGCAATATAACAAAAGAAGAATTTTCTATTTGGCATGAGGTACATATCAATGATTGTGAATTTAATACATATTATAAAGATTAGGAAAAACAATTTCTTACTAAATTTAAAACTAGTAAGTAATGTCATTAGAAACTATCTATTGGCCACTATTCTAATATATTTTACGCTCATGGTTGAAAATATTAATGATATAATCAGTAATAAGAAATATTTTCGGGAATTTAGTTTTCAAAATACGTCCATTTTGCATATTATTTATTTTAAATGCAATTCTATTTTCCAAATTTTTTCGAAATGATAATTTTCACTATAAATTGCTAAAACTTTGATTTCATTTTCGATTTTTTGGAATTTTATTTAAATTTATTAAATTCTAAAATATATAGATTATGATGCAAAATAGATGGACAAACTTATCTGAGAGGGTTTGGAGAAAAAGATCATTATTTTGGAAAATTTTCTTTTAATATCGTGCTGAATCATTATGTCTGTAGTGGAAAAAATCTCTACAATGTTATACTGGTTTGAAATACAAAATAACACCGTCCCATATAATTCAATGTTGATTTTCCTACCTATATCTATTCAATTTAGCAAACGCTAGTATAAAAACTAAATATGTAAGGTAAAATAAAAACAAATATCATACAAATTACTTCAATTCACTCAAAGGAGAATTATTTCGTTGGTAAATAAACATTGAAAATGTCCGATTTTATTAATTTTAGAGTATACTAGGTAAGTTATTTTTAAAATATCGATTAGACCAAAAAAAGGTACATTCACTATTTTTGACAAAATTTTAAATTTTCATGGGGTTGTAAATCTTATAATAACTAGATGAATAAGGAATGAATCCCAGTATAATGTGCATCATTATATTAAACACTATATGTAAGGCTAATGATTCTATTAACACTTATGAAGATCTATAGTATTTGAGCAGATAAATTTGATAATTTCCAAAACTCTTATATTTCAAAATTAAAGTGTGCGAATGCATTTAAATGAGAGCAAAAAGAGATTGATGCTGTTAAAACTAGGTGTTAATTTGCAATTATTTCGCATCACAAGAACTACCCAGTAAATTCGGCTATCTTTCTTTGCAATTATTCTCCATTATACATATAATATAATGGTTAGGGTTTGAAGAAAAGTTACTAGAGAATTATTGACTTTTGAAATAATGCAGAATTTTACTTGAAGAAATCATTAATTTATGAGTTCCAAATTGCTAAGCATGACGAAGGATCATTAAATTTGCTACAATTAAATACACTTATTGCAGAATTAAGATTTTTGAAATTAAAAGTTTGAAATATTGCCTTTTTGAATAAAAATTTAAATTTTATTATATAATCATGATAATATCTTATAGAAATTAAAAGAAAATATTTTAAACCATTCAAATATTTTGAATGTCTTATCAATTTAAAATATTAAAAGATAGCTTGATTTTATCATCATTAGTTGTTATCAAAGTTTTCTTCTTTTGATGAACAACAGTAAATGATTTGTTAATTACTTGTCTTCCTTTTTCGCAGCAAAATCGAAAGTTATGATGATAATCTTGCTCTCAATTTTGAAACTCTCTGATTTACAAGTAAGCATTCCTTTGGAAAAGCAGTCCTATTCTGTTTTCAAGATATTTTAAAGCCTCCATTTCATACAATGCGCAGATCTATTCGAAATTGCAAGAACTCTCAAGAAAAATGCAGCAGCAAAGAAGATTCCATAGTTTCTAGCATCAAAAATTTACAACCTTAATACAACAGTTAAAGAGAAGCTCGAAAAGAAAATATTTAACCATAAAGCTGGAAACCATTCGATATCTACTATTGGATCTAATAAAAAGTTAATTATAACATATTTAACATGCTATTTGTTGACTTTGTTCCATTATATTACCATATATATCTTTTTGAAATCTAAAATATTTTACGATTTTAACCATGTGTTGTTGAAACCATATATCAATCTTAGCTAAAGTATAGTTTATGAGTCTGTCACCATCTAACGTATGAATTTTCAAAAATGTCAAATATGTTCATTTTTTCTGTAGATTCAGCCATAATTTCACGTTGTTATACTATTCAACTATTATTTAATATTTTTATCGATTTAAATATATGATGAGATGCTTAGTTCTCCTGGAAATCGATTTTTAATCGCAATTTTAACTTTCCAAAAAAAATTCAAAAATAACAATCCCTCTCAATTTTCTAAGTTTTATAACTCGCCAAATCTCTAGCCAAATTTTTTTGGCCCGTATAAATATTGTTAGGCACTATATAGGGATGCTATTTATCCTATTTTCATCCCATTTTACTGTTATCGCCTAGTGAATGTACCTTTGACCAAAATGTGTAAAAAAACGAGTTTTCAAAAAATATTGTCACTTTTTAAAAGTTCGTTAGTTCAGAATGGTTAGCGTCCTCAAGAAAGAGCAGATTACTACTACCTTCAAATACAGAATGGGTTTGCTTGGCAAGTCCGCCTATGTTGGTGATGGTGATGAGCCACCTGAGGTTTGTCTTCCACCAAAACCAGGCGAGAAGCCATTAACAGAAGAGGACAAGAAAGAACTCGAAAAGAAAAAGAGACGTTATCCAAAAGAAATGCAAGAATACAAGGCTCTCTTCTCTGAGGGTACTTCGCTTTACAGACGAAATGAATATACGCGAGCTATAGAAGCTTTTACGAAAGCGAGTGAGCAGCAGGTAGATCATCCCGACTTAGATATATTAGTCGATCGTGCAGATTGTTATATTCAGATTGGCAAGCCTGAGATGGCCCTCGAAGACGTTAATAAGGTTTTGAGCTCAGAACCTCAAAATGCTCGTGCCATTCTTACAAAGGCCGAAGCATATTTCTCAATGGGTGAGTTTGAATTCGCCCTTGTTTACTTCCAGCGCGGTTTAGCAATCCGTAAAGACATGTCAGGTTTCCGTGATGGTGTTACAAAAGCTAAGCACGCCATTCTTGACTCAATCAATGGAAAGGAAATTTTCCAGCCAAATCCAAATTATTCATCCAGCAGACCAAGAAAAGCTTTATACGAATCTCGCGAACTTCCAAAGACAGAGCAGGAACCACAAGCTGAGTCACAGCAGCCAGAACAGCCACAGAAGGACATTTCTAGATTACTTCCAGAGCAGGTTGCTCCACTTCAATCAACAAACGAGAAACAGAACTTCCTTGGCGAACTTTCATTAGATTACGACTTCCTTACAGAGCTCCAGGCCGAACTTCGCGATCAGGCTAAGAAGGCAGAGAGCGAGAAGAAGGATGATGGAAAGAATAAGCAAGAAGAACATGGAAAGAAGGAAGATGAAGAGATCCAAGTTATAGTTAATGATGCTTTAGAATATCTTAACCAGCGTGGAGCATTCTGGAATCAACAGCGCTCTAAATCTGCATCTAACGAAGATAAGGAAAAGTCTAGAACAATCAAAGGCCCAACAACTTCATCACTTAATAAGTCTCCAAAGGCTAAGAAGGCTGGATCAAAGAAGTCTCAGACAGCTCATTATGAGATGAGTAAGTTACAACAATACGAATCTAAGTATCCTTCAACATCCGAAAACCAGGCTTAAGAACCTTGATTTTGATTTTTTTTTGATACAGTTCTAAATCGTTATTTATTTGCTTTAATCAAATAAACGCCTTTTTTGTAATGAAATACTTACGAATTCATATCTGAAATCTATCAACATTATAATCATTTGCGAAATCTTGGATTTTGATTTTTAATTTTGAGTTATTTCCAAAATTCTCTTAGACGAATCTTTTCTATTTTTGTTAGAAACTGGCAGTAATATGAGAAGATCACTACTTAATACTAATTTATCCAAAATACCCCAATTTGAAAACTATTTTTCCTTTTTCAGTAACGCTAGCTTCATAAAATTCAATAAAATGCTTCAGTTCAAGAGATTCACATACAGAATGATAAATATTTCTATATAACGAATCTAATTTCTTTCAATTTATATAAAAACCTATATAATATATCTTACTATTAATGAACTAGATACCACATGGTCAGATTTTCTCATTTGAATAATATAATAAACACAATTTTTATTCATCACTTTTACATAATAACTCTATAATTTTAATACCACCTTCTACGCGATCTTTAATGTTTGGTGACTGTTCCAACAGCTCTAATGCAGAATCAATGACTAATTGGTAGTCAATAACCATTGATTCATTAATTTTAGACGCCAACTCTACTTTGGCTTCATTTGGCAACAGATACATCAAAATGGATATTGATGAACAACATTGAAGGAAAGTATCAAAGATATCAGAATTTGATTGGTCTTCTTCTTCGAAATTTACATTCTTGAATAAGTATTCAGTCAGTTTTATCCATATATTCATCTTTTCATAATCTTTTTCTTGGAATTTTCTCAAAACTCTCTTCATTTGTGTTGAATCTTTTTGTAACGAAGAAAGAAGCGAATCGATGATAGAAATAACATTAGACAAGAACTCAAAGTTCTTCTTAAGAGATTGGTTGCCTAACAAACCAAAAACCTTTTGAATTCCATCAGCATCAACAAATTGTTCGCAACAAAGCGGCAAAGTGGACAAACAAGCATCCAAGGCATTGTACGCTAACAGAGCCGAACTCTTCTCCGTTTTGTGGGATGAAGAGCCAGTGCATTGTAGCAAAATATCAACAACTCCTAAATTTGCTAAAATTTTCACTGTCACTGGATCCATTGCGAGAATGATGACGATATTGAATGCATTCGAGGCTGCTTCATCTTCTTCAGCTTGTTTGGTCGTATGCATATTTGCACAGAAGCGTAAAATCAAATTAATAAATCCGTCATCAATTAAAGCGATTGTAGAGGTATTAGATTGTAAAATAATGGCTAATAACTCGGATGCAGCAAGAACATTTTGATCAAAATCGTCTCTTTGAAATTGTCTTTCAATTAATTTTAATAATATCGTATCTTTGATAAAGGAATCAATAAATGCTTTTGGTTCTTCGCAACCATCGATTATTGTTGATATCAAATTGAAAATAGAGTACAAATATTGAGCATCACTCTGGATATTGATTTCATCTATTGATTCTGCGTTTTTTATAGCTGTAATAATGTATTTTTCTTTAATGAGTCTCTCTATATTCTCTGTTTTCTCAGAAAGATCGGTTAAAATCGATAAAAATATTGCTGAAATTTCTGTATCTGGAATTGAAATAAGAGAATTGATAAATGGATATAAGTCTGAACCAAACAAAACCAAGGAAAATCCATCAATTTCAGTTAATTCTTCTAATTTTTTAGTACTTTCTAAAATTGATTGACAAAGTGTGTGAAATTCTGTTTCATCTTCCTTTTTTAGTGAGTTTAGTTTGCGTATATCTGTTGCTAATAATGAGCATACTTTTTTAATGTCTGTTTGTGTTGGAATTGGACCTGGATCATCCAAATCCATTTTTTCTGACACTTCCTTTACATGATTTATTTGTCAAAAAAATATAAATTAGAAAACTGAAAAAATTTTGAAAAATGGATGTTGATATTAAGGCATTGGTTGATTCAGAGCGATATAAGGCAACAGTAGAAGAAATTGCTGACGCAATAGATAGTCAAATTCAAGGAGTTCCTTTCGTACAACCTCAATTATGCACTTTTATCGATGATGAAACAGCAAAGAAACTTCTTGAGAAAGAAACAAACGCAAACAATGAACAGTGGGAAGTATTAGAAAATATTTATCATGAAATTATCGAAGATGTTTTACTTGCAGAAATCGAATTACAGCAATTAGATATAAAAAAGGATGAACTATGGAAAGTTTTCTCAAAATCTGCATATGCTAAACTTATAGATAAATACGAGGTTTCAATGCATGAAGAAGCAACTTTCATTGCGAATATGAAAAATAAAATTACAGAAAAATCTAATTTAGCGATCGATGATGCCTGCAGACAAGTTGAAGTTTCAAATAGGAAATTCAAAAAAGAATCAAAGGCGTTAACAGCACAGTTATCCAAACTAGAACTAGAATTAGACGAAGAAAGGGATCATCAAGAAGATTATTCAGAAGAAGAATCAGAAGATATCGATTTAGATAATGAGATAGAAAATGTTCGAGCAGAAGTAGCTGATTTAACAGAACAAAGAGATCAATTAGATAACGAGTGTGAAGATCTGAAAAAGGAAATTGAACAACTAATGCAAGATTTTGTTGCACTAGATTCACGATCTGTAGGGGCTAATATGCAAAAGCGCAAAACTCATAAAAAATAAAATATTTGTTTGTTTATTAGTATTCACAAAACTTTTTTCTAATCAACATCTGTTCATCTCATATATCTGAATGCAAAAGAGCTTCGTGTCTAAGAATATTTTCAATAATTTTAATTTCTTTTTTATTTCCGATATGTTTGATCTCACAACATACTAGAGAAGATATTTTGCACACAAGTGTAATCAATTTGCTTGAATTATATCCTCAATGAATCCAAAAACGTGTTCAAGAATCATAACAAGAAAAAAATTATGATTCTATCACAAAATTGGGGTTAGAACTAGAAGATCCAGGATAGGCAATGATATTTATAAAAATCAAAAAAGTGACAAATGAGTGATAAAAAAATTGCCTGTGTTGCTGCTATAGGCCCAGATAATAACCCAATTCTCCTCAAATCTTACTGCGTTGAAAAGAGATCCCAAGAAATAGATACATTGTTATTCTGCTCATTAGATTATTTTGAAAATTCTATAGATTCTGACCCTAAATATAAATCTACAAATCAATGGCTCGGAAATCTTCAAACATCAGATCGCTTCCAAATCTGGGGCTACAAGACAAACTTAAACTACAAAATTGTTGTTTTTACATTCCATAACGTTCCAGCAAATAATGAGGATATGAAAGCCCTCTGCGAGAAGATCAAGAAAATTATATTTAGCGCTTTTATGGATCCATTCTATCAACCTTTCACAGTTATCAAATCGGAGTCTATTTACAAACAGATTGATGCCTTATGTCAAGGCCAATAAACCTATTTGATTTTTAGATTAGTAATATTGATGTTTTATTTACAAATATCGAATGTAATATACCTAATTCACTAAAATTACTTTTCTATAAGTTTTATAATTGATGCGCAATAAAAACACGAATATCAATAGTTTCTATACTTTTTCAAGAAATATTTATCAATATTTTTTTATATTAGTAGCCCGAATTCGGATTGAAGCATATAAAAAGTAAAATCTCTCTGATTCGATAAGTGATGCACTCTCTCATTAAGAATATTGAACCAATATCAACATCTGAGAGAAAAAAATATAAGATAATTAAAATTTGAGACATTATTCTAGTTTGTGTTACTATACTCATTTGAATACCATAATACAGAGTCAATAATTTCTATCATCTTTTGCGCCATTTGTCACTTTTTGTAAATTGAGAACAAAAAGTGCCGCATTGGTCGTTCTTTTTCACAATGGGACACCTCAAGGGTAAGGAACTTATCAAGAAGTCACGCCAGGAACTCCTCGACGAGCTTGCTGGTCTTGAGAAGAAGCTTTTCGAGCTTAAGGGCCAAAAGGCTGCTTCTGCTGCTGCCACAAAGCTCACAGAAATCAAGAACACACGCCGCAATGTTGCTCGTGTAAAGTCTATCCTTATGGTTACACAGCGCAAGGCTCTTGAAGAGAAGTATGCTAAGGCTAAGTTAGTTCCAATCGATCTCCGCAAGCATCAGGAGAAGTCCCTCCGCAACAAGCTTGCTCCAAAGTATGCTAACAAGCTCACAGCTCAGGAGTCTCGCCGCCATAAGTGCCTCTTCGAGCGTAAGTTTGCTCTTAAGGCTCAGTAAAGTTTTGATTAGAATTTCATTATATTATATCAAATAACCAACCGTTTTTACAAATAATTACTTGCTTTTAAATACATTAATTTTGAGTTTGGCTCCATTTTCACATTAACCCAAAATATCATGAAAAATATTTGATATAAAACATCTTATATTTATCATATTTCTTATTAATTCTTTACAGATATTATAATATTGAGTTACCAGCGTTTCTTTATTGATTTTCAATTTTTATATTCTGAATTCCATAATAAAACACAAATTTTGAATGACAAATACTTTATTTTATGGATTTTAGAAATTTGGGTTAGCATAATTCCTTTGAGTAAAAACTTTGAAATTTGATTGATGAACGTTTAGCAATTCAATGAAGTCTCTTACTGAGCATAATAAGTACGGTTTCGTCGGGAATTCATTCTTTTGGATTAAAATATCACTTATTGTACTCCCAATTATAACGCTTATTTATTCAATTTTAATCGCAGCTCAACAAGGAAATGGATTATTCAAAAAATCAGTAGGAACGGCTCCAATTGCATGCCATATCTTATTACTTATATTCTGCATTGCATCAATATGCACTGCAATCCTTTATAACTTTCACTTATTAAAATTTGCAATACTTAGTTACGTTCATTATATCGTTACAGCAATTGGAATTCTTTTTGCCGCTATTTGTCTAATGTTTTTAAGCCCAGCTGCTTATTATTCTTCATACAATAGCGTAAGTGAGTATGCAAATCAATTTTCTTCACAAGATCCTCAAGCTCTTACTTGGGTTCAATATTATAATACAACAGGAAACTACTATGATGCTTACAACTACGTTCTGAAACGCACATTAAGATTTTATAACCCGATGAAAACTCTTTTTGCTCTTTGGCTTGGTGTATTCTTCTTTTCATTAGTCCAAGGCGTTTATATCGATGAAAAGTTGTCACATGAAACAGTAGAAAAAGAACAACCACAGGAAGCAACTCCAAAAGAGCAATCTCAACAATAGATTCTTAATTAAAATGTTTGTTTATTTTATTTGTTTTAAACTATACCTTTATGCCTATACATACTTTTCCTTACCAAGTACATCATATATCATAAACGAATAATAGATCAAGAAAGCAATATCAAACAAATCAGATGAGAAAACTTAATTCAAGATAAAATTTCTTGAGGATTGCCATGATAGAGCTCTGTTATATCTTGCTATATGCCAGTATATTGTTCTAAATGACTAGAAGCCGGAATATTTGGGATGCGGAAAATACGTTATTACTAAATTGTCAGGAGATTTATTTGGCAAAAAATTTCAAAACGTCATCAGTGATGGAAGAAGAAAAAAGAGAACTCACTGAAGATGAAGCTGCCAAGATGATCCAGCGAGCTTGGAGAAGGCATGCAGATATGAGTTTATTCCGTGGTTTAAAGAAATTAGTTCAATTTAGAAATCAAGGTGATCCAGCAGCATTACTTCGTGTAATTAATCCAATTGAAGCTCAACTATTAGATCCAGCAATTGGTGCTCATGTAAGATTCAGACTTGGTGGCTTCGAATGGCCTCCACAGATTTATTATAAAATTTATTTACACAGCCCTGTTTGCGATGTCAACTCATATGCTCCTAGAAACTACGCAGATAAAAAGAATAGCGATATTCCTCCAGTTACTCAAGAACAATTATCAGAATACGCAGAAAAGTTTGGTTGGTACCATCGCGTTGAAAACAATGGATGGAGACCAATATCTTCATTATCACCTACAGCAATTGATGCAATCACACAAATGACAAACAAATCATCTCCTCATAAAAAACCTATATTTAAGTCAAAACCAAAGCATCAACTCAAGCTTGAAGTTGCCAAACTTAAAGTACAAAGATTTTTGCAAGAAAAAAGCCAACAGGAAGGAGAAGCTTACGATCCAAGCATGGCTCAAGCGTATCTTGATGATGATAAGCTTTTCGAATGGGCTGATAACCTAGATATGAGTAAGTATAAAGATGATTGGGATACTATCGGTACAACAGGTCCATCATCAAATCTTTGGTGGAATAATGAATCCCTGAGTGAAGATGAAGACGTTTCTTCTTCATCTGACTCAGAAATTGATGAGGAAGAACTTTTGAAGCTTCTTCAATAAAATTTTTGTTTTTATTTTTTCTATTTAAATTTTCTATTCAATTTTTAACGCATTCAGCATTAGCTGTTGATCTTATGCAAGGATAAAAGGCAAACAACATATTATCAAGCATTAATTTGGCATTTTAATTAATATTTTTGGATTTATGTATAGATGAGACTAACCTAGAGAGTAAAATATCGATAAGATCAATGTAATGCTAGTTAATTCATAAGAGGTTTTATCAAACTTTATTTTCCAATATATTGAAATGTAAAAATAATCATTATTAATCCTTTCTGGTATTCAAATTTTCCATTAATGGGGATTTGTAGCTTGAATGATGTTTCCAAACAGCTATACATAATGCAGATGATTTCACATGTTTTGAAAAATGAATACGTGGTTGAATTTATGATTCGATTGTCGTGTGCAATTTATCAAGAATAGTATTTGTCGATCAATTTATTTTGGCTCACTCGGTTTCAAAATGTAAAATAATTTTTTATTCACATTAAACAATTAAAATGACCACGTATCTTTGCAAAATAAAAATCAATACTTTTTATTCGATTATAACAATTTCAATGTATTGAACGATAGATTTAAAATAATTTTGTCAGAAAATTTTATATGAGCTCAATACTTCGAGAATTCGAAAACATTCATGAGAAATGTGAAAGTTTCTTAGTTGGTCTATCTGAAAAGCGGTCTACAGTTGTTAAAGAGCTCGACAGCTGGTTGTCACAGTTATTTGAACAAATTCAGAACCAAAGAGTCCTTAATCAGCAACTTAAGAATGAAGTTCCTTACTTATACGAGTTCTTCAAGAAGGCTATTGTACTAATGCTTCGTAATTGTTCTCCTGGAGCGATGGGCGTACTCTCTATTTACATTATTCAGTTTGTCGGCTACAATTTGCTAAACAACAATCCTTCATACGTCGATCTTCTCCTACTGTTATTCAGTAACAATGACTTTTTGACAAAATTCCGCAGTTTAACACCAGAAGAATCCCAGCAGTACAATGCTTTGATGAGTGGTGGATCAGAAGGATACATTCCTCATCCACAGGACTGCCTATTTGGTAAGAAACTCGAATCTGGAGTCGATTTTATCGCTCTTACATGCCAAAACTTCGGAAGAAGAGGCTATTTCTCAGTTTTACTATCTACAATCATGAAATGCCAAGATTTTGTACAAGTTGAAAGTTGCATACAGTTCTTATACAGATCATATCTTTCAATGGACGACCAATTCAGATATTTCCTAGGTGTATGGTTTGCTGCCAACCTAGGCACACAAACAGACGATAGATTCAATGGATATAACGCTATCCATCTCACAAGGTTAATGTTTTGTGTTTCAATTGAAGACCAATGCCTTGATATATCAGCCACTCTATATAGCAACTGCCTTACTGCAGCAGCAGCTGCTAATCAAGCTACTCTAATTATCGAAGAACTCATGGAAATTACAAAACAATCAAATCGCCATCCATTAATTGATAAAATCTGCGGACAAATACTCAATCTCTTACTACAAAGCGATATCTCAAAGATTGCTGATTTAATCATCGCAGCAGCTTTGTATATCCAAGATACAGATTTTCTTGACAAAGAATTCGTTTATGAGCACGTTAAACAGAACATGTATATACTAGAAGCATTATTCAATACTTTACAAAGCTGTATCAACATAAATAAAATTTATTATTATGGCAGAGAAGACATTCCAAATAATTACAAGTTTTTGCTCAAACTCATCCCATATTTGGATACTACACAGATTCCAAACATCGGCGACGATCTTGTTACAATTTTATTTACGATGCCACGCGAAGATGTTGATGTCTTCATACAAATATGTTCTCTCAATCAATTTAAGTTCTTTTTCTCTAATTCTTTCATGATTTTCCTCGACAATACTAAAAAATGGGATTATGACATGCTCGATTTATGTTGCAGGACTGCAGAATACATTGACATCATTGATAAAAACAAGATCTTCAGAATAATTGCAAGAACAATAACAGGAGACAAAATTATTAAAATTTTAACAGATCATCCTTTAATTCCAATCTTGGATACAACAGCCGTGATCAAGGCATCAGATAACTCACCATTGCTATCTAATTTCTTAAGAACTCACATGTTTAACGAAGTACATAATTTATCCCAAGTTTTGCCAAAAACTGCCAGCTCATTAAGCCTCATTTTCGATGTCTTCCTTGAGGAAAACTCGTTTTTAGTCATTAGCCATCCATCGCAGTCAGTTAAACAGCGAGAAATCATGTGGCAAGCGATGTTTACTTCGTTTAACATCGGAGCACAAGAATATTTGAAGCTTTGCATCAAATTCTTCAATAACTTCATGAAAGTAAGTAAAGAAGTGTTTAGTTCCGATGTCATGAACTTGTTGAAATCAAATCATTCCAAAGTTATGGCTTCTCTTTTGAATGAAATGGATTTATCTACATTAGAACCTGATTTCTTCCTCGAGAAACTGAAAACTTCTCCAGAAGCAATTGTTGTTTTGCATGCAATACCTCATAAAGTGAAATACACTTACGATGAGTCATTAATACAACAATTAAAAGCGGCTCCTCTACATGAAAAAGCGATTATTTTGGATTCAATTAATAATTATGCCGATGAAACGTTTTTCCCTGTTTTGAAGCCACATGTGAAGATAGCCATTGAAGTCTTCCAAGCAACGAATCCAACAAATATGGCTTACATGTATGCGATGAGAAAAATCGCGTTAGTTACATTCCAAAAAGTTGGAATTGATGTAAGTCGACAAAATTTGGATGTAATTGTTGATTTCGCCATTGGATGCGGATACAAAGATTTGTGCGACCTTGCAATTTCTCTTTATCCTAAGGAGAAACCATGCGATCCAAATGAATTCGTTCAGACATTCCGAGGAGCACCAAAACAGTTGTCTTTGAATGCTGTTGATTTGTTATTGAATGACACTTTTGATTTACAAAAGTTACAGGCGTGTTTAAGATGTTGCACGAATGAATCAATGATAGAGATTATTCCTAAGATAAAAGAGTGGAGTGATGACATTTCTCTTGAAGTTTATGGTCGATTTAAGATGATTGTTGATGCAGGAACATGCAGTACAAGATTAGTTGAATTGATTATGGATAAATTACCAACTTTGCCACAAATCAATGCTGATTTAGTACAGTATTTCTTCTCCCCTGAATTCCCTCCTTTCTTAAGAACAGACATTGTCACGAAACTCTTCATAAACAGATATAAAAATGGTGTTGGACCCCTTCTTCATCAAATTGAAATTGCTAATCCTCTTCCTGCAATAAATGACCAGAAAACATTACTAATTAACAAATCCGATTGCTATCCATTGAATTCTTTGTTGTATTCACTATCTCATTACATTCCTTTCGTTTACATCGCTACAACAAGTGTTCCAATCACTGAATATTCTTTGGATTTGGCAAAATTAGTTTTGTCATATATTCCTGAATTTGAATCATCTTTTTCAAAGTCAATTACAGGAAACATGCCCATTGTTGATGTTTATCATTCTATTTTATCTTTGTTACCTGAGAAAGTCCGTCAATTGATGTCTTTTGTTTTAATTGGCGACAACCAAAATCAGCCACAAATTTTTGATTTGATCAATGTCAAATTAACTGATGCTTACAGATCGTTCTTGAACACGTTCTTTAATAAAGGTAATGTCAAACAGAAGATGGGACATGCTCCTCCTTTGTTACCTATTAACTTGGAACCTCCTGCAAATGAACATGAAATTAAAGCAATGTCAATTCCTACGAAAGTTGATTTCAAAGAATTTATTTTGAATGGAGAACAAACAATTTATGCTTTGCATTCCGTTGTTGGTTTCCAGAAGAGTGATAGAAGTAAGTACACAGCATTCATTGCAAGTTCAAGTGGTGGATACGTTCAATACAATGAAGATGGAGCTGTAAGAATTTCTAATTTACCTTCATCAATTGTTCCTCACTTTTTGTTCTACAAGAGAGTTGATTTCGTTGTTACAAATCAATATTTGTTTTCACATTTGACGTCTGATACAAAGACTGACGTCAACTCATTCGATAGATGCGTGACAAGGACTGTTGAAATTGATGATAACTTGTTCTCAGAGTTCAATAGAACAAGAGCTTTCTACATTTTGGCAATTGCAATGTTGAGGAAATTTAATAATCCGTCACTTTTCCGTTCATTGAAAGATGACAAGAATTTTGCAGCTGTTTTCTTTGAAACAGGAATGGATATAATCGTGAAACAGAATGCATTCAGTTTAGTGAAGAATGACATTAGAGAATTAGCACAAAATTGCCCAAACCCAGAAGATATTTGTCGTCAATTGTTATCTGGAGTAAGTCAGCCTCAATTTGCAGAAAATGTATTGAATGTTATAATGAACTTGAACTTGTCTTTAGATGCAATCTATGCTGTAGTAAGAACAGCAAAGAACGCTAAAGATATATTGATAAATATGCCAGAATATCCAATTTTCGTCGATCCTCTCTTTGCAGACAATGAAAAAGTCAAAATTATTTGCAATGATAAAGAATTGTTCGCTCCAGTTAAGAAGGCCAAATTACCTCAGTATAAGAACTATGCCAAGAAGAATTCTAACTAAACATTTTATTTCTATTTATTATTAAATATAACAACTTTAAAGTTCATTCGAATTTCTCTTATTTCTATTTATTATAAAATATATCAATTGTCAGTTTCAATTACAACAATGAAATATTTGATAATGTAATCGCTATTACAGGTATTAAAGCATAAATTATACTAATCCTTTATATTTTGGAAACGCATATCGATATAAAACTTAAGACAGATATCTGCAGGCAAAAGAATCTTCTTCCAAAAGCATGATTTGAATTATTAAGATTGACTGAAGAATTCGTGACAATAGGAACATTTATATCAATTTTTGTATGTTGATCAAATGCATGCTGTTTATAAGGAACATTAAAAAAAGTGTTTCGGGCAGGATTTGAACCTGCGACCGTCTGCTTATAAGACATATGTGCTATCCGACTGCACCACCGAAACCTTCGAGAAAATTGCAATAAATGATTTTAAGATAAATAATATGCACTTTTCCATCATTTGAGAATGACTTTCAAATCAATAACGAGAGTCAGAAAGAATTTTAAGATCATTTCTAATATAACATATGAACTAATTAAAAGTTAAACAAGTTAATTAAAATAATATTTTATTCTTAATATAAAATTTTAAATAATAACAGTTTAATTTGAGAAAAAACCAGACCAAATCATTGAAATTACTGGTCAGTAGAATTAGTAGAGTTAGTTTCGTTGATTGAAGTGCTATTTGTTTCGTTAAATTCCTGTGAAATTGTGGAATTTGTTGAAACTTCTGTTTTATTGACTTCTTGTTGAACATAAACGTCAGACACATTTAATTCTTGTGGAATTGTCGCATTTGTTTCATTTGATTCTACAGATAAAGTCGAATTATTTTCAATTTTCAAAGGAATAGCAGTAGAATTAGTTTCATTACCTAACTTGACCTCAGTTGCATTAACAGATGTTGTCAATGTTCCATTTGTCTCATTTTGGCCTTGAATTGTAATATTATTCGAAAGATTTGGTTGTTGAGTCGAAGTAATGTTAGAAATCAATGATTCATCGGCTACAATACTTATTGTTGCATTTGTTTCATTAATTAGATGATTTGTTGAATTAATTAAAGTCTTTGTAGAATTTGTAAGCGAAATGTTTGTATTAGACATGTTTACAGCTGTTGTTGTGTTTGTAGAATTGATCTGTTGAGTCATTGAAATATTTGCTGAATTTGTTGAATTTTTCAATGAAGCATTGATAGCACGAGTGCTTGTGCAACGAACTACATTCATTTTTCTCTTCGCACCAGCTCTACAAGCAAGTGGATGTGAATAAATAACTGTAATTGGGTTTATTCCTACGTATTTAAGGCTTTTGCTATTAAGATCGCAATCAAAGTAAACTTTTGTGCCATTTACATGAGGATAGGCTATTCCTGTTTGCGTTGTTCTTGGCATTAAGTTATTGTCTAACAAAGAAGCGTTAATTGTAGTGTTTTTGCGTGTTTCGAATGTTATGTTATTGAAATAGCAAATTTGAACGTTATTGAACTTCTTTGAAGTGTAATTTTCGCATTTTCTCTTAAATTCTTCTCTGATATTATAATTTATTTCGCTTAATGGCATAGGCTTGAATTCCTTTTGATCTACGAAGCATTTGTAAGATTTGCGTGATTTAAATGTATAATCTGTGTAATTTCTTAATTCTGGCTGATAATACTTAGTTGTTGTATCATAATACTTTACTTTAAGTGGTAATGAGTGATAATAGTCCGGAGAATCATAAAGATTATAATTGTAATAGCATAAAAATCCAAAAATCATCCCAAAAAGAAAAAGTGACAATAATATTTCTAAAAAGTGACAATGCTTCAAGATTTTCGGAGTACTTGGTCAAGATTCTATAATTCTGTAGCAGAAACCACTCCAGTACCCGATAAATTTTGGCATCCAGACTTAGAAGACGCCAAATGTCTAGCTACAATGTATCTTGTCACATTTTCAATTTGGTTATCTGCAATGTTAACTGATGGACCACTCGCAATCTTGAAATATTGGGATGGTCCTAATTATATATACGTTGGAATCACATTATACGATTCAGGAACTAAAGTTGATCCATGGAAAAGAACTTTTTCGTACCCATACTATTATATTGCATGCCATTTACCAGGCTATCCATTAATAATCAAATTGATGTCATTTTTTACTTTCGGTCATTGGGCTTTGGCATCATATCTTTCTATTTTGTTTTCTACGGGGCTTCTTGTATACGCATTCAGACGTTTACTCATTATTTACGATTGTGTAAACAATCCGACACTTACTACAATGCTACTTTCAGTAATTCCCACTAGATTTATGATATATCACAGTGTCATCGCGAGTGAACCAACATTTTTAGCTTTCGTATGCTTATCTTTAATATTCTACAAAATACAGAACATTCCTTTGATGATGACATGCGTTTGGTACTGTTGTATCACTAGAATTGAAGGAATCTCAATTGGAGCGACAATTGGCTTGTGTTACCTGCTCAGACTTGATATAGCTCATGCTCTTATGATGTTCACGACGTTTTTGGCCGATTTTGCCTTATTAATTATGCATAAGAAATTATTTAACGAATGGTTGGCTTATTTCAAGTTCAACTTCTCACACCAAGGCTTAATATCATGGCCGCCACTTTACAAACTCATAGGATCAGCCGGATTCACAGATATGGTTGAAATCAACACATTTTTACTTTATTTCTTATTACTAACGCCAGGAGTCATTCTTCTTTACGGTCGCTGTGGTCCAGTGGCAATATTCGCTAGCATATTCAACGCGTACGTCACAATTTTGTTCCACATCGACATTTACAGGTACGGAATTCCTGGATCTGTCTTTTCTTTCCTCATCGGATACGACAGACTGTGGTCCTCGTCACAGATACAGAACACTCTGCTTGCTTCCGGTCTTCCTTTGATTGTTTTGCTTCTTACTTACGCTGCAGGACAAATCATGACTAATGTCTGCGGTAATGACTTCCTTGAGTACGTCTTCTCATTCGCAAGATCTGAATACTTATAAATGTAATTTATAAATGTTTATTTTATCTCTTGTAAAATTTTTTTATTTTTTAAACTTTTCTGACATTTTTTTCAATCATAAACCTTGTTGCAAAAGACGGACTTATCAATTTTTCGATAGTTTACATTCTAATTATCTCGTAGAGGTACTTTTCTAAACTGTCTGTATGAAGATGCAAATTATTTCATGAACTCTTATACTTAATATAGATGAATTTTTTTTTTGCTATTAAAATAAAAGTATATTGATTTTGTGAGAGCATGTAATAAAGCGGTAAGTGCATTCTTAAGACTATCACACCCATGCCATCATCAGCAGCTTTACACCACCAAATTTTGGATATCGAACAACTTCATTCTGATCATTATTTGATGCCAAAATGAATGATCATAAATCTTTGAGAGTTTTGCATTAAATACATGTATTAAACCAATGAGAAATAAAAAGGAAAAGAAATGGGAAATACATTAACAGTTTATAACATAAAATAATTAAATATGAACTTATCCATATGAAATATGATATTTAAAGTTCTTTTTTAATGAAGCATTTTCACCGCTGCCAGAATTTGGAAAGCAATATCAATTACTCGTGAGATCATCATTTATTACATTCTTTAAAAATTATATATCAGAATAACTATTATATTCGTCAGATGGGCCATCTTTTAAAGCTGAAATGAACTCTTTATGTTCATTTGAAAGTCTTTCCAAAAGATCTTTGATGGTATGGAACACAACATCATTCAACTGAATCACGCTTGGATTTAACGAAATGTTTCTCTCAACATTTTTCTTGATATCAATGATTTCGTTCTCAAGGTCAATATTTCTACGTTCTAATTTTCTATTGATTCTCTGCAAATTCAAGATATCACTGTTATTTGGAGGAGAAAGACTTGATTGGATTAATTGCGCGCTATCATTTTGCGCATCAATCATTCTTTGTAAGTCTGAGACTTGTCTTCTTAATGCAATGATAGCTTTTTTATCATTTGATGGCGATCCTGATATTTGTGAGAATTCTTCTTTGAGTTTAATGTTTTCTTTTTGTAAATCAAGGATTTTGTCTTTCAATTCAATGTCTAATTGCTGACTATCCTTTGAATCTTGATTTTCTTTCTTTAGTTTGAGCAATTGATCTCTTAATTCTTCAAGCATAGAGTCAGATTCTGTTAACTCTTTGACCTTTTCATCTAGCAATGCATTCAACTCTTCAATTTGAGCTTTCAAATCAGAAATTGAACTATTTTCCTTCATCAATTTCTGAATTTCGTTTTTGAGATTGGCAATTTGTTTATTCGCATCATCTATCTCCTTTTCTTTAGATTTGGCTCTTTCATTAAGTGCTACTAATTGTTCATTTAGTTTCATTAATTGTTCGCTAATGTTGGAATTAGAATCTGATTCTTTCATTAGCTTAGATATCTGTTCATTTAATGCATAAATTTGTGCATTTGCATTGTTTAATTCATTTTCTTTTGATTTAATCATATCATTTAATTTTGTGATTGTTTCATTGAGTTGTTTAATTTGATTGTTTAACTGAGATAATTGTGTATTCTGCAATTGAATTGTGTTATTGAGATCTGAATTAACTTTAAGACTTTCTTGCAAATCCATTTTGAGTTTGTTGAGATCCTTATTACATTGTTCAATATATTCATTTTGGTTTTTGATTTTATTATTCAGATCTTGTGATAAATTATCAAATGATTTACTATCATTTGTAGATTTCTGTTTGATGTTCTTCAATTCATCAGTTAATTTCTTGATGTTTTCATCCCTTTCAAGAATATCATTTCGTAATTTGATTAAGTCATCATTCAGTCTAAGAATAGTTTGATCTTTTTCTGAGATCTGTTTCTTATAATTGTTGATATCAATGATGTTTTGCTTTGCTGTTTGTTCATTTTGTTGTAGTTGTAACTTCAGCTTTTCAAGTTCCTGTTGACTTTGTTGTGCTTTTTCATTATCATTGTTTGGTTTTTCATTATTATTTCTGAGATTAAACGATGGTTCAATAAATTTCTCCATTTCTTGAGTTTGTTCTTTGATATCAGAATCTTTGTTCCTTGGTTTCATATTGCTTAATTCGTCAAGTAATCTCCTGTTTTCGGTTGTTAATTCTAAGTTTTGCTGGCGTAGTAACTCATTCTCATCTGCAAGTTTTTTATTTGCTTTTGCTAATAAACTATTATCATCAATTAATTTGTTAATTTCTTCTAAATCTTTATCTCTTTGCTCATTAATGCCAACAATTTTTCGCTTAAGCTCCACTATTTCTGCTGTTTGAGTTAGAGGGTCAGCTATTTCATGGCTTGGTGGAGAAGGTACTCCTGCAATAAAGCTTTCACGAAGTTGCGAATTCTCTAATCTCAAACTTTTGATTTCAATTTCTTTAGAATTCATTAAATCTTTCAATTTGATATTGCTGTCTTCTTCCATTTTAAGTTTGTTTTGGAGTTCTTTGACATCATTTTCGAGCTTTAAAATCCTTTGTTGTGTAGCAGTATCTATTGTTGGTATTGATGGAATATTCTTGTTTGAAATATAATCTTCGTAATCAGGAATTTCAACAAATTCTATTCCATATTTTACGCTGTAAGCTCTAATAAGAGAATACAGATCTTTTAGCTTTTTCTCAAGAGTTGATATTTGTTGTTGATAGTTATAGCATGCCCGTTTGAAATCTTGTTCATCAATCTCAGCTTGTGATACTCTCTTTTGAAGTTTCAAAATTATTTCTGATTTGTCATCATAATCTCTTGTTTTATTTGATAATATATTGTAACGATTTGTTATTTCATTGTATAGTGTAACAAGATTTTCGTATTTCGCAACCTTGTCACGCATTGCATCCTCTTCAATTTCATCAATAGAAGGATTTTTGTTATTTGAGTAACCTTTTACTCTTAATTCTGCTTTAAGTCTGCTGTTTTCTTTTGTCAGCTGATCTATTATTGCTTTATGATCTTTACTATCAGTTGGTGATTGCGGTTCTGCAAGTTTCTTCTCTAATTCTTCAATTTTTGCATCTTTGAATCTGATTTCTTTTTCAAGAGTATTCATCTGAGATAATTGAGCTTTCACATCTTGTAATTCGATGCTTTGCTGGTCATTGATATCGCGTAGTTTGGATATCTCCTTTTTCAAAGTTTGAATTTGTGAATTAGTTCCGGAATTACTTGGTTTTTCAATTGCTACTGCTGTTTCCTTGTCCATTTTGTTTTTTAGATCAGTTATCATAGATTCTAGAGATCTAATTCTTTCATTTAAACGTATTTTCTCATTATTATCTGAAAATTTTATATTATCTAAATTTTCTTTTAATTCAAGATTTTCTTTGTGCACTCTTGTATTTTCTTCCAGAAGTTCCTTTATTTTTTGTTTCAAAACTGAGTTTTCTCGTAAGATTCCGTCCATTTGATCAATTTGAATTGAAGGTACATCTGATTCTTGTTCTTTTAACGCCCTTTTAAGGTCATTAATTTCGGCTTGATCGTGTAGCTTTTCGTTTTCAAGTTGTTTGATTCTATTATTTAGTTGATCGCGCTCTTTTGTTATTTTATCAACATGTATAGCTAAGTCATTACTGTTTTGGTATCTTGTCGATATATCTGACGTAATTTGAATACCATTCCCGCGATTTTTAGAAAAATTGTCTTGTTTTGATGAAATGAACGAATTGCGGAATTTAAGTTCATCAATTGTATGCACCAATTCTTGGTTTTGCATTTTTAACTTTATAAGCTCGTCTTGTAATTGATTATATCGAGATGTTGTTTTTTCATCAGTATTGATATTTGAAATGATTGGTTGATGAGAAGAAAACTGCAGTCTTTGCTTTAATTCCGAATTTTCTGTTTCCTTAGCTTTTAATTTTATTTGCAAAACCATAAGTGTGGACTCCATGCGTCCAAGCTTATCTTTATAGTCTTGAATCGTCAATTTTGGAGATCCTTTTGGTGGATTTCCATATCCTCTAGGTGAATCCATTTTTACAAAATTTTAAACGTGCACTTTTTTCTTTAAACTTCATTAGCGCATTCTAGACTTTGATAAAGGGAATATCTTTTGTTCTGCATTAGAGATCCAATCCTAGTAATGGAAAAATGCAGAATAAGAGCAAAGATAGCAATGTCTGTAGTAAATTAAAAAAAAAAAATCCGGAAATTGAATTTCAAAATTCAGAATTTACAAACTGTGTGACAAAATGTATGCAGTATTATCAGTTTGCAAATGGTTAGTTTCTTATAACTCATACAAAAATAATTTAAAAAAATTATTTAACAATAAAAGATGTTTAATCTGAAAAATTAAACTTTATAATGATTACTTGAAAGAAGATGGAATACTGTCAATGCCTGGGCCTTCTGATTTAGACTTTCCTGTATATAAATCTCGAATTTCGTTCGGCATTTCAACGTATCCTTGAAGGCAAGGAGCGATAGCCATTGAAATTGCATCTGTAACCGCTTGGACTGTGAGTTCGCGTGGTTTTTCGATAAGAGATTGCTCAGTCTTTGTTCTCCATTTGTTGGAGATTGTAGTCTCAGCAATGATGAAAGATGCTGGCATCTTGAAGTTTGCGTTGATGTCGTAGAGTTGAACAGTCATCAAATCGTCGGAAATTGGTGTAAAAATAACATTAAAAATTCCTAATTTGCCTGTATTTGAATTATATGTTGTGCAAGTAAGAGATTTATGAGCAGATTCGAGTTCGTAGCCTCCTAAGTCAGCCATGCTCTTGAGCATCTCTTCAACATCAGAAATTTTAGATTGTAAAGTGGTTGGAACAAATGCTTTAAGTCTTTGGATAATGCTATTGATAACTAATGGACCTTTTGAGATTTTAACAGTGAATTTTTGATTAGTCGAAGCAGAAACAAAATTTTCGAAGCCGTTTCCAGGTAAAACATATCCAACTTGATTAACTGTCATTCCATTGCGCAAGCTCTGGCAGATTTTGCCGGTTAAAGCTACAGCAGCACATATACCGAGAACAATTAATCCAAGCATTTTTCTTGTAAACGCTGGCAAAAAACGGTTATTCCTTCAATTTCAAAATTTTGCCATTATACTACAATCGGAAATTTCATTAAAATACTTATTTTTGTCTCAAAATATTTTAACACTTTCAATTAAATTGCGTAACTCCTACTTTTACACAGGATCGAAAATTCGTGTGCGTAGTCATAAAGATATATTCGTTTTCATTATTTCATAGCTCAAGTATATGACTTGGATTGGTCATATTTATTTTAGATTCAACAATATATATCTAAGTTTTAAAAAATGAGATATCAAATGATATGTTTATTCATTTTTATGATATTCAGCACTTTCATTGTCTTCTTTCGTTGTTGAACTATGCAGTTTGATCTGGGAAAAGATAATAAGGGAAATGAATATCACTAATAGAACTATAAAAACAATTAGTATTGCTAATTCTGCTTTGTACTTTGTGCTGCTTTTATAAATCTCTTCTTCACTCAATTTCTCTGGGATAACGCAGTCTTCATCGGTATCCGTTTGATTTGTTGTATCTGTTTGATTCGTTGTGTCTGTAATATTGGTGCTATTATCATCATTATCTTCAATTACAAAGTCATCTTCAACATCTAATAATTCGAAATCTTTCTTAATTATCTCTAAATTTGCTTCAGTGATTGCATAATTATAGAAATTTGTTGCATGCATTTTGCATTCAATTCTCCCTTGGAAACTGTTAGGATATTTAATATTACTATTTGAAAAGTAAATAGATTTATATCCTTCTTTATAAAAGGTAGTTGATGATGGAAATCTTTGGGCAAACGATAAATCTCTAAATTCATAATCACTATATTTCGTAGCTGCAAATCCAAAATCTGTAAAACAAGAATCAAATGAGTCAGGAAATGTTACATTTTCTGTTTCAATGTCTACAATCTGAAACAAATTGTCAATATCAACATTTGTTATTCCATCACTAAATCTAATATTCGAATAACTAGAATGATAAGATGAAATGGCACGATTAGATTTCTTATTAACTATATCTTGTCCTGTAACATAGAATACTGGATGTTGTTCATCAATAGTAATTACTAAATCAGCACAGCCTAAGAATGCATTATTGCCGATTTGAATTATTTTATCTGTTATAGTGAACTGTGTTAATCCACTTAGAGCGAATCCTTGTGAACTTACGAATTCAAGTTTATCATTGAATGGAATTGTTTTAAGACTTGAACATTTCATAAACGCATCTGCCTCAATTATAATGTAAGGTGCATCACTATTAAATTGAACTTCTGACAATGATGAGCATCCATAAAAACATTGCATTGGAATGAAATTAACTTTTGGTAACGCCACTGTCTTCAACGATTTACAATCTTTGAAAGGTGCTATTGATAGCTCATTTACGGTATCTAAGAAATTTATTTTTTCCAGATTAGCACAGTTTTGGAAACAATATTTATCAAAACTTTCTATTTTTGATTTACAATTAATTTCTTTCAAACTTGAGCAGTTTGCAAATGAATTTAATGGGAACCTTCTCAAACTTGTAGATAAAATAGTAATTTTTTCAAGAAATTCGCAATCAAGAAAACATGCATTTTCTAACTTATTGACACTTTCAGGAATTGTTACTTCTTTTATACTGGTTGATGGAACACAACCAAAAAGTTTTGTTTTATCCGTGTTATAAACTAATGGAAATTCTATTAAAAAACCAGAAATAGGATCTATTTCAATTGAATTTAAATTTGTTGCGCCTTTTAGAGAGTTCAAATATATTTCCCCATTTTGTGGCCTAAATTTAATTTTTGCAAGTTTAGAGCATTCTAAAAATGGATAATTCTCTATAATATCATTTTTCAAATCCATACAATGTAATTCTTCAATATCAGTTTTATAAAATGCATAATTGTTAAGCCTTGCTGCACCAATATCAACTATACCTTTAAGACCTGAATATGCAAAGGCAAAAACATATATTATTTCTGCAGAATGTAGATCAACTGTTGTCAGCTTTTTGCAATTATAAAAGCAATATGAATGAATAGTCTGAACATTCTCAAGATTAATTGTACTAATACTCGAATTCGAAAAGTATGTGCTAATTGATGTGATGCTTTCAGCTAATTCTATTGTTTCAACATTTGGAAACATCTCTGAAAACACTGTAATTAATGGTGTATCTGTCATTTCTCCTGAAAATTTGATTGTTAAAATGGTATAAAATTTAAAGTATGATGTTATTTCATCCGTTGTTTTTATTTCCATGGTATTAATATTATCATTTCTAATTTTATGATAGATTGAATAATCCATAAAGTCTTCTGGCTTATCTAAAGAAACAGTAGAATCGCTATAAGTAGCTTCTTTGGAAATATATATTTTTTGATTGAGGAAAGCATAAAAACCGCTGATAGAAGCATCATATAAATATATGTAAATTATTCAAAAGTTACGGATCAAATTGATAAATCATAAAGCATTGAAATTATTAGATGTAATCCATTGAAAAATCACAGTCCGAATTGAGAGATTAAAGCACATTCAAAAATCACAGATGAAAATGAGAAAAGCCTGCATTTCTGACCCTATTTCAGATTAAAGAACTGACAGAATTAAAAATATAAAATTCACAAATTTCGTCTCATCAATAATATATGAATATTTATAATTATATTCATAAATTTCATTAAAAATAACTTGGAATACATGGTACCGCATAATATATTGAATTTTTCACACACCATAATTTATTGAATTTATTTTTACCGATGTTTAACATCTTTTTGCTTAGAAATCTATTATATAAAGACTTATTTATGAATTCGGCATTAAATGTTGAGGGTGATCTATTGGTAATCTCTTCTAACGATGATTTTCATCAAGAATCAGAATATAATTTGGAAATTTTCAACGCATTAACAAACAACCATATCAGCAAAATTAAACTAACATCAGAAGTTAGTAGTGTTAGTACATTCTACGGAATCCATCTTGTTGAAATTTTTGACTTTTCGGAATCATCTGTTTCACAAATTCCTACTGGAATGTTTAAAAATTGTCCGATTCTTTCAGAAGTTAAACTAAATAGTAATCTTATAACAATTGAATCAAATGCTTTTGCGTTTTCGATAATTTCTATAATTAATTTAAATAATGTTGTAGAAATTCAATCATCCGCATTTTCAAATTGCATCAACTTGAACATGATAGATATTGGTAGTGCTCAAACAGTTCATGAATATGCTTTTGAAAATACAGGTTTAACTCAAGGAGATATATTCTTAGATAGAATTTCAAATGGATTATTTCAAAATTGTTTTAAATTGGAAAGAGTAAAATTTGGACGTGCTTGGTGGCCAGAAGTTGGAGATTCTGCATTTAGGAATTGCTTCAAATTATCAAATTTTGAAGGTATGTCAACCTTAAAATCAATCGGTGATAATGCATTTGAGAACACTGCTTTGAGATCAATTGAATTTGATAGTATAAACTTAAAATTTTATAGTTTTGCCAATATAATCACACTTGAAACAGTTTCATGCTATGATGGTAGCTTTAGTACATGTTGTTTCATGAATTGTATCAACTTAAAATCAATAATAATTGAAGATGAATTTAGGTCTCATCAAGATCAGTTTTTTAATCATTTTTTTAATTGTATATCATTAATCACATTCCGTTGTGGTAAAATGTTATATGTTCCTCCATCATGTTTTGAGAATTGTAGAAGTTTAAAAGATTTTCAAGCATCACAAATTCTTTTGATTAATCGATATGCATTTAAAAATTGTCAGTCGTTAGAAAGTTTTACTTTTTCAGGAATTCATTTATATTCAGGAGCATTTCAAGGATGTTCAAAGTTGAAAACACTTAATGGATTGCATTCATATTCAAGTGGATCGCCTTATTTATTCTCAGAATGTACAAGTCTAGAAAGAGTTGAAACTAATAACGTTGCAGAAGGAATGTTTTCAAATTGTTATTCATTAATAGAAGTAAAGATTCATGGAAATAAAATAAAACCACGCGCATTTCAATATTGTTATAATTTAGAAAAGATTACATTTGTCAATCCGATTTCAGTTATTCCTGAGTATTTCTTTTATGGATGCTCAAAATTATATGATATAAACTTGGAATCAATAACAACAATTGGAAAATATGCATTTTATAATACTTCATTACATGATGGAATAAATCTTAAACAAACAACAGAAATAGGAAAACGTGCATTTGCTTATTCAAATGTCAAATCAATAGTATTTGGAAAACCAATCAATTGCTATAACATTAAGCCTTTATTTGAAAAAGTTTCACAAGTTCAAATCTTTTCTAAATGTATAAATCTTGAAAAAATAACATTTGAAGATATAGGATTTATTTCTCTGGAGATATTTAGAGATTGTGAAGAGCTCAAAACAATTGAATTTGGTGAACATTATCAGTATAAAGATGGTATGCTTATTGGATCAATACCAGATTCTGAAACGACAATTTATACATATAACATAACTGAAGCCAATAAAGAATTAATTATTCCAGAGAATGTTAAAGTAATATATCAGTATGCATTTTTCAAAGCAAAAAACATTCAAAAAATTACGATTGGTAATCATGTGACAATACAGCAATATGCATTTTGTAGCATGTATTCTCTAGAGGAAGTTACCATCAATTCAGAGCAAATACCAACTGGCTGCTTTTTCAGATGTCCTAAAATAAAGTCTGTAACTCTTGGTGATTCCGTTAAATCAATTCATGATTATGCATTCTCATCAACAAATGTTAAAGAAATAATATTGCCGGCTTCATTAACATCCCTTGGAAAATCATTTTTGGGATCTCCATTAACAAAAATATCATTTAAAGGAAAGAATATGAACTTTATTATTAAGCCAAATGAAGTATATTATATCAATTCAAACAATGAAAAGGAGCTTCTCTTTATATACGGAAAAATTGAAAATCAAATACTTACAATCACTGAAAATATTAAATTGATTAATGTGTTACAAATAACAGATAAATTAGAAGATATCAAACTAATAAAGCTTCCAACAACATTAGAAACAATCAAAGTAAATGAAGAGTTTTATGAAAAACAAGTAATTGAAGACACATATGGTGCCCCTGATCCAATAATTCCAATCTATCCTATTCCAAGATTATGTTACGAAGGAACTAACGAGATTCAAGTATTGGATGAAAAAGAAGTCAATCCAATGTTTGAATTTTATTCATCAACATATCCAAATTATTACCTTACTAAATTCATTGAAGTCATCAAAGAAAATTGTGAATCTGGAATTAATTCTAGGAAAGTATTAGAAGATAAACCAATTTGTAAAAATGCCTCATTGATCATAGAAGATACAAATAAACCCAAGAAAAAATTATATGGTTTAGAAATCGCGTTAATTATCATTTCTCTTCTATTAGTTGCAGCAATAATAATGCTTGGATTTACAATATATGCATACATTCATATGAATGAAGAAAGTGAAGATTCAGAACTTCCTGAAATGAAAGAGGAAGAAGTTACAACAATTGGCATCAATCAAGAAGGTCAAACTCTTGATAATCCACTATTCAATATAAGAACTAATCAAGATGATCCATTCCATCAAGATTTTGAAGAGAAAGATATGTTCGATAGAAATCAAAAAGATGAAGAAGAAGTAATTGACTCATTGAAATTTAATATCGATGAACAATAAATATTGATATAATCTTTGGATTATGCATAATTTTATGAATCATGCCATTACTATTAATATAAACTACTTTTTAATAAAAAATATTCATTTTCCCCTATGATTTAAATATTTGTTAATTATTTTGGTTAGAAATTGAATTGGCATACTTTGTAACATACATAAATGTACTATTTAAATACAAATAAGTACTTTAAGGTTGTGAATCCTGAAACTGATTGAAAAAATTAGTTCTGTTATATGATATATCTCACGAGTTATGAAAAATCAGCGAGAATGTCCCAATATGGTAGTAAAATTGCACTCTTCGTCATTTTCTCATAATTTTTCATTCAAAATCAAAAATTTCCCTTATTCAAAAACAAATCTCAATTTATCGATGGATTTATCCTTGTTATTATATTGTATGATATATGAAAAAGCATTATTCATTTCCTTTGTATGTAGACATTCGGAGATAAAGCAAATGAGCATGAAATTGTAAAGAATAATATAGATTGGATGTACCAATGTTTTCGCAACGAATTTTCTCATTAAAAATGGTCACCCTTATGTAACGTATTCATCAAAAAATAATGAGCTAAAATAATGTTGCAATAATCCCATCATTCAGTGAACATATGCGTGTATGATATTAGATTATATCGAAATTCATCAGAAAAAATCTTACAATGCAATTTCAATTAATGTCAATGACTTAAGCTTAACCATTTAGTAATTATAACAACTTACTAGTATCTCAATATTATTGTCTGATATTATTTACTACTTTGCCCGTAGTTTTTCAATTCCTTATCCAATAACTCTTACGGTACTTTTGAAATGAAAGTCTTATGTAATTTAATTTGTATTTGCTTTTTAATATATCGAGCATAAGTTAACAGTTTTCGCTTTGAATTTTTTACAAAAATTTATGTCAACTGTAATAAAATTTATTCGATTCTTGAAGAAAATATCCTATTATAATGGGTCGAATATTTAAATTCAATTTTTAATTAACTTTAATTCAGATTTTCTTATCAATTCTTTTTAAATCTGATTTTTCATCTTAGCTATCATTAAACCGAGATATTTAATATTTACTCTACGATTAAATTGAATGGCTCACAATAATCTATTTTCAATGCCCAAGGTTTATAAATACAATTACCATTTATATCAATTAATAAACAAAAATTGCTTGACATATTTTTTTGCTATTTAAACTTTTCAAAGAATGCACGTTTTTTCTTCACAATACCTTCCCCTAATCCGCACCAAAATTAACCAGAATTAGATATGCTCTTTCGTTCGTTTACTGGCATTAATTTATAACGTATTGAGTTTCGACAAAATCTATATAATTTTAATCTATACTAATTGTTTATTATATTGCAATAAATTGAGTTTATATTCTGAATATTTTGAAGGAAAATTTTACTCCGAATTTCTCGCAAGTATAATATTACTATCATCATACTCTGGAAATAAAATTATGGAGAATTAAATAATTTTGAAATTTTCATAAGAATGAAATGGCTTCAACTGAAGGTTCAGCTACTGCAAATTCGCTTGTAAATAACAGGCTTAGTAAAACTGAGCTTTTACTTGAAGCTAGGACAGAAATATATGATAGAATCTTTCCTTTTGTTGATTAATTACTCCATGGAATCAAATTTCCGGAATGGTTCTCGAGTTTAGGATCAATATTCCTGTCCTTGCAAATCATATTTATAGGATTATGGGTTTATTCTACTCCATATCAACGCCTGACAAGTTCAGCCCAAAATATTTATCGTATTATTGTTCAAATATTTGCATTTCAAGACCCCACAGATCTATCCGAACCCCACATGATAATTACGTACATCTGCTTCGGCGTTTGCGGATTTACCTTAATTTGGTCAATAGGAATGGTTTTTTATATTCATAAGTATTATACTATACGGAAATCGTTTCTTGTTATCTCAGTGCTCTTTATCGATTTGATATGTCCATTATTTATTGCCCCTTCTGCTTACGTCACGAGCCATGGCATTGCATGTTTATCTAAAGGGTACAATGTTGCGTATCCAGCAGAAATCGTTCTCGGAGGTATCTCCTATCTTATCTCTATTGTCACCTTTTGTAATTTCCTCGCATTGAAGTCAAAAACCGTTGTTTTTACAAATCTCATGTTCCAATTATACGATGCAACAACGATCGGTATCTGGTTCATCTTAACAACCTCACTTCTCATCGTCACGGCCATTATGCAGTTCTTTAAACCATGGTTTGTTCTATTAGCGATATTATCACACATGTTCATATCAATTTACATTGCATATCGACTTATTTTCATACCATTCTACACATTATGGCGAAATCCGACATGTTTTGCCTTCGCCATCGTTACAATTTTATTAGATATCAATTTTATTGTAGTATATGGTATCAAAAAGCTCCATTATGATTATGTATTAATTTTATTTCTTGTTCTATCATTTGTTTCATATATTTTCAGCAAAATTTTTTTCAAAAAGAGGATTCAGAAAATTTCTGAAAATTTAACGTACCAAGACGATATCGAAAATTTAGGGGAATACTTTGATAGTTTAGATGTTTGTAAGAACGATTTGACTGTTATGATGTATTGTGCAGTAGGAGTTGCTGAGTTATGTGACTATTTCGTTGACGGAAGTTTGATTGATTTTATTAACGAAAATTGTAGAGGTGATGAAAGTATTTTATCGATTATTTTGCAAGTAGTCACTTACTTCCCATCGGATTCACATAAACTCAACCTCCTTTACAAGAAATTAGTCTCAAAACAAAAATTATCTTATTTGAGTCGGTTTTTGATCTTCCAGATCTTCAAAGTCAAGACAAGAAGACTGTCATCGAACTCCAAGGACACAATCAAGACTTACAACATGCTAAAATCAATGAATGATGAGTGCAGATTAGCAATTCAAAGTTTTTGGGACAAACCGACAGCGAACTCTCATCTTACGACTCATATTAAGGCAAGGATAATGGCTGTGCATGATTGCTTCGAATATATATTGTTAAACAACCCAAATAATTTGAGAATTACAAATGAGTACGTAAACTTCCTTCTTGAAGTGGAATGTGACTTCTCGAAGGCCATAGAACAAGCCATAAAGGCTGAAGAGATCCTTGACGGTAAGAATTTTAATGTAGATCTCTCATTTCGTTCATTAGTTTACAAATTCCCGAAATATCTTGAGAACGGTGTGTTGGATATACACGGGAACAAGATAATGAAGGATGCTTCGAGAGAATCTAATAGATCTGAAGGTTTGGAGCGAAGAAACAGCGAAATGTTGTTTATGTTACATGATGTACCGACAAAAGACAAAACTACGAATGATACTGGTCATTGCGATAATGGCAATGGAAAGAATGACCTTTACATTGACGCAGAAAGCGAAGAAACCGTTGGAAAAAGAATATTAAGAGATGCTAAAGTAAGATTGGCTTTGCATCACAGTATAGCACAGTCAAAGCCTTACCATAGTATTCTCATCACTATTTTCACTGTATTTGCTTTCATTGTGAATTTATTTTGTTTGGCCGGATTCACTTATAACAAAAACTCACTTCTGATATGGCGCAGAGATAATTATATTGATCTACAATCGATGGGAAGATCGATTTTCTACTTACAGTACTCGAATTTCTTCACAATTGTAGATTGGGCGAAAAAAGTTGGTCGTTACAACTACTCGGATAGTCTTTTGAAGAATATATCGATAGATGCGAACAGATTCACCCCTATTGTCCAATCAAATTTAAGTACTCCTCAATCTATATTTTATTGTGCGAACGAATCACGCGCTAACCTTCAGAAAATCATTAAGGCGGCCGCGCAGTTGGCGGCTTCATCAAGCGTTTTGTCTTCTCAGTACTCTGCATATGAGATGGTCCCTGAATTACTCAAAAAAGACAGCTACATCACAGAATGCACAGATGGTTCTCCGAATAATAGTTTCAACGCATCGCTAAAGGACCAAATCGTGTTCTTGGTCTTCGAAGCTTATAATTTTGCCGGAAATTACAACGAAAACATATATCCAGCCAATTTATTCAATGACGATGACTACTGTGAAGTCATGACCAACATGTTTCCTACAGCAGATGATTCTATTGAAGCTTATCCATCAATTTTTGATTATAACATAGGATTCGCCTCAGGATACAACAAATACTTCATCGGCATCATGTATTGTATTACATTTGCCATGGGATTCCTTTCAATTATCCCATTCCTCTTCATATTAATTTCATATCAGAAAATGGCCAACAAAACTCTCAAAATTTTGTTATCGTTACCTACAAAAATCAAAGAACAGGCCAAAGAACCACTCGCTCTTGACTACGTCCAAAATTCCGAATTTGGCTCCGGATCAAAACTCCAAACTAACAATTCCAAGATATTCCACATAGTTATTTATCTCCTATCTGTTGTTCTGTTCCTGTTTTTCTTCGTTTTGATGACGAAAAATACGATAACATTGAACAATGAGTGCACAAACCTCATTTACTGGTACTATTACTCAATGAAACATACTGTCCTTGCAAGCGAAGTCGCAAATAACGTTGTACAGTTCATTCTTCTCTCATCAAATTCTTATAATCAAAATGTTACAACGACAGACTTCCTCAAAAGCAGAATTACGTCAACTGTTGATGCTCTCATGGCCGCAAACGACATATTGGTCAATGGAAATGATGATGTTGACACTAGTGTTGGCTGGGATTCGAATCTTGATGCGATACAAGTGAACAACCAATGCGAATTAGGCAGAGATCCATCATCTATCCATGATATGTATGCTTGCAGTTCCATTTCTTCACAGTTAACTATGTTCAAGAACATGATTGACGAAATTATTAAAAATCCTTCAGATTACAATGGCTCCATTGACACAGAATATACGGCAAACATCATCCATTTGCTGCAAGTCCACCTATTCCCCAGTATTAACAAGTTTTCGAACAAAATTGCAGAATTAATGGTTTCGAATTACGACAAAAAGATATTGAGGTGCTCGATTCTGTTGATCTTTGGTGCATTATGTCTTACTTTATGCTTTACAATGATCCTTATTTTCAGGTTTTTCGTAATTGAGTCCTATCGGATGCTTCTCATCTTTATTAAGCATCTTCCACCGCAAGAAATCATGGAGAACAAGGACATATTGAACTTCTTCAGGGGCTACAAAGAGAGTTCCGCTCCAGAAGAGATGTCCATCTCTAAATCCATAGTTTACGGGGCCAGCGAGTGCATAATCATCACTAACCAGTCCTCAAATGTACAGATCGTTAACCCCGCCGTATCAGAAAACCTCGGATTAACTCCAGATCAGATGCTTGGCCAGCCGATCACCAATTTCTTGCCACCGCAAGACCAGGCGGTCATCAAGCAGCAGATAGAACTGATGCTACAGGGCCAGGGATCAACGGTTTGGCAGGACCACATCGAGATGATCAAAGACCAGGCAGGAAAAATACCTTTCGCGGTTACAATGATCGGAATGAAAGATAACGATAACGATACCGAGATCAATTCTATCGTTTTCATTCTGACAAACGAAGAAGAGGAGATTAAGAAGCGAAAGGACGCCGAAATCGCTAAAGCCAAGTCCGAAAAATTATTGTACCAGATATTACCAAAGGATATCGTTGTTAGACTCAACAGAGGCGAAAAAGATATTTCATTTACCATTCCAAAGGCAACGATTTTCTTCGTTGATATCGTAAAGTTCTCTAACTACGCGGCTGCTTTAAGTCCATCAGAGATCATGTCCAATTTGAGCTTGGTTTTCTCAACATTTGACAAAATTGTCGTCAAATACCCAACGATCCTCAAAATCAAGCTGATAGGCGATGTATACATGGCAGCTGCTGGTATTTTCTCCGATCCACAGATGAATCCTTCGAAACCAGCTGAAGAATCAGTAAATTGTTGCTTGGACATACAAAAAGTCATGGAACAGATCAATGTCAAGCTCTCCGCAGGCCTGGAAGTAAGGATCGGAGTCAATACTGGCGGTCCTTTGATTGGAGGAGTCTTGGGAACAGATAAGCCAACATTTGACATAATTGGTGACCCAATTAACGTTGCATCGAGATTGCAGAGTACTGATATACCAGGAAAAGTCCAGATTTCGCAGGAAACAAAGGAAATGATCGCTGGATCTAATTTTGTCATTGAAGAAAGAGGAGAAGTATACTTGAAAGGAAAAGGAAACAGAACGACTTATTTCGTTATGCACCAATCAAGGAGTTCTGCAAGTCTTGAAGAATCTTTCGCTATTAACATGTTTTCTGGTAATCTCAGTTAGTTTTATCATGTTTTATTATAGATTTTTTGTTATTTATTTTATTTTCATAAATCACTTTGTTTATATTCCGTTAATTATACAAATTAATTGAAATTTTTAGGGAAAAATCTTGTAAATGAATTCGTATTTGTCTTAATTCATTATATAATAGCGTAATTTATCGTATTGTAAATCTTTCGATTCCTTTTTTCATCAAATCTCATATTATAATGTCTAATTATAGAGTTAAAAATGTAAATCGCTCAATGACTAAGTATAACTAGTATATTTATGGAGTTTTATGTCGTTTAAAATGCCATAATTTCAGATTATATCATGAATTCAATCGAAATATAGTCCCAAACCCTTTAAAATATAGAACTTATCGATTTATTCATTCTAAAAATGCATTATTTGGCTATATCTTAGATATCAATTAGAAATTCAGTGAGTTCAAGAAATAAAATTCTAAATATTGTCCAAAAATTCTTATTGGAAATAAGATATAGCTATTTAGTGTATTGCGTAATGTTCTATAATAAAATTAGTCGAAATTTGAAGTCTCCATTTTAATTATGCCACCTTGAGAAAATGTAATAATATTGATCTTGATCATGTAATTAGCATTGGTGTAACGTTTTCTCAGAACTTTGTTTGATTTTTCTCTTTATCAAAATTATCGTTTGGTTCATTGATTTCTTCTACTTGTTGTAAACAGAAATTCATCAAAAGTGACACCTCAGAAAAGCTAAAATATTGAATTTTTGGAACTTTTGATAGAGCACGTTTTTAAATATTAATTAAAGTAAATGTATATTTTGTAAAGATTCTTTTTAATAAAAAATAAAATTTTGAAGAAGAACACAAAATCTTCTGAAAAATAATATCACACAAACTCATATTATTTTCTAATATATAACTATTTTATATAAAAATCAAATTCAATGATCTTAAAAGCGAAGGATAAACCTCAAAATTTACGAATATAATGAGTGGGAATATAATGCTTATCTATCATAAAACCATATGAAATATCAATTTTTGCTTTACGCCTAATTTTTGACGACAATTAGCAAAAAATGTTAAATGTTAACACTCAGTCCATTTGAATATGAAAAATAAAATTGACTTTGATTAAATGTTTTTATTTATCATGCAATTCTTCTTGCGACGAGAGAGGGTCAAAGTTGCTATTTGTCACTTTTCCACAAGAATATAATGGGGAAAAAGTTATCATATAGTTGATCTCATTCACTGAGGTGAGAGATGCATGTTATGTAATGTGATAAACAGTGGGATTGCTGCTCTAAGTCCTAGGTTCGAGACACATTGGCTTCATTTTTCTCTTTTTTATTGACGTAAACTATTCAATTTTTGTGTTCTCCATTCAAATTTCAGAATTTTTTTTGCAGATTTCACGCTACATTCGAAGTTACCTTTTGTAACAACCACCACTGCCTACGAAAGACGAAAGTGTGTCACGATTTCACCCGGAAATCCGATGGTTGTTTAAGAGTAAGCACTTTTGTCACCTACTCTTCTTGCGACCAAAGATTTGAATAAAAGTTCAAAAAATAAGATAGCTTAAAAAATAATATACGGTAGTGTTTACTAATAGATGAATAGTATATAAATTCTATTAAAATGGATTTGATCCAAAAAAATATAAAACCAAAAATAATTGTTATAATTTAAATGAAGAAGTAATTTAAAACGATTTTATTTATGATCAAATTTTATATATTTTTTTGGATCAAATCCATTTTAATAGAATTTATATACTATTCATCTATTAGTAAACACTACCGTATATTATTTTTTAAGCTATCTTATTTTTTGAACTTTTATTCAAATCTTTGGTCGCAAGAAGAATTGCATGATAAATAAAAACATTTAATCAAAGTCAATTTTATTTTTCATATTCAAATGGACTGAGTGTTAACATTTAACATTTTTTGCTAATTGTCGTCAAAAATTAGGCGTAAAGCAAAAATTGATATTTCATATGGTTTTATGATAGATAAGCATTATATTCCCACTCATTATATTCGTAAATTTTGAGGTTTATCCTTCGCTTTTAAGATCATTGAATTTGATTTTTATATAAAATAGTTATATATTAGAAAATAATATGAGTTTATGTGATATTATTTTTCAGAAGATTTCATTCTATATGCCTATGAAAAGTACTCTCAAAACTAACTTTTTCCTAATTATAATTAAATCTAGAATATTGTATTATGCTTAGTATTATTTCATTTTTCTCATTCAATTTAGAATTTACAAATGTCAAAAAATTGAGAGCTGTCACTTTTGATGAATTTCTGTTTATTACATTGATTTCTTCTACTTAATTAAATTAAATTGATTAATTTTTCTGAAAAATAATATTTTGAATGTCTCAGAAAATCGAAAGGTTTGATATTTTCTTAATGTTTTCCTTACTGCTTCAGAGAATTAATTCGGTTTCTTTTACAGAGAACTATGCCCTTAAGTTCGAAGGTAATGGCATATTGTCTCTTGGAAGATATCAAGAATTAGACAATTTAGAAAAATTTACTTTCCAATTTTGGCTTTGTCCTTCAGAATGGAAATCAGGCGCACATGTATTTGAGAAAGGAGATGCTATTAGACTATCATTAGGACAAGAACAGCAATTAAATCTTCACGTCGATGGTAAAGATTTCACTTTTACATCAGCAGAATTAAAAGTCAATACATGGGTTCACATCACATTAATGAATGGTAACGGTTCTCTTATATTTATGATAAATAACCAACAAATTCAAACAATAAACGAAAATATTAAGATTCCTGTTGATGAACGCGCATTTTACATTGGTTTAGGTTTCGTTGGACGCATTGATGAATTCAGAATTTGGGGAAATACACTTTCCGGAGACTATGATAATTTCTGGCAAAATACTTTGAATGAATTCAATCCACAATGGAACGATTTATTAGGCTACTGGAAGTTTGATCAATATACCTGCCCCAATATTGTTGATTACAAAGGAAATCACCACGGAACATTGTCAACTTCTGGTGTCTCTAGAGAGAAAGTAACCGATAACAATCTCTTCAGATACATGGTTGCTGCTGCCTACACTGATTTCATCAGATTCTCAGATCGTGCTATTGATATCCAGAAATTCCAACTCGCAAACTACCTTCTTATCCTTTCAGGAAAGACATCAGAGACAGGTCATGCATGGTTACCATTTCCATTCAACAATGCTACACTTGAGAACGCTGAATACGTTGAATCATTTGAAGGAAGGTCAGGAGTTGCTCATTTCAAGGGTCAGGGAGCCAAAATGAATGGTGGTGTTGAACCATTACCTGTTGGAACATTTGCTTTCGGTACTTGGCTTTACATTGAAAATTGGGTTGAAAATGCAATAATTATTAAGAAATATCTTGATGAAAATAAAGGTTTACAAATCAAACTTGGCAGTTCTGATGAAAAGAAGATCATTGTCCACATAAATGGTCATGATTACACAATCAAAAACAAAATTGACGTAAAGAAATGGTATTTCTTAGGAGTTTCAACACAACAAACAGCACAAGATGCTTTGCACCAAGTTCTCTTTGCTGTTAACGATTGGACAGGAAATGCTGATGAAGGACCAAGTGGAGAAGCAATACAAGGCCTTACAAACTTCACAGGACTTGAAAACACAGAAGTAATCTTGGCAGAGAACTTTGATGGTTATTTGGATGAAGTTGCTATAACTGATGAATTTTATGACGAAAACAAATTGAAAGACATGCAAAATGGAATGACAATGTCATATTTCAGCAAAACAATGGTTGTTACAACATTAATGAAGTACGACAGTTACTGGAAGTTTGATAAGAAAGATGATTTAGGATACGATTGGTTTTCATGGAAAGAATTCATCAGAATCATTAAAGAAGCATATATTGGTAGAAGAGGAGCTAATGTTATCATGAGTTTCGGTGGATTTGAAAACTGGAATACGAAGTTGGCTGATCAAAACATAAGAGAAAAGCTTGGAACAGAACTTGCAAATATTGCAAACACTCATGATGACTTTTGTGGAATTGATTTGGATTTTGAATGGCCATATAGCGCTGAAGAATGGAGTTATTATGCTGATTTAGTTAAAAGAACAAAGACAAAAATGAATCCAGATAAAACTCTTTCAATAACGCCACATACATGGTTCTACCAGTTCCCAAAGGACCATATACAATATGTCGATCGCTTTTTGTTCCAAAACTATGGACCGAACTCCAATGAAATCTTCACAGATGCGCATTTCAAGAAGGACTACGACAATTTCATAAATTACGGACACACTAATGACAAAATCATTATGAGTTGGGCGACAACAACAACGGATGGAGTTAATGGAACTCAGAAGAAACCACCTGTTGGAATAAGAAACTTAATTACGCCAAGTTTCACAAGAGAAACATTTGTTGTAAACAAAGATGGATATGATTATCATTTCAATAGCTATAACAGTGTTTACTTCAGAGCCAATTACATGAGACAGAAAGGAGCAACAGGAATATTCCATTGGGATATGGGTAATGATGTCAACACATCGCATGAATTTTCTTATGCAAAAGTCAGTTCTTTCGCTATCAATTCTAATGTTGATTTGATTGTTGATAAAGTTGAGAACCCTCCTCCAGCTCCTTCTCCTGAACCAACAATGTCTCCTTTGCCAACACAGTCTCCTGCACCAACACCAGAACAATCTCCTCTTCCATCACAGTCTCCAAGTCCAGAACAAACTCCTGCAGCAACAAACACTCCAGAACATGATTCGAAACTGGAAAACGTGAAATAATTGTAATTACTTCATGTGGATCAATTGTCGTTGCAGTTACATTCTTCTGCTGCAAGTCGAGAAGGAAGATGCAATTACTATCTAGTGATCAGGAATATCTTCATTCTTTGATTATGAATTGATTTTGACTAAATATATATTTCTATTATATTTTAAACAATAATAACGGTTATATCAACAAATATTAATATTGGAATGAAGATTATCCATTCATTATTATCACATAAATATTTCGCCTCTTAAGGATGTATTGACCTTTGTTGTTTAGATTTATTTTAAATTATGTTTTATGCCACAGTTTTGTTTTAAATTTAATGCTCAATATTAGATAAAATTTTTAAGGCTGCACTTACGCCAATCTGACTTTAATTCAAATTTTTGACAGCTGGCGTGAAGCGCCATTGAAAATTAACCTTAAACATATGAATTGAAGGCCATGTCATTGGGGCGTAAGTGCACCCTTAAATAATAACTATTAAATTGTATCACATATATATTCAATATTTATTATTAATTTAATGTAACAGATAGTTCATCCAAAATCATCTAAAACAGCTTTTTCTAATTCACTTTTGGCTTCAAGCTTTTTCTGAGCCTTTCTAACTATGTAGAAATAGACTAAACCGCAGATAACTCCGATTAAAATTAAGGAGCCTCCAACTGAAATAAGGGTAATATGCCATGTTTTGAGTTTGCTTTCTGGTTTATGATATGGACATCTATTACTATGTTTATAATTGATTTTCAATCCGCCAATTTTATTTAATGGATAATAGTTTGATGTTTCAACATTACTTACATTTATGGAATTGGCGAGAAAATTCCCTGGTATTATTTGTTGACCGCAATAAAAGAATTCATTTATACTTATCTTCGAAAAAGAGTTTTCATTGATTTTTGTCAAATTATCTTGAATTTCTATCGTGACTGATTTGTTTGTATTGGTAATGAATTCGGCAGGTATACTTGCATCAGAATTGCATTTATCAAATTTGACAAATGATAAATTTTGGAAATCATTTATCTTAGGATAATCTACAAATGACTCTGAATTAAAGTAGATACTTTGAACCTTTAGTTTCAAATTATTATCATCAAATAATTTGACAAAGCTCGAATTAATTGATATAGATTCAATAAAATCACAATCAGAAAATGCTGTTTCATTAATTATAGTCTGTTTATTGATTTTTACTTCAATTGTTGTTAAATTTTTACAACCTGAAAATGCATGAGATAAAATCTCAGTAATATTTTCTGTGAGAACAATGTTTGTTAATCCGGAATTAAAGAATGAATATTCTCCAATTATTTCAAGTGATTTTGGAAAATCAATACTTTTAAGTAAAGAGCAATTTGCAAAACATCCGAATGGAATTTTTGTAAGATTTTGTGGAAGTAATACAATTGTTAAAATATTGCAATTAGCAAACATTTTTTCACTAAGTTCGGTTATATTTACATTAAACAAATCTACTTTTGATAAACCAATGCAATTATTAAAAATATCTTCTCCCAATTGTAGGTTTTGCGATTGTATTATAACTGATTTTAATCTTACTCCATTTTTAAATGCACCATAACCAATTATTCTAATGGTGTTTGGTATTTCCACAGACTCTAAACTTTGGCAACTTGCAAAAGCCCAATCCATTATAATTTCAACATCGTTAAATGTTATTTTTGTTAATTGGGTACCCAAAAAAGCACCATGGGAAATAGTCTTCAACGATTTTGGAATTTCTACTGAAGTTAAAGCAGTTGCCGTAAAACAATAATCTCCGATGAAATTTAAATTATTCGAAAGTTGAATTTCATTTAGATTGATGCAATTTTCAAATGCTTCATTTAATATTGATTTAACAGAATTTGGAATGATAATTTTTTTAAGACCCATACAATTTTGAAATGCTCGACTACCAATAGTTTCGACATTATTTGATAGAGTAACATCGACTAAAGCTACACAGTTACCAAATAAATCATCTGGAATGACTGTAATTGGTGAATTATTAAAATTAATTGAATTAAAATAAAATTTGTTAAAGTAAAAAGCCGATTCACCTATTGATTTTATACGACATAAACTTACATTGGTTAGACAAGTATTGTAAAAAGATTTTTTCCAATTACTTCAATATTCGAAAGATTAATAAAAATAAGTAATCCGCAATCACAAAATGCTGATTCTCCAATTTCTTTTACTGATTCTGGTAAATTAACGTTATATAAATTTGAACATGATTCAAAAGCTCCGACTGGAATTATTGTTAGATTGGAAGGTAAATCAATACGAGTTAATAGATAGCAAGTTTTAAATGCAAACTCACTAATAACTGTGTTTGGATTTAAAAACGTTACATTTTTTAAATTAATGCAATTTGAAAACGCTTCAGACCCGATTAGTTCCAAATTAGGAGGTAATTCTATACTCAATATGCTTTGGCATCCATAAAAAGCTCTGGAATCTATTGAGATCAAAGACTGAGGTAGATTAATTGCCTTAATATTCATACAATTTTCGTAAGAACTATTGGGAATGCTAAGTACTCCTTCATTGAGTGTGAGAGTATTAGATTCAGGACATGCAGATAAACTTAGACAAGCAAATAATCCAAGCATTTGAAAAATAATGTTTTTATGGAAAAAAAAATGTATCGAATTGATCAAAAACGCCATCATTATCTTCTCAATTCTTTTATAAATGGATATTTTTATTTCTTTATGAAATGATCGCAAAATCTGAAAAACATATTTTTGATAACTTTACAAAATATAAAATAATAAAATTATTTAGTTCCATGTGTCAATAAAAATTACCAAATTGTGAAAAAAAATTCCACAACCATTCAATTTATTCAAATTTGAATAGGAAAGGTTGAAACAAAAAAAATTCTGATATAACGTTTATATTATAAATTGGCAAATTTACAAAAAGTATATCAATTGACCTTGGGGACTTTTAGCTTGAATTTGTATAATGATCCTTAATTTGAAATATGTTCGCATTCTTCAGGATTCATCAAGGAGATCCTATCTTTAGCTTTAAATAAATCTTGGTATAATATTGGGGCAACAATCAGAAATTGAGCAAAAAAAGCAATGCAACTGATGATATATCTATTATTATATTAAGCCATTTTAGTGGTTTTCATTTATTTTAAAATACAGTTTTATTTTCTCCTTTATTTGTCTTACAGAAGCCTAATCATAAGAGGACAGGATCTTAAAGTTAAATTTGAATTATTGGATAATGGTTTGGCATTTGAGTTTATAGATAAAGTTATTTGTTGAAATTAACTTATATGATTTGTTTATATAAATGTGCAAAAGGATATAGCTTTACAAGGAAGATTCAGATACACGCACATGTTTTAAATTTAGGTCAAAGTTATGATGAACCAAAGTGGCAGAATTTCCAATTAAAAAAAAACAAATTGGGGTCATCTATCCACATTATCGTAATGAAGCGACCATTTACTATACGGATCCATCTGCTGCATTCAGTGCATGCAGTCCTTATTGTCTAATCACCCAGAGTAAAACAAGTTTAAAAAACACCTTAAATTTTCACCGATTTTTTGTAATAATCGTATCTTAATATATAACTTTAAATCCATATCATCGATGATTCAAACTATTTCAGCGATTTATTTTACAAAAACTATATCGATCGAATTGACTTCTGGTAATGAAGATGGTTAAGATCATCATACAAATTGAATTAACCCGATAAATGGTTTTGATGACCTCGAAAATCATATTTTGTTTTCTTTCAATTTTGACATCATCATTTCATGGAATCTTTCAGTTTCGCTATCAGGAATTGTTTTTCCCTTCTATTACAAGTATGCCCAAACTAATAGCAATAATCCATATAGTAATTTAGGTTATTATTATCAAATAGCCTGGATGCCCAATAAAATTGTATGCTTTATTCAATAATTTACTCCAAGTTAGTTTACTTTGTAAAATGTTATATACTCAAATTCTTACAATTTTTTTCATAATATTTCTTTTTGGCATTATTTTTCAATTTTACATAAGAAACATAAAAGGTAGCAATAAAAATAGAGATTCATCGATCCGAAAGTTCATCCTTTTTTCCAAATTTTCTTTGAAATTCTAAAAATCATTGTAATTCTAACAATTTTAATAGTTGAATTTTCCAAATCAAGAAAAATTTGGAATTCATGATGTTTTCTTAATTAATTATACATATATGATATATTATAAATTTGAGAACAGATCCGAAAAAATGTTGGAATAATATTTTGAATAGTAAAAATCATGGTAATTTTCATTAATTCTTCAAGAATCATAACATAATTCCTTTTGACAAGCCAAAGGTCATATGACGAAAAATGATCGACTTCAGATATGAACAAAAAATCAATTTATCAAACAAAAGAAAACAAAATATATATGTAATATTCAACCTGAGCTGTATACTTATGTATTTGATCAGATGTTATATAATAAAATTGCTGAAGAAAACGAAAAGAAATCAGAATAATTTCTGACTCTTATCAATTTCGCCTTCTTCAACAGAGAATCCAGAATCCGTTCTGGTAATTGGCCTTGGCTTAGGAGCGTTACTATGCCAAAATACTGGCAATGGCTCCGAAGAGATTTTTGAGGGTGCTTCTGGCATTATAGATACGCTGTGCTGTTCTATTAATTCGCTTTTTCGCTTATTCTGCATGTTTTTAACTGTAGATCTAAACTTGGACGGTTTCATTTCTAATTTGAGCAATCTTAAATCATTGAGCTTTGTACATTCACGAGCATTCGTTAAACTCGCATAGTTTCTGAGAGATGAGTCTGTGGAGAGAGACAAGATGCGTGAATTAATTTGTGCCTCGGGAATTTTAGCGGAAACAGTTATTAAACAATCACCTTCCTGGACTCCATAGTACCCAAAGGTACAATCCTTCGACATTAATGAGCCTTTATATAAGTAATTAGTCATTTGATAAATTTTATCAAGAGATCTAATCGAAAATGATAATTGAACTTTTATCTTCTTGATGCCCCATCCAGGAGTGAATATGTGTAAGCATATTTGGTTTCCGGTGTCAGCACCGGCTAAACTAGAAAGACATAACATATTTTGATGCTTGATAAAAATTGATAGAATTGAGAGTAATCAAAAAAATTAGCTCATCAATTTTTGTAAACATAATATGCGTAAAATGTTATGAATTTTAATATTAACCATGTCTTAAAAAATGTGTCTATCAACCTTTATTTCATTTTTTTTAATAACATCAGATAACATATATCTCCATTTATTTAGCGATTTTAAAAATATGATTTTCAAGTTTACATTATTCACAATTTTGAGAGAAAAAATGTGCTTGTTCGGACAATTATGATCTCATCTCGAATTACAAATATAAATTGTTTTCTGAATCATATAAGAATACAATGAAAGAGGGCTCAATTTTTTATGGATCCATATTCGTAGTCATCTCACTTATCGTTAATCTAAAATTCGTATGTCATATGACTTTATTATCTATAAGATGGTTTAATTCCGCCACCGATTTTTGTCGGAATTAGTTTGATTCACCGTTCGATCGCCTTGCATTCAATTCAAAAATATTCAAACTCAAAAATAATCGTAATCTAACTGCTTACATAAAAAACCTTTTTCTATATATAATTAGCATATACTAATCTACAATATAAATTTTGAATAGACATGACTGGATTTTTGAACTCAAATTTGATATTTAGATTAACCCCAATGTACTCGTTTAATAGTTAGAAGTTTAATAGATTTCGCATCTTGGATAAAACCAAAATTCCTGATATTCAACTGGCAATAAAGTGTCAGAATTTATTCATTTCGAAAATTTAGATTTATGCTTGGATATATTACAAATTGGCTAATGCAAATGCCTGTTCAATAATTCATCTTCATAATATTATTTATTTATTGTGTATCAAATTCTAAAGATAAACAATAATTAAATCTCAATGACATAAGAAAAATTTCATGAATATTGAGATACAATAATATTTGTCTTGATAGATTTTTTTGTTTTTTAAATTACCTCAAGAATTGCTTATATTAACTCCCATATTACGTTTTCATCCAAAAGTGGGAAAATTTCCATCTTAAAAGCCTGAAATCTCTAAGTTCATACCATTTCCATTCTGAATGGAAATCTAGTCAATCTTATTGGGAGCGAGTATATCTTTATCTTAAGAGACTAATATGGTATATCTACATTGAATAAATTCACAATAAATGCATGGATATTTCTCAAGTAAAATCCATTTGCATGAGTTAATACTATTAAATTTTTATACGAGCTCAATAAATGTTCTAAGTAACACCGGATATTTCACCGAATGAAAAATGCATTTAGTCATCCCGCCGTTTGAAACTACACTACAAAATAATATCAATGAAATTTGATTGTTTGTATAACAATGCGCATATTTGCTATACTTGATATTTCGGATAAAGGTTTTTATACTGAGAAAATATTGATAGTGATCCTTCAAACGATTCAATTGAAATATTCGTGTCCCAATTGAATAGTTCCATCATATCCTTATGAATTCATATAATACATCATATAAAGATGCTAAAAAGTAAGTGTGTCAGATACTATTGGATATTTTTTGAGAACAACCGCTAAATAAGAAAAGAAATTGACTGCACTATGGAACTAGCAGGAAATGGGGATAATGCTATTATTTTTACCAAAATCCTGTTTTTCATATGATGCATTTTTTGGTTCATATGATTATGAGTTCCCCGACAGAGTTGTTAATCACCCAGTTTGCTATGAAACTATGTGCAAATTTAAATATCCATGTCCCGATCCATATACTTGTTCAGCAATTAATTTAACGTTTAAACGAGGTACTTACATATTAGAAGCAACCGGCGGCGGTTCAAATCTAGGATATAGTTACGGAATTGTTTCATTTCCAAAAACTACCAATATTTTACTTCACATTGGTGGATCTTTTTTCGAACAAAAGACCATAAAAACACCGATTTATAATGGTGGTGGAATGGGATGCGATTATTCTGGAGGTGGAGCTACAGATTTTCGAACTAGTCAGGACATTCATGATAGATTTATAATTGCTGGTGGCGGACCTAACGGAGGCGGTGAAAGTAATGCTAATTTTGAAGAATTATATGGTCAAAATTCAGATGTTCATAATTGCCCAAGTCTTTATCCGCGTGACCCAGATTATGAGGAAAATATGAGACGTAGAAAAGGAGGCGGTGGTGGGTTATATGGAGGTATAAATAATCAAGGCGGATCAGGCTTTGTTTATAATTTTTCTTATGGTGCTAATCCTGCTATTATTAATAAAATTAATCACTTCAAAGTTCTATCCGGAGATACATTCTTTGGACATCCATATAATGATGGATATCAGGCAAAAATAAGATTAGCTGATGCACATTATTACATACCTGGCATTAATAATATGATAACACCAGGACCAGGAATCCATTATCGCGTATACAGAGATAGATAATTTGATTCGAAATGAAAAATTAATTACAATTTTTTTTCATAAATTTTAGAATAAAAGTTAATCATGCTAATCATACTTTTTTCCCCTCCTTAACTTATAAGGATTCTATGAGCCATGTTAAAATTCTCCTGAGAAGCATTAAGGCTACACTTAAGCCCATCTGAATTAGTTTTCCAATCAAAATAAAATTTACAGGCGTGAATTGATATTACAGCTGGATTGGTAAAAGGCTCAATTATTGCGGTTGAAATAGTATATTAAGATATTTACTAATCAAATATATGGTATAATGAAAATTTATGAGTGAAAATTATCACTACTTGTAGAGTGCCTTCATAATTAAAAATTAAAACATGTTTTTTTATTTTCTCACAAAAATAGATCATATAAAAATTAATTTTCATCATCATCTTCTTCATCGTCATCGAAATCATCAGCGGAGAGGATATCATCATCTTCAGAATTTAATTTGTCATCATCTTCCTCTTCTTCGGCTTTCTCTTTCTTTTTATTTCCTTTCTTCTTGTTCAAAAGAGATTTCTTCTTTTTCTTTGGCTTTTCCTCTTCCTCTTCTTCAGTTTCATCATCATCGAAGTCTTCGTCATCATCTTTATCTTCTTCCTCCTCTTCATCTTCTTTAGTTTCTTCTTCTTCCTCCTCTTTTTTATCTTCTTCCTCTTCTTCCTCTTCTTTAGTTTCTTCTTCTTTTTCATCATTTTCATCATCGTTTTCGTCTTCTTCTTCTGATGGTTTGAAATCACGAGTTAGAATCTTTTTGTTTTCTTCTTCTTCGGGTTCTTTTTCTTTCTTGTTGTATTTGCCAAACATTGAAGAGATTAATCCTTTTGGAGGTTCTTCTTTGATTTCTCTTTCTTTTGGTTCAAGTGAATCTTCCTCTTCTTCTTCTGGTTTAGTAAGGAGTTTGTCGAGAAGAGATCCTTTCTTTTCTTCTTCTTTATTGATTTCTTCATCGAAATCTTCATCATTTATTGATTCATCATCATCTTTCTTCTCTTCTTCTTCGTCTTTGTCATCATTCTTCGATAACAAAGTTGAAAGAAGATTTGTTTTCTCTTCCTTTTCTTCTTCTTCTTCATGTGTTTCTTCTTGTTTGAAATCTCTTTCTTCTGGTTTGTTTTCGTCATTCAACAAGTTTGATAACAATGGTTTCTTTTCTTCTTCTTCTTCCTTTGGCTTTGTTTCTTCCATTGGAGGCAATTGTTTCTTCAAAATTCCGCCAAACAAAGCTGGTTTAGGTTTTTCTTCCTCCTTTGGTTTGTCATCTTCCATTGGAGGTAACTGACGTTTGAGAACTGATTGCTTTGGCTTTTGTTCTTCTTCTTTTGGTTTATCATCCATTGGAGGTAATTGTTTCTTCAAATTTCCACCAAACAAAGCAGGTTTTGGCTTTTCTTCTTCTTGTTTGTTTTCATCTTCCATTGGAGGTAATTGTCTGTTTAAGAATCCACCAAAAAGATTTGGTTTTGGTTTCTCTTCTTGTTCAGTTTCTTTCTTATCTTCTTCCTCTTCTTTAGGTTTAAATTCTCTGTTTAAAATTCCTGATAATAAACCATTTGTTTTTGGTTTTTCTTCATCATCTTCGAAATCATCTGATTCTTTCTTTTCTTCTTCATCTTTAGGTAAAGAATCTTCTTCCTCTTTATTCTTTTCTACTGATTCCTTTGTTAATAATTCAGACAAAAGTCCTGTGTTCTTTGGTTTTTCTTCTTCATCTTTCTTCTCTGATTCTTCGAAATCATTTTCATTTTCATTGTTTTCTTCTTTAGGTTTAAATTCTCTGTTTAATATTCCTGATAATAAACCATTTGTTTTAGGTTTTTCTTCTTCATCATCTTCGAAATCTTCTGATTCTTTCTTTTCCTCTTCTTCTTTATGATCATTTTCTTTGTCTTTAAGTAAATTATCTAAGAAAGGAGTTGATTCTTCCTCTTTCTTATTTTCTTCTTCTTCTGATTCTTTAGTTTTTTCGTCTTCCATTGGAGGTAATTGTCTGTTTAATATTCCTGATAATAAACCATTTGTCTTTGGTTTTTCTTCTTCATCTTTCTTTTGTTCTGGTTCTTCATCATCTTCGAAATCATCTTCATCATTGTTTTCTTTCTTTTCTTCTTCTTTTGGTTTTTCTTCTTCTTTCTTTTCATCTTCCAAATGACTTAAATCTTTATTTAGTATTCCTGACAACAAACCAGTTGTTTTTGGTTTCTCTTCTTCATCATTTTCTTTCTTTTCTTCTTCTTCATTTGGAGGTAATTCTCTCTTTTCTTCTTCTGTTTCTTCCTTTGGTTTTTCTTCTTCCATTTGTTTCAAATCTTTATTTAATATTCCAGACAACAAACCAGCTGTTTCGGGTTTTTCTTCTTCTTTCTTTTCCTCTTCTTCATTTTGTTTTTCATCATTTTCTTCGTTTTGTTTTTCTTCTTCTTTGTTTGGTTCGAGGAGTTTCTCTTGAAGAAGGTTTCCAAGTAAAGGAGGAGATCTTTCTTCTGGTTGCTGTTCATTTTCGTTTTCTTTCTTTTCTTCTTCTTCATGATTTTCTTGTTTTTCATCATCGAAATCTTCGAAGTCTTCGTCGTCATCATGAGGTCTTTCTTCTAATTTGTCTTTTATGTCATCGAAAATTGTGTCTTTTTCTTCTTCTTTCTTCTGTTCTGGTTCTTCATCTTCGAAATCATCATCTTCCTTCTTTTCTTCCTCTTCTTTTTCTTTGAGTTTCTCTTGTAATAAATCACCAATTAATGGCTTCTTTTCTTCTTCTTCATTTTCTTCATGTTTTTCTTTGTCTTCTTCATCGAAATCTTCGAAGTCTTCATCATTTTCTTCTTTCTTTTCTTCTTCTTCCTTTGACTGAATTTTTTCTTGAATTAATTCACCAAGTAATGGTTTCTTTTCTGAATTTTCTTCTTTTTCGGATTGTTTTTCTTCATTTTCTTCGTGTTTTTCTTCTGTTTCTGGTTTTTCTTCCTCTTCTTGTTTGGAAAGAAGTTTGTCTTGGAGAATTCCTGCTAAAATTGGTTTTTCTTCGGAATCTTTCTTTTCATCGTCTTCGAAATCAGATGATTTCTTGTCTTCGAGTTCTTCTCGTAATACATCTCCTAAATCTTTCTCTTTTTCTTCTTCTTTATTCTCTGAATCTTCGAAATCATCAGATTTCTTTTCTTCTTCCTCTTCTTTGTGCTTTTGATCGAGGACATCTTGAAGGAGATTGTCAAGAAGTGGTTCATCTTTCTTTTCTTCTTCCTCTTCTTGTTTCTTTTCTTCGATTTCCTTCTTTTCTTCTTCCTCCTTTGGTTCGAGCTTGTCTTTGAGGATTCCTGCAAGAAGTGGCTCTTCTTCCTTATTTTCCTCTTCTTCTTGGTGTTTTTCTTCGTCTTTCTTCTCATCATCGTCCATCTTATCGAGATGATCCCTCAAAACATCGGCAAGATCCTTATCCTTGGCCTCTTCCTTCTTCTCTTCCTCTTCTTGATGATTTTCTTCAGCTTTTTCTGGTTTTTCTTCATCTGATTTTTCAGATTTTTCTGTTTCGGATGTTTCTGATTGTTCGTCATCAGATTTCTTGTCTTCTGACTCATCCTTGGAGGAAGATTCTTGATCGGATTTGTCCTTTTCGGATTTATCGGATTCAGATTTCTCATTTTCCTTCTCTTTCTCGGCGTCAGACTCGAAATCAGATGATTTAGCACTTTTGATGGACTTTTCTTCATTCTTTTCGTCGTTTTCGGAATGAGATGATAATTCTTTTGGCTTTTCTTCGGATTTCGGAGGTTCGTCCGCTTTTTCATCATCACTGCTGCTGGATTTCTTCGATTCCCCGTCATAACTTTTTTCTGGTCCGAAAGAAGCTTCAGCGGAAATCATGGCTGATCCGTGCATTGGCCTTGTTGAATCAGCGGCAGAGGCTTCTTCGAATGAGGAGGACAAGGATTCTTCTTCCATGTTCGGTTTCTTTGAGGCCGGAGATATCGGACTTGGTAATTGCGAACTTCTCTTCGATTTGGATGAAATTGAGGAGGCTATGGACTTGGCGGAGTTGGATGAATGGGTCGACATCATTGACTTTTCATCGGAATCAGATCTTGGAGTAGTTTGAATGGCAATTGAAACCATTGGCTGCTTGACAGGAGCCTGCTGATGTAATTTAGGAAGTTGCGATTGCTGTGGTTTCTTCTTGGCTTTCTTCTTTGGCTTGGATGTTGAAATTGGAACTAATCTGTTGTTTTCTATCGTCTTCATTGTAGTACGGCTGGTCGAATCTCTGGCAGGAGGAAGTCCTGTTGTGATTGAACGTGGCTTTGGCTCAGGTTCAATCGGCCGGTAGATCATTCCAGCGCTTCTGTCAATTAAACGCTGACGAAGACGCTTGCGCTGGTTGAGGAATTGCTGCATTTCGGATTCTTGACGGTTTGTAAGGTGCTGACGTGCGTTCATGTAGTCATTCTGAAAAGCATTTTGTATTTTCTCGTTTTCTTCGTAGCGCATGGCATCAATTTGCATATGGACTTCTTCCGCAGCATCAATGTTGCCATCTTCGATTAATTGTCTTTCTTTTTCAGTTAATTCATTTAATTTTGAGTCATCGTAAACATATTGCGATGCTTTTTCATTCCAAACCTTTTCAAAACGTTGTAATTCGTTGTAATGCTGTGATTCTATTTGCTTTTTCTTATCTTTTGTATTTTTATCAAATTCTGCTACAATTGGATCAGTTCTGTGTGTTAGTAATCTAGTAAAATCAGGGGCAAAAGCATCTTGATTAACTCAAGATGTTTTTGCACCATAAAGAATACGTACGATTTCGAATTTTCTTGCTTTGACTTGGCGAACTTCTGATTTGTTGCACTTGTGGCAAGAAAAGCCTCTAACTCGCGTGATTGCATCTGAATTTCACGTGAAAGATATAGATTTAGTTGTTGTGATTTTTTAGCCTCTTCATACATTCGATTTTGTATGCAGTATGATAAATATTCATTATTATTTTCCTGTACCTTGATTAATTTGGGCATTTCTATGCCAGTGAAATCAGGTGTTTCCATAAGAGATTCTCTGATTTGGTCAATTTCGGGAGAATCATATCCCCTTGAACTCGACTGCTGATAAGTTTTTGCTGGAGCACGCCTCAGCGAAGATCGAGTTCCTGCCTTTGGCCGGAGGATAGCAGGATCGCCGTGCTTTCCTCTAGCGTTCATTTTTTTTTCTCTTCTCAATTTTTTTTCATGACAAAAAACGAATAATTTTGTAAACATTTTGGCATTGAAAATTGATCAAAAAAACATTGACAGAGATCTTCTCCTTATGATATTTCCTTTTTTCAATTTTTCTTACATTGAATGGAATGTGGACTTCGGATTAATTTTGATTTTGCAGATATAAGGGTTTTCCATAAGAAACATATTCAACCCATGATTACCTCCTTTAGTTCTAAAACATTTGAAAGTGTTATTGAGATAATTGAGCATCTCCATTCATTGAGAGTTTATTCCACTTGCCAATATTGACAACTCATCTATAATTCTATGTTTATATGTCATTTCTAGAATAGTGACTTTAAGCTAAGTTTTGCACAGCATTTAATCCTATACATCTACTTTTATGATCGTTGATAAGAATCAGATCAGATAATTTAAATATATTTCTGGATGATGAACTTAAATATCAACTAATGACGCACAACAATAAGAATTAACTAATTCTTACATCTAACTGATATATGAAACTGCAAAAAAGTTATATACTTCAATCTATCAAAAGAATAATCATATTTATCATATTCATATCATCTGATATAAGATAAATTGAATGGATAAAGTGAATATAGAGATTCAAGTATTCCCATCATGATACTAGACTATTTGCATGTTATATTAAGATCAATCTATTCTTATGAGCTATGTTCCTTGAGCAATAGAGATTAATTTAGATCATATATGCCAAGAAATGTGATAAATCAAAATAGTGAGCCATCAGAAGTCCAATTATTTAATCAAAGTCTTTCAACATTTCACACTCTCAAACGATAACATTGAAAATAACTCAAACTAATCGTAATCAAAAATTTTATTGATTTTGCTGCAAATAGTCCATTATATTGATTTTACTATCAATTAAAAATTAAGTGACCCGAGTTGATATTTGAAAAAAGTCAGACATAACCCATACTCATAAACGCTATTCCTAGCACAAGAATCAGTAAGATCGATGAGGCAGATATTTCCTAACTAACGTGCATCAATAAAAAAATAATATTGAATATTCATTCAATCTAAAAATATCGGAACACCAAAAAATTTTTTTATTGAAATTGTAAATTTTTTTGAGAACATGGACTTAGAATATTCTCAAATATCAACGTGCTCTATTAAATACTTGACATTTTAATAAATATAATAGTGCTTAATATATTCTCAATATATTTTCTAGTTATCTTCAAAAAATTGCAAAGGATAACCTATTTGTCAATATATGCTGCTTCTTCTCTTATTTTTTAGATCCCGGCAACGTATTATCAAAGGTCCGGATACGTCAATGGACATTCCTATTGAAGGGGTGATAACGGGGTTTATAACCCACACCTACTTCGAACCTCAAAATTATTCAATAACTTATTCCCAAGCTATAAATCTTAAGGGAGGTGCAATAAGACTATCATCTGATCTCACTCCTTGCAGTTTATTTATTGATAATTCGTTTTTCTTTAATGATTTTTCTGAAAACCATGGTGGAGCCATATATTTTGACTCAAACGCAACATTTGAAGTAATTCAAACATGCGCCAAACTATGCAGCACTTGTTCTTATGATTACGAAGGTTCATTTTCATATTCTCAAAATTTTTATACATCCTTTTTCAATTTCACATCTTTCGTCAGCTGCGGATCATGCGAAAAACCTTCAAAAAGCTCATTCTTTGCATCAGGAGAAAATGCGCTGTATCAACATCATAATTCTTCATTTTCAAGCTCCATATGCGCCAATATTCAATGCTCTGGCTCAGGATACATGGAGTATAGTTCATTTAGTAACAATAATCTAAGTAACCCTGAAGTAGATTGCTGTATTTTCCAGAAATATTTAAATACAAAATTTTGCAACTTTATCGAAAACCTTATAGCGAACAGCACAGAAAATTCATGCATATACTTTTCCTATAGGTCCCCAAACAACATTCTCTCAAATTCATGCTTTTTTCGGAACCGAGCGAAATATCTAGCGTCAGCAACAGATAATTTCAAACTTTTCGAATGCTTCTCAGACTGCGGTGATTTTAATAACGTAAATGCTATCGGAATCAGGAAAGCGGCCATTACTTTGGAGATAAATCTTTTATATACTTATGAATGCGATGCAGACTTCCCAACCATAGCAGCTCGCGATATAAGTTTCTTTGAACCCGATTTATTGCCAACATTAGAAGATCCAGTTTCAATATCTGAAACACCGACTTTTAGTACGACTTCACCAACTTCATTCAATAAAATCGAGAAAAACAGTGGTAACCAGGACGAAGCGAAGCAGAGAATTATCCTAATTGCGGCTTCTGCCATTGATTCTGTATTAATTATAACTTTTATTATTGTTTTTGTCATTTATATGGTCAGAAAAGCAGGAAGACCTATTGAACAAAAGGAAATCACTTATTCTACAGACACTTCATATGAAAATGAAGAATCAAAAGATAAATTCCCAGAAAAAAGTAAGAAACCGTTAGATAATGTCAAGGTGAAGGACCAGAAGAGCTCTGATGATGAGAGTTACTCATACACGTATACTTATTCGTATGATAATAAAATCAACTCAGAAGAGACGAATGATAAGGATATTTCGATATCAGATGAATCTACTTAGATTGTTTGTTAGTAAATTTTTGTTTGTATTTTTAGTTTATTCAATAATTTTTTCAATAATATGAAATAATTCGTTGATTTAAAGATATTTAAATATGATAAGTTGAAGCGAAGATAGTTCAATCATTGAATCATCCGAAACGAACATTTGAAAATTCGATAATACGTAATAGTCAACATTTGACGCTACAAATAAATTTACTGTCCATAGTACACTATCATTTCATAATAATTTTAATGTTAGAATAATTCATGATTTTTTTTTTGAAAAACGTACATTTTTTTTTGTTATGAATCATCCACCTATTGATATCTTTGATTACGATATTGAAATTAAAAAGCTTCCCCAAGAATGGATGGTTGATATGGCAGAAGTTTTTCGTGAATTCGATGAAGATGCCGACGGAAAAATTCCAAATACTTATGCACAACACATTTTCTCATTATTCAGACTTCCATCAAAGACAGTTTTCACAGAACCAGGAAATGTCACTATGAGAGTATTCCTTCATGAAGCAAGTTTTATGCGACAAGAAATTTTTGGAACTGCAGAGTCAAGATATCAATATTTCTTCAAGATGATTGCAGGTTTGAAGCAAGCAAGAATGACAGCAATTGATATACAAAGATTTATGAAAGTGTGCGGAGATGATATTAAATTAAAATTCTGCGATGATTTCATTGATGAATTTGATAGAGAAGGAATCTCAAAAGATTATATTACAATAGAAGAATTTACCAAATTTTGCGAAGATAAGAAGATTCCTATCTAGGTTATCTTTCTATGTTTATGCTTATAGGGTTATCTCCAGTTATTCATGGATACCCTATTTATCTATTTTTGTATGATATTTTATTGTTTTTTTATTTTCATAAATATACTAGGTTATAATCAATTCTAATACTTCATTAATAATAATAGTGGCCATCTTAGTAATGAATAATTCAACGGAAATAGTTAGTTTTCTAGTTGAGAATAGTGCCAAGAATATCATTAATCATCTTTTTAATTTGACATTAGAATTAACACTCTACAGCTCAAAGGTAAACAAAAGCATATGAACACTTTTGCATTTGTTATAGTATTATGGAAGCAAAATGAATTAATGTAGTTTTACAATGCGATCTTATGTTAGAATAGCGCAAGCTATCGAAACATATGTAATGAACCTAAATATGAACTTTATCAATAATTTTTTTTTCCAATCAAAACAGTTTCATTTTTGACATAAAAAGTGACAAATCCTCATGCGCATGAGTTCCAATCTCATGACCAAGCTTAAGGAAACTATTAATTATGTGACCACATTAAATCAACTTGTTACTCAAATAAAACAAATAGAAACAGATTTTTATCAAAATCCTGGACAAGGAATTGCCAAAGAATGTGAGACTTACCAAGGAATTATTGGCCAGACTTATGATAAGTCTATTGATTCTGTAAACACAACAATCAATGCAATTGAACAAATTCTTGAGCAGAGATCAAAATCTGGTTCAAGAGTTGAAACGTCGATGCCAACCAGAGAGGAGTTAGATGGATTACTTTTGAATCTTTTCCATGGTAAACCTAAAACTAGACATGCTCCAATCCCTAATTATTGCGGTTGTTACGCTTACAGGTCTAGAACTCCAAGTCAGAATCAATTTGTATGCGCAAATATTAATAGACAATTTTTACTCATGATGGTTTACAAATATGAGAATGATACCGTTTATGTAATTGATCCTTATACAAATTCTTCAAATACCGATGTCATTGAACTAAAATCAGACCAGTGGACACCACTGCCTACAATTATCCCTGAAAAACCAATCGCTCGTTGGGAACACGCAAAAAATGCAAAAGTTTTAGCACTTATGCCAGCAGAAGGATCACGAACCTTCTTCCCTGCTACAGTCATTGCACGACCATACGATATAGTCAGTGATGGTAATCCAGATCAAATTCGAGGTTATCAATTAGATTTCGGCGATGATGACCCCAGAATTATACCAGAGCAATTTGTTGTTAACTTCCCAGAAAATTGGAAGAGTTTAATGGAATAAACATTTGTTTGTTTGTATATTCATTTTCTCAATTTTGGATTTTCCGCTAATGATTTTTAATTTTATAATAAGAAAACAATACAAAGCAACATTTTCCTGTCTATAATGCAATCTATTACCCCAGCAACGATAACTTTATAATATTTTTTTATGATCTTTTTAAATATTACCATTGGATGTATCATTTCTAGTTCTTTATATTATTGTATGGCTTTCCACAAGTTATTGCATAGACTATAGTGATATTTCTACCAAAAACTCATCTATAATTTCTTACAGAAACTCAGATATTGAAGGAAAGCCTTTTCTAGTAAAAATAAGAATATTTTCAAACATATATTGTTCATAAGTCCAAATCGAAATTTCAAATTTATATTATTTTTAAAACTCCATGAAAATCTCAAACTGTAGCACCAACACAGTGAGTTTTTTTATTTAAATGGAAAATTTTATAAAGTAGAAATTAATGATTAATTTTTTTAGTTTATTATTGTTAGAATACCAATATATCTAAACAATACCGATAGTTTTTATATACATTAAACAAAAACATTGATAAATGATATAAATTAAATTTCTTCATTTTCGTCATCTTCTTCTTTGTTATTATCATCATCGTCATCATTTGAGTTGTAGAACTCATCAAAGAAGTCGTCAAAGCTCTCATACGAACCATTATCGTCTTTAGATTTCTTAATCATTCTAAAAGCGACTTGTTCTGTATTATTTTGAGGTAACCAGGTCGGATAAGCCAATGGACCACAGTGATGACGTTCAAAATGAATGATTTCGTAGTTATTGTCCTTATCAATTTTCAAAACACAAGCACTGTTTGAATCTTGCGAATAATCACTGTTTGAGAATATTGTTAAGCATTTTCCTTTTGCGCTTGCAACATTCTTGAATGCCCACTTGTATCCGTCATCGCAAGCTTCATGGGAGCGAACAATTAACTTTAATTTGTTATCTTTCATGAAATTATTGACAGCTTTCCAGCCATAGAAGTATCCGACTTTCCTATCACTTGGATGATATTCTTCGACACGATCGCGAGGATCTGACCACAATAAGTCTGCAATTGGTCCTGCAGAAGGAATCTTCAATGATTTCTTGAGATCTTGTATTTCATCGATGTAGTGAATAAATTGGGATATGCCACCGTGAACGCAAAAGATTTCTTTATTGATAACAGCTGCATATGGTAAATATTGAAAAGTATTTGTGAATAAGAAGTATGTTTCTTTGTCAACTCTGTTACTAGCTTCAGTTCTAAAGCCATATGCAGTCGTAAGAGATTCGCATTCATGATTTCCACGTAAGAGATAGATACTGTCTGGATATTTAAGCTTTAAAGCAAACAAAAGTAGTACAACTTCTACTGCATTAGCACCACGATCAACATAATCACCTAAAAATAGATATTTCGTTTGGGGAGGATATCCACAAGTTGTGAAAAATCGAATAAGGTCATCAATATTGCCATGAATGTCACCAACAACTACTATATCTGACGGAAGATATAGAAGTGATGGTTCTTTATCGAGAACAACTGAAACATTATCAAGCAAATCAGTGACAAAGTACTTATCGAACTTCATTTGGTATATACTTCCTTTCCTGCACATCGCATTGGCTCGACTTGAAATTACTGAAACAATGAAACTATCGAGAAGCGTTGTATTCATTTTTGTCATTTGAAATTGGTCAGAGAGATAAAACTCCTGGAATTCATTGCGATTATTTGATCGCATAAGACTACATCCAAGACATTAAGGAAACTCATATACTTCGATATCAAAGCAATCAATGCAATAATTTTCCGAAAATTAAAAGATTATACGGAATTAACAAGTACAAATATGATTCGACATCTATTTACTAAAAACACGAACCAAACAGCACCAAATACCTTGTTAACTACTATTTTTATCCAGTTTTTTTCATTATTATTTTTCATTTTTTCATTTGTTTTCTTACAAATTAGTTTACTATATCTCCTTCTACCACACAATATGAACCATATATGAAAGAAACCTATATTTTCAAATATTCTTAATAAAGTCTATACGCTTCTTTCTTCTTTGTGAAACAATATCATTTGCATGCTGTAATACTCAATGTGTGATTCCTCTTTGATTTTCACATGCAAATTCCAACTAATTTGATTTTTTGATTTAATTTTTTTATATTTTTGAAATATGAGAATGTATACTATTTTGACGAATGTTGCTTAAACTAAAAACATCTCTCTAATATGGAATTTCGAAAATCAATAATCTTTGAATTAAAAGTGACAGCTGATGAGTGCAAGCACTACATGGGCACAAATTATTGGTCCAGGTAAAACAGTTACCTTGGATATTCCAGATGATGCTAATATGTATATAACAAATGTATGCATTGGAGAGTTTTCAGAAGAATCTAAAAACACTCCACAAAGATTATTAGCTCATATTATTACTATTGATCCATATCAAGATGAAGATCAAGTTGATGTTTCAAAATTGCCGCATACAGATATAATGATTGCTTCTCTTATGCCAGAAGAAAGAGAACATGAAGTTATTAACTTTTGCTTCTCTCCTCTTAACATTGTTAAGCTTCACAATCAAGGAACTTGCACAATTCATATAGCAGGCTATAATGTTCCAATTGAAGATGAAGAGGAAGAAGAAGAAGAGGAGGAAGAAAACGCAGAAGAAGGAGACAACTCTGGTGATTCCCCTGATGATACAGCCAATAATGATGTTGATGAAGTTGATGAAATAGACGTTCAGACGAAATTATTAGCTTTATCAAAGAATAAACCAAAACCAGCTCCTGCACAGAAGCCACCACCACCTCCACCACAAAATAAACCACAGCATCAACAACAAAATCATCAAAAACCTCAACATCAACAACCACAACAAAGAAAGCAATTCCAACAGCAAAATAACAAGTTTAAGAACGACAACTTCAAGAAAGATTTCAAGAGGAAATAAGCCAAAATACCAATGCACTGTTTTATAGAGTTTTTAAATATTTTTTTTGTAATTTTATCATGAGAGAGGGTCAAAGTTGCTATTTGTCACTTTTCCACAAGAATATAATGGGGAAAAAGTTATCATATAGTTGATCTCATTCACTGAGGTGAGAGATGCATGTTATGTAATGTGATAAACAGTGGGATTGCTGCTCTAAGTCCTAGGTTCGAGACACATTGGCTTCATTTTTCTCTTTTTTATTGACGTAAACTATTCAATTTTTGTGTTCTCCATTCAAATTTCAGAATTTTTTTTGCAGATTTCACGCTACATTCGAAGTTACCTTTTGTAACAACCACCACTGCCTACGAAAGACGAAAGTGTGTCACGATTTCACCCGGAAATCCGACGGTTGTTTAAGAGTAAGCACTTTTGGCACCTACTCATTTTATCATTTACTAAATAGATTCTTTAATTTGCTACATACATTTTTCTCTTTTACAGTATGGTTAATAAATATCTTGAATTATATCCTTCATATTCGTCTAGATTTTCTCAGCTCAAAGTTCGCTAAAATTGAGAGGAGTTAATCGGTCAGTCAAGAGACCCTCAATTGAAATCCAGAAGGCCATTTACATGTTATTAATTGATATACATATGTGCACAGCAATGGTAATTCATAATCTTGCTTTATTTCCCACCGGAAAACCATCGTTCAATATAAAATTTTGTATCGCTCAAATCAAATTTAGATGAGTAATCCATTTTTTCAACCGACATACTTCCGCCAATTTCACTTAGATATATCGCAATACATGATAGATCAGTGTATCAACGCATTTTCGATGCGAAGTAACTTAAATAACGATTTACTGATGTATGATATACAAGTTATAAAGCAATTCTTCACCGACCACCCAGAAATCAACCAAATGGATGCTTTGTCACTATTTTTCAACTTCAAAGATGTGATTTTAGCACCTATGCAGAATGATATTGTTCTAGCTATACAAAAACTATTTGCTATATCAGCATTCTCATTACAATTGTTTAAAATACCGGATTTACAAGTTTATGAAATGATTTATCAGTGCTCTTATGTAATTGCAAACACTGTTCCTCAGTTTCCACAACTTTATTCGATTTCTTCTGCAGCAATTGCATTTTCGCTTTATACCATCGCATCAAAGTATCGAGAAATTAGTTTATTTGATGAATCAAGCAAAACTTTACGCAATCTTTTGATTTTAGCGACAAACTTTTGCTCGAAGAGCCCATCAATCGATGCACATGCGATTTTCTATTTCCAAAACTACTACTTAAATGTTCTTTTTTCGTTTTCTCCTGAATCAATTTACGATCAATCGCGTCTTGACTTCTTTCTTCAAATTTTACGATTTTTACAAATATCTTCTACTTTAGAAGGTAATGAGAACTTCAATTACTACAATCTACTTGATCATCTCCTTCATTTCATTTCAGATTCAAATTTATCGAATAATACTAAGCTTCTTGTATTCCAAACAGTTGCCGACATAACAAACAAGAGTCCAATGACACTACCATTCTTATTTGATGAGAAAAATATTCAAATTATTATTCATTTCATGTACGACATCATTGATGGCTCAATATTACCAATACTTACAGAATTACCCATACCAAAGAAGATTACATATAATTCAGGCGCTCCTCTTGAAGACAATACCATAATTACAGAACAAACTTTTAATCAAATGGTACCTGTTGGTTCTATCAACGAAAAGACATTCATTGGTAAATCACCACCAGTACCAAGTCTCTACCAGAAGTATACTTTGGATAAAGAACCAGATTTATTATTAAAAATTATTAGAAGGCTTTGTTCAACACCTACACAAGAGCATCCATCATATGTACACATGAAATTGATGAAACCACTCATGAAAGGCAAAAAATCCGCAAGAGTTGCTTATTTCTGTGGAGTATGGAGCGCATTCTTTTATTCCAGGGATTTACCAATTGCCGTCACTGCTTTATATGAAGGAGACTTCTTTACATACATGCTGAAGACTTCTTTCTTGGATTGTCCCACAAAAGAAATGCAAGCTTTCACATACGCACTTTTCCCATTCATTTTATCCAAAGGACCACGAGATCCGATCTTTGTATGTGATCTATTTAATTTCTTCTTCACAGATCTCGTAGAATTACGTAATACTCCGTTCATTTTGAATGCGATGTTGTTTACTTGCTTTATTTCAGTTCCTTTAGCTGCCAAAGCTATGAAAATGATATCATATGACCATACATTAGCAGGAGCATTGCTACAATTGCGTTTAATGCACTTATCAAATTTGGATCAAGAAATTCTTCCAATAATTGAAGAAGCCCGTCTATCATTGTTTGCTTTCATCGATACTGTTAACAAATACAATGATTTCAAGTACATTTTCTTCAATAGTTCCGTGTTTATTCATGCATTAACGCAAATGATCTTCGAACCGAACGTTTCATCATGGGCACTCACTCAAACATTGAATGTATTGGTCAGTCTCGTCGCTTCCCAAAGAAATCTTAACAGTTTGTTCAAATTCTTTGAAACTGAATTTGCAAACTCGACAAAGAAAGGCGGCATCTACATAGAAATGGGCCACGCTTTATTACAAATGATTTCCCAGGCCGTACCTCTCAACGCAAGTCAATTAGCCATAGCTTTCTTGAATCATGGTTTTATTGATGTACTTGCAAAGTTCGTTTACGACACTAAAGACCAGAAAAACATGCTCTGCCTTCTAGAGATCTTCAGAGTCTTCTCAACGGTCAAAGGAGAGATGAAAGCCTACATTGCAGAGTCAGATTTGTTCACAAAGCTTTCTCCGGTCTTCGAATTGTTCTTCCAAGACAAGCTTAACTTAGATCTCCTCGAAAGGCTCTGGGATATCGTGTTCGGAGAGAAGAAACTGCCAAAAGTTCCTTATCCGATTATGAATGGCATGCCATTACCATTAATCTTCACTTTACTGCTGAAATACCCAGATACTTTGGTCTGGTTCATGCAATACGTGAAGCAATGCTGCGAATTGGACGAAGCTTCTGTAAGAGAAGTAAATATGTCTGATTTAATGAACCATTTGCTCAAATACATATCATCGTATAGGACAAAACGCGAGTTAGGACAAGGATTCGATGCAGCAAATGAGCTTTTCAATATATTGGCCGGCCATTCGATGAAAGGAAAAGATTTGAAATTATTATTCCAAAATTTCACTTCACTTCCTGGCAATTTCCGACCATTCTACTCATTTGAGATGCTCAGATCCCTTTACTCCATATTCCAGAACCCATACGACGCTCCTGTCTCTATATTTAGATTCAGAAGTGGAAACGATTGTTTACAAACTCTCAAATCCGAACATTTGAAAATTTCTGAGATGACACTTTTCTGTGATTTGAATTTCACAGGTCCACAAGCAACACCAGGCGATATATTGTATTTCAGGACAGGAGATGATAACCATGTCAGAGTTATTTACTTCAATCAGCGACTTTTCTTTGAAATTAAACAAGGAAAGAACGTTTTGAACGGAGAATTCAAGTTCCAGTTCCAAGAAAACATTTGGACGAAAGTTGCCATCATATTCGAGAAAAAGATTGTCAGGTTGTTCGTTCATGGAAAAGAACAAGCAACATTTCAATCCCCTCAAATTCAATTGAAAGGTGAAATTGTAAACGGCACAATTTGTAGGAACTTGAATTGTATGTTAGGATCCTTTATTTTCTTTGATTCCGCATTATCACGTGACCAAATCCTTTTGTTAAGTGATTTCCCAAGAGACATGACAACATCATTTACTCAAAGTGAAGAAAAAATCTTTTCATCTCACTTTTCGAAATTATTCAATTTCCCGAAAGATCCTTTATATCTCTTTGACGCGAGTGTATCTTACAAAGACAGGATCATCAACTTATCTCAAAGAGCTCCTTTGATGTTGGATATTTCCGGCCAATCATTCGGTTCTTCACATAAAGTTAAAAGAACATTGTATCAAATTGGCGGAATGATCTCTTTGTTACCTTTATTTGCACAGATTGACCAACCTTTCCAGCCTCCTGAAGGAAAACCTCCTGAATACACAATAGATTCTTCTTATTTACCATTCCTTTTGCAAATTCTTTCGATTTCTTTGAGAGAAAATTACAGAAACCAAATTGAATTCGAACGAAACAATGGTTTCTACATTTTATCTTATTTGATTGCAAGAGCATCAACACAACACTTAAGTCTACAAGTTGTTTCCGCTTTCAAATCATTGTTCATGGAAATTATTTATCCACCATTAAAAGCGCAAATGTTGGATGCAATTTTCTTGAACGTTGAATTGTGGATTTACGGTGATGAACACACTCATGCATGTGTTTATACAACTGTTTTACAACTTCTAGAGATGAGTGACAATGAAACTAAGCTGTTTTTAGCGAAATCAATGACATTTTCAAAGATTTTGTCGTTGATGAGAGTTTGTTTGTGGTCGAAATACACTGATCCTGATATTTGTTTGTTTGATAAACCAAAGATAAATGCAGCAACGAAACAAGTTGAAGGGCAAAGGCCACAACAAATAAGAACAGTTAGAAATCCAATAAGAGATTTAGGATACAAAGTTTCAACAATTTATTTCACAAAAGAAGATGCAGAAAGATTATGTGTCATGTCTTTTGATTTAGATGATGAAGACTTGACATTTGATACTTTATTCACTTTGTCATATATGATAAGGACAAATAACCAAGTATTAATGCAGACATTGAGAGAGAAATTCAAATTTGAATCTTTCTTCCCATTAATTTTGTCGAAGAATGACAGAATAAGAGCAATGTGTATTCATATTTTTGTTTTAATTGTTGAGAAAAATCAACAAGATTCTGAATTGTTGTTAAATCCTTTCTCAATGGATGAATGGGTTCATGGAATAATCTCAACAATATGCATGGTAAAAAGCACAACAGTTTTCAGTGACATTGCTGCTGGTTATTTATTTGGTTTGTTCAATAAAAACGAACACCAATTTTTGCCTCTAATTTCAGTTGCAAATGGTCAAATGCCTGTAACGCAAAAATTCACTTTTGCAAGATTATACATGTTACCAATCTTGATAGAAAGTTTATGCGATCTACAAGCAGCGGAAGCTTCTCCTTATTTCCTTGCAATTGATAATGCTTTGATGAACTGTTCACCTGACCAATTATCATCTGTAAATATGTTAGATCATAACTTTATACAGTATATAATTCACAGGTTGCCAAGTTCATCAACAATTCCTGATCAATCTTGCAATCTTTGTTTGGGTTGTTTAACAAGATTATATGCTATTTTCCCTGATATGTTACAACAATTACCAAATATTATTTATTTGTTTGCAAGTAGAACAGGAAATGATTATTCCCATATTTTAAGATATGTTTTCTCTAATTTCATGAACCAAATTATTTTACAAGGAAAGGCACAAACAAAGATGACATTAGGATTTGTTTATTCTGTCTTCAGAATGATTTTCGAGTTCATGTTCATTATCCCTGATACTGATAAGTATTTCGGAGTTTTCGGAAAAGAAACTAAAGAAACAATTGCTAATTTCCAGGAATTACACAGAATCAAATTATCCGGATCTTCTCCAACAATCAAACAAAGCTTTGGAGCAAGAATTGAAGAGAAAGATAATGATTACATATGGATGGACGCACAAATAGCAACATTGTTCCTTAAATCATTGGTTGTAACTCCTTTGATGTCAGCGAAAATGAATTATAACACTGAAAGGTATCTACATCCTTTAGTTATGTATTCTTACACTTTGAGTTTCGCGTTGAGTTTGCCAATTTATTTCCAAAGTTTCTCTCAATACATAAATCCTTTGAACTCCTTGTTTTCTGTTTCGAAGAAGCCAACTGGATGTTTGGCTGATGCTTTCGCTATCTTGTTCACAGGTATTTATAAATGTGCGAACAAGGCAGGTTTGACATCACAAGCAACAATGTTTTTGATCCAAGAAAGTGATGATTTCAAGAGAGCAATTTTTGATTATTTGAATGTAAAAGTTCCTCAAGATGTTGTTGCTTTGTTAAGCTATGATGATATGAACTTTATTCACTTGTTAATGGAGAAAACAGGTCAATTGGAAACAGATTTATTGAATTACGCTGACAGATTAACGAAATCAACGCAAAAATCATTGATGAATTTGGCCGACCAAAATGAAAAATTCTCTAGTCACTTTTCTAATTTGAATGTTTTCGATTCAAGAACAAAATTAGCGCAAATGAACCAGCAGATACATTACCAGCTATTAGAATTCGCTTTGTCATACAGAAACAGACATGTTCAGTCAGGAAAAGCGTACAGACAATTATGGAGATTCATTTCAGGAGAAAACGGACCATGGAGTCCTCCAAATTCAAAACAAACTGTTCATTACAAGATCGATCCAAGAATTGGTCCAATGTACACAAGACCAAGAATGCGCCAGAACTACTCTTTCACAGATCACAAAGATGCAAGTATCATGAGAGATGTCGGTAAGTTTGAAGACGCTGAAAAACAATATAAAGAACATCTCAAAGATTTGGCAAAATCAGAATTCGATGGAGACAAAAGTGTCATTACAATGGACGCCGAAGTCAATGAAGAAGCTGCCGCAATTGAAGCACAATCGAGTATCCAAGACAACGTCATTTTGAAGATGAGAGGAAACTTGGTTACCAACAAATGCGTCTACAAAGGAACAATCATCATGTCAGTAACAAACTTGACATTTGAAGGTTCTCCTGACAAACCGAAGTATTTCAAGATTCCTTTGACAACAATAACAAGTGTATTCTTGAGAAAGTACTTGTTAATGGATACAGCCATTGAAGTATTCACTGATGATGGACGCGCAAGATTCCTCGATTTCTTGCAGACACAAAGAAGTGATTTCTTAAAAGCTCTCAAAACTTTGAAACTCCCAAACATCAAAATCCTTCAAATGACACAGGCAGAAATAACTCCTTACGTCAAAGATGCGACAAAGAGATGGATGAAAGGAGAATTAAGTAACTTCGATTACTTGATGCTCCTTAATATCTATGCTGGAAGAACTTACAATGACTTGGCTCAATATCCAATTTTCCCATGGGTTTTGAAGGATTATACTTCACCTGTTTTGGACTTAAACAATCCAGATGTTTACAGAGATTTAAGTCTCCCTGTTGGCGCTTTAGATCACAGAAGATTGGACCCATTATTGGAGAGATACAAAGAAGAACCAAGTGACAGCCCAATGAAGTATCTTTACGGCGCATTTTACTCTTCTTCTGCTGTTGTTATCGGTTATTTGTTGAGATTAGAACCTTTCACTTCACTTCACATTGAATTACAAAGTGGAAGATTTGATCACACAGATAGATTGTTCAACAGTATTCCTAAGGCCTGGGACAGTGTGAATTTCACACAAATGGACTTCAGAGAGTTAATCCCTGAATTCTTTTATTTCCCTGATTTCCTTTTGAATTCAAACGGTTTTGACTTAGGAAAGAACATTCCAAACAATGGAGATGTTGAATTACCAGCCTGGGCATCATCTCCACACGACTTCATTGAGAAGAACAGAGCTGCTTTGGAAAGTCCTTTCGTCAGAGCTAATTTGAACAGATGGATTGATTTAATCTTCGGTTTCCAGAGCAGAGGAATTGAAGCTGAGAAAGCTTTGAATGTTTTCTCACCTTACTTCTTCGAAACAGCAATAACACCGAAGATAACAGACACAGAACTCAAATTCATCCAAGAATACGCGCTTTGTTTCGGCCAAGCTCCAACACAATTGTTCACAACTCCTCATCCACAAACAAAGGATCTCTTGAAGCCATTGTATTCTCCTGCAAGTCCTGTTGGCATTGTTCCTGCTTTGGGAGGCAAAACAACATCAATTGATTGCGTAAACCAAACATTATGTGTCACACAAAACACAGGAGCAATTTTCAGATTCAAATTGTCACCAGATTCATGCAAAGAAATATCTCGAAATGCATTTCCATTCCAGTTATGTACTTTACCTCCTGATCCTGCTTCCAGTCCTTCTTTCCAGTCGCAAACGAGTTGTCCTCCTTTCGTTGTCACAACAACACAAAACATCACGATTTTCGCCCCTTCATACGATGCCATTTTCACTGTTATTGACAACAACTCATTTTCAACAGGAAGGACACCAAAAACACTGTGGTCTTCGAGAATCCACACGAAACCAATTACTTCTATTGCTGCCACGCAGAACTACTTCGTGACAGGATCAGATGACTGCACAGTTTGTTTGTGGCCTGTTTCGACAACATTCAGTGAACCTTTGTTCTTCAACTCGAGACATTCATCTAAAATCACTTGTGTTTCGATTACAGAAGTTGCAAAAACTGTTGTTTCATGCAGCTCTGATGGAAGAATAACATCTGTTGGTTTGGATGGAAGAAACATCAGATCAACATTTGTTGATGGTGTTCCTCAATCTGTTTGTGTTTGTGATGATGGATATACTCTTGTAAACAGTGTCGTTGGAGAAGACAACGTTTTGACTGTTTTGGACATCAACTTAGAGACATGCAAAGTCATTGAAACGAAGTCTGCTCTATTTGCAACTGTTTTCTTCGTTGATAGTGATGGAGGACACATCATTGTTTACTCAGATAAAAATGGAGTTTCAATTTTGAAGTCTCCTACTTATGAAGAAATTAAGCATATTCCAATGAATTCGGCTGCTACTTATTTGACCACTATTGAAAGCGGAAGAGCTATACTTGCTGCTCTTGAAGATGGAAGAATTAGCTACTTCTAATTTATATATCTTTATTTTTTTTATAAAACTATTCATTTATTTAATCTTTTAATTTTTTTAAATTTTATGAGAATCAGAAATAAACATAACAAGCTAATATCAATTTTATAAAGCACCCAAATAAAAGGACTATTATGTTCTCAATTTATCTTTGGCAAAATGGAACGCAAATTAAGATCCAATTATGGAGATTATTAACTGATAAGATGATTATTTTGATGATCAAATGGTATGTGAATTAAACGAATCGCGTTTATTAGATGATACATAAAAGATATATAAATTTAATTCTTGACATCGTCTTCGTTATCAAGAGACTCAGCCTTGTCATCTTGTGGCTCTTTGATGAACCAAAATCCGAAGATTGTACCAGCGATTGTGATGATACCGTAGAAGAGGAAGAGACCAAGTTCTCCCATCTTTGACTCCTTCATCGCTGGGGAAGCATAGACAATGATGAATGAGAAGAGCCATGATGTCATACCATTGATAGAAGATGCCATTGGGCGGACAGAAAGTGGGAAGAGTTCTGGAGATGAGTACCATGGCATTGGAGCAAGTCCAAGGCCGAAACCGAACTGATAGAGGAAGATAAGGACAACTGGGAGAACATTGGACCAATTATTCTTAGAATTGAAGCCAAAGATGATGAGTGATGCAGCGCAAACAATGCCAGAGACTGTCCACATAGCACGACGACCAACCTTCTTGATTAGACCACCAGAGAAGAAGCAGGCAATAAGCTGAGCAAGAGTAGCAATAACTGACTGGATACCAGGGGAAATTCCTTGGATATTAGCATTTGCGAAGAGCGTGGAGAGATCGGCAAGAATAGCATTGATGCCTGAGAATTGCTGAGTGAGCATGATGAGGATGAGAACTGTAAGGGGCCAGATGTACTTGGCTTGGAAAATTGACTCCTTCTCAGTTTCTTGAGCATCATTTTCTTCTTTGTTTTCTTCCTGATGAATAGCTGTTTCTGGGATAAGCCAAATGAGACCTAGTTGAAGACCATGAGAAACAGCGGCGTAAATACACATTACGAATGGCATTGCGTATTCACCAATGAGATAAAGAATGATAATACCAATGACAATGAAGATCTGGTTGAATGTACCGTAGAGGCCTGTTTGTTCTGCTGGAGCAACTTCGAGAAGAAGAAGTGGGCCAAGAGCTGAGAAAGCACCTAGCATGAAACCTTGAAGAACACGCATAACGAAGCCCATCCAGAATGTTTTGACATTCATGAAAGCTAAGATAACCCAGAAGATAATTGAACAAATGTTAATGATTGATGTAACGAGACGGCGGCCTAATCCAAATTTGAAAAGAAGTGATGGAATGTATGGGCCAATGGCACCTGTCAGCTGACTAATTGCGACAAAGAGATTCCAGTTTTTTTTCTGGGAAATCAGATCCCCAAGCCAGACGGAATTTTTGTGCAGCTGGAGATGGATAACCAATGAGGTAACCGAAACCAAGAGGAGTAAGGCAGACAATAGCTGCGTATAATAACTCGCGGCGGAAGAATGAAGACATCTTTTTCTATCCGAAGTCTTGAAAAATGAAGTAACATTTTTTTGTCATGACAACCTATCAAAAATTTGAGAGATATCTATACAGAAATCACCACCAAATCATAAAAATAATAATCCCATTGTTTCATACAGTTAAGTAGATTATGTTCATGTCAAATGTATTTTTTATGAGACCATACATCATTCAAATATTGAAATTGGACTCATTGAATTTTTATACGGGCTGTTTACGCCAATTTGCTTTGGATAAATCAATAAGAAAATTAAATGAACCTACTTACACCCATATAATACATTTACGCATTAATAAACTAAAGATTTTATTAATTGAGAAGATTCAATGGTCAATCTTTATCGATTTATCTCTATCAATATATAACCTTGCAATATAATGATTCAAAATAGGTTAATGGACCATATAGGACTGTTTCATATAAAGTTCTAAAAAAGTTGATATTTTATGAATTTACACAACGCAAAATCACAATACATATTTGCTATCAGAATATACTAGTAAGCTTATTTATCTCTTAAAATCGTGATTACACAAGGTTGAGTAGAGATGCTTTCTATTTTATTTCAACATTCATTCTAGAGATATATGATTGCTACAAATCAACTTGTGTATATCAAAGAATGCATGGTGTAATAAAAACAAAGTGATAAAATTGAAATTACAGATTTTCAATTTTTTTTTATAATTGTTCAATGGTTATTTCGAAATCTTTTAATACAAACACAGAATATATCAAAACCATTCAAATAAACATAATATGTAAAAAAAAAATTATTAATTTTTTTTTGCGCACTACAGATCGCTAACCTGTGTGCTAAAATTTTTTATTCAGAGCTTCGCGTTCACCTTATCTGCGATCCTCTTTAACTGACCTACGTCAAGCTTCGAGAGGTCCTCCTTATCTCCGCAAGCAGACGGCGTTGCAAATACGGCTTTATGGTAGCATTGGTCGGACTCTATTACAGAAACTAGCATATCCTTGTTCCAACAGACCAATTCCATGTCAGTTTTTCTTCCTGCCTGAGTAATCCAGCAATGTTGGCCATCCTTGAACTTCTGGATCTTTCCTTCTGTTTCCTTGTATCTTCCATATGAGTTGTATGACTGTTTGAGCTCTTTCATGACCTCATATTCGAAATCGCCATCATCTGTCTTAAATTTGCTGCCAATGATAGGAACAAATGCTGGATCTGTCTTGTCATCAAGATCTGAAAGCTTCTCTTGCTCTCTGAGGCTATCTCTGGCTTTTCTGAGTTTTTCATCAAGATCGTCGAGAGTTTTCTGCCTGATTCCTTCCTCAAGAGAACTCCTGACATCAGGAACGTAGAATGTATATTGCCAAATAGCGCGAATGATTGTCTTCCATAATGGTTCTTCATCTGCTTTTTCTTTTGGTTCTTCTTTAACTTCTTCTGGATTTTCTGCTTTGATGGCTTCTCCTAGCAACTTTGCTCCTGGTTCTTCTTCATTTTCTGCGTAGATTTCGCTTTCTTCATCATCTTTTTCGAAATTATTGGAAGATTTAGTTGGAACATCATCAGATTGTGTATTTGATGCCTCTTTCTTTGCTTCTGCTTCGCTTTGCTTCTCGAGAAGAAGATCGAGTTCATCTTTGGCTTGTTTAAGTTCTTCTGTGGCGCCAGGATAACCTTCACCTTCTAAAACACGTAATTCGTCGATTCTCTTGTTCAATGCTTGGATTTTTTCCTCTGTATCATCTTTGATTGTTTCTGGTGTAATTTCTGGGGTTGGGATTGGTTCTGGTGTGGAAATTGGGATTGGTGTAGGATCAGGGAGTGCTTTAGCAGCTTCTACACGCTTTTTATCATCTTCAAGTTTCTTAATTAATGATTGAAGCTCAAATTTCTTTTTCCTTGCTGATGATAATTTTTCTTTTCCTGTTTCAATGCGTTTGAGATATGTTGCAAAGCCTTCCGAGTAGATGGAGTTAAGTTTATTGTAAAGTTGAATTCTTTGTGCTTCAAGTTCTGCGCATGTATTGGGGCAATTTGCATGCGAGTTGAATGCCTCATCACTTCCATCGCAGCAATCACATACTCCATCGCCTACAGACCATTTTTGAATTGTAGTGGCGATATATCCTTTGTTTTGACAGTAAAACGAACCATTAATAAATGTAGATGTTCCAGGTTCATCAGATCCGTCCTTACAATCTGGATATCCGTCATTTATTTGCGATAATTTTATTGTCTTTTCGCCGGAAAAGCATTTAAATGTACTTTTTTCGGTATCCATGGATTTCAGGTATTTTGGCCACTCACTAGGCAAAGCACCAAGGGGAGGGTCGCTATACACAGAAAAAATTAAAAACAAGAACATTTTTGGCCGATTATTTTTTGAATACTTTACAGAAGATTTGAGCAATAAAAGAACGATCGGATAAAGGTTATTTTTTTACAGACTTGTTGCTAAATCAAGTTATCAATATTATTTCAAAATTTTAAATCTTGACTGATTCTAAAAGTGTCAAACCCATAATCGATTTTTTTTTCGTAACTATGCAATTATGTTCGTGGAGCTTGATTTCATCAATTTGGAATCTTTGGCATACAACTAAGAATGCACAACTATTAATTGATGCCACTACGCATGTTCGCTTCGATTGCATATCCAATACTTCAATTTAATGTACTATTTCAGTGTTTAATAAAGTATATGTAGGAAAATATAGAAAAATTTTAAAAACATGAACACAAATACCTTTATTTTTTTATGATAAATATATTCCATTTTCAAAATTCGATTTAATGACTCATTTACATCCTATTTCTCCATGTACATCTATATTTTTAAACAAAGTGATTATATGAATATATCTCATACAATTTTTATATCTTTCTGTTCTTAAATTCAAAGAAAAATGTCTTTCTGCAACTAACTAATTTATACTATTAATCTCACGAATGTCTTGGTAGTATAAAATATATCTTTATTAAATGATAAAGCATACTTACTAAATTATTGAATAGATTTACATTCAGAGCTAGAATCATCCTTTTCAGATGACAAAACATCTTTGGGAAGTAGATTTATTATGAAATAAGTGTGTTTCTCAAAATATTTCTTTCGGAATCTTTCTTAAAATCATTTCTGTATGAAATTACTAAGCCAAATCAATATAGTAAGGCAATTCAACAAAGCATAACAAGACTTTTGATATATTTTTATGAGATTGCTCTTGTTTTAGTAATTTTCTTTATAATGACAAGCGTAATGCATGTACATCATTTAAAATACATAATTACTTTAGTGACTTAACTGCAGAGACTCCAAATTAATAATAATATTAATTGGATATTCAAAAGATTAACCATGCGCCAAATCTTAATTCTTTGCTAATATTTTTATGCTATAATATTGCGATATTCTAATACAAAGCAATAAATAAGAATACAAATTGTAAATCGGATAACAAAAATTATCTCGTGGAATTTTTATTGAAAAGTGACTTAAATTTTTAATTGTTATGCTAAATATTATTAACTATATTCGTTTCTTATTTATTCAGATTCTTGAACGATATCATGATCTGATCGATTGAAAGATTATATTTTATTAGCTTGAAACGAAATTATATTAATCACCCTAATAGCTATATGATAATAAGATTTAATAACGAAGTTATGCTTTAATGGCAAACATGAGATTACTAAAAATAAACAAATGTCTTTCTTATAGACTTACGATATCTCATAATTTAAAAATGCCACTTCCTATAAAACCCGTATAGAATCAAATTCGATAACATTGAAATTATACTATTTCTATTGAAGAAAAGACTGTTTGCAAGTTTCATTTAGCAAATATAGCTTACACCAATATTGTTTTAATATCGAATGATCGCTGCATACTATTATTAAATGAAATATTTTCTGATTTCTTTTTTGATGATGTATATCAATAAGGCATTTATACCACAATGATTGATTCGAGCAAATTTACCTTTTTTATATAAAATAAACCAATTTATCCAGGAGTTTACTATAAATCATTTTTTTCAATGACGCACGTTAATCCACTAGCAAGAAAATTAAATTCATTATTGTAAACTATAATAATTATATTATAAATTTGATTTATTTTTTTGTATGAATATAATTTGAATGTAACTGTTGTGAGATATAATGTCAAATACATACAAAGTAAATTTGATTAATTTTTCAACCAATTCGCTTGATTCATAAAATGTAATACATAGTTTTTTTCTAATTCAATTCTATAAGAAATTATAATTAGTCTCTTTTTTTTTGTTGGTCGGATGGGAGATGATGGAGGGAATACGACTAATAGAGCAGAATTTCTAACAAGAAGGGTCTATATCTCGTTTGATGGAGAAATACCCCCGGAGGAACTCCAAAAGAGATTAATTCATTTATTTGCTCCATATTATTTAAAAGGCGCATTATCAAGAGACGTTATTAACGATTTATTAATAATTAAAGACTTGCGAATGATTGTACAATCACTTAGACTTTGTTCAGGTTCTGATCGAAACGCTCATAAAGAAACATTTGCATCAATTCTATTAAAATACTTATATTCAGACGAAATAATAGAGAAATTCACAAATTTTGATTTAACTCTTGTAAAAAATTCAAATATAATAGTCCAACATTGCTCAACACAATATCCAAAAATAGATAGAACATTATTATCACCTAATGACTTCATGGATGATTTCTCATCCGCTAAAATTTCACCTGAAAAACAAAAAAAATCTAAAAAAAATTTAAAAAAATCTATTTCAGATCATTCTTTATCAGACTTCGATGATGAAAAACATGATAATTCAGATACAAACGGAAAAAATTATAATAATTTCAAAAAAATGAATTTAGAAGATACAGCAAAATATTTAGCGATACTATCCAATTGTAGCAACATAATGCATATCATCTCAGAGCGTATTGAAGAATTAGAGCAGACTGTTTCAATCCTTCAGAATAGGCTGTTTTTGCTAGAAAAAGAGTACCAATGAAAGCATTCAATTGGTAAATTCAGTATTGAAAAAATTGAATGCATTCAGAATCGTCTTATTTTCGGAATTCGTGTCTTTCGAATACACGTCTGACTTACTATCAATATCCTGATCTGAAAAGGATGGACCTTAATCGATTCAAATTATTCCTTTTTTTGAGGATAACAAAATTTATTTTATATTTATATTAGTTGTTATATAAACATGTACTTTCAAATCGTAGTATCTTTTCAATAGTTATGAATTGAAATCGATATCAATTATAAACGTTTGAAATGCTTACATCATTCTCAATATTGTTATTCTATTAATTGATATTCAATTAATACGTGTTGTAATTTACTTCATTATAATTTTGAATCAAAAAGCCCGACATGCTAATTAACTTTTGTTTTGGCAATGAGACTCAAAGAAGTTATATATTCTATTATCATTTTCTTTTTATTAGAAAAAATTTGATAACATAAATTTTTATCCATCTTGGTCATCCGATGGATTTAATATTATTATTCTTCCATGATAGTACACATTATACGAGAAAATATATTAGATATGAAATACATGTTGATAAAAAATAGTTGAAAACTTATCAATTAGTATAAATTTATTAAAATAATCAAAATATTTGCCGGCCAAAATTGTTAAAGTAATCAATTTGATAAGTTGTCAATTTTGTGATTCTACCCGCTCGAATTGAGATAACCCAACAAATTTGTGACACAAAGAGTGATCGGATTAGATATCAAACCCGAGTTAAATTTTATTAAAATCGAATAACAACAAAACGGATCTTGATTTTCTCAAAATTCCGAAGCATTCAAAAATTCTTTTCAATATATTTGTAAAATATAAATTCTAATTCAAAATCAGATCTTATCTTCCTATCGTATTTTCCGTCAAAATAAATCCTTCGTTTTTGCTATTTTATAGGAATTATTCCAAGTATGTTACATTGGAATTGGAAATTCACTTTTTCATATTTTTATCTTCAGATTCCGAATTTTAAATATGTTTAAAAATACTATTGTATATTGATTATATCTCAATAAGATAGTCAATAGTCATTCACATTATTTATTAGTTTTGGTAAAAATTAATACAACATTTGGTAACTTTTTAAAAATCATTTTTACATACATGGGTTTCTATAGAATCAGCTGCATTTATAAATTTTGATATCTCCAAGGTCCTGAAAAATTAATTATAATAAGCATGCTTTCAATTGAGATATTTTATCTATTCTCTAATTAAAAATAATTCATTTGATACCAAATATTTTTAATTTAAAATTTTTAATTTATTTTTAAAATTTCGACAAATAATCAAAATTAAATGTGTTACAAATAATACTTATTTGTTTTTATATTTAGTGGTTACTAATATTTGATTTTAAAATTCAGAATAATTTCCAAGTTAATTAAACTAGCATAAGGTAATTTAATGGATGCTTAAAGTATAATAAATTTTAAGTAAAGTGATTCCTTTAATTGGATTAAAGAACATTATGTAGCAAAAACCAAAAAAACTAAATGGAATAGGGCCAAAGATTCATATAAATCATTTGGGGGTAGAAGTTTTATTAACCAAATTGGTTCTATTTTCAATAACAGAAAACAGCTTGTTCCATTAAAAGTTATTATTTTATGAGAAATATAAATATCTTATTTGAATACTGAGACTTTTTTCTCATTTTAGTATACTCAGATGGCCTCGTAAGGCAAAAATTAGTTTGAAAGCTAATAGAATGACTAGTTATAACATTATTTCCTTTATCAAATTCTGCATTTGGCATTTCATCCAAATAGGAGCTTGAAATTGATATACTTCCAGATTCATAGCCTAAATTATTCTTTTTAACATTCCCAATTATCGAAGAGTTCGAAATAATCAAATTTGAAATTCCTGCTGAATATATAACGGAACCTGCTTCACATTTGTTATTAACGATATTGGTCATTTGAATGTAAGAAGCCTGACCAACCGAATTTATTATAATTAAACCTATCTCGTCATTTATATTTTCTGATATTGTACAGTATTTAACATATGAATCAGTATCAGGAGAATTGATATCGAAGGCTAACACTAATTTTGCAGAATTCTTGGAGATGTTTGTGCATGAAATATTAATTTTCCCATCTTCAATATTCACTGAATAAGAACCAGCATTTGATTTTCCGCAATTAACAATTGAACAACATAGAACAAAATTGATGCACTCAGGTGCATCAGATGAAGATATGTGACAATAATGACCATATTGACTTCCATTAACACTGCAATTATATGCTGTGTTCATTATTTGAACAACTTTCCCTTCATAAGCAAAGTAAATTGCCCCTCCATCATAATTATTTGCTGAGCACAATGGAAATAAACAAGCATGAACTAAAAGATCAGTTGAACTATCTGTATTTGAAAATCATATTGCTCCTTGATCATTAAGGTCTTTAAAGTGCGATTTTGTTATAAAGTAAGAACTTCCACCAGATAAAAATGATCCTGACGAATATACATTTTTTGGATCATTACCGAAGTAATATTTCCACATTTATATTAAATTTACTAGTGTGAGGTGATTTATTTGTCAAATATAAAAGCAAAAAGAAAATCATTCCGAAAAGTGTTCTAATTTTATTCATTGTTAACTGCATTCGGTCCTTCATAAGTCTAACAATTCATTACTTATAATTCTAATCAAGGATTTGCTCATACTTTCGTTGAATACAGTATTCATTTAATTTACGGTTTTTTTCGGTTAGAGGATCAAGTTCCCTACCGTAAATTAATGGCTGTAAATACTATTAAGATGACAATAAAATATAAGAAACAAATATATTTTTTATGACATCGTCCTCAATTCAATTTTGAGGGAAAGCAAACTCACGGTCATTACTTTTAAACTTATTACAATGAACAGTCAATATTTCGGTATTACCTAAACATGTTTCGTTCATTTCACATGTATTTTCCATGGAATGCAGGATTTCATATTTCAGAATTCTTATTTCGTACGTCAAATCGATTAGTTTTATCCTAGTTATGAACATTTCAACCATTTATGATCTTAAGAAATTTCCATATTAAAATTTCAAAATGCATCTCTTTATTAAAGCAAGAAATTTCCTCGAGAAACATTGGAAAACAACTCAAAAAAGCTCTAGTCTAATTGAATTAACTCACGAAATCTATCAAAAAATTTTCATTAAAATATTTCTCTAAAATCAAAAGACAGATAGTATGTATGGTATGTACAGAGTATATAGTTATTAGTTAATTAGCTCAAATGCGTATTTCTTAAAAAAAAATCAAATATTTTTTCATAAAAAACAAACTGCGATCAAAAGACTGTAAATCCAATTGCTTATTGCAATTTGTAATGATAACCTATTAAATTTTGATCATTGATTGGTTACGAATAATACATATAATTTATTTAAGCCTCAGGGATTGGAATCTCGCCGGAAGTGATCTTCTTCTGAACTTCCTTTGGATCCATTCCGTCAACATGAGCACCCATCGCCTGCGCTGTTCCGAGGACCTCTTTGACTGTTCCTGCGAGCTTGCGAGCGCATGACTTTGCTCTCATTGTGCGAGCAATGTCAATGATTGTATCAAGAGAAAGACTTCCACTGTGCTTAACAGCTTTTGTCTTCTTGCGATCGCGATGTGGCTCGTTCAGGGCTGCAATCAAAAGAGTGGAGGTAGAGTTCTCAACGTCAACCTTGAACTCACGGTTTTGGACCGTGATCTTGACTGTTGCGCGGAATCCCTTAAACTTTTCTGTGGCTTTAGCTACCTCTTGTGCAACTTTTGGAGCTGGAACACCGAGTGGACCGAGCTTTGGTGCAAGCTTGGATGTAACACCGGTTTCACCACCCCATACGCGGCACTTGATGATAACTACTTGATCAGCCATTATTTATAAATAAATGTCAGATGGTCGTGTCACTTTTATAACATGGCTCAACATTGAGGTTTTATTTTTTTTTGCTGATTTAAGGAATATTGTAAGGAAGTTAATTTGGAAAATTGTTTTCACTTTAGGAGAATATAATTTTCCATTTGGAAAATTTAAAAAGTGAGACGCGCAGGATTCGAACTTTTTTAAAAGTTGATTTAAATGAATTTTAGTGTGGAATATAAGGATAATATCATATTTAAAATAAGAATATACTAGTTTAGGTGGTATTAATTTTTTCGATAAATTTGAGAGTATGTACGTTTAGGGCATGAAAAGTGTCAATTCGCTCAGCGAAAGCTGAGCTAGCTTCGTTCTCGAAAGAATAAGGAAGGAGTGAAGGAGAATGATACAGAAGTTGACACATTCATATCATTTCAACAAATTTTGATCAAATTGAAATTCAATAAAATTCAATTCAATTCATATCCTTCAGTCAGTACATTGATATCCTTCTGCATCACAATGATAATTCGGGCATCAATAGTTCTACAACTAACTCAGAAAAAACAAGATTATTACTTCCAGCTTACAGCTTTTAAAAAGTTTCGATGATAAAAATCACTCTACTCTCGTTTATCGACATATGGTGATAGTAGGTAAACATATTCTTATCGATATTAATAAAAATATTTGTACGAAAATCTTATCCAATTAGAGAGTTATTCATAAAGTATATGATAATTATAATTACTTTATCTTTGTTTTATCTTTGAATAAACAATTTAATTTAAATTGCATAATATTTTTTGGTTGAAAGACAGGAAACTTAGTTGAGTTTGTATTATTTTTATCGTTTAATTCATCGTATCAGTGAGTGATCCAGATATTTAAGATATTTAGAAAAAAAATTATTAATTTGATTAACAAATTTTAATCAAAATAGCAAAAATCTATTTGATAGCTGTAAACAAACAATAATTTTTATTTCAAGCAAAATCACTTATTTTCATCTAAACGTATAAAATTGTCAATTTTATGAAAATAAATTGAAAATCTCATGAAATGTAAAGGAGAGTAATATTTTTCAATTTTCTTTTTTTCTTTGTCTCAAATATTTTCTGTTGGGAATTTTCTTGTTATCAAAAAATAATTTTAATATTTGTTTATTTCATTACATACAATAAAATTTTAAAAACTCTATTTCTTCTCAAGAAAATTTTTTCCTTCATATGAAGAAACATTTTGTTCTCCATTTGATACTGAGTCTAAATCTCGATTTTTGAATTTTCTTCTTTCCAAATTTCTTTTTTCCAAATTAGAAGTTTAATTCAAATTTTCAATAGTTTATATATTTTCTCAAACCGTCTCAGATTTTCTCACTTTTTAGGGATTTTCTCTCAAAATATACAAAAATAGTAATATCAATACATGTGTCTAATATACTTTAAAACCATCGTGACAAAATTCAAAAACGAAGAGTTCTTCTCTCCAAATTTTTTTCAAAATCAAAAAAATGAGATAAAAAAATACGTTTGGAAAATTCATTTTTAGCATTTTAGGAATTTTCTCACTTTTCTTCCAAATTGACATCCTTAAATATTGTGGATAAATTTTATATTTGAAAACAAGTCAACATAAATCATTGATCAATTTTCAGAAAATTTCAAATTTCTTCCATCATTCCTTTCTCTTGTGCTCTTTTGTCAAAACCAGTCGAATGCAAAGATATATATATATATTGCTGCTATTCAATATCTCAAAATTCTGATTTGATGATATAATTTCAGGTATCAGGTGGTTTGGCTTGCCCTCCACATAAATAACGATTATTTATATATAACATAAGCTCACTCTTTTAATAAAATTAATTTAATATCTTGGATCAAATTGAAATGAATGTATTACTATGGTCTAAGCATATAATTAATATCAGTTTTTGATAAATTGTAATTTTTATTCTATATATAAAATGTATACAAAAAATATATTATAAAACAAATTTATTTTCCATACTTGGTTCTTCTTATCATTCCTTTCTGTTGTGGCTTTATCTTTTCAGAATTAATCCTTTCCAGTTCGTATTTTCTTGTCAAGTTTACAATTTCATGTTTGTGGAAAGTCTTTTTGTCTCTGTTTCTTTCGTATTTCGCTCTTACATCGAGTGGTGTTCTTCTCTTTGGTTTAATGATCTTCTCTTTGTATTCAACGTAAATAGTCTTTTCGTTTATAGAATCAACCATTTGAGGAACAAATTCGATGATTTCTACCTCTTCTTCTTCTACTTCGATGTTCAAAGGCATAACAAACAAAATCTTCTTTTCATTCATTCCAACAAAACAATCTAATCTTGAAAGTTCATGGAAACTTGGATTCAAAAGCGTTAATTTTTCGCTTTTAGAGTTATGACAAATCAAAGGTTTGTTAGGAATTGCCAAATCATAATAATAAACTGTGTTATCCTCATCTTTGTAGAACATCATTCTGTTGTCTTTAGAAACAAAAAGATTTTCTTCAACTAAAATTCTATCATCGTAAAAACTAAAACCTTGATGTTTATCATCTATGATAAATATTTCGGTTTTGTCTTCCATAGGATTGAAGAAAAGTGTTAAATCATAAACAGTTTTGACAAAAGAATATGAAGAAAATGAATTGTAATAAATCAACCCAAAAATCGATTGAATGCAAAAAGTACTATTTGGCAAAACCGCCGCAAATGAACCACTTTTTGTTAAACTTATATCTGTGAAAATTAATGGAGAACAGTTGTCGTCAACAGCAAAGTTAATTTGGTTTGTCATGGTGTTCAAATAAAAACCACAGAAATAATCATCATCGTATTTTTGGACTATAAAAACAGCAGGATACAAAATTCTGTTTGTCATTACTTTGACAAATTCAACATCTTCAAATGTTCTGTTGTAAATTACAAAACCGTTTTCATTTGTAATTACAATTTTATGGTTTGTCAAAAGAATCAATTTTTTGTCGACAGAACATGAATGAATTACTCCTCTGAGATCTACTGAATTTGCTGGAGGATTAATTTTATAACCGTTAAAACCGTAAATGTCAACTTTGTTTTCACCAATCAAAGCGATTTTATCTGCAAAAGACACTGTGAATAAAGGCTTTGTTGATGTATTTCCTAGCTTTTGTTTTTCGTATAAATAAACATTGTCCAAATCATCACTTTGAAGTTTTGCAAATTTGTAATTTAATACTTCAATGTATTTGATTACAAAATCATTTGTAAAACACTGGAAATAGAGTTGATCATCTTGGAAAACTAAACATATCTCTTCTGTTTGCTCTAAAACACTTTTGTCTTCTAAAGGTAATGGAATTTTTGTTAATTTTTCATCTTCAATCCCAAAAAGTGACAAATTCTTTGTTTCTCTATCAAAAATTGAAAAGAATGGCAAATTTGACAAAGTTGAAACAATTCTATCATTTGATTCGAATTCAACTAGCTGAGATTTATTTTTGTCATCGGGAGACAAAATCAAAATTGACTTATCTGAAACAGCAACAATATAAGAAGAAACATTGTAAAGTTTCGAATTTTGGCTGTGTGAACCTTTGAAAATTGTAAATGATCCATTTACATATTCATAAAGAGTTCTGTCTTCATACATAAACAAACTGTACTCATTGATTCTGCCATCATTCTTATAAATAACTTCAATGTCAATATCATAAATTTCTTCCTCTTCTTCCTCTTCAAATTTTTGATCATTATTTTCAGTTTTTTCTTTGTTTTCTTCAGAATTTTCATTTTTATCTTTATTTTCTTCATTGTTTGGATTTTCTTTTTCATTAATTTTTGTTTCTTCTGCATTTTTATCATTTGATTCTTCACTTTTTAGTTCATCCTTTTTGTCACTTTTTGTATCGTCTTTATTTTCATCATCTTTTTCTTCAGTTTTTTCTTCATTTTTATCGGGAGTTTTTGTTTCGATTTCTTTCTTCTTTGTAAATAAAATTTCGACATTTTCACTAAAAAGTGACAAAGAAATAATTGTGTTTCCGAAAAGTGCATAAATAATAGGAAAAGTTGCTTTTTCTGTAACAATTTTGAGAAGTGGCAAATTGGTCACTTCATCTGGCAACAAAAAATTAACATATTTTTCAGTTTCGAAGTTATAAGCCGAGATAAAATCATCGCCACCTATAACTACATAAGTTTGAGTTAAATCAACTGAATAAGTGAATTTAACAAATTTCAATCCGATGTCTTCAGGAAGAGGGATTTCTTTTTCTTCATCATATACAATTATAATCATTTTATTTTGATATAAAATGAGTTTTTCTCCAAATTTTCCAAAGAAAACATGTGATTCTCCAATATTTTCTTCTTGTTCATCAATAACCATTTCCATATCTGTTTCTTTTTCAACGAGTTGTTCTCCTTTTATCTCTATCTTCAAAGAAACAAAGTCAGAAAGTGATTTATGTTCAAAACTCTTTTGTTCTTCTTCATCATCGAATTCAATATCTTCTGTTCTGTAGTAAACAAATAATGGATCGAATAAAGCATACTGCATGTCCTCTAAATCAGTCATACACCACATGCACCTGTAGTTGTCTTCTTGATAACTCTTTAAACCTTGCTCTGGAACCCATAAATTCAAATTAAAATTGTTAAATGCAATGAAATATGGAATTTTCATCGGCCCGAAAAGAGTAATAATGGGAAGAAACTGCTGACCATATGCAATAATGGGTTCGTCACTTCTGTTTATCTGATCTGTGACTTTATCTGGATAATAATTATTATAATCGTATTTTTTGACATTTTTAGTTGTAACATTGATCATTTGGAGTTGAATATGTGGAGCTTTGAGGTAATGAGAGATGAAAATGATGTTATCTTGAACTGTTGATATAAGTGCAGATTTTCCTTTGACATCGGCCATTTCTGTAAGTAAACGTGGTTTTTCTTCCATGGGCGTGTAAATGAATATCTTATTGTCCTCGAAAAATGCGAGTTTTCCTTGAGATGTAATACAAATGTTTGAAACTTCTGATAAACAGTTGATTTCTGCTGTTTCCGAAGTATTCATATTGACTGTAACGACTTTGTCTGGTGTTTTTACAAATATATATGGATAAGACACATTATCGTAAAAAGATTTTAAATTTTCTATTGGTATTTCGATTGTTTTCATCGGATCTTTCTTTTCAAATGAATATATTTCTAAATTATTGTCATTAATTAAGTAGTAGCCAATTGTATCTTGATATCTAACAAATTTAAAATCACGAATGCCTTGTTTTTCAATAGAAACTAGTTCTGTTGCACCTTCTCTGCTTGTTAATTGCTTGTAGTTTAGGATTACGAGCTTGTTTTGTGTTGCATATCCCAATAAATTGACAAAACCATCAATATCGAGGCTAACAAGTTCCTTGAATGGTATCTCCATCTTATTTTCCTCTGGTGACACATTATTTTGTATATTTGAATCTTTTTTTAACTCTTCATTCGTCATGAAAAAAAAAAAGAAAACAAAATCCCCACAAATTTCATTTTTCTCCCCCAAATAAATACAAACTATAGATTAATATTAGATAAACTAAATTATGGATTTTTGATTTTTGTGTACTTGGATTTTTGTCAAAAATTTTATGGATTTTTACAAAGATGAATTATTAGAAACATGCTTCAGAGATGTCTTTCAGAGTGAAAAAGAAGGAAGAATAAAGATAGATGAGTTCACTGAACTTGAAGAAATCTTAAATACTATTAGAGAAAGATTCAAAGTCGACGATCCTCCAAATATTCTGATTGAAATGCAAAGATTAGAAAACTACATTGAAAAATACAAGTTTGAAATCAATGAAATCATTATCAATTACAATTTAATTCAGATTTTAATTGCAACAACCGTAATAGCAGATTATGATCCTGAACAAGATCCAACCAGACATCAGATTGCATTATCTTCATTTAGAGTTGTAGAAATGCTATTTTACAAGAAAAAATACGGATTTATTCTTTATTTCGTCGAAAAAAATTATATTTCAATCATTATCGAAAATCTGACTCATCTTGATCCAGAGAGGTTAATTTTGGCTCTTAAAGCTTTAAATTTAATGATTTACAACTATCCATTTTATAAATCCGAAGTTTTGAAGAACGATGCGATACCAATACTAGTTGATTTAGTAGTTACAGCACACGATGATACTTCTATGATGTTAACTTTATGGCTTTTGTTCAATTGTACGATAGAAGGAGCAGGTCCTCATTTATCTGAAATAATTAGTGCATTAGAGTACTTGGCTTCACTTCAGATGCCACAAATTACACAGTTTTTGTTTTATATTTCATCAAATATATGTATTTCAAGGCCAGTTGCAGTTGCATTTGCAAATTTACCTTATTTTAATAAACTCATTAACAAAGCGATGATATGTGATAACATTGATCTTAAATCAGCATCGTACGTGCTCATTACTCATATTTTAACATGGTATTACGAAGATGCTTCTGAAAATGACCCAACACCGCGATTTAACTACAAATCAATAGTTAGAAATATCACTAGAGATGTTGAAGAAGAAGTTGCTGAAGAATCTATTGAAACAATCGCTAATATTATTCGATATGGAGATATCGGATTAATTTTGCTTTCAGAAAACTTAATTGAGAGGCTAGATGATGTTTATGAAGATGTTGAAGTTAATTTTAAGACATCTTGCGCATTAATTCACTCTGTTATTTTACATAAAGGAAATGATGAAATTTTTCAGGCTCAATTTGAACACAACGCTCTTAAAATGATGGTATATGCTCTTGAAGGTAATAATCAAGAGGCAAACAATAAAATTTTAGGAGCTTTGATAATATTTTTTGATTTTCTCAGCAGAACTAATCAACTTGATGCTGCTGAAGAACAGATGAACGAGATTGATGGATTTGATACTCTCCTAGAACATGGAGACTCTGAAAATCCTTCATTATCTTCAAAAGCAAACGCAATTTTGATGCTTTTCGAAGAAAATAAAGAATAAACTGTTTATTATTACCATGGTTTAGCAAAAATAATGTATATGTTGTACATCATTGCTTTATGAAATTCTCTTCCTCTTCATATTTATCAATGTTTTATGAAATTCTCTCTATATTAAGCAACAAATATTGTCACTTTCTTAATTGAACATAGTGCTACAAATGTCTAATAATTCTTTTTCCAATAGCATTATTTTATATTAAAAAAAAAAGATATAGTAACTTTGGCATTATTTAAGAGTAAACATCCCATAGTGGTTTAATATTAATTCACTACATTTATTCGCTCGGAATTAAAGATGGCTACATATTTTGGGGAATCAATAACCGTTCTTGCCCTATTAATGAAATTCTTCTTCGGTGTTTATTTCTATGTTTAAAGATCTCGTATGCAGAAAAATCTTCTCCAGTTCTAAAATTCAGCTTGGTGCAACTTTACAAATTCTAAAATTCAAATCGACAAAATATTTTGCAAGTCTAATTCTTAAATGTAACTAGGTTTTTGCTCAAACTTAATTGAGAGAAAGTACTTAACATTTAATTAAGTATTGGCAAATAATATCAAGGAATATTTTTGTAAATTCATGAATAGTATAAGTGATAGTAGTCCATATAGAAATGTCAGAGCAAACTCCCTTAGGATAAACTAGGTTTATTTAGAATCAATAAAAAATATTTTAGATTTGGGTTATCCTGTAGGTGCAAAAAATGCGCAAAAACGATTATTTTGAATTGAATTTGCGCAAAATTTGCGCATTTTAAAATATTTCCGTGTGACGATTATTTCAAGTACGTATCTCATTATCTAAAACGATTGGTAATGAATGAGATATATCATGAAGTTCACCAATGAATGTGTAAAAAATATATTTAGTTAGATTATGTATGTTAGTAAATTTAAGATATCATTTTGCTAAATATAGAAGCTAATCATGTATACATTCAGTGAATGATAGAAAATAATTTTTAACAATGATATAATGAGATAAAAATATATGTTATCGTATATTGCCAATGATTTGATATTTCTATCTTTTCCAAATTATGGTATATTCATATGTTGATTATATCAGTTAAATATAAATAGAATGTTAATGATTATATTTTAATTGAATAGCTGTAGTTTGCTACTTAAACACAATAATTGAAGCATTATATTGAATTTGCAATATTATACCAAATAGATGATACATTATATCAATACTAGCGAAGATAATATATATTATAAAACATAAAGCATAAATTGCTTTATTAATTTCAAATAATTTAGCAAAAGTGCAAATAAATAGTAATTAACTTGAATAGTGTTATGTTCTATATCTATATCACATGTAGTCGTTTTTTTGAGAAATAAATTAGAATCTGATACTGTTTGCTAGTTTGTGAAAAAAATTCAGATGACTCATTGAATTTAATTTAAATTTCAATAAAAATTATCGTAGTTCGAAATTTTTATATTTAATAAATCAAAGCTTCTATTTAATATTACAACGAAAATAAAAAATTGACATTTTCGATTTTTTCATAAGAATATTTTTTACGTTAATTGGAAGCCATTTTTTAAACGTACATCTTCTGAGATTTTTATGATATTTCATCCCAAAACTTGCCTTAATGCGACTTATATTGATGTATTATTTAAATATTAAGAGTGATTTCACCAAGATCTTCTAAGATTCAGAAGATCGTAGAAAAACTGGTCTTCAATGTACTGAATCGATTACAATCTTACTACTATACATCGAAATTACATAAGTACAGTCTCTTAAAGAGCAATTTATCCAAGATCTTCTAAGATATGGAAGACCATGGAAAAACTGCTCTTTAATGAGCAGTAATATCAAAATTTCCATTATTGAGTACCAAAGATGCATAAATACAGTATCTTAAAGAGTAATTTTTCCAAGATCTTCCAAATTTTGGAAGATCTTGGAAAAATTACTCTTTAAGCTATCTTAATTTTGTATGTCCTACATATATGAAACGTGTATTTGGAATGGTATTAATTTGAAGATCAATTCCTGCAATATCTTCAAAGAATGGAAAGTGGGTATTGGAGGAACTGTTCTTTAATGCTGAGTATTTGGAGAGTTTATCTAAATTATGATCAGAAAAGTTATCGTTTTTGAATTGGATCATATTCATTTATAAAGAATTGCATCCATTAAAAACTAAAACTCGATAAAACGTTGAATTGACAAATTATTTATTTTAAAAACAATAGTATGTTGAGAAATATTTATGATTAGTAATTATTTTTATCGAAAATAAATTCCAAAAAATTTTTAAAAATCAAAATTTGAAATGAAAAACTACAAATTTTTCATTATAAGATGTAAAATGAATTTTTTTGAGTAAACCAAATCTTCCTAAATTTATTAATAATCCAATTTTATTATGAATTCAATCATTTAATTCATTAATTCATTAGATTAAAAAATAAAAACACTAGATAATGGAAAATATATTAGCAAGTTTAAATAGAAATATGATGGAGTTTAAATATATTCTGGTATTTCAGAAATTTAGATAATATTATTTGCATCGAGAAAAAAGTAGTTCGAATTTTACAAACTGAGTTTACAAATGTAAAGGATTGGGATATGCTTTACATTTGTAAACTCATTTAGTAAACTTGTAGTTTGATTTATTGCATCGAGAAAAAAGTAGTTCGAATTTTACAAACTGAGTTTACAAAACGATTATCTTCCTCAGTACAAAATACCCTAACTTGAAATAATAGCAAAATTAGAGCGTTTGGCTGAATGAAGTGTACGTTTAAAAAATGGCTTCCAATTAACGTAAAAAATATTCTTATGAAAAAATCGAAAATGTCAATTTTTTATTTTCGTTGTAATATTAAATAGAAGCTTTGATTTATTAAATATAAAAATTTCGAACTACGATAATTTTTATTGAAATTTAAATTAAATTCAATGAGTCATCTGAATTTTTTTCACAAACTAGCAAACAGTATCAGATTCTAATTTATTTCTCAAAAAAACGACTACATGTGATATAGATATATAGAACATAACACTATTCAAGTTAATTACTATTTATTTGCACTTTTGCTAAATTATTTGAAATTAATAAAGCAATTTATGCTTTATGTTTTATAATATATATTATCTTCGCTAGTATTGATATAATGTATCATCTATTTGGTATAATATTGCAAATTCAATATAATGCTTCAATTATTGTGTTTAAGTAGCAAACTACAGCTATTCAATTAAAATATAATCATTAACATTCTATTTATATTTAACTGATATAATCAACATATGAATATACCATAATTTGGAAAAGATAGAAATATCTCATTAAGAGCGAATCCAAAGATAATGCAAATAACTATGATATCCCAATAGTTTATTTGTTTTTATAACAGACCATGAAATATCAATTGAATATCTCTAAATTTTCCCCATTAAATTTTTTATATTCTACCAAAACTTTAGATCTGAGTCATATCTCCCATATAGAATATATTATTAATCTTATCACATTTTTCTTTTATTATTATTAATTAATGAAAGTCAATACAAATCATAATATGAATGTATCTCTAAAATTCAATAATCGTCACACGGAAATATTTTAAAATGCGCAAATTTTGCGCAAATTCAATTCAAAATAATCGTTTTTGCGCATTTTTTGCACCTACAGGATAACCCTTAGATTTTATTTTATTGATGATTTCAGAGAGATTATTAATAGATTATTTGAAAAATATTGCAACTTCATTTGTTTTATCAAACAAAGATTGCTTTAAATTTAAATACAGATAACTTCAGTATTAGCCAAAGTAAGATAATCTCTCTCGCTCTTTGTGGGTCAAGTACCACATCTACATTATTAAAATTCTTTAATCCCTAGTATATCATTATTTCATACTAATAACGTGAAACAATTCCGTTTCAATGATCAGATAAAGCAGAAACAATATACTCAGGTGCCACTCTTTTGGGTGAAAAAATGAATCCTCTTTTCATTCCAAAAATGGTTTATTTTTATTTTATATTGACATTAAGGACGCACTTACGCCTCTATGACATGGTCTTCATTTCAAATGTTTAAGGTTAATTTTCAATGACGATTCACGCCAGTTGTCAAAAATTTGAATTAAAGTCGGATGGGCATAAGTGCACCATTAATGTCAAGATAAGATAAAAATAAATCAAAGTTTGGAAGTCTCAAAAGGGGAATTGTAGGCCATGAGGTACTGATTATTTCCTATTGGGAATGGGACATTTCGGTTCTGAATACAATTTTTTTTATATCTTATAAACTATAAGGAATGAAAAAAAGTAGCCTTTAGTTTACTTATTGTTACAGCGATCCAATAAATATTCTATATATCATCATTGTCTCATACTGGGTTATATTTTAAATGTTTTGAGAGTCTAGATCGGAAAGAGTATTTTCAATTATTGAATTAACATTAAATTATTATGAGATGTTTATTCTTCAAAAATAGCAACACTACTATATTTTTTCAATATAGAATAATGCTATTGGAAAAAGAGTTATTAGACATTTGTAGCACCATGTTCAACTAAGAATTGGATAATATTTGTTGCTTTAATTTTGATGGCAATACTAAGAGGACATTTATTAAAATTGAGAGAATGTCATTAAGCAATGATAAATATGAGAAGAAAGAGAATTCCATAAAACATTGATAAATCTGAGAAGAAAGAGAATGTAATAAAACATTAATGAATATGAAAAGAAAGAGAATGGAATAAAGCAATGATAAATATGAAAAGAAAGAGAATTTTATAAAACATTGATAAATATGAAAAGAAAAAGAATAAGTCTCATGTTAACATCAGCACCATGCTCAACTAGGAATCGGACAATTTCTATTGATTTAGCTTTGATGGCAATACCAAGAGGGCATTGATTAATATCGTGAGAATTTCATAAAACATTGATAAATATAAATATAAAGAGAATGTAATAAAACATTGATAAATATTGAAAGAAAGAGAATTATATCAAACAATGATAATAATAAAAAGAAATAGAATTTGATAAAACAATGATAAATATAAAAAGAAAGAGAATGTGAAAAAACAATGAAAAATATGAAGAGAAGGAGACTTTCATAAAACAATGAGAAATATGATAAAAAGGAGAATGTAAAAAAACAATGATAAATATTAAAATAAAATGAATTTCATTAAACATTAATTAATATGGAAAGAAAGAGAATGTCATAAAATATTGATAAATATGGAAAGAAAGATAATGTCATAAAGTAATAATGAATATGATAAGAAAGAGAATTAGTTTCATGTTAACATCAGCACCATGTTCAACTAAGAATTGGACAATTTCTATTGATTTCGTATTGATCGCAATACTAAGAGGACATTGATTAATATCGAGAGAATTTCATAAAACATTGATAAATATGAAGAGGAAGAGAATTTTTTAAAGCAATGATAAATATTGAAAGAAAGAGAATGGTATAATTAATTGATAAATATAAAAAGAAAGAGAATGAAATAAAATATTGAGAAATGTGAAATGAAAGAGAATGTAATAAAAAATTGATAAATATGAAAAGAAAGAGAATCCTATAAAACAATGATAAATATGAAAAGAAAGAGAATTTCATAAAACAATGATAAATCTGAGAAGAAAGAGGATGTAATAAAATAATGATAAATATAAAAAGAAAGAGAATGAGATAAAACAATGATAAATATAAAAAGAAAGAGAGTCCAATAAAACAATGATAAATATAAAAAGAACGAAAATGCGAAAAAACAATGATAAATATGAAGAGAAAGAAAATGTAATTAAACAATGATAAATATGAAGAGAAAGAGAATTTCATAAAACAATGATAAATATGAAGAGAAAGAGAATTTCATAAAACAATGATAAATATGAAGAGGAAGAGAATTTCATAAAACAATGATAAATATGAAGAGGAAGAGAATTTCATAAAACAATGATAAATCTGAGAAGAAATGGTAAATATGAAAAGAAGGAGAATAATATAAAACATTGATAAATATGAAAAGAAAGAGAATAAGTCTCATGTTAACATCAGCACCATGCTCAACTAGGAATCAGACAATTTCTATTGATTTAGCTTTGATGGCAATACTAAGAGGGTATTCATTAATATAGAGAGAACGTATTAAAACAATGATAAATATGAAGGGGAAGAGAATTTCATAAAACAATGATAAATATGGAAAGAAAGAGAATTTCATAAAACAATAATAAATATGGAAAGAAAGAGAATTTCATAAAACAATAATAAATATGAAGAGAAAAAGAATGTTATAAAACATTGATTAATATGAAGAGAAAGAGAATTTCATAAAACATTGATAAATATGAAGAGAAAGAGAATGACATAAAACATTGATAAATATGAAGAGAAAGTGAATTTCATAAAACAATGATAAATATGAAAAGAAAAAGATTATAAAGTTTGTTGATATCTGCTCCATTAGTAAGTAAATAAGATGCAATATCATAATTACCGAAATACATACTTTCTGCTATTGAATCAAAAGTTTGCCCAAAATTTGATTTAAGATAATCAGCAATTTCATAGTTTCGATATTTCAATGCTGTATTAATCATGTTATCAAATGATTCACCATCTTCTATCATTTGCATAAAAATATCTTTATTTCCGCCTTGAACAGCATATTTTTCGGAGTTAGAAGTGTAGTTAGCTCCTAAATTTTTCAAATAATTGAAACACAACTCTGATCCATATTTAATTGCACAGTCAAGTAGTGTGATATCATTAAGGCTTTTATTAATATCAAGTTTTGGGAATTTCGATTTAAGTTCATCAACTTTGTCCCCTGCAATATAGTATAAAGGAGATTCTGTCGAATACAAATTACCGAAATACATACTTTCTAATCTATTATTTTTCGGTTCATAGATGTATGAAAATTCGTCTGATATCATTTGATAAAGTTCTGAAAATAATTTAATACCCTACGTTCCCAACTTCTGGAAAACGGTTTTTCACCCTTATGATCAGTTTCAGACACTTTGGGAGTCTCCCAAACTTTGATATTTTGCATTATGATAGAGAAACGTGTCTAGTTTAACGCACAGTTGTTTTAAAGGCAAATGATGATATCACATGAAATTATCAAATTATCAAATTTTGAAGTACCAGTCCAAAGGGTTAATTAGATCCTACACAGATGTGCGATAGTGAAACATATGTGTTCTTGATTTGAGAAGTCCTACTGATAGAGGTATGAATCTCACAGCTTTGTGTGAGTGTGTCTGACACTTGTATAGAGTGGAATATGCGCCGACATATATTATATAATAACATGTAGTTGATAATTATGAAAAAATAGAATTCGATGCGAATGATATTGAAAGTTGTTTTGTAATTTGATATTTTTCTTATATGTGTTAATTAGTAAATGGCTTGTTTGTTGTGATCGTACTGTGAAAAATGAAAGGTATTTTAAATTAAAAAATTGAGATTTTGAGATATCTCTAGAATTAAGAATTTATTATGTATTTGACTTTTATATAACTATGTGTAAAGGATCTCGATGTCTATATGCTTTAAATAAAATTAAATAAAATGAGATAAAAAATTAAAATGGACAAGAAGATATATGGAAATGTAATTTGTATTGTGTTGGTTGTTGGCAAAATGATTTTAATACAGATTTAAGGATTTGGAATGGATTTGAAATTAAATGATTTTAATTCAAGGAGTAATAAGATTTTGAACTGGTTTTTATTTTGTGAATGTAAACTCCTTCCATAGGATATGTATTAGAAAGATCAATGTCAAACTTTTTGAAAGAATTGTTTTTTTGTTGAGCGATTTTCTCATATTTAATAATATATTTAAGTTGGCGTATCTTACGCCCTTCCAAAAATATGTATTAGAAAGATAAATTTTAAACTTTTGAAAGAATTGTTTTTTTGTTGAGCGATTTTCTCATATTTAATAATATTTTAAGTTGGCGTATCTTACGCCCTTCCAAAAATATGTATTAGAAAGATGACTTATAATTTCATAAATTATTTTGTCCCGACGGTTTGAGCGGTTATCAGAATGGTTGCTTACACAATGCGTCAGCAAAATGTCGGTTGGGGTGCCCTTCTTGGCCTCCTGAGTACTCACCAAGATACCCCCAGCTCCCGCAAAACACCTCCCTTAGGTGCGCATTACCTGACGGCATTATTTTGCAATTATTTCAAATTTTTTAGATGTCTTTTGTTAAAGTTTGTTAACTAAAGACTTGAAAACAGCTTACCGCTTCAAGCTGCTCTCTTCCCGGTTCCTCTGCCGCAATCTTCTGTTTGATTGTGCGCAAAGCTCTCCTCCTTGTGAACTTTGCCTGACAGATACACCTGGGAGACAGCATTCGGACATCTTACCGCTTCAAGCTGCTCTCTTCCCGGTTCCTCTGCCGCAATCTTATGTCTGATTGTGCGCAAAGCTCTCCTCCTTGTGAACCATGGCTGATAGAAAGAACTGAAAGACAGGATAGGAGGAACATGCCGGTTCAAGTTAACTTGCAATATGCTTCTGATTAGTGATTTTAGATGAAAGATTAGCGAAATCGCATTTAATTTGGATAGAAGGATTCAATTTTATGAAGCAGGCTCGTAGAAAATATGCAGGAATAGCACAATCTTTTGCAATCACAACGCGATTGCAAAACTTCGACCGACAAGAGTGTATTGTGCACTCTTGTCGGTCTGCATGTCTCATTCCGGGAGACATTGTCACTGCATGTCTCCCAGAATGAGACAATCTTCCGCATTCATAACTTGAATGCGGAAGTTTGACCGACAAGAGTGCACAATACACTCTTGTCGATCTAAATGTATCTTACAATCAAAGACACTTTCATACAATCTTTTCGAAGTTAAAAAAAAATTTAATTATTTCTTTCTTTTTGTTTATTAAATCGCCTTACTCACGTACTAATCTCTTTTAGAGACTCTATCGAGCTATCCCCACATATAAACGCTGTGACAATAATACATATTTACTCTCTTCATATTCTGATCTCATGACACATTATCGCAAAAACTATAATATACAACACATCTCATAAAGTCTCATTTTAGCCCTATCTAAGCGTTCAAAACCTATTTTCCACACGTAATCTGATTCTTCTGGCTCCGCTGATTCGATTTCTGCTGTCAGATCGTGAAAATATGCATCACATAAAGAGATAAATGCAAATTGCACAACTTAATATTTTCCTTAAAATTTCTCTTCAGGTTCATACCTAAATAAGCTCTTTTTTTTGAAAATTCAATTTTTTCCAAAAATGTATGAATTCAAAAGTTCAGATTATATCTATTTTCACGATCTGACAGCAGAAATCGAATCAGCGGAGCCAGAAGAATCAGATTACGTGTGGAAAATAGGTTTTGAACGCTTAGATAGGGCTAAAATGAGACTTTATGAGATGTGTTGTATAATTATAGTTTTTGCGATAATGTGTCATGAGATCAGAATATGAAGAGAGTAAATATGTATTATTGTCACAGGTTTATATGTGGGGATAGCTCGATAGAGTCTCTAAAAGAGATTAGTACGTGAGTAAGGCGATTTAATAAACAAAAGAAAGAAATAATTAAATTTTTTTTTTTAACTTCGAAAAGATTGTATGAAAGTGTCTTTGATTGTAAGATACATTTAGATCGACAAGAGTGTATTGTGCACTCTTGTCGGTCAAACTTCCGCATTCAAGTTATGAATGCGGAAGATTGTCTCATTCTGGGAGACATGCAGTGACAATGTCTCCCGGAATGAGACATGCAGACCGACAAGAGTGCACAATACACTCTTGTCGGTCAAACTTCCTTATACAAAATTTGATTCCCTTATTATCTTCTTAACAAAACTTAAGATTTCAATAATACATCATGAAAACATTCATTTACTACATTCACACTGTTATTCCTTTCTATAAATTAACTCATTTAATAGAATCTTGTTTTTTATATTTATTTTCTCATAATACTTCTAATTCCTTTATTTCCTCTTCCACATAAAATTTAATTTTGTAATGCTATCATATACACTTAATGTTTTCAAATTTTCAGATTTAAATTTAATCTTTATTTTCATCATCATTTATAATCTTGTTCCTATATAAAGTTATAATAAATTATCGTCAGATTCTAATATTTATGATTCTTACTACTCAATTCAATATAATTATGTTAGTCACTCATATTCAGGAGAATAATTTAAAAATCTATAGCTCATATTTTGATAGTTATATATTTAGATGATATATATTGCAATTCCGGTTTCAACACGATCAAATGCCAAACCAAGACAAAATATATATGAATTTTCAAAATATCGATTTACATTAGAATCTATATCTAATTTTATCAATACACAAGTAGGGAATGTTCAATACATCTTTGAGCAACGTGAATAGCACAATTTTATAGGATTATTTGTTGATTATATAAAATATAAGCCAAATCGAATCTGCTGTATAGTACTTTAGTTTATCATTGAATGTTAAATGTGTTCATATAAATATTTGAGTCAGATATCGCATTTTCTAATTTCAAAATTTATCTCATGAAGTTAGAATTTATTTGATCATACAACATCATGTTAGTCAAACCAGAGTTCAATGGCGATTCTAAAATGGAACAAATGCTTGTTTTATCAAAATGTTAAAATATTAATCTAAAAAACTTAATATCTAACCAAACCATTCTAGAATTATTATATACAGGTATGGGCAATCTAAATGCACACGGAATTCGGAAAATTAAAAAGAATATTTATGAGATTATTAAATCTTATGTAATTCAATGAAAAGTAGATAATATGAATATCCATAGGCTATATATCAACATATGAGTTTTTGGTTTGACCAATACTATACTAATGTGATCAAATTAATCTGATTTCTTAGATTTTCATTTGAAGCATTTGCAGTAGTAGGGGTACATTTATATATTAACATATTAAAAAATTGCGCTCCGATTCGCAGTTTCTTCATGATTTTGAGATTGCATTAGATTTCGCGATGCAGAAAAAAATCACTTTAGATTCCCGTCAAACTCTAAGTATAAGCATGTCTCTATATGTAGAAACTGTCTGCGCTATTTATTTCCCGGCTCAAAAAACCACGGTGTCTGTGTGAGGAAAATACCCATTTTAGGACCCTGGGTAGGGGGGTCATGAAAATTTTCCAAGAGTTGGAAATATAGGGTATCTTTAACACGAATTTGTGAAATAATATCAATCAAATAAAATGCCATTTGGATAGTTATTTTGTCTGCTGTTATTAATTCGATAATTTGTGAAGATATTTGTAAAATATTATTGGGATTGACCCTCCAAATGATTTTTGATGCTTGATCTGGGTACTCGAATACTTTAATTGGCTTAAGGTCACTGTAAGTGCACCAATTTTCATTTTTTGGCTGCTCTGAACTTGACATGCTTTGTAAAATTTAGCTGTAGCACTTTTGGTGTTAAAAAATGCCATCTCACTCTTAGCTTTCTTTCTATTGTTTTTGGATAGATATCTGATGTAGATATTAGCTCTAAATAAGGATGTCTCTTGGGGGACAATTGGGGACCCGACCAAATAATTTTCGAACTCTGGGGACTTGTAAAGTGTCAAATATGATTTGTAAACTGTCATAAATGTTAGCCAAAGAATACATTTCCGGAACCTGCCATTTTAATACTGAATGCGAGTGTCTCCAGCAGGAATGCCACTGCAACGAATGTTGCAAGTGTGGAAACGATTGCCGCTGCAAAAAGGATAACATTTGCTCATTCAGTATTAAATTTCAGAATAAAAATATTTATATTTGAAAACAATTTATGATTTTCATTTATAATAAGATCATGAAATCAACTTAGTCTACTCATGCTTATTCATGATGCTCTTGTCAAAAATTTACGCTCAAACAGAAAAAGAGAATGGAACAGCATCATTCCCATTATTAGATCCAATAAATATCTTCCCTTGGAAATTGCTCAAAATAAATTTTGAAAATTTAACAATAGTTTATATAAATAAGTTATTTTGTTAGCAAACATACATTTATTTTAAATAACGCTGTAAATATGTGATTGATCAATCTTCTTTCTTTGCAATTTTGATTGCAACTTCTAACGGATTGCATTTTCTGATGCATGTCTCAAGATGAGATGTAAAAAGTCTTGCATCAACTGTGTCGTTGCAAACAGGGCATTTAGCTGATCTTCTTTGGTTGTCGTTATTATCAAACGTAATTTGATCGAAGTTTGCAGTTGTTGTTGGGAGAACAGGATTATTTACTATCATATCGCTCAATTTCAAGGCACCTGGAAAACCGTGCTCTACTCTGCAGTAGTCAATAATTGTATTGAAGATAATTTCGTCAATAAAACTTCCTGCAATTTCATGAATGCGTTCTTTGGCTAACTCTAACTTGTGTTGTTTCCAGCTGACAAAAAAGATTTGCTTTGGATGTGGCTCTTCGCTCATTTTTAATGATATTAAAAAGTGACGATTTTACAAATTTAATTTGATTATTTTATGACTTTTAGGCTATTCAACAAATATTTTTCATATGATTCTACGAGAGATATTGGCCAAATACTGCTAGAAAGGTTTTCCATTTCACCAAATTCATACTATACCATTAATAATCATGGAATTATAGAAATTAGATTTAGATGCAATGGTGGTAAAGGAAATTTTGGTCGTGCAATTAAGAGAGAAGGTGAAAGAAGATCTAGAAGACTTCCTAGATTTAAAGATTCATGCCGAACATTAGGCGGAAAAAGAATCGGAACACTTAAAGCAAAGAAAAGAATAGAAGAACTTAAACAAAAGATAGAAGAAAGAGAAAATATCAAGAATGCAAACAAAGAATTAAGACTTAAAACAAATAAAGAAAAAGAAATCCAATTACTTACAGAGAGAGAGAATGATACAAAAGAAATGGTCGTCAAATCTATGGAGTTTGCTTTTGAAAATAAACTTCCTGAAAGACAGTCAGTAAAAGAAGAAAATGTTTTCACAAATATTAATATTGACGACATTCTAGATGAATCAGATAGTGATGATGAAAATGAAGATTGAAAATGCTTTGTATTCTATTAATATTTTTTTTTTCATTATTTCATTCGATTCGAATAAATTCATATTATTGTTGTAGTAATATAACATTTTTCATTACACACGGTTTCACAAAATAAGAATTCCGTATGCTAATAAAAATATAAATCTTTAAAAAGAGTTTTTATATTTCTTTTGGGGTCACATGTTTGCAATCTACCAGGTATTGCAGTTGGTGTCCATGATATCATTACTGAGATAAAAAAAATGTGATAAAGTGAATTGAATGCAATAAGTAAAAAAAAACAAATAGTATTTTATTCAATATTAAGAACATTTTAGAGTTGGAGACTTATAAGTAAGATAAAATCAAACAAGAATTGGAGTTTAAGGATTTTCCCAAAAAGGTAAGTATTTTGAAACGGAATTTAATTCTCTTGCGATTTTTTAAATGAATCTTTAAGTTGAAAATACTTTATGCACAAATTATAATATAAATCTACGGGAATCAAAGCATAATCGTCATCATTTTGTTCGTTTTGCTGATTAATATTCGTGTTGTTATTTGGTGAATTGAGTGTAGGTTTTGTACTCCCTTGCCCTTGAATTCTTTTGCTCATATTGAAGTTCCCCACAATATTTAATTTATTCCCCCTTATATTATTTCATGACGATTATTTTGTAAATCTGAAATAACGTGCAAGAAATGAGTGAGCAAGCGGCTGGTGAACAGAATCGAAGATCTGGAGCAACTACAAAGCAAGAAAATGTAAGACCAGTTCCAAGAAGAAGTGCTAAGGAAATGGATAGCGCTTGCTACAGACTTTCACAATCAAATCCAACCAAAGCCCCGCCTCTAGAGAAAAACGAATCATATGTTGCAAGATATTTCAAAGAGCATCCTGATGCAGAAGTTGATAAGACAACACCTGAAGAAAAATTAGAAGGTGTCTCAAATCAGCTTTCTGGCGATGGAGAAATGGAATACAAGGAAAAACTCGAGTTACTTGTTAAACAAAAAGCATTAAATTTCATAGTTCATGGAGAATCTTCAATAGAATTATTAAAATCACTTTATCAGCTTGGATATCATTATCATCACAACGATCGTCCAGCATCTGCAATTCGTCATCTTACTAAAGCTAAGCAGATGGAACAGAGCGAATCAATACAGGAATCCATGAAAGAAGAACAAGATCTTGCTTATAATATCGATATTGAATGTGCAGAGTCATATTACGACAATGCATTATTACTGTTAAATCAAAGAGATGCCAAACCACGCGATATTTCCTCCAAGTTACACTCAGCTGTTTCAATTGCCTCAAAAATACCTCAGCAAGATGATTTCGATAAAGACTTCCGCGTTACAATTCTAAAAGCTCGTGCAAGTTCTACAAACCGTAAATATCAAAACGCTTCACAATTTTATGAAAACGCAATAACGATTTTGAAGAATCAGAGCGAAAATAAATCCACCGAACAAATTGCAGATGTTCTTGTTGAGCATGCACAGAATGAAGAGAAAAGTGTACCGCCAAAACAAAATACAGAGTCTTCAAATGATATTTTATCAAATGAGCCACAAATTAATACAAAAGCAGTTTGTTTATATTACGAAGCATTCAATATGTATCAGGAACTTGGATTAACAGGAAAAGCTGATAATCTTCGTCCAAAGATTCCAGAAAATATTGAAGAAATTGTTCAAGGCGAAAAAGACAAAGCCGAAGCTGAGAAACTTAGGAAGGAAGCAGAAGAAGCAGAAAGACAACAAAAAGAAGCTGAAGAAGCCGCTAAAAAGCAAAAAGCTGAGGAGGAAGAAGAAAAACTGGAGGAGGCCGATGCTCCCCCTGCAAAAACTCCTTCCCCGGCCAAGACTCCAGAAAAAGTACCAACAGCAAAAGGCTCATCGAAAGTACAATCACCACAAACAAAATCACCATCAAGGACACCAAAGAAACAATCTCCAAGAGAAGAAAAGAAGCCAAGTCTTTCAATTGGAGAAGCTGTCAAAGATAAAGTTGATGATATCGTTGATGATGATAATGCTGATGTAAAGAATGACGATGACTTCGAATCAAAGGCTGATGATGATTTCGAATCTAAAGAAGATGATAATAATTTCGAAATTAATGACAACGCTGAAGAAAAAGCAGATAATGATACTAAGAATGATAATGATGAGAACTTTGAAGTTCAAAATGATGAAGGAAACTTCGAAATGAATGATGATGCAGATGTCAAGCAAGAAGACGAAGGAAATCAACCGCCACCAGAAAACGTATACACTCCAATCACAACAGAAGAAAATCCGAAGTTTAAAGTTGATAAGCAAGATGATGACGCAGATAACTTTGAACTCGAAGACGAAATAGCGCCACCTCTACCTGATATGGGTGGTGATGTTAATGAAGGTGGTGATTTTGTTATGGATGACGATAAGAAGGACAATGCTGATCCTGATAACGAACTTAACTTCGAGGATGACTTTAACTAAAAATGATGTTTTATTTTTTCCTGTAATTAACATTTATTGCTATATTTTCTGGAATTAATTAGATATTATTGAATTCTCATTTAAATATCATGTTAATTCGCTGCCTTGTTTATGATTCTATCTCTTTATGTTGCTATGATTGGAAATTAGCACATTTCGGCGCCAAACTAAAAGAATTTTCATAAAATCTAGATTTGAAACTTAAAAAAGTTTAAAAATTGATATCACACCGAAAAAAATATAAAATAAAAATATTATATCCGCTTACCAATCTGCGCTTTCTTCGCTTAACTCCTCAATGCATTCATCATCTGAAATTAAATTGTTGCTTCTGATCTGTGTGAGTTTATCTTCCAATAAATCCAAGATATCATCATCTGATTTACGTTTTGGAGTTGGTGGCTCTTTTTCGACTTTGCGAAGCCCAGTTTTGACATTCGAGATGTCTTCAATAGTTACGTAATAATTTGTGCCATCAATCTTCTTTACTGGCATCAAAGTTTGTGATTCCTTTTTAGTTCTTGATGTAACAAGAACGTATTCTTTCCTTGGAGATGTAGGTGGTGGCGGTGGTGGAGGAGGTAATTCTGATGGTGACAATGGGCAATTATTCCTCAAAACTTGCTCTTTGTATCTCAATTCTTCAAGATGCTTTTGAAGATCTTCTTTTAGCTTTGTAGTGACTTGTTTCTGCTTTTCAAAGATCTTCTCAATTGAGGCTGATCTTCTCTTATTGCTTATTGTATGGGATTTCCTTGTTCTTACTGGTTTTGGAGATTTCGAAAATTGATTTTCAACATTCATTATGTTGTTAGCAATATCAAGGTTCTCACCACCTTTGACGAATTTGATTGATGCCGTTCTGAGTGGCTTAGCATTCCTAGAACGAGAGAACATTATAAAAATGAAGTAGACTAACGTCAAGTAATTTATAAATTTGAATTACTGGACGTTTATTTTCTTTCAAATTCCGATCATAAAATATAAAATTAAAATATAGTTATAAAAATATTCAATGACACATAATTAGATAAATTACTCGGAAATATTCTTTAATTTTTCTGAATTTATAATCCTCTTATCTCTTCATTTAAATATTATATAATGATAGATATATCTAAATCTTTAGTGAGTAAATTAAATTAGATTTTGTCATTTTGACGTTAAAAATAGAGAATTTGATAATTATTCAATACCCGGTAGTTTACGTATGAAAATACAGCTAAAGATATTAAGGTTCATCTTAATTTCTCTATTTTTATCTTCCAATTGCGAATTTCAAAAATTAATATCAATTAGATGCCTTTATTATGCTAAATCAATCTTGATATAAAAATTATTAATACTTACAGTAATTTTCATTGGTACATGTTGAATTTAATGAAAAAATAATATTGAATGAGCAATTCCGAAATAATCATTGAGTCTTTAATCTAATTTTTATAAAGACCTATATCTTCAAGTAATCATACGCAAAAATTAAATTTTCAAATCAAAATAATTATTTCACATCCTTAGGACATTTGAATATAATTATTTATATTGACATCTTTTAGCTATCTATTCAATCTATCAAAGATTGCCTAAAAATGAGGTTATGTGAACAAAACACAATATGGCAAGAAGTTTCACGTAATCACATGTAATTCAACCCTAACATATAATATGATTACAAATTTAAATCCAGAAATACAAATAGATATGCTCATTTCTTAATGACAATGGTTACTTTTCAAGGTTGGAATGAAATAATCTCAGTTCAGAAGATTTCTGTGGCAAAAATTGTATGCTTATCTCATTTTGGTTATTTGGAGCTTCTTCGAGATAATAAACTTTTACAGGAGTCTAATTATGAAATCTATGTTATGTGTAATTAGTTTTATTAGTGAATTTTTGAATGACTAGAATTTAACATCTTATGTAAAAGAAAAATGAAACATTTAAATTGGAATTTGATGCGTTTTTGAGAGAAAAATTATATCGTATAAACGATTGATGATTTAGTTTATTTAAAGTTATTAGGTTATTTATACTAATGCTATTTTTATCACTAATTTTGTGTTTTCATAAGAAAAAAGGTTTACTAAAAATTTTTTTCGAAATAAAAAGGTCTCGATCTAATATAATTAAGGATGTCAATTTGGAAGAAAAGTGAGAAAATTCCTAAAATGCTAAAAATGAATTTTCCAAACGTACTTTTTTATCTCATTTTTTTGATTTTGAAAAAAATTTGGAGAGAAGAACTCTTCGTTTTTGAATTTTGTCACGATGGTTTTAAAGTATATTAGACACATGTATTGATATTACTATTTTTGTATATTTTGAGAGAAAATCCCTAAAAAGTGAGAAAATCTGAGACGGTTTGAGAAAATATATAAACTATTGAAAATTTGAATTAAACTTCTAATTTGGAAAAAAGAAATTTGGAAAGAAGAAAATTCAAAAATCGAGATTTAGACTCAGTATCAAATGGAGAACAAAATGTTTCTTCATATGAAGGAAAAAATTTTCTTGAGAAGAAATAGAGTTTTTTAAAATTTTATTGTATGTAATGAAATAAACAAATATTAAAATTATTTTTTGATAACAAGAAAATTCCCAACAGAAAATATTTGAGACAAAGAAAAAAAGAAAATTAAAAAATATTACTCTCCTTTACATTTCATGAGATTTTCAATTTATTTTCATAAAATTGACAATTTTATACGTTTAGATGAAAATAAGTGATTTTGCTTGAAATAAAAATTATTGTTTGTTTACAGCTATCAAATAGATTTTTGCTATTTTGATTAAAATTTGTTAATCAAATTAATAATTTTTTTTCTAAATATCTTAAATATCTGGATCACTCACTGATACGATGAATTAAACGATAAAAATAATACAAACTCAACTAAGTTTCCTGTCTTTCAACCAAAAAATATTATGCAATTTAAATTAAATTGTTTATTCAAAGATAAAACAAAGATAAAGTAATTATAATTATCATATACTTTATGAATAACTCTCTAATTGGCTCAGATTTTCGTACAAATATTTTTATTAAAATCGATAAGAATATGTTTACCTACTATCACCACATATCTATAAACAAGAGTAGAGTGATTTTTATCATCGAAACTTTTTAAAAGCTGTAAGCTGGAAGTAAAAATCTTGTTTTTTTCTGAGTTAGTTGTAGAACTATTGATGCCCGAGTTATAATTGTGATGTAGAAGGATGTCAATGTACTGACTGAAGGATATGAAGTGAATTGAATTTTATTGAATTTCAATTTGATCAAATTTTGTTGAAATGATATGAATGTGTCAATTCCCTATTCTTTCGAGAACGAAGCTAGCTCAGCTTTCGCTGAGCGAATTGACACTTTTGATGCCCTAAACGTACATACTCTCAAATTTATCGAAAAAAATAAAACTACCTAAACTCGTATATTCTTATTTTAAATATGATATTATCCTTAGATTCCACACTAGAATATATTTAAATCAACTTTTAATAAAGTTCGAATCCTGCGCGTCTCACTTTTTAAATTTTCCAAACGGAAAATTATATTCTCCTAAAACGAAAACAATTTTCCGAATTGACATCCTTAATATAATTATACATGTCACGGCGGGCGCAAAAAGTGACAAAATAGAATACCTATGGTGGCAAGACAAAGGAAACATTTTTGTAAGGCAAACATTATATCAAATACCTTTACTTTGTAATAAGAAATATAATTATCACGAAATTACAAATAAATATTGTTTAATATAATTAATAGCAAAATTCTTTTTTATTATTTCCCTAAGACCTTACTTATTAAATACGTATAACAAGCTTGTACTGCATGTATTAGTTAATAGAACAAAAGAAAATGAGCTCAAATGAAAAAAAATTTTCATGCTATTTTGGAAATATGCATATTCGAAGTATGAGAGTTGTAAACACTGAGAATTTTAAGCTTTGGTTTGATTAGTCTTTAATTTTTCTTGAAGTATAAATTATTTGATATGAAAATTTAATGGCCAGCATAATCAATCATGCGTTTCGTTTCTTGATTGAGAAACGATGATTGTGTGCTAATGAATTATTGTGTCTGACAGATTATGATTATGGATACCTGAAATTAAGCTTTTATGGGAAACATCACGAGCGCCATTTGCGCCCTAATGCTGTTTCTATCGGTATGATTAAGGAGCTTTCTTATGCACTTTCATCACTTGAACTTGAATGCTACAAGATATATGCCCCCCTCCCAATGGGAGGTGGGAGCAAAAAAGAAATGTTTACATTGATTTTTGAATACTTTACAACGCCCCTCCAGTGGGCGCGGCGCAAGTGATCGGGTCAAAAAAAATCATAAAAATATTCAAAATTGCGATTTTAATAGATGTTTAAGAAGTAAATTTATTAATAACGATATTTCATAGTACAAAATATGTTCAATCTCTTCGTAAATCATTCAAAAAAATCAAAAGAATTTCCAAAATTCAATTTTTTTAGTAAAATTTATATCTTTTTCTATCGTCTCCTCCCCACCATTGGGAGTATAGATCCGTATTTTTCCCAAGTGAGCGGGGTATCTCCAATCCCAGCCCTATCGTCCTCCCAGTGTCAGTTTTCAATAGAAAATCCAAATTTTTTTTGAAAATAAAAATTTCGAGAAATTTTTCTGATTTTTTTCTTTGATTTCAATAATTCAAAATAAATTTGGGAGTAAAAAGACACTATTTAATGAAATTCATATGAGTGAATGTGGATAAATACTCTCAAAACATACAATTTATCTATTTTTTCTTTATATTATCAACTAATTAGTGATAATTTCTTTTGAATCAGATTTTTTTTCATTAAAAACATAATATATACACAACAATGATGCACACATACGTATCTACACATCAAATATAAAGCTTGTTTTGGTCTGGGCATCCCAACCCAAAATTCTTAAAAATTGAATAAAATTGAATACTTGGGGCTGGGATACCCATCCCAAAACCGAATTGAATTTTTTGAATTAAAGAATATATTTATGTATTTATAATATACATGTGATGTCTATAAAAAATACTAAATTCTAAAAAAAAATTCAATTTATTCAAAACGTATACTAAGTGATCACTTCATTAGTAGGATCAGCAATCCTACTAAATGGTGAGAACGCCACTAACTAAAAAGGGAGTCCTTGGAGCTCTTGATCTCTTGTCAGTAGAGTTCATAATGAGGCATGGCATCTACTGATTAGAGATCAGAGCAATCCTACCTTACCTTCAGGAGCTACAAAGCTCCTAATCGTTACGAGAGGGAGCCTTGGAGCTCCTGAAGCTCATCAGCAGAGGCTATTTACCATTTGGGCCTCTTCTGATGAAAGATGCGAAACACGTCTACGAACCAGGAGCTTCAAAGCTTCTAATCCTTACTAAAGGAGCTTTGGAGCTCCTGAGTCTCCATCAACAGAGTCCCAGATGGTAAATGTCCTTTTCTGATGAAAGATGCGAAACACATCTCCGAACCAGGAGCTCCAAAGCTCCTAATCCTTACGAAAGGGAGCTTTGGAGCTCCTGAAACTCCTTTTACTATAAAATAGGACAGTTTTCTTCTGAGGTTCTCATCAAATCTAAGACTTCAGAAGAAAGCTGTCCTATCAATGTATACTTACACTCTCATGGACTACAAGTGTACAATTTTAAGGCAGAGATTATCCGAGGCCTCTCATCAAATGAGGGACCTCGGATAATCTCTACCTTAAGTAGTCAAATAACTTTTCTCACTATTTAGGAACAAAAGAACAAGAGTTGGAGTACTTTAAGGCAAGATTCTTCCGAAATCTCTCATCGAATGAGAGACTTCGGAAGGACCTTGCCAAATCCTTGAACGCCAATATCCTTGGAACTGAGCTAGAACCAGGGAGAAGTAGCATACTATAGAGCACGATGATAATCTCGGAAATGCTTATATCGCCCCAAGCACAATATTTAAGAAGTCTAACTCATATATACAAGAAGTCAGGCTGAATAGATATTGTGCATATGGTTTGCAGAACTCTCATGATATTTAAAATTCATGTTATCCCAAAAAAGGTGACACTTTGGGTGTATCGTCCATCCCAGGGATGCAAAAATCAGATCACCTTGGATCTATAATTGGGAGCCACCGGAGGCGCGGGCGGCGCCGCTGGCGCCAAAAAAGTAGCGCCCATCGTGCCATGTATAAATATAATATTAGAAAATATAATATTAATACAGTTTATGGAGAAAATAGCCTTTTTGTTGGCGACCAAAATTTCAATGGCAGAAAAGTGCAACACTTGAAATATTTTATTTATTATATAAATATAAGATACTTTGAAAATTATGACTGTCAAAAACTATAGAAAATATGAACATTCATCGGCTCAAAATTGAATGCCTGTGAAATCCGTATAGTGGGTTTGGGAACTAGTATCAATAACTGAATTAGAAAAACTACTTTTGGAGGGAAAATTGATTTGGCGAAGACGATCCAATTTAGAAAAAATTGTATTAATTCTGAACTGATACGACGATAAGGAAAAATTTAATCTTGTTTTGATCAAAAAAATCTAAATTCGATTTAGAAAATTCGAAATTTTTTCTCAATTTAAAATTTGAATAAATTAATTTTTATGAGTGGTTCGAATGCATGAAATAAATCCACATAATCCAATTTACATATATATCTGGTTAAAATCAAGGCTAATAAAATTTTAAACCAATTCAATAAGTTCTTGATAATTTGACATCTTTGATTGAAATATGAATAACTCTGATTTACATATATATTATTCATCCCGCTAAAATTTTCGCATTCAAAATTTCAATTCATGAGTCAATTTGAGGCCACCCTATTTTTGACAAGACCTAAAATATTTTAAAATGATCAATGAATGCACTTCATACGAGGAACTATTGAACAAGGATGATTTTCTACACAAGGTTAAGATAGGTAAAGAGCAAATATACAATATTAAAATGAATGACATCAACTTTCTAAGTTTTTTATGTGATAATGCCTTTTCTAGTGAGGCATCGACTCTATCTCGCAGATGTATCAACGCAATCAACATATATCAAGGAGTAATCGCCAAATTTTTATTGAAAGATTCTTCATTATTTGAAGCATACTTCTCATCTTTCTCACAATCAACCACATATAGAATGTGGGCATTAACAACTGTTCTTTCTCACTTTCTCTCTTCTTTCCCTGATGATGTCAATCAATTACTCAACAACTCGGATGTTATATTGCCAACACTGTTGCACCATCTACATGAATCATTTGTGCAAGATTTCTTTTACCAGCTCAACGATTTGGATCCAAAGTTGACAACTAAGCTATTCTCAGCTATTTTAAGGATTTTGTGTTCCAAAGAAGTCTCAGATGAACATTTGGCATCTATAATCAAGAAGTCTTTCATTGACGAAAGAAAATCATAATTAATTCCAATTTGCCTTAACTTTTTACATCCAAAGTACGTATCTACAGATGTATCAAGTTCCTTTGAGATCATTGTTCTTTCACATCCTACAAAAGTCCTAAAACTTGCTAAAAATATTGCAAGAAATGATGCAATTTCCAAATATTGCATCAATTTATGCTGCGAAGACTCTCCATTCACACAAACTAAGGTAGAAGCCCTTAATTATCTTGCCGCTTTCCCTTCAATCAATTGTACAAAGATTGTCAGGAATATTAAGAACCATTTCTTTAGCGAGAAGATAAACTCAATGCTCCACTGTGCCGTAGTCAAATTCATCAAAGCTTCCCTCGATATCAATGACCTCAAAAAGGCAATCATCCAAATCTTCGAGAACAATGTACAGAAGACATGTATCGCTCGCAACAAAGAGAACACTCTTCTCATTGGACACTGTTACACAATCAGCCAGGAGTTAAACAGGTTTATTAAGTCATCATCATGGCATATGTTCGCTGAATCACATTTATACAAGTGGGAAGAGAAGATATCACCTGTACAAAGCAAAAAGATGATGCCTGTTTATCCTAATGAAGAAGAAAATTTCAACCGAAATATTAATTCGAAAATTGACTCCCCTAAGTCTAAATTCGACCTGTATTCAGATGATAATGTGAATGACTATGACAATTCTGATGATGATTTGATGTTCGCAGACAATACGAATTATTCGTCTGATTCCGATTACTAATCTTATTTATTCGTTCATTTTATTTGATTTATTTATATACATTTGACCTTTGGCTAATGTATTTTTGATTATTATTTATCTTTTATTTATTTTTGTTTGTTATTAAATATTTTTATACGGAAATCATTGGTTTTTATTGCACCCAGATATTTTAATTGTCATTTTACTATGAGTTAACTCCAATTCTTTATAATTCTTTAAGATTCAAATGCATATTTAAATAAATCTGAATAAATCAGCTATTTTGAATGAACTTTTATCGTTACTGAGTTAGATTTGGATATTTGTACCATCTCAGCTGTTGTAAGGATGAATCTTATAAATTCATTTGATTATTGGAGCATTTCTTTCAAAAATCATTTAATTCTCAAAACTCCAAATTCGAAACTGCATATGGTCTTTAATATCTGTTGAGATAAACTTAGTTTTTGTAAAGCTCACAATTGAGACTAACTTTTCATAGAGTAGTGTAGAATATGAATTAAATCATGCTTTATTATAAATAAGTGTCCAGTAACCGATCAACAAACATTATTAATGGACCAATACGATACTATTTGCTTGATGCGACCAAAGGGAATCCTAAAGTTTCTTTTGAAGATTATTATTCATTTTATTATCCTTGTAATTCCACAATTTCATGCAGTCCATATGTTATTGAACTGCAAAGTGGCTCATACAGCTTTATTATTGAGAGTGCAACATATCCATCAAATTAATCGAATATTTATGTTAAAAATTATACAAAAGGAGTTTTGGAAATAAATGAACCAACTTCAATTCTTCTTAATATTGGTGTTCCATTTATTAAAGCGACTCGAAATAACCTCGAATTTGATAACAATTCATTTGAAACTAAAATACAATATTATGGTATTAGCAAACCAAAAAGAAGAGCAAATTCAATCAAATTAAATATTAATTTCAATATTTCCAATATCTCAAGAAAATTATTTTATGGAAGAAATAAAGAGTTTGGCAGTTTCCGTCTTAATTGTCTAGATGGTTATGATGGTTGTCATCCATACTTAGATAGACCATGCGATGGGTTAGATTATTGGTACAACGGCAATTGTTATGATAGTTGTCCATTTGGAACACATCCATCTAATCCTAGAGTAAATGATCCGGACGAAGGAATACCTCCACATGAAAGATTACATCCAGATGAAAGAATGCCTTGGCACGATGGAATGTTATTTCGGAATCTCAAAGGATATTCAAGAATACAATGTATAGAAGAATCATGCAGAATTTCTAACTGCGATACTTGTTCATTAAATACATGTGATAAATGCAAATCTGGATATTTCTTATATACTGGACAATGTTATTCAACATGTCCATCTGCCACATATAGATCTGGATCAAATTGTTACCAATGTCGAATTTCTAATTGTAATTCATGTTCTGAAAGTAGATGTGATAGCTGCAGATCTGGATATTTCTTATACAATAACCAATGCATCACAAATTGCCCAAGGGGAACTTACGCATCAGGATCAAAATGTCTCTCATGCAGCACTGGTTGCAATTCATGTTCATCGTCAAGCTATTGCTTTCAATGCAACAGCGGTTATTCAATGTATGATAGAAAGTGTTATATCAATTGTCCTTCAGGAACTTTCAAATCAGGTTCATCATGCCAACATTGTGGTTCAAATTGTCAAACATGTTCTTCTTCTACTACATGCTCAAGATGCAATTCTAACTATAAATTATTCAATGGAAGATGCTACGGTTCCTGCCCTTCTGGTACTTATCAATCTGGAACCAATTGCTATTCCTGTCATAGTAATTGTAACTTATGCAAGGATTCAAATATCTGCACACAATGCAAGATGAATTATAAATTCTATTAAGGCCGATGTTTTTCAATTTGTCCAGATGGAACTTATGAAGATAATAATAAATGCAGTGAATGTGAAGATAAAAACTGTCAAAGATGTACAAAAAACGGGTGTTCATTATGCAGATCTTTATTTTATAAATTTAATAAAAGTTGTTTTCAAAATTGTCCAACAAGAACTTATTCGGAGGTTCTCACAAGAGAATGCAAAAATTGTTCTATGAATTGCGAAACATGCGAAAATGCTTTACCAAATGCCTGTACTAGTTGTACACATAAATATAGATTATCACATGGTTTTTGTGTTGGAAAGCCAACAAATAGGCCTGGAAAACAAATAAATCGTATTTCAAAATTATTGCATGCATTTACTGCAAGAAATATTAAAAATAAATAAAAAAATTATGAAACATAGACATAAAATCAAATTATTTTAAATAAACTATCATTGCAATAAATGATGTTATTGATAAGCTGCTGATATTAATGCGATAGGAATCATTTGTTATATTTGCGTCCATTTTTTGACAATTCAAAAAAGTATCAATTTGTGATTAATTGTGATTTGTTATTTTATCACAATTGTAAAAAATTATTTAAATGATAAATGCAAAATAATATTAAAAAGTCGTATTGTGTGTTCTATCAATTTTTTTTTGTTGATAAAAAACCACCAAAATTCATTTTTCAAGATGTGTGACATCCTTGCTCAACTAGTTGAATCTTTGGATTCATTCGAATCTCCACCTATTAAGATATATATCAATAACCATGTATACGATACAAATATATATGTTGGATCTGCAATGTCGGATAAAATTAAAAATCAATATTATTTGAATCGATCTATCAAAGAATTTAGATTCAAAGCAGAAATAAAAGGCTCGGATGCATATAAAGTTCTCGAAAGTATTTTGAAGCTGCAAGTTCCAGAGAATGTCGAAGATAGTGTTTTCTATGACTTTCATGCACTTGGAAATGTAATGGAAAGTAAATATTTGATTTCATTGTATATGAAGAGATTCAATGATGATGACTACAACTTCGAAAACATAATTAGAAAGATCAAATATTGTAAAGAATCTGGATATAATAATAAGATATTCTGCTTCATAATCAATAATATTGATTCAATCCCTCATGATAAACTTATTGATTCAATTGTTGAAGCAGGTATTGATTTTGCTATACAATTATTAGTTCATTTCAAACAGCAAAATATCAATTCAAATGATTTAATATTTTCATTATTCAACAAAGATCAATCATTCTTTGACATTTTATCATATCTTAATGATGAATATATTGATGTTAAAGATGTTATTGAATCAATCAAAATATTATCAACAGTTAATAATCAATTAGCTAAGAATAACATTCAATCATATATCATATCAAAGTTCAAAACATTTCAAGAAAACATTAAAGAAAGTCACAATAAAATCAACGAATTAGAAACCAAAATTAGAGATTTGAGCCAAAACAAATCAACAATTAATGACGAACTCGCACAATTGAGGCGAGAAAACTCACAGCTTAAGAATAATAACTCAAGCCAAAATGATGAATTGACAAGATTAAAAAGGGAAAACACCACATTAAAGGATGAAAATGATAAATTAAAGAAGCAAAACATATCACAAACTGACGAAATCAAAAATCGTAAATCAGAAAAATCAGCATTAAATAGCAAAATATACGGATTAGAAAAGTCAAATGACTCAAATGAATGGAAGTACAAAAGTCAAAATTCTGAAATTGAAAAACTTAAAAAAGAGAATAGAGAATTAAAAGATTTAACTTATGTCATTACAAAACAGGCATTTTCAATAAATAACAGAGATTTCATAAGCATAATTGGAGAACATTTGCCTAAAATAAAAGAAATCAATGGAATGTGGTTAAATGAATCAAAATTTGATTATGTATATAGTCTAATTAAAGAAGCCTCGGACCAAAGAGATTTGGCAACCATTCTATATTATTTTAAAGTAATTGCGCCAACTATTCATACAAAAATTGTCGGCTGCGTTTATCTCAAGTCTGCATGGAGAGGAGATATCCAATTAACAAAAGATTTTATTGAATGCGGCGCTGATAAATTTTCCGTATGTAGTGAGGGACGAACATTTATTCATATGTTTTCAGAAAAAGGAAATATTGATGCAATTAAATATTTCCTGAGGTATGATTATGATATCAATCAGAAAACTAACGATGGAAATACACCACTTCATTTAGCAGTAATAAATAATGAGTACGATACTTGTAAATATCTACTCAATCTGTCAAAAATCAATAAATCAATTCAAAATAAAGATGGAGAAACTCCATTAAGCATTGCTGAGCGCAAATGTTATTATGATATTATCAATCTTTTATCATAATAACGTGTTTACTTTTATTTGATAAGAGAGAAATAAAAAAGGTAATCTAAATTGAAAGAAAATAAATATTTTTATTCTAATATAATAAGTTACTTATATTTCTGAGATAAATGACGAAGCAAACATCTGGGGCATTGCAAGTCAATAGAGTTCTGTTTGTAGTTGCTTTCTATGCATTGATACGACTTCTTCAACTTAGCAGTTTCGAAGAACTCTTTCAGAGAGAACAAAGAAGAATCTAACTCTGTCTGATTCATTACATGTGAACAAGAGAATGCAATTAAATCTGATTCTCTTGCCATTGATGATGAAATGATTGATGAACTTGACGGAGGTTTCAAAATACTCTGAACTAAGTCCATTGAACATCCCTTCTGTTTAATGACTGGTGGTAATAATTTAACAAGTTGATTTTGTTTGAGAACTTTCAAATCTTGTGGATGCTGGAGAAAAGCAGTTCTACAAACATCACTTGACAAAAGGATGTCAGGGAATGATGAACAATTTGTTGCAATTGCACGAATAGCAGCAATTGCATTCAATGTGTCCATTTTTAGCACAAATGGAGCAATTTCTTCGTATTTGCCTTCAATTTCATCAAATTTACCATACAAAAATAGGAGCATTGTACGGCATGCGTGATTAACAATCTTCAATGAGATGTCTGATGGATATTTGGAGACAATAAGTTGGCATTCTGAGAAATTAAAGTCATTAAACTCTGGTTGTGGCTGATTGATGAACATTGGTGATGCTGATGAACCAATTATCACGATATTATCATGTATATCATTGGTAATATCTAAAATTGTGCCAATTCTCTCGGAATAAGTTATTATTTTAACTGATTCTCCAAAAATTGCGGCTTTCCCATGACCAGCAACAACAGAATAGTTTTCGCATGACTTAATAACCTCTGGAACAAAGTCAAGTTGAATTTCTTCAGAATTATAAATGCAATTTTGGCCAGAAACGTAAACAATTCCGTTAGATGAAGCCGCAATTGCATTTATGAACTTGTTTGAATAAACTTCTTTCTTTGATTTGTCAGAGAAAGAAAATACAACGCCATGTTCGTCCAAACCATACATTGTTCCTTTGTAGAAGCAAATATCAACAAAGTCTCCATCGTATGTTTCGAAGAACCTTCCGTTTCCGAGTTTCAAGATACTTCCATTTACTGATAAAAATACAATGCTCTTTGAATCGCTTTGCATCATGAAAGTTTGAGGGCAGTCAAGTGGGTCAAACTTAATATTAGACAATGGAGAGGAATAGACGTTGAACTTCTCATCGGTAGTGAAAATTCTGTCTCCGAATATCTCGAAACTGAGATAATTGCGGTCGTCTAGTGGGTCTGTCATCGATCCGTTTGAATACAAGTGTCCACTGTGAAGATAATAATTTGAATTCTTTGTAAATTTCAAAGTAGAGCAAACTGGTATTGAGGAAAGTTCAGCGCATCCATCAGGCTTGCGGGCTGAGTGCATCAAAGCCTTGAATTCTGGAGAAAAGATTCGTGGCATTTCTTGTAAATCAAGTTGAGAAGCATATTCTAGGTATTTAGTGGTTTCTATCTGATTCTCCATTGTAAATCTGGCAAGTAAAGCTAATGGATATCCTTCTATTTCCTTGCCATCAACAAGATCTTTATAAAGCTGGGTTTGATTGAACGAAATCAAGGTTGGAAGGATACTACTTGGTCTAACAATGCGTTTCAATAGCAAGTTCATGCGAGAAAAGCATTGTTGCTTGTAATAAATTTTGAGAAGTAAGTTTTCGAAGATTTTATCGGTTTTGTCTTTTGGTAACATACTTGGACTTCTCAAAAGTAGGTGCAAAGCGTACTTTTCTTTACCTTCTGACAATAATCTCTGTAATGCTGAGCGAATTTCGCATTTTCCTTCTCTTAGAACCTCTAAAGCTGAATCACAATCACCGGATTTGATGCATTTCGTTGCAGCTTGTTCGCATTCAGATTTCATATCCAAATTAAAACCGTCGCAAAGGGCGAAAGCATCACGGTATTGATGTCTGAGCAGGAATTCGTTGAATAAGATCTTCGGTTCTGCTCTCAATGAGAAAATTGTTGCTGATGAAGGAGATAACAACAAAACTATGTCATTTTGAGCATCAACAACTGTCATTGATATTACATCACGCATTAGTTCATGTTTCCTTACATCAATTGACTTAATGAACTGAACAGAAGCGATTCCATCTGTAACTTCGTATAAAAAGTTCTTTGTAACAGCAAATGAAGTTGTTTTTGATGAATTTGTATCGAAAGAGGTTATAGGAATTGTTTGGATATCGTTATCGTAAAAAATAAGTTTTTGATTTAAAACTGTTAATAACCACTTTGAATCTTTCAATTCGCACATCTGTGTGAGGATCGGAATTGAGTAATCGTATAATATTCCTTCGAGAGTTGTAGTATGTGTGATTTCTTCGTTCTGTTGTTGAATTGTGATGATATGAGTATTTGTTTTAGTAAAAAGCGCAATTTTGCCGATGCCGTTCTCAAGGGCTGCAAAAGATCCAGTAACAACATCCGAATACTGTAGAGATTTGACGACAGTAAAAGAATGAGTTGAAATTATCTGAACTCCGTTGGATTCAATGATAATCAAATACTTCCTCTTGATTGGATGCCACCAGAAAGCATTTATTACATTGAATTTGAATGGTTGTGACTCTCTATAACCATTTGTGGATTTTTCTGGATTTAATGTGTATCCTAATGTAGAATGAGAGAACATAGGAGTATTAACTAAGCCGTTAATTGTGTTTGGTGATACGAAATTTAGAAAAGGAACAGTAGATAAAATGCATATTTTCGAGTCAGCCAAAAAGCATGCTAAAGATGACATGTCCGGTGATAATTTAGTGAGTAAAACCTTTGCATTATTAATATTTGCTTTGCAAATCATGTTATTCGGGAGATCTTTTGATTGGGCGATTAAGAAAACACTATTCGCTTTAGTAAGGATCGAAGAAAGGATCAGATTTCCAACGTTAACTGAATGTGTGTGAATAAGAAGGTCGGTTGATCCTGATGCTGAGACAAGTTGCTCTTTCTTGATCAGGTTCGCCAACATTTTTGATTGATTTTATCTATATTTGAGTGAAAATATGATGTGCATTTCTAAGATAATCCAATTTCATGATTATTTTTCTTCAATCTATCACTTTTAACATTGAAGAGAATTCAATTCATACAAAGCGTTACTAAAATCCTATAAATTTCATTTCTATAAGCTAATTCAAAAGATCATATGTTTAAATCCATAAACTATTTCAAATATAAAAAAATTATAGCTTTATAAGACAGATAAACAATGCTTTCTGATCTTAATGTGCGTTTCATTCACTATAACTTAATGTAGTAAGAGTCATAGGAGAGTGATGAATGATATAACAATGACATTTTTAGAATTTTATGTGATTTAGCATACAGATATTTATAATTTTTAGTCCAAAAAGATTACAATGAAAAATAAAAGCTGCAATAAAGCATGAATTCATTAAGGAATGCTTGAATTATAATTCGTACCAATGATGACGACTAAATGCAACTGAAATATGATGTAACATATTGTAGTTCTTATTTAATTCTTGACTTCGATCGGTTTTGGTTTATTTTGCTTGGATTTGATTTTTTTAGGTTTTTGTCTAGACATCTTGAAGCCAAAAACTCTTGGTACAAGTTCTTTTAATGGTTTGCTTGGAGTTACTGTTCTATATCTTTGCTTAAGAATATGAACATAATTTGGCCCGAAAAATGCGCCATCTATATTTTGGTACAGTGGAATATACATATCATAGACATCGCAGCAGCTTGGACAAAAGAGTTTGAGTGTATTTTCGCCATAAATTTCTGATGTTCCATAAGGAAGACATGAATGGCCATTACATAGGTATCTTGGACATTTTGGAAATTCACCATCGCTAAACTTTTCTTTCATATCGCCTATTCCATCTAAAGTTACAAGATATCTTGCATGAATCAAGCCATAAAGATGGATTGCTTGCTTGAGGAGATCTGGATCTTCTTCAATTCTAGGCTTGTAACTTCCACGGATGACTACCTGTGCTTCTGGAAATCTATCGAAATATTTTTTGAGTCCAAAGTAGTTGAAATTATCCATCAGATAATCGTGAGCAACAATTACAAAGAATTTATACTTTTTGAGTGATGTCAACCACTCAGCAAAAGATTTTCCCATATGTGAATTGATCAGATGTCACCTTTTAGTCTGACGCCTTTCAAATAAAAAGTCGGAAATAAAATATTTGCTTGTCCTTGCAGAAATTCCTATTTTATATAGAAAATTATTAATATTCATCTTTGAATGAAATTTATTAACCTTGTGAGAATTTTAATGACAATAGAATTAAATGTAAGCTTGTATGCTATGCTCTATGTTCCATCTCAGGATTTTAATCATAATGCTTTCACAAATTGCTGATTATTCTCTTTATTGATCAAATTTGAATCTAAAATAATCATTTAATTTGATATGTAACAATTATTATTACCATTTTCAGCATTAATGGTCTCTTTTAATGGTATATTTGCATGAATACTAAAAATTGGATCATAATTTACTTCACTGAATTCTTTCACCGAATATGATCAAAGAAAAAACTCTGAAAAAATTATTTCTTTTGAGAATATTGTATTTTTACTAAGTCATTTTATTGGAATTTATGTAAAATTTTGCAAAAAATGCTGAAGGGAATAGTTTCGAGGACTCTAACATCCATCCTCGATGAATTTATGAAGCCAGTAAAGTCCCGACAGATGAAAATGGATATTCTTAAAGGAATTACGGAGATTAGAGACTTAGAACTTCAAGAAAAAGCATTCGAAAAAGTTGGATTAGGTTTACTTGTTGAAAAGGGTATAATATCAAGACTTTACTTGAACTTTCCATGGACAAAGCTAGAATCTGCTCCTACTATTGTACAAATTGAAGATATTCATGTTTCTTTGAAAGTAGATTGGGATTACTTTGTACAGTCAAGTGATGAAATGACAAGCCAAAAAGTACGAGGTCAAAACAAGCAAAAAGATGTCGACAATCTCAAACAAGCATTAGGCTTTTTAGACAAATTTGTGGATAATTTAAATGTATTAGTTAAAAATATTTACGTTTCGATTACAGTTCCGACCGATGCAGGAACCAGTACAATAGGATTTGTCCTTCCTGAGTTCAAAATCGAATCTTCAAACCAAATGAAAATAGGCGATCGTTCTTTTTTCTCAAAAATCATATCAATTACAGGAATGTACATGTTCATGGATGCAAACATCCCAAGCATTCCTTTAGAATCTCCACTTGAGTTTGTCAAATTTTTCGAAAAATCACAAAGACAAATTATTTTAGATTATCCGCACATTGAAGTCTTTTATTCCCACTACAGAGATACTCTTACTCCTATCATGAACTCCATTGAATGTAACTTTAATGAAGTTGTATTTCAATTAACGCAAGAACAGATCAAACAGATCTCATTGATATCAGTTCTCTTATCCAAATCATTGTGCAGACAGAAATACGTAGAATGCGCTCGACCAAAGAACTTATACGATGAAGAAAAAATGTTATTCTACGCAATGAGATGTGCATCTGTTCAACATGGAAAGAAGTACTTTTCTGCTAAGTTGGCACTCGAATTTCTCAAGAATAGAAAGGAATATTACAACTTATACAAAAAATCTTTGGATCAAAATATTTTTACAAGAAAAAGTGCCAAAAAATTTGACAGCTTCATAACAAATCTCAGCAAATCGTCCAAAATTCTTTTGCTTCAATACGCCAAAGCGAGAAGGCGTGTTGAATTATCAATAAAAGTCAATCAATTGACAGAAGAAGAGAAAAGAGAATTGCAAAAACAAAGTGAAGGATTCATGTCAACTTTGAATTCATTTCAAATGTTCGGAATCATAAACAAGATCAATATCAAGCTGCTTAATAATGATAAAACAGATTTTGCTAATTTGGAAATCTTGAATTACTCAGTTCGTGGATTTATTTCTGATGTTTTGCATCAATATTCTATTTCTTTGCAAGATATAAATATTGATATACAAAACAACAAATTCATGACTGCCGTTCATAATGTAAGTACATGGATGACATTGACATTCAGTTATGGACATGATTTGGCAACAATTCAAGGAAGAACTGGACAATTAATTTTTAATTTTGACAAAGTTTTGGATTTCTTGAGATATTTGGATGGAAACGCTTTCAAATTTAAGTTCATTGATATAAACATGATACCGTTCGTCATCAATGTCTATAATCTAAAGAAATGGGATATGACATTCGACATGGAAACAATTTCTTTTGAACTAGACAAATTAAAGATTCAAACAAAAGTTTCTTTGATGAATGATGATAAACAAAAATCAAGAAAAGACGAAGATATATTTTTATCTATCTTTAGCAGCTTGAATATCATCAATGATGAATTCGTTTGTCTCGAGAAAATGGACACTGACGTAAAATTCAAATCAAAATTGGTCAATAGAGAATTTTTGATGTCAGATTTGACATGTAAACTTATGAATTTAAATCTGACAATTGATGACAAAACATTAGAATTTGTATTTAATTATACTAATTCTATATTGGAATGTTTGCATGCGCAGAAGTTAGATGATATAATTTTGAAGTCTTTTATGACAATTGTTGAAAGAAACAACAAACAATTTAATTTGTTTTTGCCGTTGTTCTCTTACGAAATTAATCAAGTGAAAAACAATGTTAAAACAATATCAAGGAAGAATTTCTTGAGAGATTTATTCGATCCACAATCGATGCTCATGAAATTAGATTTCAAAGTCTGCGAATTTTTCGTTTTGAAAGATTTTTCATGTCAAATTAATCAAAGTATTATGAGTGTTGATATTGGAAAAATTGCAGTAACTGCTTTTCCAAACATCATTGATTTCATTCCAGTACAGATCCAGAAACAGATAACAGAGACAATCAAAAGAACTTCCATTGATAATTTGTTGGATAGCAGTCTAATTAAAGATTTGGAAAAGTCAGAAGAAGCTGAACAATCAATTCTTGGAGAAGTAAATGATAGCACGAAATGTTTCATTGCTGAAGAAATACAAGAAAGTAAATGGCAGCCAAGAAAGAAATTCGATCTCAGTTTTCTGCCAAAATTTAAAACAAAAATTTCTGAATTTTTCCTTGAATGGAAGAACAACGAAAACAATGCTGTTTATTGTGATATCGTACTTCCAAACATCAAAATGTCTTGTATACCAAAATCATTGTCTTTCTCTTTATCTTTACCTGAAATGAGTATGATTTCTGGTCAGGAAAAATCTGTTTTTATTCAGCAGATCAAGATGTTCATGACTTTATCGACTTACGACAAGATTTGGTCGATGAACAAAAATGATATTTATGACTTTAATTTTGACACAAATGACAAAAACAATTTTCTCAATAAAATAACCGTTTTTGTTGATATTTCTGACATGAATGTTGTTTATGATCATTTAACAGCGAAATCATATGTTTCATTTCTTAATGAAATGATGCCAAGCATTGAAAAGCTGATGCCGAAAGAGTTCGATGTCAAATCAAATATTCCTGTTGATTTGAGTTTCGGATTGAACAAATTCCAAATGAATTTGAAAGAAATCGATTTCGGAATATTGACAAATGGTGTTGCTTTTTCGATGCATGGAAAAGAAATAGGATCTGAAGTGAAGTCATTCCAAATTTTACAGAACAAAATCAAATCAAAAATTATCACTCATCCTGATGATTTTTTGGTTAAAATTGAAACGATAGGAAAAGTGCCAAATATTACATTGAATTCATTAACATTTATTTTGCATCCTGCTGTTTTTACTCCATTATTAGTTTATCTTTGGAGAACTCCTTTCTGGAAACTTAAAATTCCAAAAGTCAAAGCAAATGTTGACTACAATTTTGTTGGAAAATTAAATGCAGATAGCATCAGAGTTCTACTTCCAAGTCAAGTAGATCTAGGAATGTCTGATGAAGTTTTGAGTGTTTATTTGTCTGCAAAAATGAGTGCAGATGAAAATTCAATAGATGTAAAGTCTATCGTTCGTGATGTCAGATTTGTTTCTTTGACGAAGAATTTCGAATTCCCACAGATCATTGATCATTTGTCTTGTTTCGCTTTAATAAGACAACCGAACTATTTAGCAAAAATGGCTAAAAAGTCAAAAGCAATCAATAGATCTGAAAGTGTCAAAATTGAATCAGATGAAAATAAACTGACAAAAAGTGACGGTCCTATAACTAAATCCAAATCAACATTTGAGATTTCTAAGACAGAAAAGAACGAAAAACCTATTCCTGAATCGAAGTCATATGATGCAAATCTTAAAAACAAAAATAATGATTTGGATGAATATTTGGGTGTCAAAACTGTGAGTTTTGGAATTGATGATGACGTCAACTTTTCATTCAGTCCTGAAGATGTCTATGGTGTTTATTCCATCTTAAAAGATTGGTTAAGTGTCCAACTTCCTGCAATGAATTTGCAAATGCCGAAAGCATCTCCACCACCTTGTTTATTCGTCACAACAAAAGACATCAAAATAAGAATTTGCCACAGCAACAGAAATTCTTCAAAAGAACAGGCAACAATCATAATTTACATGCCACCAATAGATATCGCTGCAAGTAATTCAAATGAAAGAACAACGTTTGTTTTACAAACTAAGTTTGGAGTGAATCATTTTAATTCTTGCACAGGAAACATTGATTCTATTGTTGATGAAACAGAGTTGATTTTGTCTTATACGTCAACAGATGACAAAGTAGACATTGTTTCATTGATTGATTCTCCTTTCACGATCTCTTTGAGTTATCATTTCATTAGAGAACTGAAATCATTGATCGAAGTTGCTGTTGAACCACGTCATTCTCATAACATAATACAGAATCCTGATTATTGGTTGAAATCCACATGTTTCGATGAAATCATTGTTTCTGTTACGGATGCAAGTACTTTGTTTTTATTCCCTGGTGATTTAATTCCTGCTTTCTTCATCACAGCGAATTCTTTCATCATTGTTACAATAAATAACAAATCAAAGAAATTTAGAGCGACTGATATTTTGTATCCGATTTCTTTGAGTGAAAGTGTTGTCATTGCCAAGCATCCGTACAACGGGGGAATGATGTTGGAATTCGCTTCGAAATACTCCATGAAAAACGATTTGAGTTTTGACCTTTATATTTATGTCAAAACGAACAGTGGATTTGTATTTTTATGTGTTCTTCCAAGACATGAAATTAGATCTCTTCTACCTTATTCAGGTACTTATTTTTTTGCCTCTTCTAAAAGAATGCCAACGAATAAACCGCATTTAACAATCCTTGGACCAAAAGAAAATACAAATAAATGCGATGTTTATTCAGATGATAATTACGTTCCATGTACAATTTCTAAACAAAAAAGTGATATTTTCGGTTTTGACATTTTAAGTATTACTGAAGAATTCACTTTGAAGAACTTAGTACCATATTCCATGCATTACAACATCAACAACCAGAAATTTTTGGCTAATTATGGTGAAACAATTCCGATTCCAAATTTCGGATCGAAAAATTATGTTTCAATTACTGCTTCTTACGATGATACCAATTATCCAACTTATGACTGGTTGTATTTCACTGGCAAGGATATCCAATACATTCCTGCTTATGTCTGCAAGAATATTTCATTGTTTTGCGTGATAGAAGACAAAACATTGATTGTTTATTCCCCTGTTGTTTTGTTTAATTCTACAAGTAATCAGTTGAAAATTGAAAATGAAATTTTACCACCAGGAAACTTCACTTTGTGGTCTTTCAAGACACAGAAACTTATTTCACTTGAAATCTTCCAGAAGTCAAGACAATTGAAGAACGCAATTGACCCTTCAATTGCTGGTGTTTGTGATGAATTGTTTTTGGAAAATTTGTCAAATGATTTGTATTATTCTTTGAGATACAAAAGTGAACGCCAAAGTAATGATTTCTATAGAACAATAGCTATTACTATAACTGATGGAATTAGAGTAGATAACAAACTTGATTACGGAATAACTTTGATTCCCAAATGCGAAATTTCTGATGCAGATTTGATGTCATTTTTCATCCCACCACAAACAATGAAAATATTCAACATCACATCGAAAGAAAAGAAATATTCATTGGGAATCGGTGTTGATAATTGCGATAGAACTATTATTCTTTCAAAGCCTCTTCCGAAAACAGTTTTTAAGATGAAAAGAGATGGAAACTTCGAATTCATCGAAATAGAAGTCAAAGATGAATTGACATCTATTTTTGTTACTTTAAGAAAAGTTTATCAAAGTCGTTTTATCATTTCTAATGATTTAACAATTCCTTTCTATTTCTACCAAGAAAACGAAGATGAAAAAGTTTTGGTTCAACCGAATTCTTTCGAAGATTTCGCCTATGAAGAACCATTCGGTCCGAAACAGATTTATTTCGTTTTACAAGAAAGCAAATTCTGTATTTCCTTGGATGACACGAATAGACAAATTATGTTGAACAAATCATTCGATCACAGGAAAGTTTATATTGTCATCAAATACGTGAAAGGACAATGTAGAATCTCTCTTGTAAACGAAGGAATACAGAAAGATAATCTTGTTAAAAGCGGACAATTCCAGTTGTCTATCAATTCAATTTATTTCTCTTTAATTGATGATTTGTTCAGAGAAATTTTGTGCGCGAACTTCAATTTGATCGATCTGTTGTCAGAGATGAAAGATGACTACATTTCATTGAGACTTAAAATAGATTCAATGACAGTTGACGATCAAAATGAAACTTCACCTCACCCGGCCATTATTCGATCAGAAAATCGGACATTCTTTGATTTACATTTCATTTTCCAGACAGATGTTTTGCAGAGCCACGAAATACTTTATATTTCGATGATTATGCAGCCTCTCCATGTTTATGTTGTTCCTCAATTTTTGAGTGATGTTTATTCATTCTTTTTGTCATTGGATATCGAGAAAGACTTGATGTCAATTATTTCTCCTGCAAGAAGCAGTTTCGGAATATCGAATGAGATCAAAATCGCATGGGCAGATATCTTCCCTCTCGATATATATTTGTCAATTACGAATGCAGACAAATACGTCCAAAGATATCCGTTCCAATCGATATTCAGACCTTTCATCTCATTGAGCGAAAGGAGACTTAGTTTGCCTGCTTTCTTCTTGACGGAATTCAACGGATCACTCCAAGAAATTGCAAACGAACTTACATTCGTTTATGCAGTTAATGGATTGGATTTCTTGTTATCAAACATGGGAACACTCGGAACATTGTTGAAATGGGTTGGCGTTGTTGGACGTGTTCGTTCTAAGTTAAACATCAATCATGATAAATTTAGGAACCTTCCAATCGAATTATCAACAGAACACAACTACGACAACAGAGTTACATGGCTTGGCTGTTTCAACAACTACACAATACAAAATGTTTTTGTTATCCAAAACAATTTCAATGTCACTGAATCTCTTTTGTCAAAAATTTTGAATTCTCCATCCAAAGAAATCACGGCATGTATTATCAACACAAAAGCTGTGATTGGATCAATTGTTGCACAGCCGAGAGTCAACAACCAATCAGTGACAATGTTCAGAAGAAGATTACCTTTGTGTTGTTTGACAAATTCTGTTACAAATTACAACGAGAAAATATCAAGATGCCAACAGATATTGATCGAAAAGAAGCTCGGAAGGCCGATGTTCTTCGGTAAGATGGTTGACAAGAACAACTATTTAGTGTTTGTTACAATTGATTACGTTTGTTGTTTGTCACCAGATTACTTAGTTGAGTGGAGTTGTCCTGTTTTAGGTGTCGAATCAATCTTGAATGATGGAAAGATTATTACAATGCATTATGCACGTGAAACTAGAGTTGTCGAATCTGACCATGCTGGTGCAATTGTTTTATTCATTTCTACTTCATAATCTATTTTATATTATTAATTTTATTCTTTTTGTTGTTTATATTGATATAAAAAATGAACTTGTTTGTTTTCATTATATTATTATTGATCTTAATTTGTGAGTAATTTTAAATCATTGAAAAATAATTTATTTATAAAAGGTCATTCTTTATGTTAGTGAATGAACTACTGTTTCTTCCAATAAATGTCAAATTAGATTAAATCGGATATAATATTGACAGAATTCATTCGTTTATGTAGTTATAGTATAGATTTCTTGTTTGTATTGTTGGACATGCTTTCTCAATTAAACATCAAACATAACAACTTTCAACAGAACAAAACGTATTCATTATTAGGAACGATTTTAGTGTTACTTCACCTTCCGTTTAAAAAAACCATGTATACTCATTTAATTGAGTAAAAGTTTTATATATAATTTCATCTTCAATGTTATTGTAAGCAATTTCAGATGTGCATGATTCAATCACGAAGGGGAAAAATGAAGTGAAATTGTTTAAAAATTTTTAAAAAATACCACCAGCTTTCAATTTTCAAATTTCAAAATGTTCGATATTTATGCTGATGTAGCTGCGTCATTAAACTCGAGTCAAGTTCCTTCTCTTAAAATATATATTAATGATTACATGTTCAAAACAAATATATACGTGGGTTCTGCAATTTTCCGAAAAATAAAAGATCAATATTATTTAAACCATTCACTTAATGAATTTAGATGCATGGCAAATATAAATGATTCAAATACATTCAAAGTGCTTGAAAGGATATTAAGCTTGCAAATTCCAGAACAAATCGAAGATAGTGTTATCTTTGACCTTTTTGAAATAGGAAAAGTAATGGAAAGCAAATTCTTAAAATCATTGTACACTAAAAGATATAATAATGACGGGTACAATTTAGAAAATATATTCAGGAAGATCAAATATTGCAATCAAAATGATTTTGATAATAAGATATTGGATTTCATATGTGAAAATATTGATTCAATAGATCATGATAAGTTGATTGATTCGATTGTTGAAGCAGGTTTCGATTTTGCAGAGAAGTTATTGAATCATTTCAAAATCAAAAATGTTAATTCGAATGATTTAATATTCTCATTATACAACAAAGATCCATCATTCATCGATATTTTATCATTCCTCAATGATGAATACATTGATGTCAAATATGTCACCGAATCAATCAAAATATTATCAATAACGAATGATCAAGATATTAAGAATAATATTCAATCATCAATCATTTCAAATTTCAAATCATTTCAAGAATTAGAAAAGACAGTTAAAGAACTTAATCTAATTAATACTTCATTCAATGCCGAATTAACAAAAATGAAAAATGAAAACACAAAACAAAACGAAGAATTAATAATTCTAAGAAATGAAAATATAGAACAAAAGAGTGAAATCGATAGATTAATGAAACAAAATTCTTCACAAATAGAAGAAAACAGAAAATTGATATCAGAAAAATCAGAATTACGTAGTAAAATTGATTCATTAGAGAAATCTAATAAAACCAATGAAACAAAGATAGCAGAACTTAACCAACAGAATACCATAATAAATTATGAACTTCCGAAGTTGAAGTGTGAAAATGAAAAACTTAAAAATAAAAACTCAAGTCAAAGGAATGAATTACAAAGATTAAAAACAGAAAACTCATTGAAGGATTCTAGAATTGATGAATTAAAATTCGAAAATAGAGAAAATCAAGAATTTATTAAAAATATTGGAGAATATTTGCCTAGAATAAAGAAAATCACTAGCATGAGTCTAAATGAATCGAAATTCTGGGATGTTTATTACATAATTAAAGAAGCATCGGATCAGCGAGATTTGGCAACAATTCTTTATTATCATAAATTTTTAGCATCAACTTGTGAAACAAAAATTAAAGGGAGTGTTTATCTTACATCAGCATCCAGCGGAAATATTCAATTAACAAAAGATTTTATTGAATGCGGAGCATATAAATTTTATACATCTCGAAAAGGTCAGTTACTCATCCATATATTTATTGAAAATGGATACATTGATGCATTCAAAGACTTTATGAAGTATGATTATGACATCAATCAAAAGGATAATAACGGAAATACTCCTCTTCATTTAGCTGTGATGAAAAATAATTATGAAATTTGTCAATATCTCTGTAATCTGAGGAAAATCAATAAAAACATCAGGAATGATGATTTTGATACCCCATTGGATATTGCAAACAGAAGAAACTATAATAATATTATAAGTCTTTTAAAGTGAAAAGTAAATATACACATTAATTATTGGAATTGTAAAACTATTGTATAGCAATATTCTGACTTAATATATATATATATATATCCAACCATTCAAATTTTTTTGGGCCCCTTTTTTCTATCGAATCATAATCCCAAAACTATTTGAAGGGTGTGATATATATATATAATTTGTTATTCTTTCACAATCTATATAAATATGAGATATATATAATAATTGCAAGCAGGTTATCATTTTGTTATCTTTTTTAACATACAACTTGCTATAATGCAACATAAATAATTCTCTTTATTTTGCTAAGTTGGAAGCAATGCCTACACATTTTAACTATCAATGAATGATTTTTATTATTTTGCTTTCAATGCCGTAGCGTTGAATCTCAATGGATTTATGGCATGCAAAAGTTATTTAAATATTGGAAGAACAAACACCATTCAGATTTGCTTTATTTTCGAGAATATATCTTGAATTTTGAATTTGCTTTATTTTCGAGAATTTTTGAATTAAAAAGCTGAAAAATATTTACCTATAGAATAAAGAAGATTAATAGCATGAGTCCATATAAATAATTGTATAGAATGTAATTCTATAGTCCATTTATATTATTGGAAGAATAAATATTATTCAGATTTGCTTTATCTTTGAGAATATATCTTGAATAACGATTTAAAAAAAAATAAACAATATATTTATTTATAAAATTTTGAGGGCGACGTGATTCCTTGTATTGGTCTGTTTTTCAAGAGAGTGATAGACATGTAATTCAAGAGATTTAGTCTTCAAATAAGCATCTAAAGTGTCATCATTTTTAAGTGTCACGTTTTTAGATTTACCAGCTAATGTTGTTACAGCATCTAAATGCCATTTTGAAACATCATCAACTTTGTAGATTGATTTAAGTTTTTCTTTCATTTCCTTAGCTGTTCCTCCTTCTTTAACTTTAAACAGTGTTGGACGAAACTCTTCACAGTCAGGATGAGACAAAGGAACTAAAAATTCTTCTTCTAAAAGTTGTTTTTGATCTTCAGGAACTAAATCAATTCTCAAAACTAATGAATCATCATTCAGTGTGTTGTTCTCTTTCAACAACTCCCAAATTGATGTGCCCCAAACTGTGAAATACCTGTATTCATTCATTTCATGATCTAAAACGTTTTCTTTCTTCAACATTTCGTAGATAGAATGAATTGCTGTGTTAATCTTCAAAATTTTAACAAATTTTTGTGAAATTTCGAATGAATTTTGAGAAATTTCGATTCTTTGATAAAGAATCTCTTCGTTTTCATTGATATCTTTGATCAACTCGAACTCAATTCCATTGGAATTCTTCAAAAACTCAATGTTTGTCTTCCTTTTCAGCTTCAATGGAATTTCTTCTTTTTCAAAAATCAAAAGTGTGTCTTTTTCTTTGTCGTAATCTAAATTAAACTTATGGCTAATAACCTGTTTCATGTCAGGAATACTCATATTCATTGGAACTTGGATGGATTTTATTTCGCTGTCACTTTTTGACTTCACTTTTAATTCAAATGAATTAAATTTCATTTCCAAATAATTTTGATAATTAGAGAGATCAAATAAACCACAAATCTTTGATAATTCTGATGTTTGTGTTTCTTTTGTGTTTTGGAAAACGAAAATCATTCCTTGATGAATGATGTTGGCAGTCAAAACAGTTTCTGGAGAGATTTCTACTGCGTGTCCTCCGTATTCTTCAATAAATGCTTTTGAAAATGGTTTTGTAAACAAATCGTTGACTGTTTTCGTTTTTTCGATGATTTGTGATCCTTCGAAATTAACTGTCAAACCGTCAAATGACTTCACAAATGTCAAAATGTGGTCAGAAATGTCAGAAACTTCTGTTTTTTGGATGTAAATCGTTGATGTTCCTGACATGAATTTTCCGACTGCTCCTTCTGAAGATTTCTCGATGATTCTCGTCGGATTTCCGTAGGCACCACATTGCCAAAGAGTGAAACTGTCAAGTTTGTAAACTTCTTTGACGGTTTCGTAAAGTTTTTCTGACGGTTGTTGTAAATTTACATGGATTTTGTTTTTGACATCTTTGACAGAAAAATATTTTGTTTCGTTGTCAGAAATGTCAGAATCTGTCAAAATTTGGACATCTGTTTCATAAATTTGTTGAAGAAGTTGTTTCTGTTTTAGTTCTTTTTCTTTTTTGAGTTTTTCGAAGATAACTTCTAAATGGTGAGGAACTTTTCTTTCGTTTAAGTAAACATCCTTTTGTTTGTCTCTGTTGACATAAATCAACAAATAAGCTGAGTGATCAACTGTTCTCCTTCTCTTCACTGGTTTCCTTTTGTTCCTGTTTTTGTCAAACATGTTTTTCGTTCTGAAATTCCTCTTCGAAAATCTCTGTTTCGGCAAGACTTTCTGTTTTGGTTCGTCTTCTTCGTCATCTTCATCATTTTGTCCGAAATTCGCCTTGAAAACTTCGTCTTTTTTCGCTTTTCTTACAACAGAATCATTGAATTCATACCAATCACCATCAATTTCTGGTTTAATATACGCATAATAATGCCCGGAGTAATTAGTTCCACTATGTACTAAAACTCCTACTAAATCATATATTTGACTGTCACTTTTTACTTCCTCTTTGTCACTTTTTGAGATATATTCGTCACTTTTTGCTTCTTTGTCACTTTTCTTGTTTTCTTGTTTTTTAGTTACGTATTTTGATAAATCGATTGATTCTGGGTATTCGAACCAGTCGTTTATCTTAACAATCTGGTCTCTGTCGAAATCGTAAGTGAATCTGTTCAAATGAAGTTGAAGAACTGTCGGAAGTTCAGTAATTTCCATGCAAATGTCGGCATCTTGTTTTCCGTGGCCAGGAACATTGTATTGGTTTGATCCTTCCAGTCTGTCTACAGCCAAATATCCTTCAAATGCTTCATCAAGTGTTCTATTGCCTTGCACGTGGAGTTGGAGGTCTGTAAATGGTGTCTCTGTGAATGACTCGTAGTCGATATTCACACAGCGAATGGCATTTTGGTTCTTTCCTGTGAACAAAGAAGAAATTTTCTTTTCGGACTCAGTTCCTTTGAGTTTTTCTTCGAGAGTGCTCATGAGTATCCTGTTGAACTCTTGTACGTCGTGTTGGACCATGATATCTTGCGGTTTCCAGCCAAATGATTTTGTTAAGTCTTTTGTAGAGACAGCTTGCGACGAAAACTCGAGATTATAGAAGAGCATTTGAAGTTGAAGTGGAATGGACCTCTCTGGATCTTCAATTTCTGCTGTTGGAAGGTCATAAACAATTTGTCTGAAAGCAGGTAAGTGATAAAGCATTTGTAACATGCTATTCATGTAACATGTTGCTCCTTGGTTCTCTAGACCAACGTATCCTGTTGATTCTCGTGAAGTTGCTGTTCCCCAAATATTTGATTCGGTATTTGAAGAAGAAAACTTAATGTTAGCGATAAGTGTTCCATCTGTAATAAATCCTGGTGTTTCTTTCAGTGCTCTTAATGAGATGAAATTTGAAAAGTACATTACTGCGAAATTCTTTGATAATGTTGAGTTAGATTTAACTAAAACTGTTTCTTCTGACTTCTCTTTGTTGTTTATTGTAATTGAAATTGTAATTTTAAGTGGAGATTCGGGAGGATTGATTAAATTGATCTTAAAATCAAGAAATGGAACACTTCCAGTATTCTTAGTAGCAGTGGCTTTGAAATTAAATGGACCTACTGGTAATGTAATGCTTTCAAATGGACCATTTGAATCTAAAAAATTTGGAATTTGAAAAGTATGAGTGACGTCAAAGTCATAAGTCTCATTACTACCTGTCAATCCTAAATCTTCCATTAGTTGATTAGTTTCATCATCAAACATTGAAAGATCAAGATTTTCAGACAAAAAAAATTTTGAAAATCTTTTGTGACTATTTTTTTGTGTTTCCTGTCTGAATATGAAGAACTTTCTGTTGTCCTTTACATGATGGAAATCTGACTTTTTCTTCATAGTTTACAATGATATTTGATGAGAATTATACTTTGATATCCAATATTTTCCTTGGATCTTAAAGCAAAATGCTAAAAACTTTTAAAAAATAATGTTATGATATTTACAAACAATACAAACAATACAAACAAAAATAAATTTAATCAGACCAATCGGATTTATCGTCTATGAAAGGAATTGAATCTTTTGGCTTCCATACTGTCATGAGATTGTCTTCTCCGTATGAAATAATTCCGTCATTGATTTCTACAACGCCATTGACGGTTGAAATGTGTCCAATTAATTTTTTATCATTTTGGACATCGTAAACAGCATTTTCACTTGGAACAAATATTGTATCATCACGAAAAACGAGTTTAGTTCTTCGAGTTGATCTTTTATATTCTGTAGTTCTGTATTCGTTGAGTTCTGATAGGCCAGAATCGGATGACCATTCTCTAATAACTCCATTTCTATCAGCAGATAGAAATGTTCTCCCTGATGAAGAGAAATTTATTGTTGTAACTTCGGATCCATGGGCTGAGAATGTTTCTGGCTGGTCAGTGATTTGTGATCGATACCAATCTAACTGATATGGACCTTTTGGATTCCTTATGTCAAACAAAAATAATCTTCCATCTGTATCTCCTGCAGCAATAAGAAAATTGTTGTCTTTAGAGTATTCGGCTATTGTCACTGGGTTATCGCGTCCGGTTTTTAGCGCATTTAAGTTCACGCTTTGTCGTAAATCGAAAATTCGAATTGATCCTTCGTTTAAACTAACAATTACAACTGGTTCATTTGGAGAAGCTGATATACTACGTACAATACCATGGCAGTTACACATTTGGGCTGATTTCCTTGCGTCATTAATGTCATAAATTCGTAAATAGCCATCTACTGCAGTGGTACAAAAAATACCACCATCAGTTTTAAGTATAGCTACATCTGTAATACAGCATAGATTTTTGCATGGATATGAATAGATTTCTTGTCTTTTATTTAGATCATAACAGAAATATCTTCCATTTTCTGTTACTCCAATGACTTTAGTCTTATAAATCGGATCTATATCAATTGAATTAATGCCGCCGGAATATTGAGGATTTGAATATTGAGAATCGATAACAAAATCTCCAATCATTATATAAAAATGATTAAAAAAATATGCCATTCGTTTCACTATCTGGAACATTGTTACAGGGTATTATAAATTTATCTTCTAATTAATAACAATTTTTGACTAAAATGATATAATTGTATGACCTTATTGATATTACATAAATAAATGGCTGGCATATGAATAAACGTTAAATCTAAAAGTATCCAAAACATAAAACAAAATTTTAATAGAAAAAAAGAAAAAGAAATAAAATAATTAGATAGAATCAAAACCCTCAAGAGGTGTTTCGATTTCCGAAAACGTGCGTCGATGGCAGCAGGAGCAGCTGCAATCACATGGATTATCCTGGCAAAACCAGTATCTTCCAACAATTGATGTCCTTGTAACTACAGGGAAGAGCTCTGATGAACCTAAAAACATAAATATCAGCGAAGGAATGCCAATTAAGAAACTGGCAAGAACATATGATGCTTTGTAAATGAAATCAAACTTTCCCATTAATCCACTTAATCCAAATGAGATTGCGAACATCATGGGAAGCATTGACCAGTAAAGATAGAAAAATCCTTCATTATGTGTGACTTGTTTGTTTTTCTCTAAGCATTCAAGCTCTATAACAGCATCATTTTTAATTTCCATATCTGCAAGTGTTGTATCTTCAAATAAAATATTATTATATTTTAATAATAAAACGTAATTCTCCATTTCTTGAGGGAATATGTTTCTTATTTCCTTGATAATTTCTGTTGTAGTTTTGCTTAATGGTTGATTTACGAATAATCTTTGTCCGACAATAAATAATCCGTCTTTCTCCGAACTTGGAATAGAATATGAAACAATAAAGCGTACTGATTGTGGTAATGTATTGTGTGGATTTAGATTTGGTGTTTCTATTATCATATTACTTAGATCTTGATTCATTTTATATAAATGATTATCAAATTTCGATGAAATATTAATATAATGATCTTGATGTAGTAATTAGATATAATTTCAATTAAAAAGTTGGGAAACCCTTATAAATAATGAAATTTGATAATGATCTCTAAAAAAGCTGAAGAATATAATAATAAAGAAATACAAACAATTTTATATAAAAATAATCAGCTAATAACAAAAGAAATAGAGCAAATAGAATCTTTGAGAACTTTATCGGAGGAGATAACTTTATCTATTATAGCTACATAAGTCATCCAGCGCTGGCAAACTTTTTTTGGCAAAAAGTTACTTAGTATGTCAGTTTTGAAAAATAATTCTCTCATTAAAAGGAAAATTCTAAGTACTGATGATCTATCAACAAGGAATATTGCTATCTGGTATAACGACACCTTCAATTCGAATTCTGTATCTTTAAAATCTACAATTTCATCAATGTTCATGAAAATGTAAGACAAATTCGCAACAACATCTCCAAGAAGCATGCCTGGAAAGGTTGGCAATAGATGGAGTAAATTAGTATAAGACTTGTAATCAACAAAATCTCCGATATCTTGCCAAGTTTGGTCCATTATTGCAATAACGTTAGCATGAAATAACTCTACGATACTTGGCGGTATCGATGGAATAACTCCTTCGCAAATAACAAGTATCGAACAAAAAATTGTGAGAGAATTGAAATCTTCTGGGGAACCGAAGCAAAATGACTCCATAAGTCTGGGTATGTCGCCAACAGAAACCTTGGGAAACATCTTTTTGACTGTTTCTTTGAAATAAATTCCGGAAATAATATCAAATAAATGTTTCACGTGGCATTGAAAGGATTTTATATGCTCGGCTTCGTATCGAACTGTTATGTAATCATCTAATAGTAAAATTTCTTCGGTTTTTTCTATTTCAAATAAATCTACTCTTGATCTTGGAATTGGACGCTTAGAATTCTGGAAAAACGTAATAGTAAATGGTTTGAACCTATAGCAACCAAGGTTCTTGGCCGAACTCTCAATTGTACTCCACATCGGAATATTTTTCTTTGCCATCGCAGTAACTGAAACTAATATCTGTAAATCGACTGGACTAAATACAACATTCTCTGATGTACCTCCACATCTCTTCCAAATTGATGGAGCTTCGTAACTTGTAATAATTTTATTAAAAAACAGTTTTCGTAGTATGTCGCCGCATTCTTTGGACTCAATGTACTGAGAAACTTTGGTTGTTGAGACTAATCCCATTGGAGAACCACTTTGCCAAATATTAAATGTTAATGAAAGAAAATTTTGCAGAATTGATAGCATTTTTTTCGGATTTTTGCCATTGTATGATGATAATACGAAGTAAACGTGGGATGGAAGATTTGGTAAAGCAGTTGTAACTGAATGAATAAATCGATTTCGAATAAATGATTCATCATGAGTTTCTGATATAGGGCGTGCGAAAATACATGAACAAAATGTGTTAATGAACGAATATGATGAAAATAATATTGATAAAACGAACTTTTCTATGAGTTTTTGGTCTTCTCCAGATTGTATTAGATTAATCATGAATACCGCTGCTGATTCGCAAAGCTCTTGCGTGGAAAAAAATCCGAATAAAGCTGGAAACGTAGAAAACGCTAAAAAATTAAGTGAACCGACACTCTTTGTCTTATTCATCGAATTTATTAGAAGTAATGGATCTGCGTACATGGCTTTTAAGAAGCCTGAAAGTACCTGTGATGTTAAAGTATCGATAGGTGAAGCTGTCCCTTTACTTGCGTAAAAAACGTCATCTAACATATCATTGTGAGATATTGCTGTGGAAGATTCTTTTGGAAATAAAATGAAATAAAGTAAAATATAGTAAGATCTAATAAATAATAAAGTTCTTGTTTGATCTTCCACGCTCTTTTTTCGCAATTCATCAATAACTTTATCAAAACCGCCTTTAATTGTAAGATTTTTAAACAAATCAGGTTGGTCGGCGTTAAAGGATGAATCTGCCGAAAACATAAATAATAAATTGACAGGATAAATTATTGACAAAGAGATGCTTAAAAAAAAAAAAAAAAAAAAAAAAAAAAGGTAGTGGGGCTTCCAGGCACTTCGTGCCCTCTAGAGGTCAGGTATGAGGGGCTTCCAGGGGCTGCGCCCCTTCTAGCCCTGAAGATGTTTAGTATAACTTTGTCCGGACAAGTAAGGGTCTATCGTCGCTACAGGAAAAGTTACAGGCGTTCCAAGGAAGTATACTTTGAGAAGCCTTCTTCTGGGTCGAAAACATTATATAATGTTTCGCTTTTCACAAATTATATATGTTTTCATGTTTTGTCATGACTTCTTCGTATATGTTTTGTCATGACTTCTTCGTATATGTTTTTGTCATGATTTCATCGTAAATGTTTTGTCAAGACTTCTTCGTAAATGTTTTGAAGAACTGAAGGTGTCACCAGGTCCCTCGGTCCCTCGGTCCCTCGGTCAACTAACATCTTTTTGAAAATGGTGACAACATGACATTTTGACAACAGTCCGCTTTTTAACTTCACTTAAAATGCCACGTAAGCTACGTAAGAATATACGTAAGAGGAAGAGAGCATTGAAACATCCAATAGTAAAACTGACACCACAACAACAGTTGCAACAACAAATGCTGAATGACCCCACTATGTTGCAACAAATGTCAAGCAACCCTATGCTTTTAAACCGAGTTCTTGGTGCACAGAGTGGAGGTTTAAGAGCGGCACTTTTAGCGAAAATGGCAGGCTATGGTGGAGCTGCAGACGGAACAGCCTATAACCCTCAAAGTCAAATGAATTTGAGTTCACTCAAAAATCAAATATCAGATGTCAAAAAGTCAAACATAGACATACAGAAGCAAATAAGTGAAAACGAAAAGAAACTAGAATATGACAGACACACAAAGAAACTCAATGAGTTAAACGTAGAGAAAAAGAAGAAAGAAGAACAACTGAAAGAACTAAGTACAGAGGAATATGCGAAAAAAGTGTCAGAAAAAGCAGCAGAAGTAGCAAAAATGGAACAAGATGTTGTAAATTTGAAAAACCATACTACTCAATATAAAGTACTGAAAGATGAAGAGATAAAACAAAAAGCCCTGAAGACATATATGGATAGCGATGAGTATAAAAAAGAAGTTGAAGCAAATGTAAAGGCAGAAAAACTTTTACAGTTGCAAAACCAAACCGTACAGTATGAAAACTTAGCACAAGAAAGTAAAAATAACGACGCAGCCATGCAAAAGGCAATGAAAAGCGCAGAATATATAAAAGCTAACAATGACTGGTTAGATGCCCAAGCCAACGCTAAAGCAGCCCAGCTTATAGGGTCATAAGGACAAAAATACAAGCGGATGAAGACAGTTCAAATGAAGCTTTAACAAATGCTGACTTTAAGAACGCCTTCGAAGCTCTTCATAGTAAGGTGAAACAAGTGAACGACTTCTCATCTGGAAAGAAACTGAAGTCTGAAGGTTTCGACAAAGAGTTAAAAGAAGTAGCACAAAATATAACGAAAATAACAGATGCAGCAACGAGACAGGCAGTTCAAAGTGCCTATGACGCCGTTAGAGCAACTGTTGTGGAAAGTCAAGAAAAAGAGTTACAACAGACCAAAACAGACCTAGTAAATGCTTTCTTAAAAACGAAAAGTCAGGTAGGACATTATGCTGCAGATGGAACATATGTGCCAGCTGGTGGAACTTATATACCAGCTGGTGGAACTTATATACTAGCTAGTGGAACTTATATACCACCAAACCCTCCAAGAGAAGCACCTGCACCAGGACTACCTAAAACATTTACATCGTCACATGGACACAGACACAGGCATGCACCACAACAACAACCAACACAACAACCAACAGTTCAAAACCCTGCACCAAAACCAACAGTTCAAAACCCTGCACCAAAACCAACAGTTCAAAACACTGCACCACAACAACAACCAGCACAACAACCACCTCCACAACCAGCACCACAACCAACAGTTCAAAACACTGCACCACAACAACCACAAACAGAGCAAGGACATAAAAGAAGTAGAGAACAAGGAAACCAAGATTTCTTAAAAATGCTTAAAGAAGACTATGGTTACCCAGATACTCTTGACTTTAGTGACAGATATAAAGAAGCTATTAGAAAGTTCAAGGAAGGAAATACTGACCCGAACCTATTTAGCTTTATGGCTCAGCACCAAACGGGATATAATTTCAAACCTGGAAAATACAAGCTCGCTAAGGGATATGATTTAATAGCATATCATCCAAATGACATGACTGAATTTACTCCGAGATATTTGGTGTCAGAGCTAAATGACAATTCAACTCTCTTCATGAAACGCGTAAAAAATAAAGACGGAACGAAAGAAGAAAGGTTTATGAGTCCGGATGACTTAGATAGGGAACTTGTTAAAAACGGTCTCGGAATATATGAAATGCCAGCAGATGAGGTACAAGAAACTCCACAGGAAGAACTAGTTCAGATACAACCAGACATGGAAAAATAGTTCAGCAACAACAGCTAGAAGAGCCTGAAGGAAACGAACAAGTCCCTCCTTTGGAAAACTAAATTCACAGAACTAGATGAAGATTTGGAACAGCCGAAAATCTTGACCCTCAACAAGAGTATGAGGTGAATATGGAATCTTTCCAAGAGTCTAAGAAAAATTCGGCTGACATGGTAGAAGAATATCGAAAAATGTTTGCCGACATACAAAAGACTCCAACATCAGATGAAAATATTCAGCATAGAATGGAAGAACTGAAAGAAAATGTACACAAATACAACAACCCTTTTTACTTACGAGCATATAACGTTCAATCTTTGGATGAACTCGGTGAAAATAAAAGGTTAAATTTCAACAAAACATATAGAAATGAAAATTGTTTAAAGTTCATTCAGAACCTAGCCAATATGGAAACAAACCTACTTTTGTTTCTGCAGACTATGGAACTACAATGAGATGGGGTCATAAAGCTAACCCGGATAGGTGGTTCATAAACTTACAACCACAATTCCAAGATGTTGTAGACGCAATGGAAATGAATGGTGAACCAGATTTAGCTGGTATTTTCAGCGCGGCTTTAATGCCATTGAAAGATATGAAAGATGCAGATATTTTGAACCAGTATGAAATGAACATGGCTGATGGAAATATAACACTGACGTTCTAAAACATTTATCTCAAAGAACTACACAGAACCATAGAGATGGTATATTTGGTGAAGAGTTTAGAAAGAGAGTTAGGGAGAGAGAAGGAAGAGAACCTATTGTACATGACCTTGCAAACGAAAGTTTACAAAATGTCATAAAAACTTACTTTGCAGACAATGAACCGAGAAGGGATGAATATTTAAGAAAACTCAAATGGACAGTACCAAATGAAATGTTAGTATTGAAAACATGTTCCTTGACAAAATAAAACCAACTACAGAAATAAATGACCCAAGACTGAAACATTGGGTAAAAGCTTTCCCATTCACAAAAGATATAATTGGTAACATGGAAAGAAAACCAGAATGGCTACAAAAAATATATTGGAAACGAGCTTATTCCATATGGACAAGCTCTGTTTGAAGAGCTTGAACCGGAAACTCAGGAAAGAGTCATGCAAACAATACGCGAAGACTCAAATACAAAACTATGACAAAATCTTTCTAGGATATAGGTTACCTGAGATGGGCGACCAGAGCCCAAAGGCAAAAAGGACATGGAAATTTACAAACATACTAGGTGAACATGAGGCAAAGATGCAACAACTTGAAGCAGAGGGCAAGTTACCAAAAGCGACACCAAAGAAGAAGAGAAGAGTAGAACAAAGTGAAAGTAGTGAAGAAGTAACTTCATCTAGTGAAAGTAGTGGCAATGAAGGAAAAAGAAGAGTTAAAAACTCAGCCAGGAAGAAAGTAAAGCTTGGTCCACGTGGGTTCTATTATGACAAATAAATCCAACTATTCTATATTTTTACCCATATGAAATGTACGCCGCTCAGAATATAACGCCAACAGTTTTGGATGCCATGAATGGAAATGTTTCCGAATGGTATAACGAATGCGACAATGCCATTAGAAGGTCAGAAATAGTTCCTGGAACTTACGAATATACAACTGCTGTTTCTTATGGAAATGTAGGTGAGTTTGGAGAAGGTTCTTCAACAACAGTAGATATTGCTTGCGACAGGTTTCATATAATTCTATTGACAACTCATTCTTATACGTGGAACAAGACATTGAAATAAAACCTTCTGCCAAGTTGTCTGACAAGAAAGGTTGCAATGGAATTTTCTATGTCGGATACCAATATGCTCCAGAAGTTTTCATGGGATATAAGATATATTCTAACTCTGACTTAGTTCAAACAGTAACATGGGCAAACTATGAATGGTTCGCTTTAAGAAACTCAGTACAACCACAAGCTAGAGAACAAACAGACCAGTATGCAACTATTGAGAAAATAAGAAGACTTGACCCTAACGTTCCAGGAGTTTATGTTAACCTTTCTGGTTCAGATGGAAATGCTGTCACTAAAGTAAAACTGAAACTTAGAGTTCCTTTGTCATCTTTCCTCATCTTCAGGTTTTTAAGATACTTGCCAAACTGGGCAGGAAAAATTTCTATTGAACTTACTCCAAGCAAAAATAACTTAGTCATTGCACCAACGCAAGACCCATTCACTCTTACAGACGTAAAGGGAGCAAATCAAACGTCATTCGCCGAATTTTGCAAAGACAAAGTTGACTTAGACTTTGGTTTCTCAAACCTCAACACTGAAGTAAAGTATTATTTCAATGCTGCTGGAATGCTTGGACCCAGTTAGGTTTACATGCGAAAAATTTGAATGCAAGAGAATAGAAAGCAGACTTGCAGTCTATATGTTGGACCCAGATATTTCAAATGCTTTAGCTGCCAAATATATTGCAGTTCCACTTATGTTCCCTATACACCAAATATCTGTCAAAGACTTTGCAGGTGAAGTTGGAAACCAAAATCCAGGAACCGCAGGTGCAAGAACAGATATTGCTTTAACAACTGCAATGAAACACGCAGATACTATGTTTGTACTGTTCAGACGAACTATAAATGACTATTCTTGTTTCTACAACCCCGGTATTAAATATCATATAAACATAGATGGCAAATATTATCCAAGAGAAGAATATTCTACAGTTGAGGATATGAGGTCATACAACTTGACATTAGATGCTATGAACTTTAACAACAACTTCACAACAACCATTAACCCTGAAATGCAAAGTTCTATTATGCCATATGTGAAAGTATGGACCCATACAGGAAGTCAAAAAACTCAATATACAAATGGAGACCGTTCAAACTTTTGGCTTGGCATTCCATTTGCTGACTCAGAAGACTTTATGGGTGGTATTTCAACTGTTGGTACTGTACAAATACAATATACTGGTGACAGAGACGGTCCATATGAACTGAGAGCAAAGAAGTTTACAAAACCAATAGCACTTTTCACGGAAGATGCTCTTTTGAAGATTCGTTCGATGAAACCTGCTGGGGCTCCTCAGATTGGCATAACGACAGCTTCCATCGAGCAGATTTTGGCAGCAGGTCAGTAAGTTGTTCTTGAACTGACTTCTCTCCGTCAAATATTGACAGTACGCCAGTTTTGACATAAAATTGTATTATAAACTTTCCTTTAGAAATATCTGTAAGTTTTGTTGTTATATTTTTGTCTGCTTCAAGAACTTTCACCATTTCAGTTATACCAACTTTCTTTGCTTTATGAAAATATTTTGGTTCAGCAAAGACTGCTATTCTATAACATTTACCATTGTTTGTATAAAGAACTATTCTGTCAATGTATTTGTATTGTTTGTGTGTGTAAACTTTGTTCTGCTTCAATTCGAAGAGATATCCGAATACGTCCATCTTTTATTCTAAGTAAAATGTCATTTCCGAAAAATAGAAGCGTAAGTGTTTCAAAAGGTTTAATGGCGGTGGCAGATGTGAAGTTAAATTCACCAACTCAAACAAACAGTCAAAGTGTTGTTGTCAATGTCAAAGAAAGAGATGTTGAAATGGGGAAACCATACGAGGACGAAGATGGTATAAACAATTGTTCCTGTAAAAGAACAACCAACATACCCTGAAGTTAGCAGAGACTTAAGTTCTGTTGCAGATATTCGAAACGACTACCAACAACTGAAAGACAAACTTCAAACTCAGGAGAAGATTTGTCAAGCTTTAGGTATAATGTTAAACTTGGTCGAACACAACCCTGTAAAAGTGAACTCATATGTCATTGCACCTCATGAAGTTTTGAAAGAACTATTGAAACTTTTGACAGAGGCAGACGATATAAACATCAAAGAAATAGAACCCGACGTTAGTTGCTGTGGTGTTTCATATAATGTCATTGACAAGATATACGTTATGAAAGGAGGTGAAACGTTGAACTTAAAATATAGTTTCCCAGACGTTATAAAATATTTGACGACCACAACATTTCATTAAAATTTATTTGCTAAGTAAAATGGCAGAAGACACAATGGTTTATACTATTACGACTAAAAACCCTGAGTCATATAATTCTATAACAACAAACTTACAAAGTCCTCAAGGACGATATTGTAAACTAACTTTAAACACAATGACGACTAAAGCTTGTTTTGCTCTTTTGACACCAGAAGATTTTATTGTTGTGAATGGTAAAAAATACTCCTTTGAAGATACTTACTCAGATATACCACCAACAGGTTTTGTTGACTTATTTAATACTTTAAGGACGAGTGTAACATGTGCTGCAACTAGAGCAGGTTTCATTATGTTTGGATGTCCGACTGAGTTTACTATAAACAATATGAGCTATAATACAAAACTTATATCTGGTTTTTACTACCAACAGTTTCCTATAACAGGAAAAGGTGTCATACAAGGAATGTCTGTTCCATTGACTTTAAGTACACCTATTTTATATATTGTTTCAAACTTAGGTTCAAAGTGCTATTCGAATGTCGACAGAAACTACTATGACCAAAAGATACTTATGCGTATAAACAACACTTTCTCTGCTGGTTTGCCTATTGTTCATTCGAATGCAGAGTTTTCAGCTTTAGTAAACTCAAACACTTTAGCAAACATAAACTTAACCTTAGTTGACGCAAACTTTGTTCCTGTAAAACTTTTATGTCCTATGTATTTGTCAATGACGGCAGAAAGTTTCGAATTGGAAGATGCAACTGGTGAAAGTATTGTATTACAAGAACAACTTCAACAACAAATAGCTCAAGAACAACAAATGCAACAAATAGCTCAAGAACAAAGTCAAGAATAAAAAAAATATTTTTTTTATTTTTATATAAAATGTACAGAAATAGATGTTTCAGATTTTTATGACTTCCAAACATTCAGAAATATGTGTCCATTTAGAGACTATAACAAAGCAGTCGAGAATTTGAAACGTTTAGTCATTTATGTTGACTCTGCCCCAGAATGTTATGTTATGAAAGAATGGGATGTTGTCTTTAACAAACCAAGAGCAACAATAGTTTCAGAACAAGAATGTAGACAAAAACTTAAGAAAATAAAAGTCGTACAAGTTGGCATGAAGATGTTAGATGCTTGGGATATCTTATTGTCAAAACTTGAAGATTTTTCAGTTCGTGGTATAAAGTTTTATACACCTTCTCCAAACTTCTATTCTATCTTCACTGGATATAAATACGAACAAGTAGAATGGAAAGAAAATATTATAGAAGCTTGGTTAGACCATGTCAAAGAAATTATATGCAATGGAAACGAAAAGGTTTATGAGTATATCTTATGTTGGTTTGCAAACATCTTACAACATCCAAGTGCTAAAAATGAAACTGCTCTCATTATAATTGGAAAACAAGGAACAGGTAAGAACACATTCTTTACAGATATTTTGTGCAAACTGTTAGAAGGTTATTCGAACCCTAATATGACAAACTTAGAAAACATCTGTGGCAAGTTTAACTCCTCAATAGAGAATATGAAACTTATAGTTTGCAATGAACTTCAAAGTATAGATACAACAAAAGTTTTGAACTCAGATGCTTTGAAGAGTCTTATAACAGACAAAGTTGGAGTTGTTGAAAGAAAGTATAAAGACCAAAGAGTTTGTGAAAATGTTGCAAACTTCATTATGGTTTCAAACAATGTTGTTCCGATGAAGTTAGAAAGTTCTGACAGAAGATATGTAGTTGTCAGAACGTCAGATTCTCATATGCAAGATACAGAATATTTTGACGACTTAGCAGAAACTTTGACATCTGACTTTTACAACCACTTGTTCTCATACTTTATGACATTAGATATTTCTAAGTTCAATCCAAGACAAATTCCACATACCGAAGAGAGACAAACATTGTTAGAAGCAAACAAGAGTGTATATGAACTGTTCATAGATGAAACTGATTTTGAGTGTTTAGATGAAAGGTCATTGTACGATTCGTATAAACAATATTGTCAAGAATATGGTTATATGGCAGCTTCTAAACGTACATTCTTGGCAAATGTCAAAAGTCTTTTAGACGTACAGAATGGTGTATATACAAATAAAAATTTTTATGAGTAAATTTTAAAAAAAAATATTTTTTTTATCCGATAGAAAAGATGACAAAATTCATCTCAGTAAACAAGTACATGTCAGGACTTAAAGAAGAACTAGACCCATTCACATATTTGAATGTTTACTTCTACCATTTTGAAAAGTCTTCATTCAGCAAAGTTTGGAACATCGAACCAGTTAAGTTTGCTATTGTGACTAAAAATGGTGCGAAATTTGAAGACTTAGACATAGAAGGTTTGTTAGCAGTCAAAGAAAATTTTGACAGAAGGTTCTCAAACCTTAAAGAAGGCAAAGCATACAAACTTGTTATACCTTATGAACCAAAGAAAGCAGACGACTATGAATATTATGAGTCTAAAGTTGTAGAAGTTCAAGGTAAATTGGGTAAAAAGATTTTAGAGTCTAAGCCAGTGTTTACTCCTAAAGAGGAAGAGAACATTGACATTGACCCAGAAATGTTCTAAAAATAAAATTTTATTTTTACATGTCAAATTTCTTTTTCTCTGGAACTGGTTCAGGTTCTTTCTTCTCTTCTACTTTCTTCTCTTCTTCTACTTTCTTCTTCTTTTCTCTCTTCTTCTTTTCTGGTGGAGTTATGTCAAATTTCTCCGAACCATATTTATGTAAAAGTTCTTTGTCCTTTAATAGCTCATCTATTCTGTTTTCTATTTCATCTTCAAGAACAGCGCATGTGTCTTCTTTGCATTCTAAGAAGTTTTGTTGGACTTCATCTCTCCAAGAGGCGTCATCTCTGTCAACAAGTCTGTCATTGACAAATTTTAAGACTGCTCTGCTTAATGTTTTATGGTTCTTGTCATATTCCCAGAAACAGAACTTTAGAACAAATTCACCTTTCTTGTTTACACTATGTAAGATTTTATGGTCGACAGATGTTTTGCTGTCGAAAAGCTTGTCTCGAATATAGATAGCGAAATCGCTAGACATTTTCTAAAAGATAAAAATTTTAATTTTTCTAAAAATATGTTAGAAAAAAAGTTTGCTGACATTGACAAGAAATTTGAGAATGTTTTAAACAAGAACAAGAGGAAGTTAGAAAATGCTCAGATAAAACCTATACATGACAAGTTCTTATTTGCTCAGAATGGTATAACAGGTCTAATTGCACCACCTGGGTCGGGTAAGACTTTCACTTATCTTAAAATGGCTGCACAACAACAAGAACTAGATGAGAAGAACCCATTCTATGAGTTAGTTGTTATTTGTAGTACTTCTGGTCAATTTGACCAAACCGTCAATTCGTTCAAAGATATTATAAAGAAGTCTAAGTTAGTATGTATAAAGGATACTGAGTTGTTAGATTGGATAAAGAAGTACCAAAGAAGAGTTTTGAAGTATAATGCTATAAATGAGTATATAAATTCTAAGTTTAAAGACCCAAATGAGGAAATGCAGAGAATATTAGAGAAGAAACACTTCAGAAACAAACAGAAAGAGATAGAATACATTTCGAAGAAATTGCAATCTTACGATTGGAAGACATACCCTCATAGGTGTCTTCTTATCTTAGATGACTTTGCTTCTCATCCTTTGCTTAAGAATAGAGAACAAGATATGTGTCGAATTCTTAAGAAGCTCAGACACTTTAACATCTCAGTCGTAATATGTGTACAGACAGCAAAGAGTTTAAGTAAGGATGTAAAGAGAATACTTACTGACATTGTACTTTTCCCCGGATTGTCCGAAGACGATTTCATGGAACTTATGAAAGAGTCCATGGCAGGTAAGTTTGACAGACATGAACTATGGGAGAAGTACAAAGTCATACAAGACCCTCATACTTCTTTCAGAATTCATATCTACGCGAACAAAGTTCAAATTGTAAAAAGTCAATAAAAATAAAGAGTTCATTTACTCTGCTTGTTTGAAGTTGTCAAAATACTCTGTTATTTTTTCCTTTAACAATGGCAAATCTTCTTTGAAGCAGAAGACACAATGGGTTTATACTATTACGACTAAACCCTGAGTCATATATTTCTATAACAACCAAACTTACAAAGTCCTCAAGGACGATATTGTAAACTAACTTTAAACACAATGACGACTAAAGCTTGTTTTGCTCTTTTGACACCAGAGATTTTATTGTTGTGAATGGTAAAAAATACTCCTTTGAAGATACTTACTCAGAATATACCACCAACAGGTTTTGTTGACTTATTTAATACTTTAAGGACGAGTGTAACATGTGCTGCAACTAGAGCAGGTTTCATTATGTTTGGATGTCCGACTGATTTACTATAAACAATATGAGCTATAATACAAAACTTATAATCTGTGTTTTTACTACCAACAGTTTCCTATAACAGGAAAAGGTGTCATACAAGGATGTCTGTTCCATTGACTTTAAGTACACCTATTATATATTGTTTCAAACTTAGGTTCAAAGTGCTATTCGAATTCGACAGAAACTACTATGACCAAAAGATACTTATGCGTATAACAACACTTTCTCTGCTGGTTGCCTATTGTTCATTCGAATGCAGAGTTTTCAGCTTTAGTAAACTCAAACACTTTAGCAAACATAAACTTAACCTTAGTTGACGCAAACTTTGTTCCTGTAAAACTTTTATGTCCTATGTATTTGTCAATGACGGCAGAAAGTTTCGAATTGGAGATGCAACTGGTGAAGTATTGTATTACAAGAACAACTTCAACAACAAATAGCTCAAGAACAACAAATGCAACAAATAGCTCAAGAACAAAGTCAAGAATAAAAAAAATTTTTTTTTATTTTTATAAAAATGTACAGAATAGATGTTTCAGATTTTTATGACTTCCCAAACATTCAGAAATATGTGTCCATTTAGAGACTATAACAAAGCAGTCGAGAATTTGAAACGTTAGTCATTTATGTTGACTCTGCCCCAGAATGTTATGTTATGAAAGAATGGATGTTGTCTTTAACAAACCAAGAGCAACAATAGTTTCAGAACAGAATGTAGACAAAAACTAAGAAAATAAAAGTCGTACAAGTTGGCATGAAGATGTTAATGCTTGGATATCTTATTGTTCAAAACTTGAAGATTTTTCAGTTCGTGGTATAAAGTTTTATACACCTTCTCCAAACTTCTATTCTATCTTCACTGGATATAAATACGAACAAGTAGAATGGAAAGAAAAATATTATAGAAGCTTGGTTAGACCATGTCAAAGAAATTATATGCAATGGAAACGAAAAGGTTATGAGTATATTCTTATGTTGGTTTGCACAACATCTTACAACATCCAAGTGCTAAAAATGAAACTGCTCTCATTATAATTGGAAAACAAGAACAGGTAAGAACACATTCTTTACAGATATTTTGTGCAAACTGTTAGAAGGTTATTCGAACCCTAATATGACAAACTTAGAAAACATCTGTGGCAAGTTTAACTCCTCATAAGAATATGAAACTTATAGTTTGCAATAATATGCTCCAGAAGTTTTCATGGGATATAAGATATATTCTAACTCTGACTTAGTTCAAACAGTAACATGGGCAAACTATGAATGGTTCGCTTTAGAAAACTCAGTACAACCACAAGCTAGAGAACAAACAGACCAGTATGCAATATTGAGAAAATAAGAAGACTTGACCCTAACGTTCAGGAGTTTATGTTAACCTTTCTGGTTCAGATGGAATGCTGCCATAAAGTAAAACTGAAACTTAGAGTTTCCTTTGTCATCTTTCCTCATCTTCAGGTTTTTAAGATACTTGCCAAACTGGGCAGGAAAATTTCTATTGAACTTACTCCAAGCAAAAATAACTTAGTCATTGCACCAACCAAGACCATTCACATACTGTAGCTAACGGGAGCAAATCAAACGTCATGTGATTTTTGCAAAGACAAAGTTGACTTAGACTTTGGTTCTCAAACCTCAACATGAAGTAAATATTATTTCAATGCTGCTGGAACTGCTTGGGACCCAGTTAGGTTACATGCGAAAAATTTGAATGCAAGAGAATAGAAAGCAGACTTGCAGTCTATATGTTGGACCCAGATATTTTCAAATGCTTTAGCTGCCAAATATATTGCAGTTCCACTTATGTTCCCTATACACCAAATATCTGTCAAAGACTTTGCAGGTGAAGTTGGAAACCAAATGCGACCCAGGTGCAAGAACAGATATTGCTTAACAACTGCAATGAAACACGCAGATACTATGTTTGTACTGTTCAGACGAACTATAAATGACTATTCTTGTTTCTACAACCCCGGTATTAAATATCATATAAACATAGATGGCAAATATTATCCAAGAGAAGAATATTCTACAGTTGAGGATATGAGGTCATACAACTTGACATTAGATGCTATGAACTTTAACAACAACTTCACAACAACCATTAACCCTGAAATGCAAAGTTCTATTATGCCATATGTGAAAGTATGGACCATACAGGAGTCAAAAAACTCAATATACAAATGGAGACCGTTCAAACTTTTGGCTTGGCATTCCATTTGCTGACTCAGAAGACTTTATGGGTGGTATTTCAACTGTTGGTACTGTACAAATACAATATACTGGTGACAGAGACGGTCCAATATGAACTGAGAGCAAAGAAGTTTACAAAACCAATAGCACTTTTCACGGAAGATGCTCTTTTGAAGATTCGTTCGATGAAACCTGCTGGGGCTCCTCAGATTGGCATAACGACAGCTTCCATCGAGCAGATTTTGGCAGCAGGTCAGTAAGTTGTTCTTGAACTGACTTCTCTCCGTCAAATATTGACAGTACGCCAGTTTTGACATAAATTGTATTAATAAACTTTCCTTTAGAAATATCTGTAAGTTTTGTTGTTATATTTTTGTCTGCTCAAGAACTTTCACCATTTCAGTTATACCAACTTTCTTTGCTTTATGAAATAATTTTGGTTCAGCAAAGACTGCTATTCTATAACATTTACCATTGTTTGTATAAAGAACTATTCTGTCAATGTATTTGTTTAGTTGTTGTGTGTGTGTAAACTTTGTTCTGCTTCAATTCGAAGAGATACTCGAATACG